TCAATGAATCGGTATGGGCGTCCGACCCTCCACATGCAGTCACGGATAGAAGAAAATTCGGTGTGTATCTGAAATTGCGTCAAGGGACAGACTCATGAAATTGATCCAAATTGAACGAATTACGGCCCTGAGCCCTTGCGTAGGAAGCGAGTCCCGTCCGGCCGTGCATGCGCTTGACTAGCCAGTATAGTAGTTGAATGGCAGCCGAGGAAGACGAAAGTGATAAGGCTTTGGAACACTGGTTCTAGAACTACCTTATTCCTTCCCCAGAGTTGGCTCGGCAATTAGCACGAGCGTAGCACGAGCGCTTCCTCGTTCCTGGCCTCGATAGGCTCGAGATATTCGATCACTCCAATGCCATGGCCATCAGGGACCCCGCTAATCACATCAACAAGAGTCTTTGTGGAGAAGGCGACTGACAGGAGGGGAGGAGTGTAAAGAACAAGGTTATTCTGGTCCAGGGAAAACAGGTTGGTTTGTGTCGAGATCCTTTGCGTTGAGGATTCGTGACACTTGGGCCTTGCTTTGGAGCTGGAGACCTGTCGAAGCAAGGACGGGGCACCTGACCGGTAAGCAAGGTACGTACCGTACAGAGTTACAGTATATGACAGTATGTATGTACTGTACTTACATGCGGTTAAGCAATAAGTAAATGCAGGCTTCCGATAAGTAAGGAAGTGTAGGTACTTTAGTTACCTAAGGTAGGCTGCCTGAAGGGTGGGCACGCGACATGCAGAATTTTAAGGCCAACAATGGCGAGATCATCAATTTTCTTAGGCCCGTCTGGTGATCATTCGGTTGGAGCCTAAGGAGGACGAACACGGAAAGAAGGTATTCGGTAATTTTCAATTTCCAGCTTCCAAGATTTGGGATTCCCCACTTGGGTCTGGGTTTGTGAAGATGAGTGTGTAAAAGTGACGCAGAGATGGCCATGGAAATCGGTCAATCTCTTACCTGAGTGCATACAACCAAGGCACCTTCTTACCTAGAGTAGGTAGTATTATACCTACAGATACTCTGTAGTCTGTACAGTGTATGCCTGCGGCTGCCTTCAGCAAAGCACGACAAGGAAAACCTTTGCCCCCGTACGCCGCCCGGGGATTCTGCCGCCCGTCACCTTCTCTCTCGTCCTTCGCTCTCCCTTTCCCTCTTCCCCCCCCCTCAGAACCACTCTTATTCCTTCCTCCTCTTCTCTTCTAGATTCCTTGCTTGTCCCTCTTTGTGTGTGATTCCCTGGCCTGAAAGTCTTTCCCTCCCCTCCCCCTCCCTCCTCTTCCCCCCTTTCCAGTCGCAATCATGGGTCAGACTTTGTCAGAGCCAGTCGTTGATAAGGTGAGTGAAAAAATCCCGATTGAACTTGCCCTTTTGCACTCCCCTCCCCTCCCCACACTGTCCTTACGCAATTCCATCCCTTCCCTATCCGGACCGCAGAACTCGCCTACCATGCTCCTCGGCCACGCCTCATCTTCCCTCGATTTATTCACTACCTATTTCCTCCTCATTGTGTTATCTCTTCGTGTCTAGAGCCTTCTGGACCTCGTTATCTCCCACCCCACCCCCTCTCCTCGGTATATTGGGCGGCACCACGCCGTGGTGATCCTCGCCTGCGGGGTCCTCCACGAGTGGAAGAAAATTTCCCGCAGCCGCCTCCCACGACGGATGCCCAGTCATCTTCGCGGTCTGCACGGTCGCTAACTCGCTGCCAACCGTCTAGGTCTCTTCCGAGGGTGAAGATGAGTGCTGTGTGTACGGCGTCTCCGCCATGCAAGGCTGGCGGATCAGCATGGAAGATGCCCACGCTGCTGTCCTAGATCTGTATGCGAAATATACGACTCCTAAAGATACCCCTTCCGAACCCGATAAACGTCTCGCTTTCTTTGGTGTATATGACGGGCATGGTGGTGATAAAGTGGCTCTATTTGCCGGGGAGAATCTGCACAAGATCGTCGCGAAACAAGACGCGTTCGCCGAGGGCGACATTGAACAGGCCTTGAAGGACGGCTTTTTGGCCACCGATCGGGCCATCTTGGAAGGTTCGTCTGGACGACGTATATATATTTCCGTTCTTTCCCACTGACTCGTCCAGACCCGAAATACGAGGAAGAGGTTTCCGGCTGCACCGCCGCCGTCAGTGTGATCTCAAAGCACAAAATCTGGGTCGTATGTCTTTCCTTCTCTGCTTGGCCGGTTGTATGGCCCGTACCTAACCCGGTCTTATAGGCCAATGCCGGTGATTCCCGCTCGGTCCTGGGTGTTAAGGGCCGTGCCAAACCCCTCTCGTTCGACCACAAGCCGCAGAATGAAGGTGAGTTGATCCGACCTTGTCCTCGGTTCCGGAGCAGTCATGCTGACGACATGAACACCAGGCGAGAAAGCTCGTATTAGTGCCGCGGGCGGTTTCGTCGACTTTGGCCGTGTGAATGGCAATCTAGCCTTGTCGCGAGCCATTGGAGATTTCGAATTCAAGAAGAGCGCCGAGTTGTCGCCCGAGCAGCAGATCGTGACCGCCTACCCGGATGTGACGGTCCACGAATTGAGTGACGACGACGAATTCCTTGTCATTGCTTGTGATGGTACGCCAACTTTCCTACGATCGCATTGACTCCCGTGTCCGCTAACCCTTCCGCCTTTCTCTTTAGGTATCTGGGATTGCCAAACTTCTCAGTCTGTGGTCGAGTTTGTTCGTCGCGGTATCGCTGCCAAGCAAGACCTCTACCGAATTTGTGAGAACATGATGGACAACTGCCTCGCCTCGAACAGCGAAACCGGTGGAGTCGGTTGCGACAACATGACCATGACCATCGTGGGACTTCTGAACGGTAGAACCAAGGAAGAGTGGTACAATCAGATCGCTGAACGGGTAGCCAACGGTGACGGCCCTTGTGCTCCTCCCGAATACGGCAAGTCTCTTGAGGAATCCACGGCCTCGAACCCCTACTGACTGAATGGGGACGCAGCTGAATTCCGCGGCCCTGGTATCCGTAACCAATTTGAAGAGAACCCGGATGACTATGAGATGGATAATGATCGTGCCCGTGGGTTTAGCGTGCGTTCTGGTCGCATAATCCTCTTGGGAGACGGCACCGAATTAATCCCTGAACAGAATGATGAGGAACTCTTTGACCAGACCGAGGAAGACCGCGATTTGCCCCGTCAGGCTCAGCACGAGTCGCCCGACTCGGTCCGGAATGAGCGCGAAGGAACCCCGGGACCTCAGACCAAATCCGACGGCCCCAAGTCTGACGAGTCCTCCGAGTCCCCCTCGACCGCCACGAAGAACAACTCCGGCGACAACTCTGGAACCACGGAACAATCTACGAGTTCGTAGTTATGATGGGGTTTTTTATCATGTCTGTGTTTTTTCTTTTTGGCTTTTGAAAACGATTCTTGTGATTTCATGACTGATTCCGCCTTTGCGATCTACCTTATCTTTCCCCCCCCCCCCCCCCCATCCCCCTTCTCTTCCCTGGAAGCGCCGTGTTACTGTGTCCTACCTTTCACCCACTCCTCCTTCTCATTTCAAACGCGCTTTTTTCTTTTCTTTTTTTCTATCCCTTTTTGTTGCCTTCTGTGATGAACTTTCCTGTGGCAGTGAGTGGGGCGGAGCCAAGCAGCGTGCAATCAGACCCAGCTGGCCAATTGTTCAGTGTCTACCTGTATAGGTTGACGGTGGAGCAATCTTCGCCTTAGAAGGAACAAGGAAGGGACCGTGTTTATTTTCCTCTTTCCCCCTCTGTTTTCTTTTTGTCTCGAAGCCGCGAGCGGCAGATCTCACGAGAGTACGTCTTGTTTCATGCCTTCCCGCAAGATACCGCCAACGCCGACCGCTATTGATGAACTTTGATATCTTCTTATGATCCTCCTACTTTTACTGCCCTTGATTTCCTCTCTCTGTTTCTTGATTCCGTCTCTTCCTTTCTCCCGAATGCTGCAGCTTTCCACCTACGGGTATGGCATCATGACGAACGAGACGACTCAGCAGAGGAGACGACGCTTTGCTTAGGCGGGCCATGTAGTATAATGACGACCGGGGAGGAGTTGTAAAGGGGAGAGGGCGACGAGACTACATATACTTGCACGCATGACGACGTACGCGGAAATCAGACCATGACATGCAAAATCGTGTTTCCTTAGGCAGGCAAGGCGTTACGTTACGTTGAAGCGAATGCCGAGCCGCGGAGTTTCTGGAATTGTGGTGGATGCAAGCGAGCTTCAAGTTGCTCATGATCCTTTTCTCTTTTTATTTTTTCTGTCATCGTTCTCATCCATTGCGTAACGGAGATAGACAATGGGCTCAAGCAGGAAGTGTGTCGGCCGAAGAGCAGAGCAGCGTAAGGAAGTTGGAAGTAAGAATCACCGCCAAGTCAAGGCCCGTTGGGGAACGCTTGACCGCATCTAGTAAGCTTCAGGGACTTAGTGGGTAACGGTACCGTACCCAGCAGGTATCGCCCACCCAAAGTCCGCGGCGGAGGGACTTCAGAGGGACCTCAGAGGTACCTTGCTCGTGCCCTGACCAATACCTGTAATATTGGTCCACCGCCGTGGGTTTTGATGACATTTTCATACGCCATGTTTCTCGGCCTCAGGAATCATCTCCTTTTTTTTTTTTTTTTTTTTTCTAATTTCTCCTTAGTCGCTTTTACCGGAAGCTCCGCCTCTTTTCGCTTTTCGTGTCCTCTCTCTCTCCATCTCTGGTCCCTCTCCTTCCTTGGACCTGGAGAAAGCCCGTGAGCGTCGTCCGTCCCGTGTTTTGTCCTACTACTACTCCTTGTTCGACCGGTTCCCTCCCGCTCGCGCTCGCAGTCTCTTATCCTACCTTCTCCTCCTCGTTCCCCCCCCCTAACCCGGCCGCTTCTTCAACTTTTCTTTCTTTTCTATCAACGCGTCTCTCCACCCCCCATTTTAATATCAATTCCTCCATCTTTATCATCTCCTCTCCACTCTCTCTCTCCTAATTGATCACCGATAGAAGTCGAGCTGTGCTCCCTCGGTCAGCCACCATGTCGTCTCCGTCGTCTGCAGGCAAACGCAAGCGCAGTGCTTCCCATCTTGCCACGAAGCCCAATCCCGCCGATCTCTTGCAGCCTTCGTCGCGCGATGCGTCCGGTGAAGAGGGCGATGAGTCGACCGCCCCCGCAACTCCCTCATCCATCAAACACAAGCAGCATGCTCCCGCTAACGTAACGTCCGCGACGACCGTCCCGCCTACCAAACGGGCCCGGAAGAGCTCGATCGACGACAGTTCGATCAATGCACAGACAGCGGAGGACCCGTCCGGAATCAGCAAAGAGGACCCCGGCGAACCCTCCGAAACCACGGTCGCCAGCAGTGATATCGAGAACCAGAGTAAGGGCCGACCCGGGTTACATGTACAGACCCGACAGGACCTGGAACCGCCTGAGAAGGCCGGTTTGCAGAATCCCGTGGGTTACACTACGAACCCGCCGCCCACGGGACGCCCGGTTCGGGTGTATGCCGATGGTGTGTTTGATTTGTTCCACATGGGGTAGGTTTCGTGTCTTTTTTTTTTTTTTCTGTCTGTATAAGCTTCCCGGTTCGCGTCCATGCTAACGCCGCTTGATGCTCGTTTAGTCACATGCGTCAGCTCGAGCAGGCCAAGAAGGCTTTCGCCGATGTGCATCTAATGGTCGGCGTTACGGGAGATGAAGAGACTCATCTGCGGAAGGGTCTCACGGTGTTGAGCGGCGCAGAACGAGCGGAAACTATACGCCACTGCAAATGGGTGGACGAAGTGATTCCCAATTGCCCTTGGATCGTGACGCCGGAATTTATCGACCAACACCAGATCGACTACGTTGCGCACGATGACCTCCCCTATGGTGCCGCGGAGGGCGACGACATCTATGCTCCGATCAAGGCCCAAGGAAAGTTCCTAGCCACTCAGCGGACTGAAGGCGTCAGCACCACAGGGATTATCACACGGTTAGTTCGGGATGCAACTTTTCCACGCAAAAGAACCAGAAACTAATCGATTCCAGGATCGTCCGTGATTATGACCAATACATTTCCCGTCAATTCAAACGCGGTGCCTCCCGACAGGAATTGAACGTCTCGTGGCTTAAGAAGAACGAACTGGAAATCAAGCGCCATGTGTCTGAGATCCGGGATAACATTCGCACAAACTGGTCGACCACCGGCCAAGAATTGGGACGCGAATTGCGGCAGCTCTGGCAGAACAGCCGGCCCGGCAGCCCGGCCCCGAGCGCCCGGAACAGCGTTGATCTGGGTAGCACTCGTGGAGGCCTGATCAGTCCGACCACGGGGGCCAAGTCCCATCTGTCGCGGGTGGAGACTTTGGGCCGTCCGGACAGCCCCGTGGGAAATGGACGGAACGAGGACTTTGCGACCGGTTACAGTCTGGGCTTGATCGGTGGTGTAAGAGCATGGGTAAGTTCCATCCCTCGTTCGATCTTCTCGAAATCCTGCGGCAATGGCAGGATACTAACGGTGGTATAGATGCGCAGCCGTCGGTCCCTTGTGGAAAGCCGAGCTCATTCTCCGACTAGCGAAGAGGAACATGACTCGGAACAAGAACGGAGCAATGGCCATGTCAGCAGTACGGCCGAAACCCCAGCCCATGCCGGGGTTCACTCCGCGTAAGAGAATGCGGAGTTCCGTATCTTTCAGTCTTCTGATTGATCTGTCGGATTTGTTTGATATTTCTGCCCACTAGAAGGTTGGATCGCAATGATCCATGTCCCTTCTGGACTAACTGGCTCGATGTAAGCTAAAAGCCACGGAACGCAACGATCTTCCTGGTTTTTGATCTCAAGGTAGATTGGGAAGAGAAATAGATCTCCGTTCTTTCTCATCCACCATCTGATCTCGATTCGAGCCAAGCACATTAACAAGAAAAGGTTAAGCTCCAAAAATAGGCAGAAAGAAAAGCAGCTCTATGGTTGCAATTTTCTGATGGATTGATATGAGACGACAATTTTGATCTCTGTGACATGCCCCGATGACATATTCCATTCTCTTCTTTTCTCTTCTGATTGGTATTACTATTGAATCTTCTCAACATAATCATTGTGGACTTTGCGATTGTTTGACTAACTGGGAAAGACGTGCATGTATCCGATTTTGGGGGCCTTTTCTCATTTTACTTCTCTTATTTAGGCCTATTGTCTCTCTCCGGTTTTTTGGTTTTCGATGTACTACTTACTTTTGTCATTGCCCTGTATGTCGACATGCAGCACTCCTTTCATCGGTTGGCATGGCGAGGAAACCGAAAGGACGCGCACGACGTGGAAATTGGACAAACACAAAGATTGGAAATGGCTGTTATTTACTCTCTAATAGATGCTTGGATAGATGGTAGGGTGACGCACGAAGGCTTCGAGACGGGCGTTTTCTTTTTTTCTTTTTTTTTTTCCTAATCTCTTTCTTCTGTTTCTATCTCTTGGACTGAGTAGTTTGGAACCGGTCGGACAAATCCGATCAAATGCAATTGTCATCTACTCTATTCTTGCACATCTAATATAACCAGCAAGGAAGGGTCTTGTGCTGTTTCAGGTGCACAGGTCAACCAAAGATCCATTCAGAGAAAGAGCAAATGTGACGAGGAAGAACAGCAACTAATCAAATTCAAATGGGGTATCTCTAAGATGCAAAATTTCACTTTTGGACGGGAAGTTCGGAGGGAAAATGGGTTGTCAGCCACGACCAACGCCACTGGTTGACGAGAGAGGGAAGAGGAGTCAAGGAAGGAGAGGAAGAGGAAGAGGAAAGTCAGGCGGCCGTGATCGCCAGACGAGGCCGCATTCTCGACCCGGCAAGATCATTCGTTTCCTTCCTCCCACACGGTCGCTTCTGCAATTGCAACTGTACGTCCGGGATGAACGGAATCGTCCCCGCGGGCGAACAGAGGATGGATCGCAGATTATCACGAAGGGCCCCGGCATCGCGCACCAGATCACCTTCCAGCACCCGTTTGGCGTAGGCGTCACAGCGCGCGGTGATGCCCAGTTCGAACGACCGCAGCCCGCGCACGCAGAACAAAGGAGCCACCCAGGGCTCGTCGATGGCCAGTCGCAGGCGCTGCTTGCCGGCGACGAGACCGCCGACGGGGTTGCCGCTGAAGCGGCCCAGGTCCAGGCTCAGATGCAGCGCTTCCAGGCCCCGGAGGGCGGCCACGCGCGACCAGAACAGGGTCCAGAGGCGGTCGTTGTGGGTGTGCGCGAAGATAGAGGTCTTCTGCTCATGGCCGGCCATGGGCTGCCACACGGGTGACCACTGGACGGTCAGGCGGCGGATGGCGCGCAGGCTGTCCGGAGAGATGCCGGCGGAGAAGGCCACGAAGGTGTTCAGGTCGTCGACGTCAAAGGTCACGTTGGCGTACAGGATCCGGGCGGCCTCGGCGTAGATGGCGCGGCAGGTGCGCAGCAGGGTCAGCGACGAGTTGCTCAGGGAGCGCGTCAGGTCCGGATGCGTGTGCGGGTACAGCATGCTGTCGGACTTGGTCCCGGGACCGATGCTAGGGTTGGTGCCGTCGGCGACGAGTCGCCAGCGGGCCTGGGTGGCGGGACAGCAGCGGCGGTTCTTGTCAATGGACGAGGCGGGCTGGCGGCAGCGAACGTGGCGGATCTTGTCCTTGACCTGCACCAGGTGCACGGCCTCGTCCCCAAAGACGTATCCGTAGATCATCAGGCGGATCTCGGCGGGTAGTTTGTGCAGCAGGCCGCAGTCCGTCTGGTCGGCCATGGGACGCGCATAAGGATCGACCGGGGTGGAGGAGGAACGGAACGGAAGGTCCACGGAGGGATCACAGATCTTGCGTTCTTGAATCAGATGGCGAACGGCCTCTTGCCATCGACGTCCAGTGGGGTAGTAGTGATTGATGGAGTACGGATCTCGCAGGATCCAGGCATCGAAGTGACGCATTCTGTATATGTATGGAATTGTATATGATTGTGTATATGATCTAGAGTATAGAGTATATAGTATAGTATATAGTGTATATGAAAGGAAAAGAAGGATATCAAAGAGGGGGAGAACCAGGAACGAGACCAGGAACCGAACCGACGAAAGGAATGGAGACAGACGAAGCCGGAAACAGGAGAGGAGATGAATATATACTCCTTCGAGAGTACAGATGAAGAGCAAGCTGGAATTGAAGGCCGCCACTGGCTGAAGGAAAAGGGCCACTGTCGTCCGGGGAAGCTCCACCGCCTTTCCTCTCATTGGACGCTCCTTCCCCCCTTCGCCGGTCAAAGTCGGGTCTGTCCGCCGCTCTGATTGGTGCCTCTCGGACCATGTCGGCGGCCGGTGCAACCCTATGATGTCATTACTGCCTCTTCGGGACTCGGTCAAGTTGGATATAGTGCCTGAATTATCAGGCTTCCTCTGTCGTTCTTCGTCATGATTCATGATTCAATCCCTTCCTCCCTTTTCTCTAACTCTCGACTCTTCCTATATAGGTGGTCTATGTCTCAGGCTTTACCCACCATACCAAAAGTCCTCCTGGACAGACCTTGTCAGACAATCAATCCCCCCAGAATGGACCAGGCAATTGAGATACCTGCCGTCATGCAAGCCATGATGCCATCCGGAGCACAATCCTCCTAGGTCTTAGTCCGACAGCCTCACTGCTGCACAAGCCATGCCAACCTGGCCTGAGCGCTGCAGCTCTGGTTTGATCCCAGTGTCGCCGGTGCATGCATGCATCGCCTTTTTGATAACATGCTTTTCCTCTTCCCGAAAATACCAATTCCCTCCAGATCGTCCGGCCGCCTACTTCGTTCTGTCTCCCCACCTCCTTCATGCATCGTTGCTCCCCCGCCTTCCTCCAGGAGTTCTTCCCCCATGACGTCGCCCAGGATCGTCGTCTACTACGTCTGAGCGCCCCTCGTTCGGCTCGTCCGTCTCTTTGGACGCCACAGCTGCTGCACCTCCATCGGACCGGGTCTCCCGCGCCATGGCCACATAGATGGCGCTGACCAGGATCAATCCCGATCCCAACCAGCTCACGGCCGACAGCGTATTATTCCAGACCACGCCATCATAAAATAACGCAAAGAGCATCTGCGTGTAGAGCATCGAGGTAGCGCGCGACCCGGAAGACGACGGCTTACGTGGCTGATCCACATCATCATCCTCATTTCCGTTATGCTCGTCGCTACCGTACGGGCTAGTAGTAGTACGACGACCCCCTTTCGTGGTCGACCGTCGCGGCGCCGGTGGCACGTACGACAACCCGGCCGTCAGCAGGAACTGCAGGAGAAATCCGCAGACCCCCAGGCCCGCCAGCAAGGTCCATTCCGTCACGGTGCCCGGCAACTCCAGCGGCACCGAGGGGATCACCAGCATGGCTACGAACGACACTATGGTCGTGAAGGTCGAGAAGTACGTGACAGACACCAGCGGATGGCAGCGCTGGCCGATCATGCGGATGGCCGAGTAGGCACACGAGGCGCCCAGCACGCCCACCAGCGCCATCGCGATCGCCAGGGACCGATGCATCTTGTCGACCGAGTCCGGGTCCGAGCTGGCGTGCGAGAAGGGCCGCGCAATCAGGACGACGCCGACCAGCGACACCAGCGCCGCCAATTGCTGCTTGCGCGTGAACGTTTCGTTAGGCATGTACAGGGAGCAGGCGTAACAGCTCAGGATGGGCGCCAGGAAGGTCAGGACGGTGGCCTCGGAGAGCGGCAGGTACTGCACCGAGTAGTAGAGCCCGTAGACGCCCCAGAAGCCCCCGGCGGCGCGCAGTAGCAGCAAGCCCAGTTCGGATCGGGTGCCGAGGGGATGCGGCACATTGGCATACCACATGTAGAGGTAGCTGGCCAGCACGGTGATGGACATGCGTGCGAAGAGAATCTGTCGCAGTGGTCAACAATCGTTAGCCCTATCGGTCGACAGGGATTGTGTAGGTGACCTGGTGTCGATCACCAAAAAGCCAACGTACCTGGAACGGACTCAGCCCTTCGCCATTGCGTCCCTGGTTCTCCAGCAATTTGGTCATCGTATTCATCGACGCCCCGAAGAACTGCGACATCATCACGAGAATCATGCCTTTGCCCTGCGCCCACACCTCGCGAGCCGATTCTCGCTTGTCATGCCACCAGGAGGATGAAGATGGCGGCTCCTGTGAACCCAGGAGAGGCTGACGCACATCATCTTCACTCTCGTCGGGCAGATTAGACCGTCGACTGAATCCCATCCATCTGAATAACCGTCGAGACGATGAGGGATCTGCATGCGCCGTGGGATGAGAAATCCGGCCAGGATCTGAAGGCGGAGTTGACATGATGATTTATATGTATCTGTAGGTAGTAGAACCTCTGGATCGTCCTTTCCCCCACCTTTATTCCTTAAACTTTATACTCGCCACCGTTCACTCTCTCGAAGACCCCAGGAACAAGGAACAAGAAGACCGTCTAAAGTCTAAATTCGATAATAATCGAGGAGCGAATATATACCTCAGCAGGATTTTTATCCGATCGATCGACCGCAAGCGCCATGACTAATCCTCATCAAGCGACCCTTCTTTTTCTGGCGGTCAGCTGAACTTCTTGCTTGGTTAGTCGGTCTTGTCCGGTTTTTGCCTCTTTTCTTCTTGACTTTTCTTTTCTTTTGCTTTTTCCCTTGTTCTTGGTTCTCATTCCATGTTGTGTGACAGGGGGTTTGAAAAAAGCAAGTATTTCAACTGGGGTTTTCCTTGCGCTTGTGGCGCTGACTGCGTAGGATCATCCGTAGGAGGCTGATGTACTCAGTAGGTACTGTACCTTTATGTGCTTGGTCATGTTATGTTATGCTGAAGATCTCTGGATAGTGGTGGTGGGATACACTATTCCTAGGAATATTGTAATCGTGGGACGTTAGTTTTATATCGTTACATACAATACACCTGCGCTGCGATCTTTCTCAATTATATACACTTGCCCCTGTTCCCCGCGATCTTCTGATCATACAAAGGTAAAGGTATCGCCGCCTCTCTCGCGCATCATATTACCCATTCGTTTGGTGCCCACGATGCGCTCCAGCTTCAGCGCGTCCCACTTGGAGAACAAGGCCCGCACGCCGCCCTCGGACGCGGCCTCGACCACGCCGGTCGGATCCAAGCCGAGCAGGGCGATCATCTCGCCGTAGAAGACCGGGTTCTCCGGCAGGCCGTACATGATCACGCGCTTGACGCCGCGGATCTGGTACCGGCGGAAGTGGTGGAAGCGCTCCGTGTACAAAAGCACCGAGTGCCGGCCGTTCATGAAGTGGGTGCGGGCGCGCGCCACGTCGCGCATGTCGGTGTACTCGGAGATGGCGCCGAACGAGAGGTTGCTGGTCTGGGTGGAGGTGGCGAAGTGGTTGCGCACGCGCACGAAGTCCAGGTACGACGGGATGAAGATCAGCGTGCCGCCGCCGTTCTTGCCGCGGCTGGACGTGATGTTGCGCACCAGCGTCGACAGCACCGTCGTCGTGAAGTGCTTGAATCGCGCGTCGGGATCCTTGGCCGGCGAGAGGCTGTCGACCCGCGAGAACGTCTGCTTGACCGACACCGGCAGCGGCACCTCCGAGATCGCGCCCGCGTACACCGGCGTCGCCTTGAGCTTGCCGCCCACGTTGTGCATGTGCGACGAGAAGACCGAGTTGATCTCCGGCGTGACGAAGGACGCCAGCATGATAACCTGCCGCAGGTAGCGCGCGTTGTTGTCCAGGTACCACGTCCGCACGCGGCTGAAGTCGCAGCCGTGGGCCTCCTTGGGCTGCAGGTTCAGATGTTTCAGGATGTAGTCGACGTGGTCCCAGTTCTGCATCAGAAGGGCGTCCGTGTGGTCGACGATCACCACCTCGATGGATGACAGGAAATCGTGATCGCGTTTCTTGGCGCTGTGGAGGGAGGTCCGGTTAGTACAGAAGCGAACGACTCCGGGGACAGGAGGAAACATACTCGGCTTGGTCCATAATGGTCCGCAGACCCAGAGGACTGGCGAGGATCATGTCGGACGCATAGAACTGCGCAAAGAACTTGAGGGTCTTGCGGGTGAATTTGAGACCGAGACGGAACATGTCGTCGTCGTTGCCGCCAAAGAGCTCTTGGAAATCCTCCGGCTTGTTTTCCCAGCTCTCATCGTCGGTCCCGGAAAAGGTGTCGACGAATCGCTTCTTGTTTTCCTGCTGCTCTGGCTGGTAGATCCGGGTGATCGCGTCTACTACCCGGACGCAGGCCTGCCTGGTGGGCAGCAGGTAGAGCACCTTGGGTCGGGTGAAGCCTTGGTCTCGGAGGTCTAGATCGGTGTCCTGTTCTTTGGCCACGCGAGCGTTGTTCTTGAGCACGCGGTCCCTCGTCTTCAGCACATGATTGGTGGCATGGACTGCGAGTAGGTCTTGCATCGCCGCGGAGTTGGATGCGGTTCGAGCGCCGTATAGGACATCCTGGTAATCGAAAATGTAGGGAGCCAGGTGCTGAGCATGCCCGCTGATATCCCGGATGTGCTCCGTCGCAGGCTCGCTGAGCTTCTTCTTCAGCTGTTTTACTGTCAGCGTCCGCCGTTTCTCCGTGCGTAGTAGAACCACCGCCGCATCTTACCTTCACGTTTGTAATGTTCTTCATGGGAGGAAGCATGGAAACATCAGTACCAAGATCCGGCACCGAATGCATCAGTTTCAGTCCTTCTGGGAGTTCCTTCTTGGTAGATCGCCACTGCTTCGCTCCCGCAGCCTGAATCTTCTCCGACAATTCGTCTTCCTTTGGACTTGAGAAATGCGCGTCGAAGGGATCGCTGTCTGCGAGATGGTTAGTATACCACGAAGGATCGTCGCAGATGAAGGGAATGGGTACCGTCTTCGTCATCGCTATTGGCCTGCCCGTCAACATCCATTTCGTCCCCGTTCTCCTCCTCATCGTCCTCAGGTTCCTGCTGCTCTAGGTCGTCATCGGCCGGCGACTCGTCGTTCTCCTCCTCATTCGTAGTCGCAACCGCGTCGCGCTCGGACTCCCGGCCCTTGTGTTCAACCTTCCTCTTCTTCCGAGCGGGACCCTTGTTATCCGAGCCGGGATTCAGTAGTTGCAGCAATTCGTTGTATGGGCGTCCCGCAGGCTGGTCCTCTTCTTCGCTGTCCGAGGATGCTCCGTCGACGGGTCCTTCGTGATCGATGTCGTCCTCAAGCTGTTCGGCACCGGGGCCTTCATCTCCGGAAGAGGATTCGTCGGAACTGAGGGTTCGAGTTAGTTGTATTGAAGGGAAAGAAGATCGAGAAGGTGGAGAGTGGCTCACTCGACCTCTTCCACTCGGGATTTTGTAAAGTCACTGCGTCGATTCGCAAAGCCACCAGGGCGCCTTCCACGGCCTCTGGGGGCACGATTCCGAGGGGGAGGCATTTGAAAAAGAAATGAAAGAAAGGAAAAGAGAGAAAGGAATAGGCAATGGACGACAGAGAGAGAGAGGGTTACTCCGTAAGGGACGGAGTAAGTAGTACTTCTAGTTCTCTCACTATTTTTTCTCGCCGGGCGGCTGGGCGGCTTATCTTATCTTAGCGCGAAATTCGCACACACAATTCGAGGCGCCGAACGAACGACCGCCCGCCAAAGAAGTCGCCCGGAACGAACTGACGGGAAAATTTGGAAGCAGCTCGATTGATTGTCCAGCAGTCTCTCTCCACCACGCCAAGTGACCCTGCCCTGACGAGAGAGTTTGCCCTGAACCCTCCATTCCTCCCTCCCCCCCGGCAACTTGCACCTTTTTTACCTCCACATCCCACCCTCCTCATAATGGCTGAATCCGATTCTTTCGTTCATCTGGCTCGTCCTTTGGGCCCCGTGGCAGTGGGGTCTGCACCGACGACCGCCCCTCTCAACGTGAACATTCAACCTCAGGTATGTTTGCGAAGGAGTATGGAAGAATATGTCAAAGGATTCCGTGGCTGACCCTACTTGCTCAGGCGCTCTTCTCGATCCTGGATCACTCTCTTCGTCGCAATGCCGATCAGGAGCGTGTTATCGGAACCCTGCTAGGAACCCGTTCAGAGGATGGAACAGAGGTTGAGATCCGCAGCACCTTCGCTGTCGGTCACACCGAAACGACGGATCAGGTCGAGGTCGACATGGAATACCAGAAGCAGATGCTGGCCTTGCATCTCAAGGCCAACCCCAAGGAAGTCCTGGTCGGTTGGTACGCCACTTCGTCCGAGTTGAACACCTTCTCCGCCTTGATCCAGAACTTCTACAGCGGCCAGGGTGACGGCACATGGCCTCACCCCGCCGTCCACCTGACCGTGTCGACCGAGCCCGGCAAGGATATCGAGACCCGGGCCTACATCTCCGCCCCCGTCGGTGTCACCGCCGAGCGCGCCGCCGACAGCGCCGCCTTCATCCCCGTCCCCTACGAGATCCGCTACGGCGAGACCGAGAAGAGTGGCCTGGAGGCCATCTCCGCTGCTCGCGACGCCGAGGAGCGTGCCACCAACCTCTTCACCGACATCGAGGCTCTGGAGCGCGCCATCGAGGAGGTTCTGGGCATGATTGATCGCGTCTCCCGCTACGTTGAGTCGGTCATCGACGAGGAGACTCCCGCCTCGACTGCCCTGGGTCAGTTCCTTCTGAACACCCTTGCCTTGGCTCCCAAGGTTGATGCTGCGGATGTCGAGCGTGACTTGTACGTTTTCTATATCACTCCTAACTCCTCGCTAGCATGGGTTTACTGACATTGTGTCTCTAGCAACAACCACATCCAGGACGTCCTGGTTGTGTCCTACCTGGCCAACACCATCCGTACACAGATGGAGCTGTCCAACCGGCTAGCAACTGCCCAGCTCACTCTGGGTGGAGAGTCCGGTGCCACCGAGGGTGGTCAGCAGCGCGGTCAACGAGGCGGCAAAGGAGGTCGTGGAGGTCAACAGCGGAACCAAGAGCGCAGCGGCGAGGAGGCTCGCGCTTAAGAATGAAAAAACAAATGAATAATATTTCAGATTTACAGGTTTCTTCATTCTCTCTCTTCTTTTCAACTGCCCCACCCTTTTCTCCTCCGGCCCAACGATTTTTCTTGCTTTCTTCAATCTCGCTATTCCTATTTTCGATGCCTTTTCTCGCTCTATCTCTTCCGTCTTCTTGTCTTTCGATACGTATCTAGGGTCCTATTTCTTTGTTCAGGGGTTTATTGTCTCTTTTGTGGAAAAACCAAAAGCATCCTGTCACTTTTTGCTCCCATCCCCTCCTCTCCTTGTCTCATATGCTTGGTCGTTGGAGCAGTATGACATCAGCAGCAGCATCGTCCTTATTAAAGGTGCGGGACCGGGACTTACAAACAAAAAAGAAAAGAGCACGGCGTATGGGAGTCAAGTCGATCTATTTGGCTTATTCAAAGTTCAGAGTGATCGAGAAATCCTCCTAAGAGAGAGAGATGGAACGAGATGGGAATAGGCCATGAACCGAGAAAGGTGATGCGGGTCTGAGACCCTTGCTTGGTTCTTTCCAATTTTGGAGGGAGGATCCTACTGAGCTCTTCTGGTCTTTGATGTGTAGATTCGAGATGATTACGACGTCGCATTTCCGGCAGCGGAATATCAATCATGATGAATGGACATATATGTGCTAGATATTATATTCTCTCGGTTCGAACTCCTTGGGTTTTATGGCCCTATCTTCGAGCAGCAAATCCTCTGTCTCAATCATTTGCAGAGCCATCAAATCATGCTCTTAACGCCCGCCGTGCAGTTAGTGGTATTTCCATATGTCAAAAAAAAGGTCCCTTATGCCCAGTGCCCTGAAACGCCTGCTTGTAAAAAAGAAACACAAATCGAGACAGTGACCTTTCAACCAGCAACCTTCCTCTTCTTCGGCGGCGCCGTATCCTCCGTAGCATCCGAGTCCCGTCTGGCGCCTCTCTTCCCCTTCCCTTTACTCTTCTTCCCATCAGCACTCTCCCCCAACTCCTCCAGCCCTTTCTTACCCGCATCCTTGAGATTCCCCACCTGGTCGTCGTTCTGGTCGAACGCCTTGCGCGCCTCCTTCAGCTCACGCTCCATGCGCAGCAGCTCCTGCACACGACCCAGCTTATTCGGGTCGCGACGCAGCGCAAATCGGAAGTCGTCGACCTTGATCTTCTGTCGGCGCGAGTAGCTCGCGTACTGCGCGGCGCCGTGGCACATTTCGAGGATGAAGTCGGTGACGATCTCGTCGAGGACGCGGACCGTTTCGGGGAGCGGTTCCGAGGGGAAGGACGGATGGGGGCTGGGATCTCCGTAGGCGAGGAGGAGGAGGCGGACTATAGATTGATTATGATCCTGAGCATTCCTATTCTACCAATTTTTCTACGGGGGGGAGGGCTCTGGGTGAGATAGGTATAGATAGAGTAGGTAGACACTCACGTTCTGATGAAAAGTTCATCTGGCCCTTATGCCGGGCGGCGCGGGCTCTGGGTTCAGCCATTTTGGTGGGACCTCCTTTCTTATTCTTCTTGTCGGTCTTCTTGTTCTTGCTGTTCTGGGGGTCTTCCTTGGCGGAGGACTGCACAGGGTCGAGACCGCGGTTGTTGGCTTCGGGCGGCTGTGCTTGCTCAGGAGTAAAGGCAGGGCGATAGCCAGCACGGATTAAAGCAGTATCTTGACGATTGAAGGGCCACGGAGGGGCAAGTTGACTGGCGACATGACCCGAGCTGGGGATCCGAGGCGAGTCGTTCTTGTTGGCGCGGTGCGCCGGGGTGCGAGGGCGGTGAGTCGCCATGATGGTGGGCAGAATGGCAGGGCGGTTGCGGTCGAGCTGGCCGATGTTTAGTTCCTCTTGTTGCACGTCATTCACTTTGCATGCTCACCTTCGTGAAAGACTGACAGGAGTGTTGGCTTTGTGGGAAACTTTTAGAATTTGCGAGATTGCAGTGAGCAAGTTCAAGTTCCCTCTCTCTCTCTCTCTCTCTCTCTGGGCTACTTCTTTCACTAGGTCTGAGACACAGTAAACGCAATGGTAAGTGAGAAAATGCGCCTTACCGTCCTGATGAGTACAGCTCGAAGCTGTCTCTAGATGGAGATGGGAATTATCCTGATGGTTTGGGTGAAATGTGTGGCTAACAACCTGTGGTGTATCTAGTCAGCTCTTTTCAATTTCCAGTCCCTCCTCCTGGTGATACTGCTCATCATCTGCACGAGCACCTATGTCCACGCTATGCTGCCAGGGTTCATGGATCGCAACCGTCATGGGTACGTTCAACTCACATGTGAATATAGTGGCCCAGGGAACTCATCTGAATGCAGATTCTTCGGGATATTCTGGAAATGCGCTCGAATCGGGGAAAGGTTGAGTCCGTACGTCAGTATCTGCTGCGTCTTGATGGCTGTAAGTAGGACCGGAAGATTCCTTTCCACACGATCTTGTCCGCGCCTTGAGGAACCTTCATCTAATGAGTCGTTTGTTGTAGGTGTCGATCTTCCTTGGTGGTTGAGATCTATCTATCAATAAATCAACTCATCCGTTCTAATTCATCTCATCTCACCCTACCCCCTCCTATTATGACTTCAAGATGGCATGGTCTTTCTTACCAGGCAATCGGCGTTACTGACTGGTCTTTTCTGTCGGTTTGGGGACTACGTTCCGTGGCCAGGAGTTGAATCTTATTTTCCTTTTCTCTGTTACTTTTGATTATATTTCGTATTGTACATAGAGGATGACTTTCTATACAGCGCAAAATGAACTATGCATCCATGTTTTTACAAGCTAAAATCTTCCCTCCTCGTGGCCAATCGCTACATGACACCAAACAAATGATCCAAACGCCAAAAGTGAGGGGAAGAGAAAGAAAAAGAAAGTGAGGTAGAGAGAGAGAGAGGGGGGGGGGGGGCGGGAAACCGCCTAGAAAACGAACGATAGACAGAAAGGGTATCTGGGGTATAGAATGGAATGTGAGCGAGGTCGTTAGGTCAGGTTTTTTTGATCAGGCGTTGCAAGCCTTGCACAAGCAACCCTTCGTCCTCGCCCTGACTCCTTTTCGCCGCATTCATCATCGCCGCATATTCTATCGCCTCGGTCTCTCTCGCCTCGGCCTCTCTCGCCTCGTCCACTCTCGCCTCGTCTCCTTCCGCCTCGTCCGCTTTTGCTGTTGGGAGGTCCCGCAAGCCGGCGTTGACCTGATCGACGGGTGGTTCGGGGTCTTTATCCAGTTCCTTGACAGCCATCCATAATCTATGCGGATCATGGAGGTAACCGAGGGCTCTCAAGGTATAGTCGTCGAATCCAAAGCCTTGCTTCTCCATGGATTTGATACTTTGAGCAATTTCATGGATGTTCTGGGTCTTGACAAGCCCGGTGATGACGGTGTTCCACGTAACCTGGTCGTATTCAACGTTGTGCTGGCTCATCATCTCCTTCACTCTTTCCACGGCATAGGGTTGTCTATTCCAGACGAATATAGAGAGCAGGATGTTCCAGGTCCAGACGGTTGGCTTGGTAGGCGTAATGACCCGCCCGTCGGGAAGTTCGACGCTTGGAACCTCTTCCGATCTTCGCAGCATATCCTGCACCAGTCGCACGGCTGGTCGCGCCCCATGCGGGTCTAGTCGATAAGCGGCCAGAAATTCGTTGTATACATGGTCTGTGGCCTGCAAGGGAGCGATGGTAGGGTGTCCCTGCCACGCGAGGGACCTGAACTTAGTATAGATGCGTAACACAATGGGCAATTGTTTCTGGCATCGGACGTAGGCCGCGATCATAATAAACAGAGCGACCACTGAAGGGGGATTGTTCTCGCCTGGCTTCTCCGGGGTGTAATGTGGCGGGAGGATGGTGAGATCTTTTAGCGGCGTCAGGTCGTACAACTGGTTATACATGTCCAGCAGCGCAAGAAACACCGTGCTGGCGGGGACGTTGGAATCGGGATTTTTCACTGTGAATACGTAACGAGCGTGGAGGAGTTTACTAGCAATGTACGGGTTGTTGTACATCTCGGGATCGCTGCGTATCTCCTCGCTCAGTTCTTCGACGCGCATCTGGTCCCCACGATCAACGGCATCCCGAAGAAGGGCCAGGTAAGTAAAACTATCGAACTCATGGCCTTCAGATTCCATGTAATGCAACATGTCCTGTCCCAATCGTGGGTCGCCCGTCTTGAAAGCGTTGGAAAGAACGACGTTCATCATGCTGCGGCCAGGCTGAATCCCCATCTCGAGGAGCTTCGGGAGAATGTAGAAATTACGCCCATCGGGGCCGTCACACACATAGTCCTGCAATAGGAGCCTACAGCAGTGGGACTGAACCATGTCGTGATCCAAGAGATAGCCATCGCGTTGTAGTCTTGGTAGGTGTGAAAGTGCCCCCAGTGCGTTTTCAATGTCACCATAGTGCACGAACTGGTTCATGAAACAGAGCCACGTCTCGGGCTTGAGGTGGTTTTTGCGCTCGAGTACGAGGTTATAAGCACGTTGTAAGTCTTCTTGTGTCGAATTTTTGATGAAAAGTCGTATGCCTCTCTGAGCCGCGAAAATGGGGGGCCAAAACTCAGGATTTAAGACGGTTTGGATCAACTTGTCAAATGTGATCCCGCGGACTCCGTGGCGCATGATTTCTTCAGAGCACCGCACTCTGAGGTAGTCTAAGCAATACCATGCCATTATGAACATCGGCCTATTCTCACTTTGGCAAGTGACATATAGAAATTGCCAGGTTAAATCGGGCGCGCAGTACAGCAGATATAGGGACAAACGCGGCCAGTGGTCTGACTTTTCCCCCTTCGTTAGCTTTTCCCAAGCTAGACGAAAGCCGTCCGGACCATCCAGCGTGAGCTTTTCGAAGAGGTTGTAGGACGCCTGATCGAGTTCCAGGCACCGTGTAGGAAGATTATCAGGACTCTGCCCTTCAATGCTGACTGCCCAAATCTGCGCAAAGTCGTCTTTCCATCGTCGAAACTCAGCTACCGAGTCGCAATACAGATTGTTCTCCCTCATTTTGTTTTCTTGTTCGATGACACCTGGCGCAAGCGATAGGTACCGTGGGCCAGGTGGGTTTTCGGCAAAGCTGGGACCGAGTCTTATAATAGGCATCCCATCCATTACTTTACCAAGACCTTCGGTTTCGGGAGTTATAGTGTGACTTGGGCGTTTCTCCCCCGAGTTTCGCCCTTTTCGGTGCCCGGTCGGACCCCCGGGGGGATAAATTGGCGGAGTGTGTCTCCGCCGTAGAGAAGGATCATGGTCCTTGTCGGTTAGCCCGTGATTGTGCGAGGATACCACATCGGAATGCGAGGAATAGTGGGCGATGGGCCGTGCCGGGAGAGTATTTCTTTTCACTTGACGCAGTGGTCCTAGGCGCAGTCTATGTCGTGGAATATAGGACAGTCCAGCATTGGCGCGGGGACGCAGAAGCTGATACGGACAAAGTGACATTCAGGATTTCGTGATCTCAGGCATTAGAAAGGTGTTAAATAAAAGAGATAGGAAAAAATCAGTACAATGACTTGAGTATTCGGCGGTAAAGTGTAGAGCAACAGGGGAGAGAGAGCGAGAGAGAGAGAGAGAGAGAGAGAGATGGCGGAAGGGAAACTTTTAGTTCGCATGGAAACCCCGATTTTGTTCCGCCCGCGACTTTGTGGCTGGTGAGTCCGCCCGGCCTGTGGCGCACCACCTTTTCCTCCCGCTGCGGAATTAATCAATTATAACTATCACCTTCAACAAATTCAGAGCTCGGCCTTGTCGCAATCCCTCCCACTCCGGTGCGTCGATTTTTTAATTACGTCTTTTGAGTTTTCATTACCTCCTCTGACGCCTTCCTACATCAGTCCTGCCCCGCAAATATGGCGTCCAACCATGCCTCTCTTGATGCGGCGGCGACAGAGCGCAAAGCTCGCCTTGCGAAGTTGGCGTCGCTCAAACGAAAACAACCCGAACCAGAGGCTCCGGCAGAAGAAAAGAACCATGTCCAGGAGGATGCCATGGAGCATGTCGAGCACGACGTTTCGACAAAGTATCTCTCGGGGCGGAACTACGATGCGGAAACCCGGGGCCCAAAGCTGGGATTCGACCAGAATCCATTAGACGGCCAGACTACCTTAGAAGCACAAGCCGCTGAGATTGCAAAGGCCACAGCTGAGCAGGCAAAGAAGGATGCAGAGGCAGACCAGCCCATCGATCTCTTCAAGTTGCAGCCTAAAAAACCCAACTGGGATCTGAAACGGGACTTGGACGAGAAGATGAAGATTCTTGACGTGAGGACGCAAAATGCTGTCGCAAGGCTTGTTCGTCAACGGATAGAGAATGCGCAGCGTGCGGCTAAGGTCAAGAACAAGGACATCAACAGCGATAAGCAGGGCGAGGAGGTAGGCATCGAAGGAGAGGTGCTGGTAGAGGGGATCCATATGCGTGAAAGGGAGGACGAAGATGAGAGGGACAGGGAAGACTAAGTGGCATGCATGGTTTTGATACCCGAGGGACGGTGTATGAGAAATGTTGTTATTTAATCTCATTCTTTGCTATACTACTTTGAGGCGCTCGCAGTTGGGGATTTAGGACGTACATTCAAAGGGCGTTGAGGGAGTTTAGCATGCCAGGTATACTCCATGGATCTCAATATCAATACATTTTCCTTTCAATTAGTATAATACAGGGTGTCATGTCTATAGTTCTACTCCAGCTTGCTTGAATTCCCCAAGCAAATCCCCAGAAGAATCATCGAGTCGCGTTTGTTCTCTCCGCCGTTCTCTTTCCCCCCTTGATTCTCGTCCTTTCTCTTTTGCCGTTCCTTCCTATACTTCCAAAAGGGGGCCAACCCCCATTATGATATATTCATGGCCTGAGTTAGAGCTAGACGCTTGCTGTAAGGACTGAGACTCCGTTCTCTTGGAGGAGCTTGAGACGAGACGTGGCCTTGATCGCGCCCACCTCGTTTGTCCTGCGCCTGGCTGAAACGACCCCGGCTGCTATCATGCCGACCCAGATGATCTCTTGGATATCCTTTAGAGTTCCTGTGGTCATCATCTAGATCTGCCGGGGTGATGGAACGTCGGCCTCGTACAATCCGGCCTGGGTCCACACTGCGACTGCGACTTCTTTCTCTGCGTTCGTGTGACACATTCACTGCTCGACCACGGTGGGCAGGGCTGGACTCTCGATGTCTCCGCCTGGTGTTCCTATCATCAGGCCAGTCGCGTGACAGAGAGCGTGCCCCTTCCCGTGAGGGAGAAGAGCCTGTATATCCGGATGAGTCGCTGTATCTCCTCTTCCTTGGCCTAGACGGATGCGAGGACACCGATCTTGACCGGTCACGGCCACTTCGCGCAGTGTAGCCGGAGCGACGAGGGGGCGACTCCGAGCGCGAGCGACTCGTAGATATCGTAGACACGGAATTTGTGGAATGCGATGATACCGAACGAGCTCTTTTTGAGCTTTGTTCCTGGGCATCACGGGGACCGAATTCGTCCAAGTCCCTCTTTCGGCCACGATCTTCTTCGCGTTTGGCCAAGATCTCATCGGCGACGCCTTTGCTGTAGATCTGTTAGGCATTTGGTCCAAGACTGCAGCGATTAGATGCCACGACTTACGTGCGCAAAAGATCATTGGGGACTTCCGTTGACAGTTGCGGCCTGAGTTTGGGGTTCAACAGTTGCTGTGTACGCGACGGACGCGAGGTATATGGCCGATCCTGGGCCGTCACCGTGCATTCATAGCTATAGTGTCGTGCTATAAAGGTCAGCTCAAGGGCCTAGGGGCGACCAGAGGGCAAAGAACATATCTCGTTTTAAGCACTTTTGACACAGCGTGCTGGGAGTTGCCTTGGACGGGCCTCGAGCCCCGGGGGCGTTGCGATAACGATTCATGTGCAGCAGATACGAATAGCAATATCAATACGTTTGCAGAGGTTGTTCTCCTTCTCGTACTTGTCGCAATTATCTCAGAGCAAACCAAGTCCCCGCGGCTGTTCAGGCAGACGAGTGGGTCAGACCGACTGGCTTAAGCGCGCGTCTCACCGCCCACGACCCGATCTTCTTTCCTTCCTTCTCAGCCCAAACGAAAAGAACCAACTCCCACCCCCAAAAATATAGCCACCACCCCTCGATCTTCGCGACCGCCAACCACATCGCTGCTTTCTCCCCGAAGCAGAGCTGTCTGGTCCCTTTGATTGTTTCCAGTTGGGTGGGGACGATCTCTCTTGGTTTTGCGAGTAGGAGGGGATTCCCGATCTTCCTTCCCGTGAGAAATCCACACCATTTCCTTAGCAGAAAAAACCACTTCCCTAGGGAACCCAGACGTTTCTGACCATCGTGTTAGACCAGCCACTCCACTTGGAAACCTTCCTAGTGCCCTCCGGTCCTTTGGAAACTCGAACCGCTATCTACTAGGCTTTATTCTCTCTCGACCTGCCTACAGCGCACGGCTCATCGTGTCCCCACTGGTCCTGACTCCGAGCGACTTTCCCTATGGCGAATTACGTTTTTCAAAGATATGTCGTCTTTCTTTTTGGGCTTGTGTGAAGTGGGATTATTGAGTGGCATTTTATCGCTTCGAATCTCGGTTTTTGTCTTGTGAAAACTCGCACTCTTGTCAATTTTGACCGTGCACTATCTCTCGTCGGGTTTCCTCCCATTCTTTGAGATCCATCATTACCTATCCAGTCCTCACATCAACAAAAGAAGAGCCAATAGGTGCATCTTGATCGTTCGCCAAGGGGGAAGAAAGTTTCGATCCAACCATGACATCGCAAGGATCTACAAGCGGCGACAACCGCCTCTCTTTTGCAAAGGTATGTTTTGCTTGCACGAATCGCCTATCGCAATGTAGATGATGGTTCCAACCTTCTGACTTGCGCATAAGATCGCTGCAATGATCCCGCCACCACATTCGGAAGATTATGTCGCATCTGATGAAAAGAATGGTGTACAGTCAGCCGAGGAACCGGCATGTTCCGAATCACAGGGCCCGAAAGATGCCCTTCCGAGCCAGGAAAGCTCAGTCCCGGGTGAGGCAAATCCTGTCGATCGAAACGTCGACAGTCTATCACGGGCAGTGCACGACGTGCATATCATGGGGAAAAAGGGTCAAGAGAGCCCCGACTTTTCTGAAGCTCGAGACGCTGGGACTCTGAAACGGGAAGCGTCTTTCGAAGACGATCGTACACATCTATCGAACTCTTCGACCAAGCCGACCAGCTTCGATTCCAAGAGCATGGCATCGGTCACCACTTTCGCAATGGATGAGAAAGACTCCTTGCGTCCTGACGATAGCGCCAGCGTTCAGGCTGTCGACGAGGAGGAAAGTCTCTCGGGAGTGGCCTCGGGTGCACCCAATTCGCTGACCGGGTCCGAGGCCGGCGCTCGGGGATTCAGAGACTTGCAGAGGGCTCGAGCAACGTTGCAAAACATGGGCCCTGTCTACGATGGCGGTCAGAGAACCAACGGTGTCGTCATGCCCGATTCAGTATCTAACAATTACGTTGTGTCAAATACCGATTCCTTCTCCGGAGGCCAGCCCATACCAATGCACCCATTCCCTCTAGATCCGGACGAGAAGCTTCTGGAAGCGATGAAATCTCCAAAGGATCGCCTTTTGATTTTGCAATTGGAAGATAGAGTGCGAAATTTCATCGAGAAGTCCACGTGAGTCGATCGGTGCAAATAAATCCGTTTCACAGGCCTATCTAACGATCTGCTATAGGGATCAATCCTTGGAACTGCCACCATCCAATGCCTTCGGGCGACTCCTCGCGCATAAGCTGGGTGATTACTACCACTTAACTCACTTTGTGGATAACAATGTGACGTCCGTCCGGCTACATCGAACACCTTTCTGTCGACTGTAAGTGTTTCTACTCTCTATACATCTACCTTTCTCCCGGCTCCGACTAGGTCATCAGAGAATCCTACACGTTGGCTTGGTTTCTTACCCAGGGACTAACTCTCCATAGACCTACTCCTCTCTCTACCTTGCACGCTGCCACGAACATTACACCACCCCCGGCCATGCCTGCTATGAAAATCATGCGCCGAACAGATAGTGAACGGCCTTCTGCGGAAGGGAGTACGGCGGCAAGCTCGGGATTTCTTTCCAAAAATGGGTCAGAGGCTGGTGACAGTGGAAATGATGGAGAGCGTGGCAGCTCTTCGGCCGGAGCAACGCCGGCCAAAGACCGCATGATCTTGACCCGGGAGGAGCGCGAGGCTAAATATCATGAAGTCAGGGAGAGAATCTTCCGCGATTTCCCTGATTCAAAGTCTTCCGACAACACGGGTGGTGACCAAGGCGCCAATATGTCGCGATCGAGTTCAACCAATGGGCGCAAGAAGACACAGAGACAGAAGACTCCTCACGATGACAGCTTTGAAGTGCGTTCTCAGTTTAACGCCTACTACCCCGGCATGCACTATGGTCAAGGCGTACTCCCATACAACGTGGCTATGAATGACTCGTCGTTTCCCAACCAACCCTGCATGGTAGGCCCCGGCGTGTCCCCGCCGGGAATGGGATACGTGCACAGTGGTCAGACCGGCGGCATGTTTTCTGCTCCTATGAATTCCATGCCGCAATACCCCATGCCCACGTCCCCGCAAATGACTGCCAGTGGTCCCTGGCAAAACGGGGCTATGGCCCAACAATCTCCCTACTCTGGGTATGCCACCATAAACCAGTCACCTGCGATGGCGGCGGCCAAGCCGTCTCCGACCATAAACAACTACCCCATGCCAGGTGCCGCGCAGTTCCAACAGGCGCCATCGTCCTGGACTCCTTCCCCTTATCACGGAGGATATCAGCAAACAACCCATCGGAATCATCCGCCAGTTCCCTGGCAAAACTACTCGTCGCAACCCCTCAACCCGACCTCGTACCCCTACACTCAATACCCGGGCCAGCCGATGAACCCGGGAGTACAGAACCCTTCGGGTGCACATCCCTTGCCTGGCAGCTTCACACGTCCATCTTTCAATCCCCAGACACGCTCGTTTGTCCCGGGCGGCGCTCCTTTGGCTCGGCACCCGAGCAAAGGCAATCAAAACGGCATCAACCCGTATGCGGCCATGCAGGCTGGCATCCCACCCCCAGGAGCAGTCTTAGGAGGGCGAGATTCGATTGCGAAATGGGGAACACCGTCTCATCTCCCCCCTAAGCCACCACCATCTGAAGTTCCGTCTGACTTTGACCTAAAGCACCGGGCTACTGGTGGCACCACTCACGCGTACTCCAACAATAACAACAACGCACCAAATCCGAATAAAGGCCCGCTTGTTGTTTCTGGAGGCACGTCTCTCCCGCGGGCTAACTAGGGCCGCGCTGCCTTGTATCCTCTAGCGAGGGGGTGTTAGAATTCTTGAACATCTGCCTCAAAAGAAAAATATCAAAGAAATGGTCAACCCACGTTACATGTTTGGTCACAATTCCTATTCAAACCAGCTATTCTCTCTTCGATTGGTTGAGTTGTATATGGCAAAAATAATCATCTGGTCTTACTACGGATTGAAGCAATGCACGAGACGATTAGCGGATTGCAAACTCTTCCGGCTTGTCTGCGACGTCATCTACCATAAGCGGTTGAATTGGTTGTTCCTCCTGGTAGTTATCATGTACGTTTAGATTTTGCCGGACGTTAAGGTTGAAGATACTGGTTTTAAAGATAAACAAGGCTTAAGAACTCCAAATGAAGAGTCTTTTTATTACTTCGGATTATAATGCTTAAGTAGGGACAGTGCAAATCATAGGAGAACCCCAGCCCCAATTCGGAGGGGAAACAGACTGGCAATCTGCATACCAAGACAGCTAGAATTACACGGATCATGACGGTCAAACAGGAAGTAAACTAGACAGAGAACGGAACAGAAAGGGAAAATAAATGGTTAGATACAAGGACACTCAGCAAGAGAAGGCACCAGACAGGAAGCCCCAGACTGGTCATAACAACTCCCTCTCTCCCTCTTCCTCTCTCTTTTCGCCCTCCGCTGCACCCATTGCCCAAGCAAGAAAGAATGAGCCGGGATATGCAACATGCGACTTTAGAAAATCAACACACTCACACGCACGCATTATTGCTTATTCATTGCTTCTCACCCGCCCCCTTGGCAGGCTTATCCGCCTTCTTGTCATTGAGCCCTAACCGACCAATTTCCCGCTCGAGGTCCTCGACGCCGTCCTTTCGGAACTGCGTCACCTTGCGCACGTTCATGGTGGTCAACTCGTTGAGGGTCTCGAGGCCTTGCGACCGTTGTCGGGCGATGGTGCGGGCTGTCAGGGCAAAGCGCATGTCCTTGGGACCGTCGACCAGTTCCAGGATGGCGCTGGGCGCCTGGTCGTCTTTCTTGGGTTCGACGCGCAATACCCGGGTGTAGCCGCCGGGGCGTTCGGCGTAGCGTTCGCGCAGCGAGCCGAAGAGTTTGGGGAGCATCTCATGGGGGGTCTGTTAGTGGGGGTGAGAGTTAGTTTCGTTGTTTCTTTGCTTTCTTCTTGGTCTGGGATGAGGTTGTAGTAGTAGGACGCTGTGTATTTTGATGAGGGTACCATTTCCCCGACAAAAAGATCGAGAGAAAAAGAAGAAGAGAAAACTCCAACGATTCAACACAACAACTGAGGGACCACACGGTGCACACATACGTAGAAAATTGACAAGGCGCGTTTCCGGCTGGACTCGGTGTTCTTCTTGCCCAGGGTAATCAGTTTCTCGGCCAGTCGCTGGGCCTCTTTGGCCTTGGGCCATGTCGTTGTGATGGACTCATGTTTGATCAGGGAGGTGACCAGGTTGCGGAGCAGGGCCTGTCGATGCGACGACTTGCGGCCAAGATGGCGAAAATTGCCTCCACCTCCGGCCATTGTGAGGATGTTTTGACGGTGCTTCTTTTAATTCGGTGATCGGAAGTAGTTTTTTTTCTAGCCAAGTCCGGGGGACAGGCAGGGGTGAGGGAGTAGCCAATTAACGAAGCCGAACGAGTCCAGTGGTGCCGCAGACGAACGCAATTCGAGGGAGGAAAGATTGAGGGCGAAGTTGTCAAGACTGAAGAGGTCACGGAGGAGTTGATGCCTGGAGGATCAGGACGTGCAACTGAAAGGGAAGATTCGACGTTCCCGCCGCAGCCAATCGGAGTGGTGGAAGCGACCAGTCCCGATCAGCCCAGACTTTCTTCGCTTTTCCCGTCTTCGTCGCTTTCCTTCATGAAGAGTCCATTTGCTCCGGCTCGTGAGTCTCTTACTCTCCATCTCCCTCAAGTCTCGCTTCGCTTGTTGTCCCCCGTTGAAATCCTCCCCATCGGCGGAAGGGCGACATCTTTCTCCCTCTCTCCGCTCTCAACCGTACCTGTCTGGCTACAGGCGCAAAGTACTCCATACTATTCATCTCTTCTTGTTGCCGCCCATTTGTCTCGTTCAGAATGGGGTTTTTCGCCGGATTCGTATGTTTCTATATACATACCTCTTGTTCATGCAGCTCCTAACGCGGGAAATAGTTCAGCGGCTTTGCCTTGACCACCACCGCTCTATACCTCTCCATCCAAGTCCACCGGTCAAATCGGCTGGATCAGCGCGATGTCATCCGCGAGCAGACCCGGATCTTGAACCAGCTGGCCTCCCCGATAGGCGCATATGACCGGCGCCTGGCCCCGACCACTCTTCCCAAGCCCGACAGAGAAACGAGTGCGGAGTCGTCGCGACCGGAACTGAAGGATCTCCTAAAGCATCGGTGGAACAAGGAGGTCGAGACGCTGGCCCGGAAAGCGTACGAGAGTCGGTGGGAGGATGCGCGGGCGACCGCCGCGGAAGGATGGAGAAGCGTGGTGCGACTGGTGAAGAGAGAATGAGATGGGGATGCTCTACTTTGATTTATTTGATGTTGGTTACGTATATACTTCATGTGGTGTTGTGTGATTATGGCGCACAGCTGAATTTTTGATACCCTTGCATTGCATTCACATATCTGATGCTGGATGCTTTTACTACATGTTGTTCTTCGCTGTGTCAATGCTCTCTCCGACTGTCTATTACGTATAGCCGATTCGTTAGGCTTGTGTTAATATGCGGCGTCCTTGTGCGGTGTAGTAATAACTATGCCCGAGCGCTAAAAGCCCGAGTCGCTTCGAACATACGAACTGTGTTTCTCTGTCAGGATGTGCTGAAGAAACCGCGGTGGGGACAACCTCGCGCTGCGCGTCAATGGCGTGAAGCAGCATGATATTGTCCCAAGCGTATGTCGGAATTCCGTAGTCTCACGGGCTCATTGTTAGCCGGAATTGCACTGCATCTCGCTGGGGCCCCGAAGTCGATTTGAATCAGGCCTGGGTATTGTCATGAGTGTCCCATCATGAACATGGATACTGAGCACCTCAGTCAGAATGAGTCGACCGCGTCGTCGCCGTTACGCTGTCCGTTTCGCTGTCACTCCAGATATCTCTGCTTTCTCTCTCCACCGCACGCATGGCCTGAGCAACTTCCTCAAGCCTGGCAACCACATCCAACACGCCGCTATTCACCCGATCAAAATACCGATCATTCGCCTCTCGTCGCTCGCGCGCAAGAACCAGGTCCTTCTCAGTCTCGTCGTCCAAGTTTCGATGGGACGCATCGTCCACCGCGACCGGTTCTCCCGTCGTGGCAGTATTGCGCGAGCCTTTCCGCAACGACGGGGGATTCCCCTTATTCTCGGCCCCCTCGTCGTCCGCCTCGCTCGCAGCCCAGGCCTGCGCCAGCTTCAGCTGCTTGGTCCGGAGATCCTCCAAAGCTTCGGAGTGCTTCTCCCCGAAGACGTATTCACTGGTCACGGCGCTCAGCTCGACCTCCGACAGGGCATTCTGCATCTCCTGCCAGATGGCATCGGAGCGATCAGCCTCGCCTTTGGACGGTCTACGTGACACGAACGGGGACAGCGAGCCGGGCGGTTCGAGCCCGCCGGGCTGTCGGGATGAGCGATTGCGCTGAAGAGGCGGCGGCTGGCTGGTTCCGGGCGAAGACACCGCCGGCACCGGGGGCGCGAGAGAAAGATTCGACGCATTGTGAGAGGGTGGACCTTGGAAGAGAGCCGGAGGGGGGAGGCGCTGGGTGCTGACCCTCCGGATGTGCTCCATACGCGGAGCGGCGTCCATGGTGAGAGAGTTGACGAGAGTTGGACGGGGGGGATGCGCAGGAAAGAATGACAGACGGAGTACGGAGTAACTACAAGTTCTACTCCGTCGAGGACGTCAATAACTTATGCCTAATCTATCAGGCAGCCTCCCGGCGATAACGCTTATCTTATCGGGAGGCGGGCCGATATTCGTCCGACGCTCGCTTAGGGGGCACGGGGCGCACAGCTGAACATTTTCGCCCCGACTTTAGCGAGACCGCCGGCCGTGAAGGAACCTTCCGACCTTCGACTTTCGACAACCATCCCCATCAGGCCTTTCGGCGAATCTATATCAGTCGGTACGTACAGGCCCCCTGGTGTTGTTGAAAGGAGTCCCCCCGTCGAATCTAGGATCGTTTTCGTCCATATCCGAAATTGTGCACCGTCGACTTTTTCCCCCCCTCCGCGGTTCCCTTCTAGTTCGTCAGATCAACACAAGGAAAAAAAGAACCCAAGGGCAACAAGGCAACAGGAAGATCTAACGCACGGCAATCTCTACAGTTGAACCGTCCTCCGAACATAATACGCCAAGATGGGTAAGGGACAACCCCGTGGTCTCAACGCCGCGCGCAAGCTCGCGACCACTCGCCGTGACAACCGCTGGGCCGATCTGCACTACAAGAAGCGCCTTCTCGGTACCGCCTACAAGTCCTCTCCCTTCGGTGGTGCTTCCCACGCCAAGGGTATCGTCCTCGAGAAGGTCGGTGTTGAGGCCAAGCAGCCCAACTCTGCCATCCGAAAGTGTGTCAAGGTTCAGTTGATCAAGAACGGCAAGAAGGTCGCCGCTTTCGGTGGGTAGCCCGGTTTTTTCTTTTTCCCTTTTGGTATATACGATGGCCAATATACTCGATCGGATCCTGGATATGCGGAGTGGATTTTTGTTTGATGCGGATGGGATAATTTTATGGGGGGTTCTCGGATGAATCTCGAACGGGTGGCGGAAAGGAGTGGATCCGATCGGATGGCCTGATTCTTGTGCTCTGTACAACAAACGCATGCTAACCGGTCAATTTCTCTACAGTCCCCAACGACGGTTGCCTGAACTACATCGACGAGAACGACGAGGTTCTCCTCGCCGGTTTCGGTCGTAAGGGTAAGGCCAAGGGTGATATTCCCGGTGTCCGTTTCAAGGTCGTCAAGGTCTCGGGTGTCGGTCTTATGGCCCTGTGGAAGGAGAAGAAGGAGAAGCCCCGCTCTTAGAGAAGGTGCACGAACGAGATGCAACGGAAATGATAGCGGAGCAATGGGGCCCATTCCATAGAAGATGGGGGAGATACCAACGGGATCTGTCTTCGGTCTATGGTCTGGAAATTATGGTTCAGGACGGATGACCCTGCAAATACCAGATATTGCAGCTACTACGATTGATATACTCATAAAAAAGATGGCGCCATGATTGATTTCTTTGGGACGGGCCCTAAAATATCAAATCTTCAAAAAAACAATAACCGAACTCCCGTGGGATTGTATACTTGTAGCAAGCATCTAGACTGCAACTAACTTTCATTGGCCTGGTATCACGTTCCTATTTGCTCTGGACTTGTCTCAGATGGACTTATTAGATCAATAGTTGAGGTGTCCTTCAAGCCCTCCATACGTCACAGCATCCATGGATATTCATTGCCTCGTATTTTGTCTATTAACCATCCTTATCCTTACGCCTGTTTTCAATTCGTACTTTGTCCGTACAGAATAAAATAGCCATTTGATTCCTTCTTTTTCTTTTGTTTCTTTTTTGTTCTTCTTCTTTATTTTTTTATTTTGTTTGTTTCCATCGTGATCACAACTAGAAGTTAATATCCTCCTTGCGGTAGTGGTCGGACACAATGCGGTACAGATACGATGGTGCGTGACCGCCCCTGTGATTCCAAGTTAGCACCTTGTCAAAGAAATTAAAGACGATATGATAAATCAGGGAAACCCACAAGTTAGTGATGTAAAGGTCAACCAGCTCTGCCGGAACATAGTCGTACAACGGGTTTTGTACGTCGATCTGGTCCACGAGATCGCCATCTTCGTAGCCGATGACCTTGCTGGAGTCGCCAAACTCAATCAACGAGTCAAAGTCGAATGGATACACCGGACTGAGTTTGTATACACCGCTAACCACCACGACGGGAGTCTGGTGCACCTTGGCGGCGCGAGCAATGACCCGAGTGCCGGCCGCAGCGATCAGGCCGCCGTTGGCGAGAACCGAGTGTGTACCCAGAATCACCTTGTTCACTCGCGACATCAAAGCAAAGACGGCGGAGTCGGGAATCAAGATGACCGTGATACCCAAAGCGATCAATGGTTTCTGGAACGATTCGGTGCTCAGAATCTCGTCGTCGTTGGGGTTGGCACCACTGACGGTGGCGTGCGTCGCCTCGTGGTTGTTGGGAAAGGATTCGGCATGGATGACTGTGAACTTGCGCTTGGCAGCAGCTTTTAGCAGGAACCTCTGCACGGTGGTGGACGAGGTATGCGTGAGGATAATCTCGTTGGAGTGGATGTGGTCGAGGGCATAGGCGGCGATCTGGTCGTCGACTTGGCCCAGCTCGTCGATAATTTCATTGATACCCTCGAGAACCTCCGCCCGAACGTCCTTGTTGGGTGCGTGACCCAAGAAGCGACCAGAGGGCGAGGCCGACACCGGCGTACCTGGCAGCGATGGATCGGGTTCTGGGTGTGAGAGAAGACTGAACATAGAAATCGGCGCAGACAAGGCCGCCGTGGGTCGGGAAGCTGATCGATCGGAGCCTTCGAAGCGGCTAGACATGGATTCCGAGGGATCTAAATATAATGCCGCTGATTAATTGCCTGGGCCGAGCGAGTCATGTCCGTGAAATGAGCGAGACTCACCATCCATAGCACGCGGGGTCTGCGGCTGGCTTTCAGAGCCGGTCTCGCTCAGTGTAAAGTCGGCTTCTCTGTCGTCCTCGGCCTCGTCACGGATCAAACCGAGCACACGTCTGACCACGTTCCCAACCACCATCTCTCTCGGCTGAGCAGCCACCAGCCGTCTTCCCACACTCTGGACCCGTTCAATCAGTTTCGCGGCGTCCGACGTTCTGCAGGCCGAGATGACACGGAGGAGGAGGTAAGCGGTCGCCGTGGCGCATGATCGGGAGTGACGAATTTGTCTTCGCTTTAGTAGCCTGAATTGCGCATTAGCCCGGGATGGGACGGGGTGACTATGCGAGCAACGTACGAGATCAGATTGTCAATGGATGTGTCGATCGGGTTGGTCTTCAGCGACTTGAGGAAGGACGCCAATCCGGGCGTTAACGCCGCAGGCGTGGCCGGCATAGTTGCGGTTCTTTTTTATTTCGAGTCGTTCTTTCGCAAGGGTATAAGTTCAAATTTCGATCTTTGGCGACTCGTCAACAGCTCCCTGGGGCCAGCAGTTAGCAGGATTGAGTCATGACCGCACACGGATAAGAACTTTGCACGGCGTACCAGAACACTGACTAATTTGGGGATTCTTGGGGTAAAATATTACCGATGGATTGCAATAAAATCCAGGAGGGTGTCGAAGAAGACAGAAAAACGTGCAGAAGAGTGGGGAGCAGCGAGGAGGACAAAGAGAGGGGAGGAGGTGGGATGTGCCGACGAGGGAGAAATTGGCGCAGAAATGCTCGGCCCAACGCGAGACTAAAAAGTAGAGCAGCAAACCATCTCCGGACAATCCATCCGTTCCTCTCCCCACACCTCGCCGTCATCCTCGACCCCAACGCCTTTTCTCTCTCTCTCTCTCCCTCGCCCTAATCCTCGCCCTCCGACTCTTTTCTACCTTCCCTCCTTCCTCCTCCCTCCGCTTCTTCCTTCTACGGTCATTTAACTCGTCTGACCTCTCATCTCACCTCTTCCCTCTCGACCGCCCCCATTCAACAAGACTGGAGTTCGGTTGCTTCCGAAACACGGGCTGTCGACTGGCGCATTGAGGTAAGTTTTAATCGAGATTTTTGCTGTCGTCAGTTTCGAGCGATTTGCCTTATTATTCCTGGCTCGATCTCGGTCAATCTATGATCTGTTGTTGTACGATGGCTGACTCGCGCTTCTTCGCTTGCTGTAGATACCTGCGCCAGCCCGGACACCCGTGGGCCGCGTAGGAAGATGAACTCTTTGAATATCCTCTCGTCCCGAGTCATTGGCCAATCTTCAAATTCCAGCCGTAGCCGTCAGCGATCTCGTTCGCAAGGTGACCTTCCTCCCCCGAGCTCGCCGGGCGATCTCGCAAAACTCCGGTCTTACAGTAGCAACGACTTCCATTCGCTAGATGCTACTGAGAAACTTGGTGACGATGCGACCGGGACGACGGAAGTTGGGGATTCATTCGAGCATGTCCTCGATGAGAAGACGTCGCTAATCCGCGGAATCCATAAGGATGGTTCGCTTGTGACCAAAAGTTCTCTGGGCCTGGTTGCTCAGCGCTTTTTTGATGCGATCACCGAAACAATCAAGTTTATCCTATCTACTTTGGCAGCTCCGGGGATATACGCAGCCCAGTGTTTCCGGGATGACAACGGCCATTATTCTCCTATGGCGCCAGTCCGGAAGCTGCGCCAGGCGGTTTTCGGGTCCAAGGCAACAGGCAGCAGAGGCAGCTCCCCAAAACGGACCAGCAACAATCGGCGAGGCAGTTCTGCCCGAAAGTTCAAGGGCCACGCATCCCGGGAGTCGATCGCATCCAGCACCTCCGAATCGGATAATGATCGTCGAGCCGTGAAGGGCCTCACGAGTGGTAATCATCGGACCTCGAAGGCGAAATCTACGGGCTTGGAGCCGGTGTCCGATGAGAGCGCTCCTCGTCGCTCAATCCGGATCAAACTGCACAACGAAGAAGCCCTGCAACGTCAACGACACCGTCGAGCGCAGAGCGCCGATCTGGGGTCATCGTCGGCTTCGCATAATGGAACGCAAGGGGCGCTCAACCTCGATAATCTAAAGTCTCCGACGTCTCCATCAGTGCATCGAGTGACCAGGTACCCCCATTCTCCGGTGCCTCCGCGGCCGCTCATCCCGCCACGTATCCCGTCGTACACTGCTACTTCGCGCGGGTCCCGGGTCCCTCAAAAGACCCTGGTACTTGACTTGGACGAAACTCTTATCCATTCGCTGGCCAAGGGGGGTCGTATGTCTAGCGGCCATATGGTTGAAGTCAAGCTGGCCACGCCGATGACCACTGCTTTGACTCCGGGAGCTCCGCCCACGACTCTAGGACCGCAACACCCCATTCTCTACTACGTCCACAAGCGGCCACACTGCGATGACTTTCTTCGCAAGATCTGCAAATGGTATAAGCTTGTCATATTCACCGCTAGCGTGCAAGAATACGCCGATCCCGTCATCGACTGGCTGGAACAAGAGCGGAAATTCTTCCACGCTCGGTATTACCGCCAGCACTGCACGTTCCGCAACGGCGCGTATATCAAAGACCTCAGCTCGGTGGAACCTGACTTGAGTAAAGTAATGATCTTGGATAACAGTCCCATGAGCTACATATTTCACGAAGGTACCGTATTCCCATCTTTCCAAGTTTTGCTCCTGTCGTCAAATCACTAACACTATACTCCATTATTTAGATAATGCCATTCCCATCGAAGGCTGGATCAATGACCCTACCGACAACGGACTCCTCCATCTGATCCCTATGCTGGAAGCTTTGCAGTATGTGACCGATGTGCGGGCACCCCTGGCATTACGTAGGGGAGAGACAGAAGCATAGCCTAGAGACGGGGTATATCATGATGATGAGAGGGTAACCGCCAAAGCAAACTTAAAAAAAAAAAAAAAAAGAAACACGCACAAAGACCAGAAAAATCCGGCAAAAAAAAGTATACAGGCTTGTTTGATATTGACGAAAGTCCTATTGCATCATCCATAGTTGTTTGCTTCTTGTTAACGTCATTGTAAAGAAAGCTGATTGAAAGCATGAGAAGTGCCAAGCATGACTCTTCATACCCCCGTTTATCTTGGATGCTCGGTGTTTGTTCCCTATTCTTTTTTTTTCCCTTTTTCTTTTCTCTTCTCTTTCTTTTCTTTCTCCTTAAAGACTCAACTTACTTCTCCTTGTAATTTTTAGTGTTTTTTCTGAGATCACCCGTCCTCTTGTGTCGTTCTTGCCGAAGTGATTGGGTGGATGTGGATGCATGGCCGTTACGAGTCAGGATTTGTTATTAATTGTTTTGTTTTCTTTTTTTCTTCTTTTTTCTTCTGTTTCCCCATTTGCAGGTATTCTTCTCCGTGTATTTGATAATCCAGGTATTTTTATGTTTTATGTACGAATATCACCGCTTCAGTCACATGTTCCTACCTGACCTAGATTGTTTACCGAGGTAATTCTCATTTTACTGATACTTTGGTACCGGTTTTTGGGAAATGAGACCGAGACCCATGCCTAGGTAGGTTGCTTCACGTGTCTGCCTTATGCAGTCGATCGGTCGGGTCTGGCGGTCTGCGTTGTTGTTCTAAAAAAAGCGACCGTATGAGGGTTACAGATGCGGGAAACGTAGGGCATAGAGATGTGAAATGGGGGCTAGATGACGGGCCAGGAAGTAATAACTAGATCTGGTTAGTCTTTCACTGGAGTGTACGGTAGTCTATACTTCCCAGTTGCAGGGTATGACAGGTGTTTAATGTCTATGTTTGTTCCATTGTATTGAGAGAACCTCATTCGTACATTCATCCTTTTATAATTGACTATTTACGTGAGAATAGGAAAAGTTGACCATAAAAAATCTACAAACCCTTGGCCTGCTTGGCCTCCGTGAGAGCCTCCTTCAGAGCCGCAATGGCATTGTCAATATCCTGGCGTCCCGAGGTGACGCTGACGCCCATGTGACCGAATCGGATGTACTTAGTGGCCACCTCCTTGTGCAGACCGGCTGCGAAGATGACGCCGCGCTTCAGCAGACCGGGGAGGACGTCGGGCGGGGCCAGACCCTCGGGCAGCCAGATGGCCGTCATGGCGTGGGCCTGGTTCTCGGGCTTCGCGGCCAGCTGCGTCAGGCCGAGCTCGGCGACGGCGGCCTTGACGCGGTCCGAGGCCTGGGCGTGCACGGCGAAGCGCTCGGCCATGGGGCGGGCGGTGATCTGGGACAGGGTGGTGTGCAGGGCGTGGACGAGCTGGGTGGGCGGGGTGGCGAAGTAGGAGGGCTTGAAGTTCTCGTAGTTCTGCATGATGGGCAGCCAGTTGCCCAGCGAGGCGTAGTAGGAGGAAGGAGGGGTCTGGCGGGTCTTGAAGCGGTCCAGGGCGCGGCCGGACAGCATCAGGATGCTGAGGCCGGGCGGGCAGCCGATGGCCTTCTGGCTGGCCGTCAGCACGACGTCGATGTCCCAGGCGTCGAAAGCAATCTCCTCGCAGCCGACACTGCAGACGCCGTCGATGACCACCAGGGTCTCGGGGCTGACGCGGCGCACGATCTCGGCCACGCGCTTAATGTCGCTCAGCACGCCGGTGGAGGTGTCGACGTGCGTGATGGTGATGATCTTGTAGGGCTTTTCCTTGAGGGCCTGCTCGATCTGTTCGAACGACGGGCGGTCTCCGACGGGGGCCTTCAGCTGGGTGGCATTGGCGCCGTATGTTTGCAGGCACGAGGCGAAGGAGTCGGCGAAGTAGCCGGTGTGCAGGACGAGGGCGTTCTCGCCCTTCTCGATCAAGCTGGAGGCGACGATATCCCAGCCAAGAGTACCGCTACCGGAGATGACGAAGGGCTGAGCCGCGGGGCTGGTGGACTGGAAGAGCTTCCGAACCAAGCTCAATGTTTCGCCGAAGGTCTTGACGAAGCCGGGTCCGACATGGCTCTCACTATTACACAACGTTAGTTTTATTTTTGTTCAAATTGACTGTTTGGTTGTTTATTTGTTATTTTTTCGAGTCATTCCCGGGGTTGGAAGATGACGATGATGTATATGAGGGGTATAGCGGGGAAGGGTGGGGGGGAAGGGAAAGACTCACGCATAGTGGGACATGGATTGAAGCACAGCATCGTCGAATTCGATGGGACCGGGGATCAAGAGAGTAGGGTGAGGAGCTTGGGCCGACATGGTGACGGGGGGAGAGTCAGAAGGGTGGGATGAAGAGGAGGGAGGAGAAGGGGAGGGCGGAGATGAGCGATCGAGGGGCTTATATTCGATATCGTCGGGAGCGAGCGAGTTCCTCTCGGTCGAGAAGGGGGTGTTCAGCTCCGGCAGCGGCAAGCGTTGATCCAGGTGTCTGGAGATCAAACTCAGGCGCTGCGACGTCTGTTTGGTGGCCACCGTTCCGAGATGCTCGGCTCTTGACCCGAGAGCCCGCGGGGATAAGGAAGAGTGAGGAGAAGGACGAGTGAGTGGACAAGGTTCCCTTTGAGTTTCCCGCCAGACGTGGGAAAGTCGGGTCGGGGATCGCCGGTTGCGTTGGTTATTGGTTAATGAATGGTTCGTGGGAAGTGTATCTATACTCTAGACGGACAAGGAGGACTAGAAGATGCAGTTGCAGTGATTGTGGCCGTCGACACCCTCTGCTCAGGGAAAGAAAAGGGGTGGTGGTTGATATTTGTCCTTTTGTTGGAATTTTCCCCCGGATTATTAAGTCTTCACCCGCGTCTATCGGCCGGAAGAGAGTCTATAGACTATTACTCTCATAAGCTATTCAAGAACGGGCGGCGCCTTCCGTACTACGATCACCGCCGTCGTCCGTCCGCCGACTAGAATTGAGTCATGATTTGGACTGGAAAATTGGAGGGGAGAATGTATGTAATATGAGGCTACAAGGAGTTATAGTATGAAAGTAGATCGGCTTGATCCGTGGCGGCATCGGGAGTCTTCCCGAAGTATATATCGCCAGTGACACAGCCTGATGTGTCATGGCCACGATAGGTGCCAGTAAAGATATGCACCATTGACAGACCAGCAATTCGATCTTGAATGACCAAGTAATCTCGATCAATGGCATGCCTTATAGCAGTATGAAGTTCAAAGAACTATGTGTACATACAGTACATAACTAGATAGACTGGTCCAAGTAGGGCTTAGGGTTGGGCGGGCGGTGAGGCTTCCCCGCGACGACACCTGAGGAAGCAGGCATCCATGGATGTATCTTAGTAACGGAGAACGAAGTAGTTAGCCTTAGTTGCCTTACGTCGTAAGCTGACCTGCGGTTGCTGCTCTATCGCGCGCATCGTGATAGCTCCCTTCTGGATCGGTTACTTTCCGTCCACTCTATGCGCCGTTGAATTTCCCCTCCCTCCCGCCAATCTTTCCTTTCCTCCAAAATGACCTCGCGCTTAGTCCTGGTCATCGGTGACCTGTTCATCCCTGATCGCGCTCCGGTAAGTGGCCGCCGACTTGCTCTCCGCCGCTCATGCAGCTGTTATTCCCGTTTCCTGACTGACCGACTGACTTGCCATCGCTAGGATCTTCCGGCCAAGGTACGCACCGTCCTGCTTCCTCTAGCTCATCGGACCCCGCTCGTCCCTGGCCTTTCCATCCGACCGCTCTCAATTGACCGCCATCTGTAGTTCCGCAAGCTCCTGACGCCGGGCAAGATTGGCCAGATCTTGTGCCTGGGCAATCTGACCGATCGCCATACCTTTGAATTTCTCCGCCAGGTCGCCCCCGACTTGCAATTGGTGAAGGGTGATTTCGACGTTGACTCCCCCAACCTTCCGCTCTCCAAAGTCGTGACCCACGGCAGCCTCCGCATCGGCTTCACCCATGGCCACACCATCATCCCGCCGGGCGACGCCGACGCCCTGCTGATTGCGGCGCGCCAGATGGATGTCGACATCTTACTTTGGGGCGGTACCCATCGATTCGAGGCCTTTGAAATGGAGGGCAGATTCTTTGTGAACCCCGGAAGTGCCACAGGTGCCCTGAGCACGGGCTACTGGGCTGACGGAGAGGATCCGACGCCCAGTTTCTGCTTAATGGACGTAAGTGCGCCCCGTGAGACTCGCCGGAACGGCCTTGCTTCAATACTAACGCGCCCGTCTAGATCCAAGGAGACGTGCTGGTGCTGTATGTCTATCAGCTCAAGACGGACGCTAACGGGGTCGAAACGGTCGCCGTCGAGAAGGTCTCGTACCGCAAGAACAACGTCCCGTCCTCATGAGTTGACTTTCTTACGTTCCATCCCCCTTTCTTTGCTTGTATATACGCCATAGAAACAGACACGATTACGACACTCTAATTCAACTTGACGTTCTATCTCTCACATGATTGTTGCTCGGGGTTTGTAAGACACGCGGGACCTCTCGACGAATGGGCACATCCCGTGCTGCTGCGAGCGTGGAGAATCGTCTTTACATTGCTCATGAAGGTAATCCAACTGTGGTTGTGCTACCAGAAGCATATCCGATGTAAAGAGTTGGAAGCACCTGGGTTTAGTGTCTCACGTGGCAGTGGAGAAGAATTCTGGTGAAGGATTTGCTGTAATAGAAAAAAAGAATCGAAATAAAAGAGCAGAAAGAAAGAAAGAAAGAGCAAGAAAGAAGGAAACAAGAGAAACAAGTCAGGACATTATTAGATCGGAATGCATGGAGCACAGCAGGAGCTTCTGCTGTTCTGCCCGGTTTGGCTCTGGAGAGGATGACAAAAGTCGCTAAGCCGAAAAGAGCAGCAGTGACTTCGGCGTCGATCCAAACGCGGGTATCAGGTTCATTGACCTGCGGCCTCTCTTTCACTCCATTTCCTTGTCGCATTTCTCCTTTTTCTTTCTCTCCCTCAAACCCATAGAGTCTGCATCTGCATTGGCTTTGGGTTGTTCTTTGTTTCTGTTCCCTTAAGAAAAACCTCTTCCCCGCCTACTCCATCCGGTGGATCAACTTCGAGTTTTTCCCCCCTCCGTGCGAACTTGCGGGTTGAATTAGACAGGGAAACACTCCTTCCTCATCATACAAGCACAATGACTACGGAAGAGCACGAGATCAAAGATGAGCGCCTCGAGACTCACGAGGAGGGTGGTGACGACGAGGTAAGTTTTTCTAACCAACGCTGGGGCTTGTGATTCCAGCATTCCGAGCCCACACCGCAAGCTTTATCACGATGCTTTCGCTCTTTGCCTCCCGAATACCTACCGTACCTAACCAACTGTCTCTTTCTGTTTCCTCTTACTAATGTACTCTGTCTCATGTCCAGGAGGAGATTGCGGCGATGAAGAAGCGGGTAGCCGAGATGGAATCCGAAGCTGCGAAGCTGCGCGAAATGCAGGCCACCCTTGACCAGCAATCCGAGAACCTACGAGAGGACAAAGAAGAGATTGATGCCCGGAGTATTTTCGTCGGCAACGTCGATTACGGAGCTTCGCCCGAGGAGATCCAAGCACACTTCCAGAGCTGCGGTTCGATAAACCGCGTCACCATCCTGTTGGATAAATTCACGGGTCAACCCAAGGGGTACGCCTATGTAGAGTTCGCCGAGCCCAGCCTGGTGGCTCAGGCACTTGTTCTGAACGAGAGTGTGTTCCGCGGCCGGAATCTCAAGGTGAGTGCCGTCCTGCCAATCGTCTACTCAGACCACCAAATAAAATCCACTAACGTGATGTCGGTTCAGGTCGTTCCCAAACGGACCAACGTTCCCGGAATGGCTCGAGGCCGCGGACGAGGTGGCTTCCGGGGTGGACGTGGTTTCCACCGAGGCGGCGGAGGCTTCCCCCCTCGCGGCGGCTACCGCGGTGGCTACCGCGGCCGGGGTAGGGGCTACGCGCCGTATTAAGGAGAGCAAGCCATGCTAGGAGCCTTAGGACAAGCCGACAGCACACGAACGGGCGAATCTCCGACGCACGGCACGACGCGAGAGGACCGAGGGAGCGAAAGCGGACCGCGACGAACGAAAGCGCTGGAAGATCACGAGGCAATCTCTCCGATCTCATGAAACAGATCTTTGGAGTTGGGGGACTAGGGTGTACTACTTGTATGATAACCATCTGGCAAGCTTCGGACTGGGCAAGATGGGCGGACCGCCGCAATTGCTGATTTTCTGTGATATCATCGTATTCTTCTACGTTTTTCTTTTCTATATCTTATCTCTCTTTTAAAAAGCAAAATCAATCTCGGTCTTAAGTAGTCTGGGCCACCGGTCAGGCGTTCATCTTCCGTGAGAATCAGCATGAATTGGGGGCATTGAATTCGGTGGTAAAAAAATCCTCCTGCTTCGACAGGAACGGAGCGGGTCAGGTGAGATGACGTATTGCATTTCCGCCCTCACCGTTTGACGGTGTTGTGTATACCGGAGTAGGGAAACCAGGAACAGACAGACGGGGTTGCTATTTTCATTCGGAAGTCGAAGGGGACCCACGGCAGCGCCAAAGATACTCTACTCTACTCTGTAAGTCCTAACGCACCGGAGGGACTTGCAGGGTACGCGGGAGGTACACGGAGAGGGAAGGGTTAAGGGATGGGCTTTGGTACGTAATTGGACGTACGCAACCATTCCGTCACGGATTCCCAGCAGTTCCATCAAGCTGACTCCTTCTTACTCTCTACTGAGTGGTAAGGGAGCTAAAGATATTTTAAGATCTTCCAGGACCGAGTTGAACTGTTGAAGTCCTCAGGCCGTTGAATTCTGCTGCCTTGTCCCGAACCACCCCAGGAAACTAGACCTTTCTTGGCCGACCAGCACGCGGGGGTTTTTTTTCTGTATCGTCTGTAGGATTTTCAGTAGCCGCCCACGCGAGAAACGGCGGGATTCATCAGGATGAATTGGAAATCTATCCCTGGCAGGGTTTCCCTAGGGCATTACGGTGTACTCTTTGGGAGGTACCGACGAGGTACTTTGTCGGTACTTCGGGATCGTTGACGGACAATACGAGGATAACCTCACGAGTCACGACAAGAAATTCCAGCAAATTGTACTCCGTAGTCAAGTAGAAGTAAAAAGATCAAGAATGAATTAGACAGATAGAAACGATCGTACTTCACATCTCCTTCGCCACTAGGCATGATTGGGCGAAGGCGGAGGCAACGTCAAGACTGGTGCTCAGCCCCGGAAGTCCCATAACTAAACAGTAGTTCTGGTTCAGCCTTAGTCAACTTCATCTCCCCCCCCGTTAAGTTAGTTATCGCCAACCTCATCGCTGCTTTTCCCTCTTGTTCATCCCATCCCGTACCATCTTTCCTTCCCCTCCCCTCCCCCCCTCGTCTCTTTTCTCTCGCTCCCCTTCTTCCTCTCCGTCTCCCACGCCCGTCCGTTCGCCGCCAACGCAGCCCCCCAATTTTGTTCCCTCCATCCTGTCCTGTCCGGGAGACCTGGACTGTTCTCGGTGTCCCGTGTCTGTGGACGGCGGTGGATGCGCACGCCGCAATTTACCTCCCAGGCTCGTCCTTGTTCGGCCGTTGATTTCCGGAGCCTTTGTCCCGCCAGCCTCATCTCTTCTTTCCCTTGAGCATGGGTTCCAATCTACCTGCGTGAGTCTTTTTCGTCCCCGCTTTCCCGTCGGTTCTCCGATTCGATCGCCCCCGATTTGCCAGGAATCCCCGTGGTTTTGATGGTCCAATATGCTAACGGGTTCATCATTGGAATTGCAGCCAGCCGAACCTCAGGGTCACCAGTGAGATCCCACTCGACTTCCCCCCCTCCCCCACCACCATTTTCTTTCATGAAGAAAAATATGAACGACACATAAAAAGACTCGGGAATCCGATCGGAATTCAAAACTGACCATTTCTTCTTTGCTCTTCTATAGTTATCGCGGCGGATGGGCTATACAAGCGCGATGTCTTCCGTATGTTCTGCGTCGATGTCCCCCCCTCCGTGTGTCGATCGGGTATTTCTCCAAAAGACGGGGTGACTGACCTTCTTTCTTCGCTCTCTTGATAGGATTCCCCGATCCGTTCGCAGTGGCCACCGTCGGTGGTGAGCAAACCCACACGACCTCGGTGATCAAAAAGACATTGAATCCGTATTGGAATGAGATGTTCGACTTGTAAGCACCTATTGAGGAACCCGACGTGGGGAAATCTTTCCCGGCTGATCCCGTTCTTTGCGACTCATAGGCGAGTCAACGAAGACAGCATCCTCGCGATTCAGATCTTCGACCAGAAAAAGTTCAAGAAGAAGGATCAGGGATTCCTTGGCGTCATCAACGTCCGCATCGGCGATGTGATCGATCTACAGATGGGTGGTGATGGTGAGTTCTCGTCCAAGCCGCCATCCGACCTTCTACGATGGAGGCGTGGCCGGTCTTGATAAACCGAAAAAGAACTTGCACTGACCTGGCCATCTTCTTGCGCCTAGAAATGCTCACCAGGGACTTGAAAAAGTCCAACGACAACCTTGTCGTACACGGGAAACTGATCATCAATTTGTCTACTAACCTCAGTACCCCCAACACCAACCAAGCCAACGGAAGTATGAACCGGTCACATCTCCAGTCCTCAACATCTAGCGGCCTTGTGCCCCAGGTCCCGGCATCGACTTCGCATCCTCCCCCGCCGCCTGTCGATTCTCCCGCTGCCGCGTCGAACCCGTCCCTCAACCCGCAGCGCGTGCCATCCGGAACTCGACCCTCGAGTACGGTGATCCCTCCCAACGGAGCCCCGGCGCCCCCGAACGGTCAGCAAGGCTCTCGCACCAACCTCTCGTCCTTTGAAGACAGCCAAGGGCGCCTGCCGGCTGGCTGGGAGCGTCGGGAAGACAACCTGGGGAGAACGTATTACGTCGATCATAACACGCGGACTACCACTTGGACCCGACCGTCGGCGAACTATAACGAGCAAACGCAACGCACCCAACGCGAAGCCAACATGCAGCTGGAACGACGAGCTCACCAGAGCCGTATGCTGCCGGAGGACCGAACGGGCGCCAGCTCGCCGAATTTGCAGGAGAGCCAGCAACAGCCGTCGCCGCAACAGCAAGCTGCCACCCCACCGGCCGGTGGGAGCGCCAACGCGGTGTCCATGATGGCCACGGGAGCAACCACTGCAGGCACTGGTGAGCTTCCTCCCGGGTGGGAGCAACGGACGACCCCGGAGGGTCGGCCGTACTTCGTCGACCACAACACCCGGACCACGACCTGGGTGGACCCCCGCCGGCAGCAGTACATCCGTATGTACGGTCAGAATGCCAACGGCAACAACACCACCATTCAGCAACAGCCCGTGTCTCAGCTGGGACCGCTGCCGAGTGGGTGGGAAATGCGTCTGACGAATACGGCCCGAGTCTACTTCGTCGACCACAACACCAAGACGACCACCTGGGATGACCCTCGTCTGCCATCGTCGCTGGACCAGGGCGTTCCACAGTACAAGCGTGACTTTAGACGCAAGTTGATCTACTTCCGGTCGCAGCCCGCTTTGCGAATCATGTCCGGACAATGCCATGTCAAGGTGCGCCGTAACAACATCTTTGAAGACTCGTACGCGGAAATTATGCGGCAGAGCGCCTCGGACTTGAAGAAGCGGTTGATGATCAAGTTCGACGGCGAAGACGGTCTGGACTACGGCGGTCTTTCTCGGTTGGTTCTCAGAAATTCTTCTCCCTGACGATTTCTTGCTAATCACCGCCTAGTGAATTCTTTTTCCTTCTTTCGCACGAAATGTTTAACCCTTTCTACTGTCTATTCGAGTACTCCGCACACGATAATTATACCCTGCAAATTAATCCCCATTCGGGCGTCAACCCGGAACATTTGAACTACTTCAAGTTCATCGGACGTGTGGTTGGATTGGCCATTTTCCACCGTCGTTTCCTCGACTCTTTCTTCATCGGAGCCTTCTACAAGATGATGCTCCGCAAGAAGGTCTCGTTGCAGGACATGGAGGGTGTCGACGAAGACTTGCACCGTAATCTGGCATGGACCATGTACGTGGTTATCCCATTCGGAACGATGATGGTTGGCTAACTGGATGAACAGCGATAATGATATCGACGGGATCCTAGAGTTGACTTTCTCGGTGGATGACGAGAAGTTTGGCGAACGTCGCACGATCGACTTGAAGCCGGGAGGTCGGGACATTCCCGTGACCAACGAAAACAAGCACGAATATGTTGAGTACGTGTTGTCTATACTTCTTTTCGTTCCCATACTAATTTATGTAGGTTGGTGACGGAATGGAAGATCGTGAAGCGCGTTGAGGAGCAGTTCAATGCCTTCATGTCCGGCTTCAACGAGCTGATCCCGGCGGATCTGGTGAATGTGTTCGACGAGCGCGAACTGGAGTTGCTGATCGGAGGTATTGCGGATATCGATGTGGACGACTGGAAGAAGCACACCGACTACCGTGGCTACCAGGAGCAGGACGAGGTGATCCAGAACTTCTGGAAGATTGTCCGCTCGTGGGATGCGGAGCAGAAGTCTCGACTGCTTCAGTTCACCACGGGTACTTCGCGTATTCCCGTCAACGGATTCAAGGATCTTCAAGGATCGGATGGACCGCGACGATTCACGATTGAAAAGTCGGGCGATCCGGCTGCACTGCCCAAGTCCCACACATGGTACGCCTCTCCCCCTCCTAATATTGTCCACATAGTACTAACTAGAATAGTTTCAATCGGTTGGATCTTCCGCCGTATAAAACCCACGATGCTTTGGAGCATAAGATGTCCATTGCCGTGGAGGAAACGCTCGGATTCGGCCAGGAGTAGACGAATGAAGATGTCTTGCATTACATATACAGCCCCGGGCTTCCCTTTATAATAACCCCAACCAGCCGATGGAGACGGAAGCGTTGCAAGAAGTTTGAATTGGAGAGCGTATTGATTTGCGAGGTGTGAGGCAGCACCGTCGACTCTCGTTGATTTATTCCCCCCTTCGTTTGATGATTGTTGCATGTGGCGGTTCTTGGAGCAGATACATGTTATACGCGGGTCCTTTCGATGGTTTTTCTTTTCTTATTTAACCTCCTTTCTTTTCATGTCTTCCCTTTTTTTTTATTATTCGTGGTTGAACTTTGTATATACTGTGTATTATTGTCAGGGACCTGACCATTTGACTTGAGTCCGAGAGCAAGAACCCTTTGACCGAGTAAGACAGCGAGTTGATTCTGATGTGTCTAATTATAGAGGTTCTTCCTGCACGTCCGTTTCTGTAGGTTCAATAATGGCAGTGGTGGCACTTCTGATGTCTCACCTGGGCTGCCAATAGTGTCTCAGCGACATGCATGCGCGAGTCAATATTGCACGGACTGATTCACCTGATAGAAGTGTAACTCTACGGAGGACGGAGGAACCTGTCAAGATAAAAGGTGCCATCCTCGTTCGTTTGCTCTTTCTTTCTTTCTTTCTTTCTCAGGTGTTCTACATTCTCGGGCATATCTATACATACGTCTTCTGTTTCTTTCGTTAACCTCCATTCAGACACGACAGACAACAGTCAACAGAAAGACAAGATGAAGTTCACTCTTCTCACCCTCCTGGCATCCTCTGTCCTGGCTGTCTCTGCGGCCGAGACTTCACCTGCCGCGGCGACTGCGGTTCCGACCTCGTCGACGTCGGACTCGACTTGTGCAAAGGAGTATGTTATCTTAACTCTTTTACCTTATACCTTACCATGTCTCCATCTTCTCCATCATCTTCTCCACCCTGAAAAGACACAGATAGATCGACAGGATAGATATATACCTATATCTTCTCGGATCTTCTACTCCCACCAGACAGTCTATTCTACACCAAGACTCCCATGAGCAAACCCTCCCGTGAACCGAAATAAAAGGCAGAATAGAACTAACAGACAGACAGAATCGTCCAAGCATGTCTCGAACGCATGGAACCGCAACTGAAGAAATGTACCCCGAACCGATGGGACTGTCTGTGTGAACAGACGAATAATGTCTTGACGTATGTTTCCTTTCCTCGTCCATCTTATCTCTATCAATATAAAACATCTTTGCCTTGACACTCCAGACTTCATACCTCTACCCGCATCTATACCCCTCCTCTATCCAAACCCATACCAAACCAATACTCCACCATACCCAAGTCCCCAAACTAACTCCAGTAATAAAAAAACAGATGCTACAACAACTGTCCCAGCGACCCGAACCGCAGCACAACAGCCCAACAACTCGACTCCTACTGCCGCGCCGCAAAAGCCGCCTCCATGACCGTCTCGACCTCGACGTCTGCGAAACCAACCAAGACAGAGGAGACGTCGAAGACCAAGGCCTCGGGCAGCGATGCGAGCGCTGCGGAGGCGTCGGCCACGAGTACGGGCGATAGTAAATCGGAGGGTGTCGCTGCTGTTGCTGGGGTGGGACTTGGTGGTGGCGGTGGTGCTTTGGTGGCGGCGATGGTGGGGGTTTTGGGGGTTTTTTAGATCTTCTTCTCGCTAGGGGGTTTGTTGATGGACTGATGGACTGATGGACTGACTCACTCACTTGGGTTGGGTTTGGGGGGCTGAGGGGTTGTGTGTGTGCTTAGGTAGGGGATGAGGAAAGTTAGGGCTTCCGGGTGAGAATGTGGTTTATGTGTATGTGAAGGATGATCGATCTATTTAATATATAGTACTTATATGTACTAAATCCTACTTGTCTTTAGCTCTGTGTATGGATACCACGATCAAATGCATTACTTATGTCTCTTGATATAACTAAGTATGTAGAGCAACTTGTAATAAGTGTTTGCGAACTTCATCGAACCCTGTAACCCTTAGGGATATATCTCCTACGACAACTACCCCATAGAGTCCCTCCCATTCTTCCCATCTCCATCTCCACCGACTATAATAGTCTCCGCATCTTCCTGACTCCCTTCGCTTTCCGACAGAGCCGACTTTTTCCGTGTCTCACTACATCCCCATCAACCATCATGCATTAGCCAGACATCAGGACATCAAATATAAACCACCAAGTAAACTGACGCGAACTCACCGTCGATGAATCAGAATCGCAGCAATAAACCCCGCCCAGAGAAGAAAGTAGAACGCAAACGTAACGGGCCAGCCCTTGGGCCATCGCGGCGCTCCGTACGGTCCCGCAGTCGGGAAGAGAAGAAGAGGAACCCAGATGTTGAATGAGTAGCCGAATGTCATCATGGCGCCCTGTACTAGTTAGTCTTTTGGTCAGGCCAGGTCTGATCTGGTGGATGGTTAGACTTGGGACGGGACATACCAGAATCAGAGCTCGTTCTTCAGAGTCGTTGCTCACGATGGTGTTGACGGTCGAGTATAAAATGGGACTTGCGCATCCGGCGACTCCGAAGAGATACCAAGCGAAGAATCTGGATGGGTCAGAGTCTGCCAATGCATGCGAAGAACAGCGAGAAACGTACTTCAATCCCGTAGGAATGTTCCAGATGATCATGCATAGGGTCGAAAACAGCGAACACACCGAGATGATCGTATAGATGACCCAGGTCGGATAGATCGCGGCGAGGGTCGACCCCAGCCACGAGGCCACGATGTTGATGGCATAGACGACAGTGGGCAGTTCGTTGATCTGGGACACCGAGTATCCCTCGGCCTTGAGCCAGAGGTTCATGTAGCTGCTGGGGTAGTAGGAGATGATCATGCATCTGAAGGACATTAGCTAATCTCCGTAACATGTACAAACATGCACTAATTCAGGCAAGAAAAGGAAGGGAAACTCACGCATAGCAAAATATAAACACCCAGATATGCCACCGTCTCAGTGTCCGCTTGAACACATCCAGTCCCAACCTGCCCGGCCTCCGGATATTGGCTCGCCGTGCCCGCTCCTTGGCCAAGGCGATGTCGCTGTCCGTCAGATAGAACGGTTTCGGCGAGTCTGGGATGCCCGGGAAGATGAAGACGCCCAGCAGAGCCACAGGGATGGTGAAGATGCCGTCAATGATGAACAGCCACCGCCAGCCAGGCATGCCTGCTACCCCGGACAGGTTGGTGTATGCTGCCGACTGCAAGTATCCGCTGACCATGGTGCCGAGCGGGTTGCACACAAACCATGTCCCGGCTCGTTTGAAGAGTTCGGGGCCGGAGTACCAGGATCCTGATCGTCTTAGCCACGCTTCTGAACCTGAAAGTGCGTGGGGCACCTACCAAGAATGAAATGAGTCCCTGCAAACACCGGTGCCTCCAACATGCCAACAAGGAACCGAAGGGCATAAAGCTGACCGACATTGGTGACGCGGCTCTGGGCAAAGGTACATATTCCCCAGAGGACCTCAAGTCCAGGAAGCAGCCAGCGAGCCCTATATGCATCAGCATAGTCCGATCATCCTGGAGTAGATATAGAGACTAATTCTTGACGTACAGTGATGGACGTGACATCAGAAGAAGACCCGGGACCTGGAATACCACGTATGCGGTGTAGTAGCAGACATTGAAGTAGTTGAGTTCGTTCCCGTTGAGATTGAAGTCTTCCTTGAGACCGCTGACATAGGCATTGCTAATGTTCGTTTGATCTAATACCGTGAGTCCTCGTCCAGACTGGCGCTCAGTAACTCCGTACCTAGATACTTGACAAAGACTTTGACCGTTAGCTAGGAACTCGCGTCTGTCTGACGGGGAGCTTACAGCAAAGACAAGCAAATACTAGAATCGATACATCGAGTTTGAATAGCAGTCTGCAATGGTTAGTTTGACTTGGAAAAAGCATACATGAGAGTATACTACCTTCTCTCCTCCGAAGGATAAGCCGACGGGTACCAATTGAAGACCTCCTTGAAAAGCCCTAGAAGCGAACCTCTTCCAGGCTTCGAGTCCGACGTCGGCATAGCTGCTGCTCTATCACCAGAAATATCATCTCAATCCGAATCTCCGTGAATCCCCTTCATTATGTACGCATGGCTGGACCATTCCGACACATTCTCGCACCTGCTCAATCTGCACGACTTTGCTGACAAGTGAGCAATTCCCCCACATCCATTCGCCATTGCAGATCCCAAGGCACGCTTAGCCGGAGAGATAAGCACTCTACGGCTCTATGCAAGTGCTCATTCGAAGACAGCGCCCGCCACGCTGACAGCGACATGGTGTCGGACGATGGCGTGCGCTGACGTCCGGTATCGCACGGCGTATACCAACGACGACCTGACTCGGAGACATCCCACATTTGATGCTCAACATCGCGGATGTAGACCGAGGAGAACATGGCGTCGACATCGACAGACACCGGCTCTGATTAGCGCATGCACCCCCCGAAGACCTCATGGCTCGAAGGGATTGCGTGCTTTGCTTGCTAATCGCAGGCGTCCAAGTGAGGGGAATTGCGGGGAGGGTTGGATGTGATTAGGTGGTTTGGTATACTTATAGTAGCCGGACTTGTCCACGGTGCTGGATGTCTGTGTGGTAGAAACGGTACCTTGATTGCAAGAATCGGGCTAATATCACGTCGTCATCATGCCGGGTAAATTGATCGATCGTTATGACCATGTCCCCGAGACTAAGGAAGACCGTGAGCATTATCTTTCTTGCATAATTGAATCTTGCTAATGTAGTCAGTGGACTGGGCGGAGCTCGTCACTCTGGACCTGAGTCTGTATGATCAACCAGGTGGAAAGCAGGATCTTGTCAAGCAGCTGGAACACGCCGTGCGCTATGTGGGTAGGTGTTTGTATCTTTCTGTTCATCCGCCTGAGTAAGACTCTGGTATGCCCGTGGCTCTTATTAACAAGCTCTGTAGGATTCTTCTACGTGAAGAACTTCAACATCAGCCAGGATGAAATTGATCGTCAATTCGCCCTAGGCCGCGAGTTCTATGCACTGCCGCTCGAGGAGAAACTCCGTTTCCACAACCGAGAGGACCTCGATCGCGGAGAGTATAACGGCTACAGGCCCGCGGGTCACCGCAAGTAAGGTCTGCCCTAGAGATATGTCGTGATGACTGAAGCTGACTGGCGGTTCCGACAGCCTGGGAAACGGCCTCAAAGACAACGCCCAGGTATACAACATCCCCAAATTCGACGGCTACCACCCGCGACAGCATCCCCCGGTGCTCCGCGACAACCTGGCCGAGATCGAGGCGTTCAGCCGCAAGTGTCACACGGAGGTAGTTGAGAAGCTGCTCCGCCTGTTCGCAATTCTCCTAGAACTTCCCGACGAGGACCAGCTGGTCCGCGACCACCAATACGACGTGAAGGGCGAGGATCATCTGCGCTATATGCACTATGAAGCTCGCAACCCCGAGGACAACAAGAAGGTCGGCGGCCTCTACATTCCCGGCCATACCGACCTGGGCACAGTAACCCTGCTTTTCCGACAGCCTGTTGCAGCGCTGCAGATCCTCAACTCGGAGGGCCAGTGGAAATGGGTGCGTCCTCAGAATGGAACCATCACGATCAACACTTGCGATGCTTTGACGGCTCTCACAGGCGGGCTGATCAAGTCGAGCATTCACCGGGTGCATGCTCCGCCACCTGATCAGGCCCATGTTGACCGGCTAGGCGTGCTTTATTTCGCCCGGTAAGTAGTATCCTGTCGATGGGGGTTGAACATACTAATCTCGCAGTAGACCCAATAACCATGTCGTTCTGGATCCGCTCCAAAACAGCCCGCTGCTCCAGCGTCTCGGACTGACGCAGAACGTCTTCACAGAGCTTGGCCAGCATCTGACGACCGAGCAATGGGTCCAGAAGCGACAGACGCAGCAACAGCGACGGAACACGGAGGTCAAAGTATCTGCCGAGGGGAAGTTCAGCTATGGCAAGAAGGATCTCGAGATTATTCCTGGGCTGCATGCGAAGGTTTACAACTAGACAGTGTCTAGAATAGCTTGCGGTCATCGAAGGATGTCAAATGTTGAATGTATATTCCAAAAGCTCAAGCCTAGAAGTCACTAATCAGTAAAGCCTGTTCAGCAATAGACATGGCAAAAGGAAGCCAAACCACCACCGGTGGGAGTCCCACAGATCAACCCGACTTTCCATTCCGCTTCCTCTTGCTCCCTGCGCTGCTACCCTCCTCAGCCTCAGTCTCGAAGAACCCCGAGACGTCGATATGCCTCAACACCAGAGCGACTTTCTCAACATCCAAACAGGAAACAGGGGACCCGAGCGCGTTCATCCGCCTCTTTAACTTCCCCACCGCATCCCACAACTGCCGATATTCCTGAACAGTATACTTGACATTAACCTCCCCATTCGGTTTGAAGATCCCAGCACGTATCTTCTCCTTCTTCTGTTTCGCCGACTCCTCGTTCCCATCCACCGGTACCTCCTCAAGACAAAGCCAAAGGAAAACGTCATCACTGTAAAACGGAACCTCCTCCACAGCGTCCCTCGCCGCCGTCGCAACCGACAACAAAAGAGAACTCGTCGCGGGCCCAACGCCCCGAAGAGGCCCGGACAGCATCCCGAGGCAGAATTCAGGAAATGCACCACCTTCTTCGGTTGAGGTACCATCGAATTCGTTGATCAGTCTGCGTCGAGGCGCAGGGAGCTCGGCAAATGCATTCGCCGTGGCTTTTTCAACCACGTCGTCGGTGATTTTTTTGATCATGCCGAGGAGCATGGGGCGGAAGACGCCGTGTTTTCTAGATAGAAACTGTTAGTCATGAAGGCATGGAAAGTAAGAACGAGAGAGAGAGAGAAAGAGCAAGAGAAAAGAAACGTACAACTTCCACTCCATAATCTCAACCAATTCCTCCTTCGTAAGATACCCACCCTCACCTCCATCTCCATTTGCTCTGTCCCTCACAAGCTCCGGAAGCCCACGATACCTTCTCTCATCTAACTCCAAGAACCCCCGCACGTCGCGGTCCGCCTGCTCCTGTTCCGTCAGCGCCTCATCGCCGACCCCTGCAGACGAAGACGAAGGGCCAGGTTTCGACCTCTTGGCCTTCTTCGCCGCGGCGGTTGAAGAGCGAGTAGCACGTGCAGTTGCTTTGCGACGCGCAATGGCTTCTACCGTTACGGGGTAGAAATTGAGTAGACGGTGGAAGGTGTCTGGGGTTATTTGGTTGGGGTGGAAATTTGGGGATTGCGCTTTCTGTGATGAAGTGGGTTTAGAAGAAGCCTTCTCGGACTTAGTTAGCGCGGAGTCTTTGGCCATTGGGAATGGTGGGCTTTCTTTGTAGCTGTGGTTGGTGATGTTGATGCTGGTTCAAGGTTGATGGCGGAGGATGGAGATTCTCGTAACGCCAGTACCGGTGGGCATGTGATTTGGTAATTTTGACTGCTCCGGCAGATTCAATCTATTGACCTCTTCGATTTACTGGGACCAAGCATAGTCAACATGATAGAGCTTGTCTTAAGTTCAGATTATATTAAAATTGATAGGTACAGGAAAACATTCGGTGGAAACTTATCGTCAGCGCTGAGCCCATAACATAACAATAAAAGCACGCCAGAAACGCTGAACAACATTCCTCATCACACAAGATCGAGTTAAGCGATCCTTGTGCCCATACAACAAGGGCAAAGAAAGAGCAATGATAATAGATAGGTCCGAGATACATGAAGGTGGTATGGCGACCTCTGTAAACCACAACATCGCCCAAGGAAAGCAAATAGGTTGAAGGCCTCATACACAGGAGAAGAGAGATGTCAAGATTACAACAAGGGTCCCACTTAGAACCCTGGCATAGTAAACAGCAAGAAGAGATATAACAGATCTATCCTTTTTATGGTCCCCGGCTAGGCTTGCGCTTGGGGTCTTTTTGATCTTTTTCCGGACTCGTGTCGGGACTGACAAAGCTGACTCGCCTCTCATCCTTGTCCCGATTCAAAGGTACGACGGAAGAGGAGATGACTTGCTCCTTCGTCCTTGCGTTGCCGCGCCGAAGAGACTTCGACAACGACGCGGAGGGATGAGCCGCCGCGCCGCCCATACTGGGAGCGGTCTTAGGATCGGTGGCCGTGGAAGAAGCCGGACTGTCTTCGTCACCCTCGACGTTGATGTGACTGAAATCCTCCTCGTGATCCCCGGCCTCGGACGAGCTAGGACCCGGGCTCTCCGAATCGGAGGCTTCCTCGTAGTCGTCCTCGTCGTCGCTCACCAGACTCGGAGCCTGATTGGACTCCATGGTGTTCGGGCTCAGATTCGGGGCGCGATCTATCCCGTCCACTTCGCGAAGGTCAAGTAGCTGAGAGGGCCGCGAGGAGGTGGTTGGGCCGTAAGGCGACTGATAGGGGGCGGGTCGCGTCGGCGTTAAAGTTTCAATGGGGAAAGGTCGGTGACTCGTCTTCTCTACTCCCTTGCGGCTGCCGGGCCGCCGCGACGTCGCCTGCGAGGCGGTCGTGCGCATGGGCTGCCGGCCCACGCGAGAGTTCTGCTGATCCGGGGCTTCGTCGACTAACGGCTGTTCCGGTTCCGCTTCGGATTCGCCCTCGTCCGAAGAATAGGCATCGAGATCGACCGTGGTCTTCGCATCCCCAACTAACCGATCAAGGTCCAGACCAACTCCCCGCATTTGCATCAAAGATGAGAGATGGGGGGTGTCGGGGGAGGCCATGAAGGAGACGTTCGACGCGTTCGCCGTGGCAGGCGTGGTCTGCTTGCCGAGCAACGGGCGAGCCGATGCCCGGGGTGTTTCCACCGCAGACGATCCTTGCCGGCCGGAATCCGATGGCTTCCGGGGCGTCGCGGCGTCGCTGCCGGGGGCTTCTGACCCGGACGAGGGCGTCTTGGAAGACGGCTCGATAACGTGGGCTGACCGGATCAACGGGTGAACGTACCCAGCCGTGGTGGTGCTGGGGGGTTCATTCTTGCCTCCCACGATCGCACCCGCCTCGTCGACTTCCACCGGTTCCCCGGATGCGACGGCAGCGGCATCGTGACTGGCAAAGTTCCGACTATGGGCGATGCGGCAGTGGTTGATGAAGCCTTGGGTGCTGGAGAAGTTGTCCCGCCGACAGTCCAGACAGATCAGCTTGACCATGACGCCATCCGACTTTCGCCGGATGATCATGGGGCCGGCTTTTTCTTTCGGGGCCGGGTAGCCGTTGGGTAAAGATTGCAGCCGGGTACTGCCAGCGGATGCTCGTTGGGAGCGAGATTTCCCAGCCAGGAAGCCGGCGTCGCCCGCGCTCCCACGCGTCGAGCGGCCTTCCGCCGTGGGCGTCCCCACGGCTCCGATCGCCGTAGGGGTCCCGGGCTCAACCTCGCCACCGTCGAAGCGAGGGTCAGGAAGCAACCATCGCGCGTAGTGTCGCGTGTAGGGACCGTCGGCGACTCCCCACGGAGCTGGAGAGAGCGGCGCAGGCCCATTTCCAGGAGCAAGCACCGCCATCCCCGTCCCGGCGCTGACGGAAGGCGCAAGTCCGGCGGGATGTGAGGCTGGATAGGGGATTTCGGCGCATCGCCGCAGCTGTTCCAACGCGACTTGACATTTAGCGATCTCCTGGTCGATCAAGCGCAGCTCGTTGTGCTTGAGCAAGACCTCCAGACTTAGCTGCGCCTCGATCGTCTCGCGCAAGCGGCCGACGTCTACTTTGCGCGAGGCGGCATCGCCGCCGGCGGCGGGAGTTGAACGATCGGAAGCTGGATTTGAGTGATGCGACGTGTCAGACGAAGTGGACGTCGGACCGGAGAGACGGTCGCCCATGGGCTCCGGCTTCTGCGTCGAGGCGACGGGATGACCGGGCGCATCGTCAGCGCGCAACTTGGTCGCGACCGGAGCATCTTGACCGGGGATGGGGTCGCTGGAATCCGAGCGTTTGCGCTTCAACTGGGGCAGGGATAGAGCGTTGACGCCTGGGGCGGCGCAGTGAGACGAGGCGGCGAGCATCTTGAGCTCCTCGGCCGTCACCTTGTTTCCCCCGACTGCAGAGGACCAGGGAAGCAGTCGAAACATGCCATGCGAAAGACAGGAACAGCGGGATGGGAAATAGATCTCGGCCGGAAGGGAGGGAGGGGAAGGCGCAGAAGTGATGCGACACGTCACAAAAAAAAAATAGAAAAAGAAACAAAAAAAAAAGTCAAACGTCGAGCGACAAAATCATGCACCGGCGCATGCGAACGAGATCTAGATCCTGGGGGGAGGAGAAACAGGAATAGAAGATGAAGGGTGGAGTGAGGCGTAGAAAGTCCGCAAAGGAGTGGGCGTCGCCGATCGGCGGAGGAAGCGGATTGCGACCGGGAGGGAGAAGGGAGTAAGGGGGAGAAGGCGAAGGGGGGAAGAGAAAGAGACACCGGGCGGGCGCGCAATCAGGATGCAACCAAGCGATTCAGACAACGAGGGTCGGATCCGATTGGGTGGGAGGAAAGGAAGAGGGGGAGAATGGCCAAGGAAAGATAAAACAGAATCAAAACAAATCAATCCAGTGGAAGCAAATTAAATGAAGGAGAATGGAAATGTTGAGGAAGGTTGACAACAAACAACCAGCAGGAGTTGGAATGGGATGAGGGAAGTATGGCGTATCGCCAGGCAAGCCGCTAATCAATCAATCAATCAATCGAAAGGGACGAGAAGCAGAGAGAACAGGAAGTCAAGAACACGATCCACCGGCTCCAAGTGGGTGGCGTAATCTATTAATAAGAATTAAAGAAGAGAGTAGTTAACGGGTCCGCTCCCCGGGATTCAATCAATCAATCCACCGCCCAGGAACAGGCAGCAGACAGGATGACGACGACCGAGAGAGAGAGGGAGAGAAAGAGAGAAAGAGAAGGATTCGAATGGCAACGAATTGACTTGGCCTTCGAGCAGACAGATAGGGAACAAAACTGTAAGCAGCCTGTCGAATGTTTGGGCAGCAGTAGAGAGACGGTTGCTAAAAGTTTAATGATAACGACGATAGTAGTTATTGTACAGACTGAATGGTATGTAAATCACAATAATTTCAGAATAGAAGAAAAAAAGAAAGAATCTGATTAGAAATCAATCTAAACGATCACAAGTCAAACGGAGGATACGAAACTGGGACGAGGAAGAAGTTGACCGAAGAGGGAAGAATCCAGGATGAAAGATTGAGAAAGAAGGAGGGGAAAGACGGAAGACTTCTTACTTCTTAGTCAGTCCAACCGTCAGAAAGGTTGGTTTTCCTGTTTTCCACCGACCCGGCCAGACCCTTCTTGACGTGTCCGATTGCTGGTCGTCGATGGCCCCAGCACCTTTTTGCGTTTCAGATCACATCAGTAGATAAGACTAGAGACTACGCCCTACTAAGTACCTTGACACTGGACTCTATACGAAGTATAAGGGTTCAAGTCTCGCATCTCTTCCGATTGCAAACGACGCCCCGAACACGGACTTCGGAGTCGTCGTCTGGCTCCGGCCCAGGCTCCATCTCCAGACCCGTGGTTGATGGACTGACATGGCCATTGTTATTTGTCCATTATTGTGCTCCATCAGCTCTCCTGGTTGACGTCATGCATCCGAACAGCATCCATCATTTATCCATCTTCGATCTTCAATTGCGTTCCCCTGCTATATCGACCCCGGAGATACGGTAGACATCAGTTATTATCCCCGATACATATAAGACGAGCATGTGCGATGCGCCATGAGAGTCATTCCGCTCTGCCTGGTCCTAGGAATAAACTAGACCACGGCAAGTCATTCTCTATCCCGGTATACCGCAGCTTCTGATTGTTCCCAGAAACGGACGAACGCGACTAAGACTGGTTTTGGAGAAGAAACAAACAAGAAAGAAAAAATAGATGAAAAAGGATTTGAGACAATGGGATTTTCCAAGAGGCAAGAAAGAACAAAGTAAGGAGATTGCAGCGCAGAAAAGCCAGTGGAAAAGGAGAAACTTCAAACTGGCGAACATCGAACAGTATCAGCAACAATCTCCCCTTTATGTCATGAAGATCTTCTCATTACTCGGAACTTCCGAAAGACGCACAAACTTCAACTTCGGGGCCTGCTCTACCGAACCCTGGGAATTCCGACACGAACAGAAAAACAGCGCATTTCTGGTTCCGCCTGAAGCTGGGCACGGCCGGATCAACATGGCAAGCGTGAGGTTCTCCGGGAGGCACTGGACGCTGATTGCACCGCCCGCGCGACCAGAGGGTCCTGCACTTATGAGGAACGGCGCCTTTTCCCCACACCCCGCAACCGCCATTTGCTTTTGGCAGCAACCCCGGTCCTCGTTAGTCCTCATGCACCCCGCTACATGGAAGCTGTCCGAGTCCCATAGATGCGGGATTTGATCTTTCAATTGAATGACCCTCGCTTATTGGGTGCGACGCTGGCCGACGGGCTGGGTGAACTTCGGATGCCACTTTGGCAACGGGTCGCCCATTCTTAGCACAAGGAGTCATGGACATCCTCTAACCCATCGGTTTCGGAAATTCCTTCTTGGCTCAAGTATGAGCTCATGGCTCCAACGGATCGCTGGCACTGTTCTTGTGCCTATATGAGGCCGGAGGGGTCCATTGCCTCGGACATGTTCTGATTGACGAACCTGCCAAAGAACTCTCGAGCGCTCTTCCGTCTCTCCTTTCTTTTTGCCTCCTCTAGCAAAATGCACCTTTCGCTGGCACTCGGTGCCTTATCCTGCCTTCCTTTCTCTCTCGCACTTCCCCATCTCCAGGGCCGGGACTCATCAGGATACGTTGACTGGAGGAACTTCAAAGCCGATGGTGTCAATCTAGGAGGATGGCTCGTGCAAGAGTCCACGATTGACACTCCATGGTGGGGCAAATATTCCCTCGGTGAAGATGATGAATGGGGGATATGCAAGCGTCTTGGATCGCAGTGCGCTTCTCTACTAGAGCATCGATACGCCACCTTTATCACCGAAGCGGACATCGACAAGCTGGCCGGCGTTGGGGTGGAGATCATCCGCATCCCCACCACCTACGCCGCCTGGATCAAGCTTCCCGGCTCACTCCTGTACTCTGGAAACCAGCTTACCTACATCAAGAAGATCTCGGACTATGCCATCGAGACTTACGGCATGCACGTGGTCCTTGACCTCCACTCGCTCCCAGGCGGCGTGAACGGCCTCGACATCGGCGAAGCCGTCGGCCACTGGGATTGGTTTCACAACGAGACCGCACTCGACTACTCTCTGCAGACTGTCGACGCCGTGGTCGACTTCATACAGAGCTCCTCTTCCCCCCAGTCTTACACCATCGCGCCGATCAACGAGCCTGCCGACAGCAACCAAGACATGTCGGTCTTCGGCACCCCGGCCGCCCTATCGGACCGCGGCGCCTCCTGGGTACTGAAATACATCCAGGCGGTCGTCGATCGCGTGGCCGCCGTCAACCCTCGCATCCCGATCATGTTCCAGGGCAGCTTCAAGCCCGTAAATTACTGGTCGGGCCATTTCCCGTCAGACACGAACATCATCTTTGACGTGCACAACTACTACTTTTCCAAGCCCAACGCCACCTCCGCTAACCTCCCCGCCTACATCGACTCCGACGCGCGGACCAAATCGGGCGACGGCAAGTTCCCCGTCTTCGTGGGCGAGTGGTCCATCCAGGCCGCGAAGAACAACAGCTTTGCTCTCCGGGAGCGGAACTTCAACGCTGGCGCCACTGCTTTCCGCACACATATGCAAGGAAGCACTTACTGGACGGCGAAATTTACCAGCAATGTCACGGTGGACGGACAGGGAACGCAAGGGGATTACTGGAACTTCGAGGGGTTTATTGACCGGGGCTACGTTAAGCAATTTGGGAGTAAATGAGAGTTCGGTTGGGGAAATAGAGTAGTCTAGTTTGATTCTCATTTTGACGAATTCATCTGTTAGAAACAATATACCCTTTGAAACTTTTCGAATTCGTTCAACCATAGCCGCTCGATCTAATAGTAGCTGAACAAGCATGGCGACTAAGGCCAGTTTAAAAACAAGCCAAGAAAAGATAAGTACGCCACAAATATGAATACACGAACAAAACCAGCCGTCATAGTAATAACAAGAGCCGTTCATCCAAATCAACACATGCAGCCCAGTGGTAATGATAGCGGGTGTAAAAAACATAGTCAGTGAAGACAGCATGAAGGCGTATACATATTGCAAAAAATCGAGATCATCACAGAGCATGAATCAAACCAAGACTCATCAATCATTCGTCCACATTCCTCTCCTTCTCTCCACAATCCACCAACTCCCCTCTCCCTTGATTAAACAAGAAGAAAACAGATCCCCTACTCCTTCATCCTCAACACAAAATTCACAATAACCGCCGCCAACAACGACAACGCCAACACCGTCGGCCCAAACCGATCATCAATGCCCGTCGAACCCCGTTTCCGAATACTCTGCGCCCGCCAGTGGAACGTAACCAGGGCATAGATCATCGAGGCCATGGCGATGACGGTGAACAGGCCGGCGGAGATGCGCCCGACGCGGTCGCCGAAGTTCAGCAGGCCGACGGCCAGACCGCCCAGGATGACGGTGAAGTTGAGCCATGAGAGGAAGGTGCGCTCGTTGGCGAAGAAGACCTTGGGCTCGACGCGCGTGGGGAGCGCGATGCGTTTGCCTGTGTGTGGTTTGCGGGAGATGTTTAGGTGGTTGATTGATTGATTACGGGTAAGAATGAGGTTATGACGACATGGGTTTGGATAGGATCATGGGGCTTGGGTGCTGAGGGATGGAGGGAGATCGTTGCGATGGTGCATCTGGAGGGATCTGGGAGACTAACCTGGGGCTGTTTGGAGGAGAGGTTGACTGGACATTTTGTGGTGTGTGGGTGCAAGAGATCTCGAGTAAAGAAGGGAGAGAGATCGGCCAAGGGGTGGACAGCCGTTAATGATATCAGAACCGGATTTAGACGAGTGAGGTCACGTTTCTCGGAGAAAATGAATGAACTGGTGGATAATTGAGATAATGAATGCCCCAATGGAGAGACTGTCGAGCAATTCCTGTCGACTCGACGATTAAGAAAAGTTGAAATAAAAACGACGCCCAGCAAGGACGGGGGCGCAGGTCGGGGCACTTGGGACAGTATTTAATGGGGACTTTCTCGCTCCAGGCCCCCGCCGCTGGAAAGTTGACGGGGAGGTGCTTACCCTGTCGGGCCTAGCGTGTGGCGCCCCCCGACTATTCTGCCGCTGCTCTCCGCTGCTCTCCGCTGCTCAGGGCGCACGTGCTCAACTGATTTGCTGCCTGAGGTCGAACAAAAGTACCCGTCTGTGGCGGTGCGCAGTCAAGCAACGCGCTAAGCCTGACTGGGAAGCCAGCTACTAATCCAGTCCTGATCGGGCATAGCGGCAGCCGAAGTTAAACGGCTTACTATGCGCGGCTCAGCCACATCCATGAGTCTCCTAATCTGCTAAACATCCCAAACAACACGCCTGCTCCGCATCGATTCCTGCTGCCAGATTCGAGCCCGTTCTCTATCCCTGCATACTCTGTCCCTTGATTTGAGCAAGTACGGAATTCTTCCCCCCGCAATCCATTCCGTTCCCGCGACACTGGAGTTTATGTCTCCCCCCCACCCACAATCGCATCTCCGCGTCGCGGGTCTGGTTCGGTCTTCCGCTATCATGGGCTCTTCTATGACAGCGATGCACCCCACACAAACGGTCCATGCTAACTAAGAGTTAGGAAGTCTTCGAAACACACGTGTATACAATTCCTTACTCACTCTGATCATCCACAATGGCTGTTGAGGCTCCCACCACCGTGAGTGATCGAGACTTCCGGCCGAGGCAGCGTTCTCCGCACGACTTGTCCATAATTATACTCGAGGCCGTTCCTACAGTTCGCTGACCGGTTTTTTTTTTGTCTCTACAGCCCGTTCCCGTTGCGGAACTCACCAAGATCGCGACAGAGGTACGTCTGACTCTCTTAGCCCTCCCCGCCAACATCATACCACTTGGAACCCCGGAACCACCGCCGTTCGCTTTTGCGCCCCGATCTAACAACCCCGGACCAGGCCTGCGACACCTCGCTGAAAGATGTTGAGGCATACGACCACGTGAAAGTCGGCGACTGGAACTCTCAGATCATCGTAAGAACAGCCCCCCCCACCTCCCTCTCCTTCCTCCCAACCTCTCACCGCAATCTTCCCCTCCATCGGTCCCGGGACATCGGCCAATCCAAGCACGCCTAATCTCTATCTTCCTCAGAACGACATCCTCAAAGCCCTCATCACCGCTACCACGCCGTCCACGCCCTCCGCCGGCCCTCCCTACCGGTTCACCGTCAACAGCACCATCGTGCAACAAGGTCTGATCGAGAAGTCGGCGGCCGCGGATGGCGCCGCCACCAACGTCGGCAAGCGCGGCATGCACTCGGCCTCCGGTGCCTACTGGGACGTCAACCGCGACGGCATGTGGACGTTCAAGTACCCCGGAGCGGACGAGCGGGGTCTAGATGTGGTGGTCAGCGTGACGTGGTTTGCGGTGAACTAAGCGGAGTAAGGTCGTATAACCAAATTGAACAAGAAAAGAAAAGGAAAAAAAAGTAGATATTTTTCTGATTGATGTTAGCTTTGGTTGTTCGGGCTGCCTTTTTATTTCTCCTACTTCTATTTTCCAGTATTTGATTGTAATTCTATGGCTTGTGTGTATGGTTGTATACTGGGAGCCCTGTTATTGTACTCTTTCTGACATCATTCCGGTGTCTCAAATAAGATATTGGTTTGTATGAGAGAAACTTCTAGGTCTTACTATTCTAACAAAATATAGCTAGATAGGGTGATCAAGAGGCAATTCTCTAGGACGTCATGCATATGCTCATTGGTATTAGACAGGCGGCAGCGTTCCTCGGACAAACAACATCGATCTCCATGCAACGGAGCCCGTAGATTATCCATAACCTCAAACAGAAACAGCAAAAACAGGAGAACAACAGCAACCCGAAACGCCAATTAAGAAAAGACAAGAGAGACAAAGAAGGGTAATTACTTCATTGTCCCAGATCCCTGGCGCCATGCTTACCCGTATTAAAGACTTAATCGTGCCAATCCAAATCATGGGTATACCGCTTCTCACCCCACACTTACAACCAAGGAGTAGTATCTGGTCTCGTCCTACGTATTCTCCATTCTCCGTCTCAACGAGGCTCAGAGTAATCGTTGAGAGCGACACAAACCGCCCCGCGGTGATGTCCACTGTACTGACGAATGACCTGGCCGGACGCCAGCTCCCATAGACGGGCATAGTGATCGCTAGAGACGGTGACAAGGTAAGCCGAGTCGGCGGAGAACGCGCAGTCCCAGACCCAGCGCTGATGATTAGCTAGTGTCGTCTCCAGGTAGAGGGTTGCGGTGTTGGGGTCGATCGGCGGCCCGTCGGGCTGGACGGGGAAGGTCTGTTGCGGCTCGGTGCTGGGGGGCGGCGTGATTCCGTCGATGAGACTGAAGGGGTTGAAATCGGTGGCGGCCTTGGCTTTGTCACTGCCCGGCGTTCCGTTCTGACTGTCTGGCGTGGGCTGCGGGGATGCGATGTCCTGGGTGCCCGGGCTGAGAGCTTTCACTTTGGCCTTGGCAGCGGCCATCTTCGCGGGAGGGTAGTCGAGGTCGAGATTCCAGACTTTGGCCGTGTGGTCGGCAGAACAGGTTGCGAGGTGCTTGACGTCGGGGGAGAGAAGAATTCGGGTGAGGTAATCCTTGTGGGCCTGGAAGGTGCAGATGGGGACGATGCGAGTGATTTCAGCATCTTGGAGCATGCGCCAGATGTAAACATTGCCCTGGGAAGGCATTAGGGTGGGGTTTCAAAAAGAAGAGATAGATAGATCAGTCATATGGGGGATAGACTGGACTGTATTCTCACCTTCTTGTTTCCGGCACAGAGCAAAGACCCGTCACTTGCGACGCTGACACTCTGAACGGCAACGTCATCTTCAGGAATCAACTGGTGGGTGCAAACACTCTCTCCCAGATCCCAGACGCGCACAATACCGGCGCGATCCCCACTAATCAGCTCACCCTGGTTGGGATGAATGACAACGTCGTTCACGGGAGCCTTGTGGGCGTAATTGCGCTGCAAACTGCCGGTGCGGGTGTCCCAGACTTTCACCGTGCCGTCTTCCGAGCTAGTAACCATCCACTTGCCTTCGCAGTGGAATGCGACCCCAGTTATGTTATTTGTATGACCGTCAAAGCTCATAATCGGGTTGGGATTGGTGGACTTGATGTCATAGAGCTTGACGTTGTTGTGGCCTGCCGCTGCTAGATAGCGTTTGTCGGGGGTAATGCATAGCCGATTAACCTGCGAGTCCGGGTGCTGGATGGTACGTGAACAGATGCCAGACAGCGCTTCCCAGAAACTATTGAAAGAAATCAGTCTTACTGATCAATGCCGTATGGGGATCTGATCGGGACTCACCGAATGGTATGGTCATAGCCCGCTGTGGGCGATATTCCCATCTCAGCTAATGTCACGTATAATACCTCGCTACAGAGCAAGAACCAACGAATTTCTCAGACTCACCTGTGCAGAGAATAACGCTCATTTTGAATGCGCAGGCCACTCAAGGTGGCCGAAGATAGCGAAGGAGGAGGATGCGATGACTTTGCGAAGTGTTTCGCCGGGTGAAACCAGTAATAACCAAGAGCCAGCAGAAATGCCGGTCTTTTGGGCCCCGGCCTTTCTACAGCCGCACCCCGCACGTGAGCGGTCATCAAGGCGGTACCAAAGGCGGAGTCAGCGCGCAGCTGATCAAACGGTTGTTTTTTTTCTGCATTCCCGCATTCATCCTTCTTTTCTTACTTGCTTCTCCTCCACTCTTGCATCCAAAGGTGACTCCGGCGATCGGTAGCCGGTTGTCTCCTGAGAGGATCTGTTGTCAATAAGATTGAACCTTCCGTGGCAACTCTGCGAATTTGGTTTATTCAAACTCGTGAGAGTCTAGTTATATTGAAGGTGCTGCTGGCTTTAAAGAGGTACGACTGCGCTGTGGCAAGAAGCCCTTTGGCCTGGTTCTCATTTGCTTTTATTCTCTAGCCTTCAACATACCATATGGCCTGCTCGATCACTCTGCTACGTTGACTTTGTTGACGTGTTGAAAGTCTCCGTTGTTTTACCAAAACTGCGGGCGATTCTTTTGAACGGTTTGAATCGCGATGGACGGAAGTGTGGTTGAAGGTATTTCTACCTCTCTCCAGACCTGCCCTCCTGATCCCCAGGCTTTCATGCCCTTGGGAGATCTCCCGAATTCTCCATCTTTTTCGCATCTGCATGTAAATGATCTGGGGCTTACACCTCCCCCTGGGTCCCCGCTGCAGCAACCTACCGACGTTCTTCGGAATTTCCCCCAGGGTGAGAGTCATGGAACGTCTGACGGAAATCCGATGAGGTCAACAGATGGCCTTGTCATGCAAGATGATCTAGACCAGCCGAAAGGTATTGTTCACGATGGACCTGGTCAGAAGCAAGGAGATTCCTTTTCAACCAGGGACACCGATGGCTCCGGCCACGCCAACGAGAAATCATCGACCGCCAGTGACATTCCGTTCTCTATAGCCGAAAAGAGCGCGGTCGCTTCACAAGACATCCCTTCTGAGACCGACCACAACGCGATCGATGTCAACAAAGAATTCTACGACCATCTGTTTGACTCCGATTCTGTTCTCCGAGAACTGGACGCGGTCTTTGCGTCTCGGAAACGGTCTGGTGAGGACGCGTTTCCAGGAGAGTTTGATCTCTGGGCCCAGCCGGTGAAGAAGCGATCCGTTGATCCGACGACGAATGAACAATGCACCACTCCCGATGAAACCCCCTCCCTGTCGTCGGCAGACTCAATCGCTCGACTTGAACAAGGGGATAGTTACCCTCATACTCCCGTGGGGACAGAAACAGCAAAGTCGCCCGGCCCCTTTTTTGAATCGCTAGATACACTTTTCGAGGATCCGAATTTCGAAATCCCACTAGATAACCCCGATAACTTCCCTTTTGACTTGGAATCCCCTTCGTTTTTCGATCAACCAGTCGCCGAGGAGCAACCGGCCGTCCATTCGACCAGTCATCCCAACACCGACCCCAATCTCGACGATACCATTTCGGAGCCTTTGGAGAAAGTAGATGTCGCCCCCGGGCCCGCTGAAGCGTGCCTCAGCGATTTTACCAAAGAGCGGTTCTCGCTTGACCCTCAGGACATCATTGCCAGTACCACCCGAGAGGTTCTACAGCGGATCTACCAGGAGCCGCAATACACATCCCCCTATCCGGCATATGGAGGTCCGCTAGGATACTTTCCGTCGGCGCCAAATGTACACGTTCGCTGCATAGAAGTTGGGGATGATCGGACCAATTATCGGCTATCTAGTCTAAAGGACAAAATCCAACACCTCACGTGGGAGCGGAACAAGTACCGGAACGCATGGTATGAATGGACGACGCTCGACCAGAAGACGGGCAAAACGAAGGAGCAACTGCTCCGCGAGGAAAATGCGACCCTCAGGCGCGTCTCCTCGCAACACCAGAACCGCGCCGAGCAATACAAGAAGGAGATCGCGGAGTGGAAGAACCAAATGCGCCAACTTGGGATCACCCACAACAATCTTCTGTACGAGATCCACGTTCAGCGCCAGATGCCTGCAGTCACGCCGATTCCCGCCGGATACAAGCCCCCGACAACTCGGGGGCCACCACCCGTTACACCGTCTGTACATAGACCTCTAGGCCTCGTGCCCCATGCCGCATCGACGCCTGACGCCATTGCTGCCCGAGGACACCACCAGCAAGCGCAACCGTCTTGTGCCACGGCCACCTTGGCCTCGCGCCCAGCACCTCGCGAGTCCAGACCGCCGCCGGTCACCATTGATCTCACGGAGGACACGACCGAGCAGTCACCCGCTCCCCCGCCGGAACCTTCGCCAGAACAACAACGACGGCGCATCGAGATGCTCCAATCCCTGCGCAACAAGAAATATGGCTGGCTCAACGAGACCGATTCGGCTGGATACTCGGGCGCACAACGTCCTGACGGAGCGACACCCGCCTCGATCACTCCTCGCGACCGCCCGCCGAATGCCGACGCCGCAGAACTTGCAAACGGCGGTGACACCACGGATGACGAGTTGGCGCGTGCAATGGAGGAGGAATTGGCACAAGCCTAAAACAACAGACTGATGATACCCCATACATACCATACACATACCCACTTGCATGGAAGATTGACATAATTTTCGGGCGTTTTTTTTGTTCATGTATTTTCAGAGATGATAGCATAGCGATCTGGGATTCTGACTTTTGCCGTGTCACTCGAAGGACTGAACGAGTTACCATTTGACGAACATTAACATCACAAATACAATTTAGACCAAATACACATTTACAAATAACTACCAGTGGTGAACGAATTGAAAAGATCCATCGTAATCCAAGTTTAGTCGTAACGATCGTAAGGTAAGATATCAAGTACATCCTTCTTTTCTTTATACCATCCTTCTAAGCCAGTCCAAATCCATGTTCAGATCCAGATCCAGATCCGTATTCCAATCCACCGAACCAGAACCAGTGCAAGCAACATGTATGTACGAAATCCAGCCCGGTATAGTAAATGTAAGCCTGCTATATAAACCACAAAGAGACAGATGAGCAAAGAAAACAAGGTAATCCCCAAAGCCAACAACACATATATATATCAGAAAAAGAAGAATCTAGACAAAATCCCGCGCCAAATGATTTAGGAAAGAAGAGAGGGAGGGAGAGGGAGAGAGAGAAGACAGAAGGCAGATGGAGGAAGAAGGCAAAGAAGACACTTGACTCAACCCAACCTCCTACCCTCCACTTCTCAATGAGAAACAATATACAGTTGAAACCTACCCGGCGCTTACCATCCACCTTTTTCAATCCGTCGGACTCCTCACCTTCTCGCGATCCAAGGACCCCGAACCGTTCGAATCGGTATTCGTACCCGCCGCAGGACTCCCCGCGCGCTTCAACTCCTTCCTAGCCTTCCGGCCGCCGCAGCACGCCGCACACGACGACCCCAGCTGCCACAGGAAGGGCAACAAATTGAAAGCAGACGCGACCCACATGAAAGCCATCATCTGCGAGCCAACCTCAGCGTTGATATTCAAGTCCTGGGCGGAGTTGGTGAAGACGTTTTTGAAGATGATGAACATGACGGTGGCGACGACGGAGGGAACGATGGTGAAGAGGGCGGTTAGGAAGGTGAGGAGCAGGAAGGGCAGGGAGCGGAAGAGCACGAAGGTGCGGCGGCGATGGGTCGGGGAGGCGGCGTTGACGGAGGGATCGGAGGAGAGCGACTGCGGGGGTCGTGAGGAGGTGGCGAGCGGAGAGAGGAAGATCATCACGAAGGTGAGCACCGTCGCGGTGAGGAAGAGCCCGAACATCCAGTACGAGGCTTTGCGGGCGATTTGAAGCGCCGAGGTGATGTCTCCGGGGAGGGCGACTGGTTTGAAAGAGAGGAATGGTTAGTTCAATGTATATCGAGTTGAATGAGCTGCAGGAATGGAAACGGGATCAAGGGGAAAGAATGCAATGCAGGTATGTATGCTATGCCATGCTAGGCGATGTGATCTATTCTAGGTCGACAGGTGGAGAAGGGGAAGAAAAAAAGAAAAACGTACTCGTAGCGCCCGAGAGCAATTCACTCAACAGGATCGTCACTGGATCGAACCAGTACAGCGTCTCGGGTTTCGAGCAATGCGTGATCCCACTGTCATTGTAGCCCTCGCAGAAGTTCCACAATCCGACCTGATAGAAATCGTGCAAGCCGATAGACCGGGCGATACTGTTGATCAGGACGGCATTGGGGATGGAGAGCGGGACGATGTTGGAGAGATCGATCTTGAGGAAGTAGGTGTCGCGCAAGACCGGCTTGTTGGAGAGATTGCCGATGACCACCAGGATGAGGAAGATCCAGGCAATCAGGTAGAAAAAGGAGCGGAGGATGCGATGCCAGAGAACGGTGGAGCGGGACCGTCCGGCGGTGGGAGGCCGCGGAGGAGCTTTATTGAATAAGGGCAATTTGGCCATGGACTTTTGTGATTTCCTCTCTAACGGTCGATTGTTCGATTGACAATCAACACGTGGGGAGAGGAGGGGGCTGGCTGGACTGGAATGTGGGAAGAAAAAAGAGTAAAGGGAGGGCGGAAGGGAAGGAGAGAAGGGACAGGAAAGTAACGGAGGTACGGAGTTGAGTGATGAGATATGATATGATATGATATAAGATGGACTGGGATGGATCTAGGTGGAGGTTGGCCAGATGACGTGGTTCGGCTGCTCCATCGACGACCAAACACGAGCCAGAGATGAGTGATCGAAAGATAAAAAAAAATTTTTTGACAGAAAGACGGATGGTGGATAAATTTCGAGCAACAAATGAGATGAGAAAATGAGTTCAGTAGCCGAGACCGAATCCAGGGAAATAAAAGTCAAAACGTAAATCCAAATTGAGTGCAGGGGAAGGGGAAAGGAGCAGGAAAAGGAAGACCAAACGAGCGAGAAAAACAAGCCACCGCCGCCGCAGCTAAGAACCGGCTAGTCTGGAATTATGTGTTTCTATTTGATCCCTAATTAATTCGGGGGTCTGGTCGATCGGCGGCTAGACTGTTTAACCTTTTTAAAGTAGGGCTGGGTGTTGGGTGTCGCAAAGGACCCAGAGCAAAGCTGCAAAACAATAAAAAAAAACGATCCCTGAAACCAGGAGAAAGTGGCAACGATCGTCACGCATCGTTCGTGTTGTTAGGAATATCTATTCCTGGCCGAGCAATTCATCGACCCGATTGACAGATCGGAGGAAAATGATTGACTGAATGTCTCAGACGGAGCCGGTCTGGAAGTACGACGACCGGCGTGCCCCTGCCGTTATTGGCTCCGACTCACCGGGCCCAACGTCATGCCGGCAGCAAGTGGGTCCCTGTTTTGCCGGCTGCCTGGCCTGGACCGCCCGATGATTGGCCGACCGGGGAGTGGGGTGCGCCGCCACAGACGCAGTTCCATGCGGGCTGCCGATCGGGTGGGACAGGGATCCGGGATGACTCAGCTTTGATACGCCGTACGGTGTACATCATAATACGGTCAGGCAAAAATACGACATTCCATTTAAGGCATTTGTGGCGGCGGCCCTTCTTCCTCTTCCTCCTTCTGTCTCTCTTTCGCTCCCTTGGTGGGATCTTCATTCCTAGATCACATTTTATCATATCTATCTTAAAATCTATATAGAAATCTCCCCTCCCGACCGACTGATCTCCCATTCTGCCCGTGACTTGGTCTCCCCCCCCCACCATGCGGTTAGTTTCCCTACTACCGCTGCTGGCAGTCGTACTGGCTGCCAGTGATAGCGAGACCTCGTCCGACACCAAAACCACCCTCACCAACACCAAGAACATCCTCACTCTGGACGGTACTATCACGGCTCCCATCAGCGATGCCGGCACACGCACTGGTCATTACCTCTCATACACCTCCACCAAGACTCTGGCCACCGGTCATGGCGGCATGGTGGGCTCGACGGCCCTCAGCGGTTCCGAGTCCGCCGTGACGACCGCCTCGCACACCGGCAATGCCACTCACACGACGCCCTCTGAGACCATGACCCGGCTCGTGGGCAATAACACCTCTAATGCGACGCACACCGGTCCGACCTCGTCCTCGACCCCCGTCGTCAACACCCAGCCCTGCAATGGCTACGCCGAGTTCTGCGCGCGCAACTACTCCAACATCACCATGGTGGCAGCCCACAACAGTCCGTTCGTGAAACTAGGGAATGTCGCGGCGAATCAGGCCTTGGATGTCGAGGCTCAATTGAACGATGGAATCCGCATGCGTATGCTTTTGTCCTTGTGTCCCTTTCGCTATGCTCCAACTCGACTAACCTCCCACCCTTTTCGCTTGAACAGTGCAATTCCAAACCCACGTCGTCAACAACACCGTGAAACTCTGCCACACCAGCTGCGACCTGCTGGACATGGGTCTGCTGGAAACCTACCTCAACACCGTCGCACGCTGGATGAAGAGCCATCCGTATGACGTGGTCACGATCCTGATTGGGAACTACGACTACGCTCTACCCGGCAACTTCACCGAACCCATCCGCAAATCCGGCCTGCTGGACCTGGCCTACACGCCACCCAAGATCCCCATGGGTCTGCACGACTGGCCCACGCTGTCCACCATGATCCTGTCGGGCAAGCGCGCCGTCCTGTTCATGGACTACATGGCCAACCAGACTGCGTACCCCTGGTTGATGGACGAGTTTTCGCAGATGTGGGAGACGCCGTTCTCGCCGACGGATCGCAATTTCCCCTGCACGGTGCAGCGCCCGCCCGGTCTGCATCCGCCCGACATTCGCAATCGCATGTACCTGGCCAACCACAACCTCAACCTGGAACTGAACTTTGCCAATCTGAATCTGTTAATTCCCAACACGGCCCAGCTGAACCAGACGAACGCCGCGGAAGGGTTTGGCAGTTTGGGCTGGATGGCCAGTAACTGTACCAGTATGTTAACCTTGCTCTTGGTTTAAAGACGTCTACACAAGAAATGACCACTGACACATTTATCAAAAACAGGGGACCACGCCCGACCTCCCAACTTCCTCCTAGTCGACTACTACAATTACGGCCCGGTGAACGGGTCCGTCTTCGAAGTCGCCGCCGACATGAACAACGTCACGTACAATGGCAAATGCTGCGGTGCGACGTCGTCCGGGACGAGTTTCGCGCCGCACGGCATGGCGATGTCGGTGGTGCTGATTGCAGGCGTGCAGTATTTGATTTCGATATTCTAATAGCCCTTCTAGATTGTTTTCCCCTTCTTCCTATATATAGATATCTATCCTTGTGATTATGAGATACGACTGTGCGAATTTTACAATTCTGTGGTGTTGTAGATTATGATATCATCATACATTATCAATTTAAATTGCCTTTTCCAACATTTGCATGACTTAGTCTAGTTCAAAATACGACTTGTATTTCATTGTCGATCGATCGTGCGTGCAGTTCAAACGATTCGATAAGTCATGCATGATATATCATATCAAACTACCTACTCCGGACCCAATTACAACAACCAAGTGACAATATCAATCAAGACAGACATGAACCCTCACCCCCAAACAAAAAAAAGAAGAAGAAAACAACCCCCTATACTCCCGTCCCCGAAAATCTCTTACGTATCGAAGAAATAGAATCACACCTCCTCCTGACTCTGGCCCTCAGTCGCGCAAGAATCCCCATTCAGCGGCTGCGCGCACCCCGCGAAACAAAACTCCCTTAAAGACACCGCGCCCTGGTCATCGTCGCATCGGAAGAGGGCGTCGGTTGGCCGTCCCAGCGCGGCGAACTTGTAGGGGGAATTTGGGGAGGCGAGGACTTTGGTTCGGAGTTCGTCTGGGGAATAGTCTTTTTTTTTCAGCGTTAGTATTGTTTTGTTCCTGATTTTAGTGTTCAGGACGTTCAAGTTAATCAGTCAGGGAGCTGAGTGTGGGTTGGTAGGTTATGGGGTTAGGGTAAAAGGGGGTTTTCCAATGTGGTTTATTTTTATTTTCATTTTTCAGATAGAAAAGGTAAAGAGGCATTTGTGTTTAGAGAAAATAGGTCCTCAAAATCTGATAGACATGACAGGGGCTGCTCCATAGTCGTACACAGACAGTAGTTCAATACATATACGTACCGTGGTATTGCTGCAGAGTCGATCCACAATAGGAGAGGCCCTGTCTGCAGGGCTCGGTGAAGGCACAGACGCCTGAGATGGAGACGGAGATTAAGGAGAGCGAGAGGAGGGTCTCGGTCAGGGGAAGGGGTAGAAGTTTCAATTGCATGATGGTGAGACTGGGACCGGCGGGCGAGTGGATCTGATAGTCGGGTTTATCGTTTACCGTTTGACTAGTTGTTGCTGCCCGAGGATAAGGCGATTATCCAGATATAGATAGACAAAAGTGGAGCAGAAGGATTAGGGTCAGAACTTATTTGGTGAAAAGGAAGTTAAGGGACTGGACGTCGGAGTGTAAATTTGGGTGCTCTATATACTGCTCCCATGCTCTGGGGATAGAAAATAAAGATCGTCAGGTGAGATTAATGAACAGCACATCGATATAAATTGAGGAATGTACGGAGTATATCTGATTGGTCCCAGATGAGAAGAATGAAGGCCCGGACCGTCCGAAACAGGTTTTGTTTTTCATGTTTACATAGAATGTGTGCTGCGGTTTTGAGAATGTGTGTTTGTTTGGTTTATACGCAAGGGTTATTGGGTCGAATGTTAGGATCTAGACTCGGAATGGGTGTTGGACAGCTTAGCTGTTCGGAAAGACTGGAGAGGTCCAGCATATCACCGACGCGGAAACGTTTTCCTTTGTGTTATTCATTCGGCAAAGCTGGATTAGACTGCACGGAGGAGTGGATATGCAAAGCTTAGGTAGAGGTTATTGTAGAGGCCTCTACAACAAGAAACCGGACCTTCTTCAAATTCATCAAGAAGAGAAGAAAACAGTCAAAACCATCACAGACTGATTGATTAATGTAGTGCCCAACAGAGAGACTTTCATGCAACTCATTGAAGATTCCTCGATGTTACCTTCCTTCGTCGTCGCTGAGATGGAATGCGTGAGATTGAGTAGGCAGTGCAATGTGTTACAATGCATATACCCTCCACATGGAATGGATTGCATTTGATATGAGCGCCAGGATTGGTTTTTAGACCATGCACATCTTTAATGCTCCGTACCATTTGACTCTCTATGAGGAATGTCTGTAGGGGACAGTGCACTGCACGACTGACTCGCGAACCTTATTGTTAACTCGGCTTGCCACAATGGGGGGATGGTATTTCCCCATTCATCCATTGGATGAAGGACAGACTCTGGAATTCCTGCTTTCCTTCGGACTTTTTGTTTCCTTCCTGGTGACTCGATCAGGCGACCGGCGAGTCCTTCGTATACAGTATGTGCATCATTCCAAATGTTGGTCAGCCTCAAAGACATTCAGATGGGTTAGATAGGTTTTACTGGTCATAATCAGCGAGCTGTGGCATGGAAGACTACAATGATTGCGACTTGCAACAGTGTTGTTACAAAGCGAAGCATGGTCATATCCACTTACCGTATCAAGTGAGACGGGAGTCTGTGATGGGCGACAGGCTGAGTATCGGCTGACCAGGTCGATGTGGACATTCCACTCTGCTACTATGATTGATGACTGGATGACTGACTGCACGAACGTAAAGTTGGGTGGGTGGATGGAAGGAAGGAAGGAAGGAAGAATTTTAGGGGTGAGTCGTATGGGAGAGATATCCCTCGGTAGCGTATACAAGACAACATGGTAGGTTGCATTTCCACAGAGAAGGTACGAACAACAATCGGGGCCGGAGCGAGACAGCTTGGGTTTCTCTGTCCTGTCCAAGATCTCAATGCCTAAGTGGTAATTCGGCAATCTTCATATTCGCCAAATCATGAATTTATGATACAATAACTAGGATCTATAGAAGGCTCTGAACCAGGGCCCAGTGAAAGCCCTCTAATATATAGAATTAAAACACAGCACAAGCCATAGCAGGCAGATTCTAGCCTGCGGCAAGTATGCAGCATTGGACGGTTGATCTTTGTGCCCATTCACGGGGCCAATCACAGGGAACTGGGCATAAGGATAATTGTACGAGATGAGTGTCTAACCAAATACATGGAACTCTATCTTTCGAATCAAGCGCCGAACTGGAGGACTGAATTGACCCAAACGAAGGTCGCAGGATATACTCTGGAGCGACTGGAATAGGGCACTTCCAAAAGCGGACTAGCGCGCGCACCTGACGGGATCGGCGACTCGAAGCACTGACGCTGCACCACCACCGCCTGAACACACTCTCTCTGTCTCTCTCCAATCCAATTCAATTCCCCCCCCACCCCTCTACCTTCTCAAGAGAAATCACCTCACCATTCTTGGGGAACATCCACCGAGAGATCACCCATCCGCCAAAATGGTCGACATCGTCCCCCTATCCTCCTACCCCTCGTACATCGACCTCCTCCCCTCCATCCAAACCTGCAACATCACCAACCTGCCCGAGAACTACTTCCTGAAATACTACCTCTATCATGCCCTGACCTGGCCCCAACTGAGCTTCGTCGCCGTCGTGCGTCCCAAGAACGGCTACTCGAAGCGCGCCGGCCACGGCGCCGGCGCTGCGGCCGGCTCCGGAGAGGCCTACCCTAAGGTGGTGGGGTACGTGTTGGCGAAGATGGAGGAGGAGCCGACGGATGGGATGCAGCATGGGCATATTACCAGCTTGAGTGTCATGAGGACGCATCGGAGATTGGGTATTGCGGAGAGATTGATGAGGATGAGTCGTATGTTCCCCCACCACTACCAGCACCACGCACTCTCTATGTTTGATTTTTCTTTCTTCTCCCTCCCCCATTTTCTGATCTCGGGTCTGTTCTTCACGGGAACATGGACGGCTAATTGATATCTCATAGAACGCGCCATGGCCGAATCGCACCGCGCCCACTACGTCTCCCTGCACGTCCGTGTCTCCAACAACGCCGCGCTCCGCCTGTACCGCGACACGCTGGGCTTCCAGGTCGAGAATGTCGAGAGCAAGTACTACGCCGACGGGGAGGACGCGTACGCGATGCGCATGGACCTGACGAATATGTGGATGGACTGGAAGGAGGTCGAGCGCCAGGATCGGTTGCGTCATCAGAGTGACGAGAAGGATGCGGACGAGGGCGACGCGGTCGGTGAGGTTGGCACCGAGAAGGAGAAGGAGAGGATGGTCAAGGTGAAGGTTGGTCGGGGTCTCGGTGTGGGTGATTTGGTTGAGAAGAATGAGTCGCAACCTCAATCTTAAAAGGAAAAGATGAAAAGAATTCTCACTCCCTCACTCTCTCCCCGCTACACCTTCAACTATGTCTCTTTCACGAAATCATGAAATGATCTATAGACGGACGGTCTGGAATGGATGGATTTTGTATAAACGTCTCTAGACAGGATATGTGAAAAGATATGAAGAAGGGAAAAGAACCAGATGTCAAAAGTCATAACCTCATAAACCCATTGATCGCCAGTATCCTCAATGCGATTTTAAAAACCCAATGACACGAAGGGGGGAAAAAAAGAAGTGAAAAGCTTTCGTCCCAACCCAAGCAGCCCAGGCAAGATGGCGGGCAAATATTAACCAAGCATAATACAAAGAAATCAAGTCGCTCTCCACGCAATCCTCACGCGCAATCAAAATACACCGCTGGTGTTTGGTCATTATTATCATATCCGTAAGAGAAAAATCTCTAGGAATCTATGGTCGATCGGTCCTGGCTTGTCTTGGACGTGCCGCAACATCAGGCTTAGCTTTTCATGAGCTAGGATTGCTCTTATCTGACGGTTTCTCCGCATCGTCCTGTTTCTTATCCGTGCCTTTCGGGTCCGATTTGCTGGCGGACAGTTCTGATTTACCAATATGCGTCTGGTGGTTACTGCGTCGGGACGATACCGAGCTCGGAGTGCTGATGGAGCTGATCTCGCTGACTTCCGACACGAGCGACCGGGTCGGTGACGGGCAAAATGATTGGACCGTAGAGCGACTCTCTCGGTTGGTGTGGTCCAGCTCTAGGTTCTGCAGGCGCTGCTCGAGGGGCGGCTCGGACGGAGGAGTTTCGACCTGTCGATTCCGCTGTTCCTGCCGTACTCGATTGCGCTTGAGTCGTCGTTGCTCGCGGTGCTCGTCCCTGGCACGACGTAGCACGTCCCGGAACGCCTTCCGGGTTGCCTTCGTCTCCTCCTTCAGCGCGCGTTTCTCCGCCCAGCTGCGTTGATGTTGTTGTGGCGATTCCCAACGTCCCCAGCCGCCGCGACCGTAGCCCTGCTGCGCTTGCTGGCCCCAGCCATTGCGCCAATGGCCCCGTCCTGCCTGGCGCGTCTGGCGGCGCGAGTCCTGGAGAAGGGTAAGTTGCCGGCGAAGACCGACGGCGGCTTCGTAGAGATCCCGATCGTGGTGATCGTCGAGGGAAAGAAGCTGCGCCCTGACCGTCGCTAGGTCAGACGAACTCAGCTCCGAGGTGGTCGATAGGGAATCGATCGATGTCAATGACGAATCCGACGAGGTTGAGCAAGTAGAGGCCCGTCGAGGCCGCTGAGGAAGAGCAGGCGCGGCGACAGGCTCGGCCGGACTGCTAACGGTGCTGTAAGGATAAGGATAGGCGTTGGGGTAGTACGCAGCCTGCGAGCGAGGATCTGTGGCAGCCCACTCACCGCCAGCGCCACGAGGCCGATGGACCATACTACCGTTGAACTGATTATTCGTCTTCTGGCCCGAGAAGCCTGCTTGTTCTTCGATCCAACGGCCGTGAGCCATGGCCTGCTCTTCAACCTGTCTGCCGTAATGCTGGGCATGGGCACTGATCTGATCCCCGTACTGCTGGGCCTGTTCCGTAATACGTTCGCCATACTTTTGCGCCTGGGACGCCAGCGAGGCAAACCACCCAAACGGCCCGCCTTTGGAACCGGAGTCCTGCGGCATGGGGGCATAGGGCCGGGCGTTATAGCCCCACTGGTATTGCTGCTGATAAGGCAACGGAGGCTGCGGCGGAGGATAAGGATAGGCGTTAGGAGGTTGAGGGGCGGGAGGATTGAGGTAGGGCGGTGCACCGTAAGGGCTATACGGAGCCTGATGCATTGGCGGATTCGGATAGTTGTAGAGGGGCGTCGGAGGATAGTGTTGACCAGTCTGCAACGACGCAGGCTGTTGCCTCACGGCGGCTGGCGGCAAGCTAGGCCGGGCGAGGCGGCTGCGACCGGCCTCGGGGGCTTGGACCATCCGGTTTTCTTGCGACACTCTCGTAGCTGCGGGATAGCATCTGGGACACAGGGGCGACGGAGGGGCGTTTTGAGGATCGGTCACGTAGGCAAACACGATGCGGGTTGCCCGAGGCTCGAAAAAGTATTGGTTCCATTCGGTAATCACCGCCGAAACTCGCATCCTCCGCTGTTCATCTGTCTCCTGTGGTCGATCCTTGCGATCTCGCTGGATCTCGGCCCTCACTTGGCGCGGTAGCTGGCCAGATGCTGATGCCAGTCCCAGATGCGGGGGGAACAAATACCGGAGGAACATGTCCCAGTCCTGCTGGGTGAGGTCCTCCGGTCGCGCTCCCCAGCAACGGGGGCGACGGGGGAAGTCCTTCGACTGACTTCGAGGGTATATCGTTATCTGATGTTCTTGGACCGATCTCCTATCGTCGGAGGTGGGGGGTGGCCGGTCGACGAAGTAGGCGGCGGCGGAGGTGAAGTGGACGGGTAATAGCGGAGAGCGAGTTGTCAGCGCCAGTACGGAACTGGAGCCATCACTCGATGCGGTATCTGAGAGGGGGGCGTCTCCCCCGCGAAGCCGGAGGAGGACGCGATTCACCTCGGCGGAAGCGGCGGCATTGCGATCGCTGGGGCTGTTTCTGTTGGCCGACGAACTCAACGGGTCGACGGCGGAGTAAGGCGGCGGAGGAGCCTCCTCCTCGGGCTCCATTGCGGGAAGCGGTCGATGACGAGAAAGGCGTGGGGAATGGCAGGTGGTTCAGTGCGAGGCGATAAGAATGACGGGCGACTTTTGTCAACGGTCATCCATCGCGCATGAAATGACTGGATCGTATGCAGGCGGTTCCCCCCGGAGCAAGACGCACCAACGCAGCTGGCTGACGCGGGAGGAAGGCAGCAAGATTATGTCGAAGGTTCTCGGTAGTACAGCTGCTTCGGTCTCCACTCTGACGTCGATCAAAGAACATGCACGAGCGACACCCAAGATGGCATCGACAATGATGATACAGGAGGGTGGTGGTTGGGTGAGAGTTGGAGGGGGACGACGACGGGGAAGAAAGAGAGAAGAGGGAGAGGGAGCGAGAAAGAGGGAAAGTTGGGGACGACTGTCGATGATCACGGGGCAAACCGCCCCCTGATTGGCTGCGGCCGTCGATAAGGCGCAACGCCCTTTTTCAGCCCTATTTTGGGGGAGGAGGTACTGGCCGGGTACCTCCTCGTCCCTAGCGCTGACCACTCCGCGGTAGGTACTAGAGAAGTATCTATCTATGTCGCTTTCTCTATCATTATTGGAATTATGTACGCCAATTCTTCTCCCCGACTCCCTGCCCTGGTCCAGAAGTGGATCACTAGGTAACAAAAAAAAGACAACAAAAGAAAAGAAATGACAGGTTGGATTGATTCCAAGGTAGTTCTTAATCCCAAGCATCGCCCCAATCATCATCCACTTCCTCGTCCTTCGGTTTGGTGTCGATTTTCTTTGCAGGAGCCGCGGTAACGATCTTCGGTTTACTGGAATTGCTCCGACTGGCCGTGCGGGAAACCGACGTGTTCGATGTTGTCTTGTTTAGACCCTTTGGTAATGGCTTTTTCGTCTTGGACTGCGCAGCAAGCCAGCCGGCAAAGTCCGGCTCTCCCCCGTCATCGTAAGGCACAGGTGCTGATTTGGGCGCCGCCGGGGCGAAGCTGGTTGACGAGGCCGTGGTCGTCGCAGGACTAAACGGATTGTCATCTTTCGATTGTCCCTGGTCATCCTCGTCGTCGTCCATCGCACCCCAAGCATCATAGACTTCATCCGGTTCGTCCTCCTCTTGAGTGATCGGGACCGGTTGCTCCGAGAGAGATCGATTTAATGGCTGAGCTGCGGGTCGCAAGGTCTCCTTCGCCAAAGGAGATGGCTTGGTGACACGAGGGACAGATGCGGGACGAGCGGGTTCAGCCTCCGCCGGTTTGGCCCCGTTCGCTGTGGGTTGAATCTCGCCGTTGGCCGTCGTGATCTTATTTGTGAAGGAAGAAATGGCCCATCCAGCCCAGGATTTGTCATTTGACGTTCCAATACGAGCGGCATCTTTGGTGGTGTCGGGGCTGGACGACGACGGCGGCAGTACCGTGTCGGCCATATTGCTACCAACCTTCCGAATGCGCTGCAGGTAGAGATCGAATGTCTTGTTCGCCTGATCTCGAACAAATCTACGGATTCATCATGTGAGAAGATGACGCGCAGGGGATGGTAGGGAATGAACGTGGGGAACATACTTTTCTTTATCTAGAAGGGAAGGACACAGGGCAGGAAGAACTTTGCCTGCGCAGTCCTCGTCGGTGAAGAATTCGATCGTTGCACCTAAGGCGAGCAAACCGGCATTGCGCGCATGGACGAAGGGATCCCGAAGAGACCTAGTGAAGGCAGCGATAAGGACCTTGCTCCTCGACTGTAAAGTCCAGTTAGCATCGCGTTACCGGTGGGCGTAGTTGAAGGCGTTTACTTACACCTTGGCCTAGGTTCTTGGCGATTTTGCCAAGGCAGATGGTAGTATTAGTACGGATGCCGGGCTGGTCGTCGTTGGCAGTCCGAGCTAGGAATTTCAGCAGCTCGCCATTAATAGTCCGATCACTGAGCTTGACAATAATCACTAATACAGCTTTGACGGTCTGCTCTCGGACTACCGGCGCAATGTCGGTGAATCCAGAGGTCTAAGGAGTTATTAGCGAAGGGCTGACGATGGGTAGTTCAACTAGAACACACCATTTGCGGGAAGATCTTGTCGTTGACGATCTTCTGAGGGAGATTATCAATCATCAATGGCAAATTATCCAGGAGACACACTCGCAGTGCTCGATCGGGATTCCCAAACAGTCGAACGATGACGGGCGTCAGCTTGGAGTTGTACTCGTCCTGAGACAGCTTCGCCCCAATCTTCAGCAGCGCACTCAAGACTTTCGGGCCGCCACCGCCGAATTCGACCGATTTTAATAGCTCCGGAAGCACCTTCATCTTGAAGAAGTCCTCGGGGAAATCATCGGACAGGTTGTCCAGTTCACTGCCACGATCAGTAACCATGCAATCGGCCAACAGGGACGATCACATACTTGATAAATTCCTCCCGTTCCGCCTCCGTCTTCAGTCCCAGGCTCTCTATATCATCGGTCAATCTAATCAACGGAGTCTGGAAGAAACCGCCGGTCTTCTTTCCTTGTTCGACAAAATGCGCCGGGCTGAGTCGTAACTTCGGATTGGCTGTACACAGTCGCTTGTAGCTTTGATGCATGGTCGGCGGAATGTTCGTCGTTTTACCCACTTGATCCCCTCCGGTAAAGTTGCCATTGTATACCTCGTATATTAGAATGCCTAGTCCGTAGGCATCGATCGCCGTTAGCGGGTGACGTTTGATGATATCCCATCCACCCTTGACGACCTCCGGAGGTGTATAGCGAGCCGCATCAGGTACGAGACTTCCGTATGTCTGGATAAGAGTCAGTGAAACCGCACCGCAACAAGCCCCCTGAGCAGTAAACGCACATATATAACCGCTTCTTCGTCATTCATGGAGCTCAAGACATCGAAACCGCCCAGTTTCCACTCGCCACTTTCGCTAGCATACACGGACGACGCTCTCACGACACCGTGGACAGACGCAGCATCCTCGTTGATAAACTTTAGGGTAGTCTATGTTCGAATCCAGTTCAGTCAGCCAGAAAAATCGTCACGAGATCACACCGATGAGGGAACGAAATCATAAACCTACCGCCACGGTATGCAATCCCCATTTGGAGATTTCCTCACTCAGGCTCCTGCGCTTGACATGCCAGGATAGCGGGACCACACGTTCGGTCACGATGTATATATTCGACTCTGTCTAGATTGTGTAAGCCATGGGTTGCCGGTCCACAGCAACTTTCCCCGGATCCCGTACCTCGATAGTATCCAGAACCTTGATAACGCCCGGGTGCCGTAACGTCCGCGATTTTCGCACCGCATTCTTGGCCAGGGGCAGACGAGACTTGTTGGCGGCGATGTCGAAGGTGAAGATGCTGCATGACGAACCGTCCTCCTGCACCGCGCAAAGACCAGATCATCGCATTAGCCCCGTTTCATGTGCAAGTCCCGAGATTGCAATTAAACAAGGAAGATCCGCGTACCCGTTTGGTGGCATTATGAAGGGTCCATATCGAATCCGAAATGTCGACTCTGTCACCGAGCGAATAGGGGAACGAGCTACCCTTGGCGATGGCGGACGCGACGGCGGATTTGAGGAAGTCCATGGCGCTGGAGAGAGTATATTCGGCGGTGCCGAACGGGGGCGATCGAGGGTTAAAGGGGAAGATATAGCAGCGGGAGAATAAGAGAAAGCGATGGGACAAACACGGGCCAGTTAAGACACGAAAAAAGCCGGGAGAAACGATCCGCCCCCAAGAGTCGCCGCGGATGGGCACGAAAGAAGGACAGACGGAGGTCTTCAAGGTCTCTCGGAGTTCTCGAGTCTCCTTGTCGCCGTGCAAGTGGTACCCCGCCCCCAATCCGGTTTAGGGCCGTCGCCGCTCTCTTGTCGGTCTCGATTTCAATTGTTTTGTTTTCCTCTGTTCTTCTTTCCACTCCTTTTCGTTCCTCTCACCCCGAGAGCTCAGGACCCATCAATCGTTCTCCATTCAAGATGTATGAATGGAGGATTCCTCTCCAGCTCCTACGCGCAATAGGTAAGCTATAGCTGTCTTTACTCCTCTTCTCCACGCTTCCCCAAAAACAATACTCTACCCACTCCCTTAACCCTGCCCCAAAATGCGTCTCCTATGATGTGAATCTGGTAAAAGGTCAGACCGCGCTGTCCAAACGATACGTCGCACCAAAACCGAAGGAACTGCCTATCCAGCCCAGCCGAAGAGGTTCACCCCCAGCCAGAGTCCGCTCGAATCCCGCCTCCATAGCGTCGATCAAGGTGGATGTCTTTCGCTCGCGAAGTCCTTCATTTTCTGTTCGTCATCGTTTTTCTTCCAATATAGCTATGCAGGCACATGACTTGAATAAAAGGCACGAGGGTCACTTCGCCGCGAGACTCTCGGCGTGACAGACCTTGGGAAGACATGTGTATATCAAGGGCCGTACGGTCCGCAGGCGCCACAATTTGGGGTTTCTGGTCCGCTTTGTCTCTATGAGGAATTTCAGAAACTAATGGCTGTGGCAAACATCGGTTGGGCGAGGGATTCTACTGCGGATGGAAATGATGCGCGGAGGGGACTGGAGGTCGGAAACGAGTGCTGGGCTTCGTCTTGGTTTTGGTAGGATGGTTGTGGAATCGACAATTCTGGACTGGGTCTCGACGGCTGGCACTCTGGATGGGTGCTGTATAGTACCGCGGCCGCGACGTGCGTTTTGGCTGGATGACGACCAACTATAAAACTGAAAAGACCTGAGGAGACGCTTTAATTGATTTACCCCAAAAATGCCCGCAAGGATATTGGTTACTTCTCCTGCTAACCACTTCTCAGAAATAGATTTTCAGACACCCTCTCAGCGCCGGGGACATTCTCCATTCCCCTATAGCTCAACTGCACGCTTTACAATGCGAGTTTCTTAGATCATTAGACTATGGTGAATTTTGAGATAGCGCATTCCTTTGCTCCCCGTCCACTAGCAACTACTCGTCTATACTAATTGTATAACGCCCAATTCTCTCGAAGGACGCAGAAAGTCCCCCGAGAAGCCTTTGCGAAAATGCCCGGTCAAAGTACCTGCAACCGGCCACCCATTGACATGAAACAAAGTCACTTATCGCCGTCAGCATCAGATCGTTCTCCAAGCAAGTCAGTCACTACCTCCCTGCACCCGTTGCCGGAAAATCATTGCCCTAGTGGACCCATCATAGGCCAAAAGAAATACACGAGAAAAGAAAAACATAAATGGAACAAAAAGTATCAAAGAATCTCCCCAAACATGATAGCATATACCATTCCACGGACGTGGACGGAGCTCTTGTAGTTCGCTGGGAGTTTCCATTCGCTGGAGCCAACCCATAGACCGCTTGAAGTGGTGTATAGTATAGCAAGGTCAAAGTTAACAGAATCACCGACCAATGCGATAGTCTGTAAAAACGTTAAAGCTGCACGAACGGCCAGTCCAGTGATTTGTGACAGGTTGAGGGAAATTGAATTCCCGGTCCCAGTCTCAATCCGAGGCGAACAGTCGATAAAATGATGGGGTAACTGGAGAATATGCAGCCTACAATTGGTTAATTCACGCCCGAAGGTCTCCCCTGAGATGACATTGGATAAAGACAACTCACCAGTGGGAGTATCAGATGCCGGATCAGCAGCAGCAGCAGTGCGGAAGGTTACCCACTGTACAAACCAGCGTAGTCGCAGACCTCCAAGGCACAAATACCTTCCAAAATAAGAGAAACGTGCAGTGAGAAGTGAGCGTGAGACTGGAATTGCTGCCACTGGGGAACAGAGAATGAGGGGGCCGTTGTTTCGCAGTGCGGCTAGACAGGGTTCAGTTCGCTCGCGCGGGCCATGACCGTTTCAATTCCGAGGCCAATGAACGAGAGCGTCTGGCGCACTATGGAGGCCCGGGTTGTCGCATTCATTTCGCCTCGTCGGCAGCCTCGGGGGCCTGTGGACCAGAGGCAACGGAGGGTGGTGGCTGGGAGGCGGCCTGAGGTGGGATTTGAGGAATTTGATTATAGCCATTGCTGGGCGTGCGATGTTGATGGGGTGGGTAATGATGCGCTTGATGAGGGCTAGATTGGAAATGCGGTTGTTGCTGTTGTTGAGGATAATTTCCCCGAACCGGTGGCACTGGCGACTGTTAGCAAGAACGATGGAAATATGGTTCTCGTTGGATCATGGTGACATACTGTGCCCGGGCTGTTGGCCGGGATAAACAGGCTGTCCATGTTGGCCGGGAGACATAAACATGACCGGCTGTGGAGGCTGGCCGGGTTGGGAATTCTGATGCATCATCATAGGGGCACCCCGACTCGGGCTTGGATAGCCACTGTGCGGCTGAGGGGGGGCGTGTTGTGGATAAGCATGGCTAGGGTTAGGCGAATACATTTGCATCTGAGGCGTGTACGGTGCCATGCCTTGCGGAACACCCATGTAAGGCCCGCTGGAAGGTTGCTGGACCATCATGGGCGCGCCACCCATGGCGGCTTGCGGGTTCATGAACTGAGGGGTCCCCGGATAGTGCCTGGCGGGAGTCGGCTGCGGGGGGGTTGGATAGAATTGCGGTACCGGCTGACCGAACGCAAGCTGGGCATGCGGCGCCATAGGAGACGGATAGCCGGGCTGAAGACGCGGGGAGGGGAATATTTGCGAGGTCGATGCAGACATCTGCATCCGGTGCGGGTCATCATAATGAGGCGGGCCCGATCCGTGGTGCTGTTGCGGATGCAGGTGAGGTCCATGAGGCGGGCCCGAGGTAGGGGGCATACCCGGCGTCGCCTGCGGGAATTGGAACGGCATCTGTGGTTGCTGAGGAACCTGAGGGTTCGATGCCGAACGATTCTGGGGCGAGACAACGGGCGCCTTGAACATCTGATCATGCGTCTTGTCTTCGTTCCCTTCGGCGACGTCCCAGGTTGGGAGGGTCTTGTATGCCGGAGGAATGCCGCCATTGAAGGCATAGTCCTTGTCCGCCTGTTCCGTGCTTTCTTTCCTCATCCGTTTGATGGGGTTGAACTGGTCGTTGAGAGACGGGCGCTCAGCGAGGGGCCGCAGCTTCTTCCCGCCAAAGAAAGCCGACGGGCTGGTAGCGCGGGATACAGAGCGACCGGGAACAAACGGCGAGGAGTTCGACGAGGCACCGGGGGTGAATGTGCTGGCGGCCGGGTTAGGCTTGAACTCCAAGGCCCGAACGTTGAATTTGGTCGAAGCGGCGGAGGTCGGAGTCTGCGCCTTGTGCGGGCTGGTGATGCTTGGCTGATCAGCGGCCGGTCCGGTTGGGGGCAAGCGGGCATCGTTGATGGGCAGAGGCGCCGGGACTGATCCCATAGCAGCCCCCTTCCGTTGCTGAAGATTGTCGGCCAGGCGGTGGCCGAGCATCCCAGTCGCCTGACGGCCCTGTTGCTGCATGGCTTGGTGTGGCAGTCGCCCACCGGGACCGGCGTGTGGACCGGCGGGAGGATACATCTGACGCCCGCGAGGATAGGTCGGTCGTTCAGATGGCGCTGCGGGCAGCGTTCCACCGTCGTGACGGGCGGTACCGGAGCTACGACCAGCAGGCTTCTGCTCGGTGCTGGCGGTCGTGGGAGGCGATTTGGATGTAGGCTTGTCGCCCACATGCTGCTGAGCCCGCTGTACGATCTGTTCCTGCTTCTGAGGGTCCTTGGCAAGAATCGGGATCAAGTCCTTGGGGACCGGCGTACCAAGCTTGAAATTCTGCGAGAATTTCATCAGCTCGTTCAGCTTGACATTCCTCTCAAGCGAGGCTTGGTTCCGGCGGCGTTCCTGCATCTTCATTTTCTCCGTGTTGGCGAATTGTCGGAAATGATCCAGCACTTCCGTTTCCACGTTCGCAGAAGCATTCTCCGCGGCGGCACGCTTCGGGGTGGCATTGGCAGCTGGCGAGGATTTGCCAGGGACCGTCTTCTGTTCTGCATCGGCGGCAGCACTCGTCGAAGCCACGGGCGCGACGGGCTGCACCGGCGGTTTAACAGGTTCCTTGGGCGGTGCGGCGGCTGGAGTTCCGCTGGTGGCCGCAGCAGCTTGGCGGCGTGCAGGCGGGGTATACTTGTTTGGCTGTCCCGACACCAAGGGGGGGAAGTTCTTTTCATCACGGCGGACACCGCTGTACTTGTCTTCCTCGTCACCGCCCTCGGCCGTGGCCAGCCCTCGTTCCTCCCGCATATGAGCATTATCCGTCTCGACGCCCTCGATCTCGCGAGCGATACGAGCGGCGGCTTGCTCCTTCTGCTTATAAGTCGGGTCGGATCGATCGATCCGAGTGGTATAGATATTCTCGTCGTAGCTGCTGGTGGCACCAAAGAGTCGAGCGTTGGCTTCGAATTGATCCCAGCCTGCCGACGCCGATGTGCCTTCCAGCGACAAGTCGACGTCCGTGTCTGCAGCGGGTTCCCACCGTTTCAATGTCCGTTCACGCATCGCCAGGTTTCCGGAAATATCAGCGTCGGTTCTAAAACCACTCGAGGCGCCTACACAATATGATTAATATACAGATAACTCAGTGTAGACGGAGGCTGTGTGAACCAACCATTAGAAGGCTTCGCAATGACTTCCGAGGTGGAGACATTGGCAACCGCGATGTCTGCCACATCCCGTATGTCAAACGATACCGTGTGATCGGGTACCGTTCCCATATACGGGCTTGCCGTTTCACTCACTCCATTTGTCCGCTGTTGCTCTTTATTTTGTTGCCGCTGTACCATCTTAAGGGCAAAGGAAGAGTCGGTCGGCTCAAGAGACGAGGATGAAAAGATTCCAGTAAATTTGTCTCCGTTTTTCGTGGTGATAGTCGCAGTCAAACCCTAACAACGATGAGCATTCCACCAACAAACTATGCGGACTCCTCAGAAATAAGAAAGGGGGAACCAGGCTTACAATAAAGCTGGTGACCAAGAAAACGAGGCGGTCGTGTGCATGGTTATCGGGCGTGTTCGATTCCTTGGGAGTCGGTCTGGGGGAAGGAGATTGTTTCTGAGACATATTTCCGTTCTGCTGCGTGTACGAAGATCTCTGGGTAATCGGATTTGTGCCCTGGGTCCACGCCCGCTGGGAGTTACTGCGCCTGCGTGGGAAGAGGCGAGAGTTAGTTCGAGTGCATTCAAGGCCCTGGTAAGTGCTGCGGTCTAGATTGCAGGGAAACCCGATTGGTCCATGCGCACAGATAAAGCCGGAAGCATGAAGCTCCGAGACGCACAGAGGATTGTATGAAGGGGAAAGAGCATGAACATCAAGAAAAAAAAAGCTAAGAAACAAGAAAGACCACGCAAACGAAGAAAACAGCCAATTGGAAGAATCGATTGAGCCTCGCAAGCATCAAAAAGAAAAGGCAAGGGGATCCCGCAGCCACGGTCTGCCGGGGAACAGGCGGTGAAAGTTGATCAAGAAGCAAGAGCAAATAAATAGGATAGTCAAGGAATGGCAGGCGACGAATGAACATGACAACGCAACGTACCTCTGTCCCCCATCGAGAGGACTGCCCGACTGTCGTCGACTGCCGTCCGACGCCTTGGTGCTGGCGCTGGGCCTCAGCGAGGGTCTCGCGCTTGGATTCTGGATGGATGCATTGCCGGGGTTGCCAGACGCACTGTTGGCAGTTGACATGGAGTTGGCGGTAGAAGCCATCTGGCTTTGGATTGTCCGACAGGACACTCACTCCGGTCGTGGAATTAGACACGACGCAGAGCGATGGATCAAGATGGAATGACGGGAGTCAGAAGCAGGCACAAAGCCACGGCGCACCGTCTGCGCTCTCAAAGAACGCGGTGGTTTAAGCTTGGGGGGGTGGTGGGAGGAGGGACGGGCGGGGAGGGAGGAGCAAATGACGAGAGGAAGAAAGGAAGGGACGGAGAAGAGAATAAGAAATAGAAGAAGAAACTGGAGTTCAGGCCGAAGAAGTGTGATCCCAGAAGGGAAAGCAACAAGAAGATGGATTGGAAGATGCGAAAAGCAGCAATCACGAAACGAGAAAGCCGCAGTGGACAGGTCACGGGACCTCGAAATGGGAGGGAAGAGGGGAAGGAAGGAGGGAGAAAAGACAGGCCGAGAACGACGACCCAGACACAAGCAGAGTCAAGTGTCGAATGAGAATCAGATTAAGAATGGGAAAATAGGAGTGAATTAAACAGAAAAGAAAAGACCAAATAAGAATTTAGGCGGGGTGGGCTTCAAGAGGGGGGGGGGAGAGGAAAAGGAATAATTGAATGTATGATGGTCTATGAGACTACTCCGGAGTATGAGCCTGAGGCATTTCCATGGTTTCCGTTGGGCGGTGCCGCCGTGGCCCGCTAAGAGACCCGCCTGGATGTTCCTACAGACTACAATACACTGAGAACCGACAGGATCAGTCCAGAGTCCAGACAGACAATGAGATTATTGCCAATTCTAAAACTGATGATCCTGCAGGGCTGGTCATGATTCTTACGCTTTAAAGATGGATTCAATCCCCTTTTCACCCTTACTCCGTACGCCACTTCCTCTCAGCTGTGTGCGTGTTCCACTCGCTACGGAGACGCACCGTGTCGCCTCACTCCACCTATCTGGTTAGAATATGAGCCTATGAGGACCGAGAAGCCGTGAGCTGTGTGCATGCCTGTCATCCTCCACTGGGTCGGTCGCTAATCGCTATGGCTTAGCAGCAGCTAGCACCGAGGCTAGCGAGGCACAGAAGACTTTCCTCGCACGCCAATGCTGAACGCACCCTTGCTGCATTGGACTTCTGCGTATCCGGTACTCCGTACAGCAGGTCTCGATCTTGTTTAGAACCTAAAAAGATCAATCTATCAAATCAACTCAGCAACACACCATGGATCCACGCGATCCAATTGCTTTTGAAGTATGTTCGGTACAAATTCCAAGTCCTTTGTCGGCAAAGTAGCCGTCAACGGGACTCGTCTATGGAGGAGGAATTGACAACCCGGGGGGAACCCATGTTACCTGGTCCTCCTACCTGACCAGTGCCGAGCAAGGGTCAGTCATTCAGGTGCCAGCACATCTGGTCCATGTTGAAACATCGAAACGTTTCCCATTTCCTTCGCACCCCACTGGACGAGGTGAGGAAAATCCCTAAGGAGTTTAGCACCGCTTGGTGGGTTGAACGGATCGTCATTGAATGGAGCCCGGGCGTGGTGGCAGGAGTCTCCGAAAAGAGAATCTACTGGTTGTATAGTAGTGAGCGACGTCTGGATATCAGGACCTCGTTTCCATGGCACTCAGTATTCCGGACTTAGGCCACTATTACATCGTACAACCAGGGTTTTACATCACCCACCGAGAGTACCTCGATGTTCCATCTGACCACTGCAGATACATGATCATACATCAGTTGAGGCTCCTTGGACCCTCCCGTTGCTGTAGTTTGTACTCCGTAGAAGGCTGAATGAAAACTAATGCGATGGCCGGGGCCGCGCTAGTAGGATTAAATTTAGACACACAGGCCGAGCGCTCAACACGAGGTTTCAGTCCACGTTGCCCAATGCAGAGGGAGCAAAGGTATGACAGGAGATATTCCGACGTTAAAGATGAACTGATAGTCAGGAATATCAACGTGGAAAGCTGACTCGAGTAGTGGAGCCTGTGACTTGGGGGTAAGAGTGTAAGGAAGTTACGCGGGTACCAGTCAACCCAAGTAATGTTAGGTACCTACAGAGGTACCTCGAGAACAACTGTGAACTTATCGCCGGCAGCCTGAAAAGAGGCTGGGCTAAACTTCCTTCGTCGGGATCATCCTCCTTCTTCTTCCTCTTCTTTTCTTCTCTCACTCTCCTCCCCCTTACACTTCTTGACTTGTCCTTCCTTACTCTGACTCTTACTCCCTGCATCTCAGCCATTTCTCTTTCTTCCCCCTCTCCCGTTGTTCCGGTTGTCCCGCCATCGCTCATTCCCTACCCTTTTTAAAGCGAGGGAAAAAAACCCCCGAAATCCCCTTCCCACATGCAGTCCGGCTCGAGCATTTCCTCTCGCTCCCAGCGAAGTCCCTCAGCCCAACATTTTCCTTCAGGTTCCGGGAGCAGTATCGATTCCGCCATGACTTCGCAGTCTTCTGCACCGCGCAGTTCCTCAAGTTCCGGAAGGTCGCAATCTAGAAGTGCCGTGGTAAGTTCATGCCTGGCGATGATCGGACTACATGTCACAACCCCGACCGCTTTCGGTCGCGTGCGAGCGAGCCTGCACGAAGTGTCCCATCTCGAATGTATGGTCATGGGTTTTTCGCCTCTAACCTGTCTTCTGTTCAACAGCCCGATAAGCAGATCTCGCAAATCGAAAAGAGTGTTACGCATCTCCTGGTGGCCACAAAACAACTGTTGGAAACGTTAACGCAATGGTCCCGTACGCAAGCCTCGGAGAACGAGGTGTCTGACGTGTATGTGCGGCTGGGCTATGAATTCAATCTTGCTTGTCGCGCCTTCAATGCAATCGGCGTCGATACCTCCGACCTGGGTCCCGTTCCCGACCTCCTCCGCACAATCCTCGAAGATACCCTCAGTCAGGATGCATCCCCACAGAGTCTCGATCGTTATCTGCCCCGGATTCGCGACATCATCATCAATCTCTTACATGGCCTCAAGAAGAAACAGGCTCGCCTACGCTCTCGGCAACAGCGGGAAGAGTCGCGAACCCTCCCGGGTCGCCAGGCGAGTGCGGGAAGCATCTCCAGTGGGCAAGCGGCGATGAATCAGGCTTACGAGGAAACGGCTTCGACGGTCTCGTCGCCGAAACGTCCGGGTCGTCGATATGGAAGCAACGGCTCGATCGAAGACCCCCCGCCATCGATGGCTCGGGCCTCTCCAACCCCGTCTGGGCCCGGTGGTTCCAGCTATTCCGAACGAGAAGCGTCGCGACGAGAGGCACAGACAATCTTGTCTCAATCCTCACCCTCCGAGGCCACGGCTGCCAAGGCCCCCGAATCGAATAACGCCGGCGGGTTTCCCACTCCTCCGCCGCCTCCGCCCCCGAAACAAGACGATGCCATCGGCGCGTTGCAAAGAAGTGGCGAGTTGGAGCGTCGTGCCTCTCGAAGATTTTCCGCCTATCAGATACAGAAACACCTCGGTACTTCCTCCAACGGGGTCCCTGTGCTCCCTACCCAGAACTCTCCCATCCCCAATCGAGGCCGCGATGTTCGGGAATCCTTAAATGCAGTGCGCTTGCGGGGATCCTATGCACATGGCAGACAGCGCTCGACCAACCGTGCCAACGATGCCGCCAGTGCCAAGAGTACCCAACCTGCGGTGGCCCCAAATGTTCCGAAGATCCAAGAAGAACGCGCCTCACCTCGGGGTCCGTCCCCCGTGGAACTGTCGGCCGACGGGGTGAAAGCTACGGAGGAGCGATCTCATCCTCGCATCGGCAAGGATGGCCCGGGCGCTGCTCCAGTTGGGCCGCCGCCGGAGCTGCCTCGACCACCCGAGGAACCACTTCTCGATGAGGCATTTGAGCCGGAGAAAGGCGGTGCGGATGCCGTTGCTGCTCCCACAACGCCGAAGGCTGAACATCGACAGCCTCAGACGGCCACGTCTACGCCTCCTCAGTCCTCCCAATTGGCCGCTGAGCAACCGTCTCCAGGCAAGGAACTAACATTATTCCTACAGTACAAGAGCAAAATCAAGAAGTACGTGCTGCCGGAGGGCTATACCGGCTTGACGATTGGGCGACTGCAGCTGGCTTTTATCGAGAAGTTTGCCTGGAACACGCACAACAATGGCGTCGATCTACCGGAGATCTATATTCAAGACCCAGTTTCGGGGGTTCGCCACGAGCTGGAAGATCTCAGTGATGTCAGAGACCGCTCCGTCCTCGTTCTGAATGTTGACATCCTGGATGAAGTAAAGAAGCACTTTGACGAGGAGTTTGGCGGCGTTCGCCGTTTGATCGAGGGTGTGAAGGGTGCTCTGGACGGACAGGAAACCATGATGCAACGCGTTTCGGACCGTCAGCTCGATGCCGCCAAGGAGATGGCCCGCCTCGCTGCAGCGCCGCCGCCGGTCTCCAATGCTCCCGCGGAGGGAGCCACCCGCAAGGGTCCGATCACGGGTAGTGACAGTCAGCTTGCGGAGCTTCAGAGCCTTCGGCGCGATCTTGCTGTGCTGCGCCAGACGTATTCGAATTTCTCTTCGGATATTGCCAGCTCCATGAGCGCCATTCGCACCAAAGCCAGCAGCGTCAAAACCGTGGCGGCCGATGCCTCTGTGCCGTCATTCGAAGGCGATGCGGGTCGTGCGCGGGTAAATTCCGGGAAGAAGGAGCTTGCCGAGGAGTCAGAACGTCTCGTCGTGCGCGTTGATGACCTACAAGATTTGGTGGAGGATCTCCGGAAAGATGTGGTTACTCGCGGGGTTCGACCTCTGCCGCGCCAGCTGGAAGGAGTCAGTAAAGATATCAGTGCCGTCACCAAAGAGATCAAGAAGATGCAAGACTTCCTCAAGCGAGAGAAGCCTATCTGGACCAAGATATGGGAGAAGGAACTGCAGATGGTGTGTGAGGAGCGTGATCAGCTCACTATGCAGGAGGATCTTGCCGCCGATCTGCAGGATGACTTGGAGAAGGCTGCCCAAACCTTTGGTCTAGTTGAACAGGCTACCAAGCAGCAAGCCATGCAGAACAACGCCCCCGGAGGTGTGACCTTGCGCAGCACTTCGCGAAACGTGGTGATCGACCCCGCCGTGGATCCCATGAAAGCCAAAGACGGCGTCCTAGGGGAGGTGCGAGCTTTACAACCCAATCACGAATCTCGTCTCGAAGCTATCGAGAGGGCCGAGAAGGCACGCCAGAAGGAGCTGGAGACCCGGCGGATCGGGCTCTTCCAGAAAGAGCTGGGTAAATTTGTTGAGGAGGGCAAGTTGAAGAAGAGTGGCGGCGTTGAGGAGACCGAGCGACTGCGTAAAGCCAAGGATGACCGCATCCGCAAAGAGGTCTGGGAAAGGCAGCAAGCGCGCGCAGCGGAAATTGAAAAAGCGGCGGCCGCCGAGGCAGCATCTTCGCAAGCCCAGGAACAGCCTGCCGCCGACGACGCTGCGGACAAGGATAGCGAGGCGAACGCTGCCGAACCGGAACCTGCGAAGCCCGAAGATGAACAACCGCCAGCAGCGATCGCGACTGCCGAGAAGGATGACAGTAGCGTCAAGCCTGAGACGCACGAGGCGACAGACGAGACTAGCAAACAGGATGAGTCCTCCAAGAAGGACGACGCGGTAGACCCCGAGACCAAATAGCTCACGGGGTACGCTGAGAACTCACGCTCGAAGCTTTCAACTGGACTGTTTCTCGTGTGCTGGATCTTATGTTTCTTGGAACTCTTCTTTTCAACCGTCCCCCGTCTGTGTTCTCTTCCATTCACATTCCTTCTATTTCTTTCCTGTGTTGGTATTTACCTCTTCATGCATTGCATTGTCTAGACTAATTGTTGCCGGTCCTTGAGCCTGTTTCCCTTTGTTGTTTCCCACCCTGTCTTTCCTTCAATTCTTGTTTTCTTTGTTAATTTTTGTTCGGTTGCTTGAATACAACCTGTGCAAGTGCTGGTTTCTTTGGTACCTGAATATTTTGGGTTGTCCCCGGACTACACTGGAAATGCAACCATTATCCATGCATTGCTGACGATACCCTGCCACGATTTGTGGCCTGTTATTATGACCCCTGTGATGATACTTTTGGGGATATCGAATTATATTCCCTATCTCTTTTTGTCTTCTATACTATATTTTTGAGCTTCTTGACAGCGTTGCGATATCACCACGTATTCAGCCTCTTTGCGATGTACAGCTCCTGGTATAGAGTGTAGAGCTTATGTGGGATATCGACTTGACCTCGAGCAGAAGGAACCATTTATCTGCATTTCCCTCGCCTTCATCCTCCTATCAACCCCATCCATATTCATCTGAGAACAAGCACACACTTACCTTGACATCTCATTAGCAAATCCCTTCATTTGTTATTTCAGTCTTTCCCACGCTATCGTTAGCCCAGCCTCCACCCCAGGTTAGGCCATCGCCGGCATCCAGCCATTTGCATTTCTAGGATGCCCCTACGGCTGAATTAACGCAACCTCTATTCCCAGATAGAAATGGTCCTCCCATTGATTACCAACGAGAGCTGCGCATACGCGGCGTGATCGTACATGGCGAAGACGGTGGAGCCCACCCCATATGACTGGAAGACACTTCAGAGCTATCTCGCCTCTAACGATGGCCGGGAAGAGCTTGACTTGCTTTATATCCAAGGGGCTCGTTGAATGACCAGCTTGATGGATGACAACAATGAGCTCCAAGGGTTACTGCTTTTTCTTCTTTTGCACTTTGTGGCCTTGTACGAGAAAGATGATATTGTAAAAATGTGCCGTCGAAAGGAGTGGAAGACAACTTCTTTACCTTGGAGGGGTGCGGGCTGAGCTTCCGACGCTTTGCCCGGATCTGACGTTCGGACACGGAGGAAGCAACCTCATCTCTGCGCTTAGATCGGGTTATCTCACCTTTGTTTTACCCCTGTCGCAGAGAAGCCCAGCCTGTTGCTGCCGTGCGTCACGGTTCCAGTGAAAGGTGGTGACGATGAGCATATCAGGTGCCCGAGTTAGTATGCTGCTCCTATCATGCTGCGGAACATGGTGAAGCTCAGTTTAGCAACCATACCGTCATGTCTTCTGAAAGAGATGCCGAGTTTGGAAAATCGAGTCAGCGTGTTGAATTCCTCGATGGTTCTAACCTGCCACTGGCTCAAGCGGGACATCGTGCTGGGCAACCTCGAGTATCATTCGCGCGACATGCACACTTGGAACCTCAATGATCAGGACTAGATGGCAGATAGCCTCTACTACATCTCTAGGGCCATTCTGTGGGTTCTACACATGAATCACTCGTGGGTGATTGGTAAGTTGAATTGGCTTATGTGGGAGGATTCTAATTAGAGGGATCTCTGCCACATCCTTTGATGTTGGCAAAATTGGCATTCGGCTGACAGTTTGTAAATTGGGTGCATTGCGCAGAGTCTTTCCATGTTGACTGGACCGGTTTGGTTCATCACTGCTGGTTTGTATACTTTCTTCTAATTTGTCACTACTCGAAGTTGAATCAAGATAATCAGAGCAGACGTTCTGGTTGAAGAATTCTTATAGTATAGAGAAGTTAAAAACTTTTCTTATCTAGACACTCGGCCATAAACACGCAAGTGCAGAATTGGGAATCTTGGGAATCGATAGTCTAGACATAAAGCACTGTCACCATCACCATCAAACAATTAAGGTATCTTTCCTCCCTGATTCATCCATCTCGACATCTCCAGACCACATACATGCACGCACATAAGCAGGTCACCTTTTTATATTTTTCATCCGACCCATTCCATGCCACATCTCTCTCTCTCTGTATCCCAACCAGCCCATCGAATCAATTATACAAGCATATCCACAATTATAGAGGAAGCGGCAGCAACAGAAGAAGAAAGCAAAACCAGAAGAAAGGAAAGAGCGCGAGGAAGCCAACATTGAAACAAATCGAATAAATCAAAGCGGCATTCCCCATCTCGGCGCATTAATAATGATACCCATTAGACAACCCGCCACGATACCCGTGACCGGCAACGTGATGATCCAGCCGAAGTAGATCCACGCGATCATGCGCCAGTTGATGGTGCGCCAGGTGCCGTTGCAGAGACCCACGCCGACGGTGGCGCCGGAGATGCATTGCGTGGTGGAGACGGGGAGTTCTGGATTTTGGGAATGGGTGTTAGTATTGTGTGTGTGTGTATGTATGGCTTTTCTGGGTCGGGAGGGAGGAGGGGCAGGGGTGATCAATGGGAGGGAAGGGAAGTAAGGAAAGACGTACTCAGTCTCGTGGCCATGATGATCGTCACTGCTGAACCGAGTTCCATGGAGAATCCACGCGAAGGCGAGTGCAACGTGATACGGTTACCCAGGTTGCGCATGATGTTGTAGCCGTAGGTCCAGAGACCGATGGAGATGGCGGCACCACCAAAGGCACTGTTTTATGATATGGTTAGACTAGATATAATAGAAGGGATTGGAGAAGATGTTGCTTACAGGATCCAGTAGGGGACGGGACTCTTAGACTTGAGTTCGTTGGTAGACCAGATGAAGTAGATGGTAGCGTAGGGGCCGACGGCACTGCGTTCATTGGTTAGTGAGTGGAAGGAATTACATAGAGGGATCAGGATATGGAAACGTACTTGGATACGTCGTTTGCACCATGGGTGAACGACGCAGTAGCGGCAGTCATGATCTGCAGGAACGAGTACATGTACTCGGCCCGGTTATCGTAGTGTTTGGCATGAGCGTGCGTCATCTCAATGTCTCCGGTCAAGATGTTACGCTTCTTCTGCAGACTGATGACATCCTTCTCGACACCACGGAAGAAGAACCGACGGAACTGCCAGAATAGCATGACGGGGTGGAAGGTGCCCTTGCCCTCGGGACGGGGGCCGATGAAGCTGAAGGGCGCGGGCTCGTTGGTCGACGGAGGCGCACTGCTGGACGGCTCGGACTTTTCGGCGGCCGTAGATGTGGTGTGGCTTTCCTTGTGGATCTCAGTGCCGTTCTCGGTGGTGTGTTCGGTGCTTCGTTCAGCGGCATGCTCAGGGTCTGTTGGGGTGTTCCGCTCAGCCTGTAGCTCCTCCATGGTCTTGTGGCCACGGTAATAATCTTGCACGATGGCATAGCCCTCAGGGGCAGGAGGCACCTCGCCGCGACGCAGCACCAAAGGACCCAAGAAGACGTGGTACCACTGCAACTGCCAGTCCCCCTTTATGATGCGGCGATGGAGCCAGGGGAGGAAGAAGACGGCGACAATGAGCGCCACGGCACCTCCTACACCAAATATGACTCCGATGACCTCGGCGTTGGTGAGGTCGATTCTACTGGAGCCTCCCTTCCACACGATCAACACTAGTTGAGACGGTAATCAGCCTATCATAACACCAACGAAGGAAACAGTAAACATGGGCAGACTCACTGGTCAGAAGAGCGGAAGTAATGCCAAAGTAGACGGGAATGCTGAAGAAGGCTCTGACAACGGCGTTCTCGTGCAGCATGACCCCGTACTTTGTAAACAGGAAGATGATGGCACCGAAACAACCTGAGAGAACGGGGGCAATAATCCAGGCTAAGAAGACCTGGACGACACCCGAGTTGACGTCTCCTCCCCACCACTGTATACCATCGGCACCCACCGCCGCGATACCCATACCGAGCACGCCGCCCAGTATAGAGTGGGTGGTAGAAACCGGCATACCAAATTTGGTGGCAACGGTAAGATAGATAGAGGAGGCGCACACGGCGCACACCATGCCCAGCATGAGCATTGTGGGTTCACCTTCGAACAGGTCCACGTCAACGATCTTGGTTCGAATGGTATCTGCGACACGGGCTCCGACCCCGATACTAGATAGGTAAGGTTTGCGATTAGCCGGGTTGTGCGATTTTGTACTACAACTCAAACATACCTTCCACTAAATTCCATAACTGAACCGATGACCATAGCTTGCCAGTAGGTCAGGGACCGCGAGGAAACGGAGGTAGCAAAAGAGTTGGCGACATCGTTGGCACCGATGTTCCATGCATCGAGGAAGGCAAAGATGGTGCCGAGGGCAAACAGGTAGTCAAATTGGTGCAGCGCCATGTTGACCGCTGAGTAAAGTGGATGGTTCAATGAAGTGATCTCAAACGAACAGGGAGAGGGATGGGGGTGTTTGTCAGATGTTTATATACGGCGGAAAAAAGTGGCAAGGACAGGCGTGGGAGGGCCAAACTACGCGAGGGCGAGTCAGTCGACTCAGACAAACAGTACGGTGACATGGGCAGACGTCGCGTAGACAGGGTATAGTATGAGATAGTAACAGATTGGTCGGTACAGGGGGGTATTCCGTATAGACCAAGAAAAACCAATATAAGAACAATATCCTCGGCGGTCTTGGCGCCCGGGATGTCGATGCCAAGTCTTCCGCTCCCTGGCCAGACGACGACGGCCAATCACTGGCAACAAGTGAGGAACGTGGGCCGCAGTCAAGCTTACGGGGGTTCATTTGGCGACGCCAAGGGATCCCTTGGCATCTGCGGTATGTCCAGATTCCGCTAGTGCTCGGGGGACGTTGGACCAGTCTGCGTCGTGCTCGATGGCATGTGCTGCATCGGAGAAGGTGACGATACGAGGGAGGAAAGCAACAGGGAAATTCCCCGACGCAGCGCTGGCATTTCCGATGCACCATGTGGTCGTTTGGTCGCGCTATCGCTCGGTCTGGGCCTGTTGTATGCCTCGTTGCAGCTGCTGTATGTACTCCACCGCAGCCTCGAGCAGTTCGACCTGAGCAAGTTGCAAATGCAACGTTTAGCTGATTGGACCACAGAGAGGCTTGGGGGCTATGGGTGTGGGAAGGAAGAGATGGTGTTTTCGATGTGCCAATGCCACATTGCGCGCGCTGACCTTGGTCGCCCCTTTCCCTGCGTGGTCAACGCCACCGTCCCGTAGCACCTGGGCCATTTGCTCAAATGCCCCCTTCAGACGGTCTCGCTGGTTCTTTTGAGACTGGGCGTGTTTCTTGCGTCGGAAATCCCCGGATCCCGAGGTTCCATCAGGAAACGTGATCAGAAGTCGGCCTAGGAGACGTCAGTTGGAGATTCGAGGCAGATCTATGGTCGGAAGGTAACTGAGGTGATAAACGAAGTGGACTGACCTTCCTTGGGACGGAGCTGAACATATCTTTTGCCGTTGGGAGGGGAAGAGGAGGAGGGTGCCATGTCTGTGGTTTGCTCTTTTGGTGTTTTCTTCTCTCTCGATGAAACCAGAGTCTGGGGGGATGGGGGGATTGGGCGGGTGAAGACCATATATGTGTTCTCCTGCATCGCCGCAGAAGCCATCCACACCGACTATCTGTGTGGCTTGTCTCGCATTTAAACATAGCCTGTCAGGTACTCCTCATTCCTCATCCCGGAGAAACGGTTAGTTCTATATTAAAGTCCGTGCTGATCCTCTCCATTGATATGCATCTCTAGGCTATTGCGAGATCCTTCTCGCAGAGAGTCTGACCCCATTCGGTAACTCGTGGATTTGCGTTCCGACATCCATCAACTGGCGCGAAATGACGTGAGTCTATTGGCCAAGGTTATACAGCCATACTCTCTTTAGGCACTTATTTCATGGGATTGTCTCCAATCTGCGAGTTGCACGCCATTTAGAATCTGGCCAACGGCTGTAGAACAAGTCACTCCAGTTTAATGAGTGCGATCTACCGAGTCTGAGAGTCCATTGTCCATGGAAAGATCTGAATGACCTCGGGGCGTGTACTCAATGGTGATGGTTATACACGGGTCTGTCATGGAGCCATGCACCTTCATGTTGACTTCCAGCGGATCGCATAGCGGGTGTTCATCCATCCTCTCACTGGATAGAATACACTGGATCTGTATCGATTTGACAGAGGAGTCAATAATTTTGCTGGGGTATTTCAGACTGGTAAGCTTCGTTTGCTGTAGCCCACACCTCTCGATGGTAGGACATGGTGGGCTATCCGTAGTACTTCCCCAGAGCCGTTGCAGATCATGGTACTGCAGAAGGGGCCAGTCTGGAGAACCGTCGGTGTACCGATTCAAAACTCCGTCTCATAACTTCGACTAAGCCATGAAGGACCGGTACCTACGCCATTGAGTAGCTGAATTGCATTGGCTAGAGAGAACAAAATTCGACTTGATCGCTGTTAAGAGACTAAGATCAAGAAGGCCAACGATCAACAAGAAAGGTGGTGAGCCACGTGATACGGAGGCGGTGTGATTCTGCTGAATTTTTAAGCATCTGCGCTAGTCTCAAATAGTCCAGTATTGGCTAGTCCCATTCAGGCCTAGTCACTGTAACCCCATTCAATGCCTGGCAATTACTGAGCTGCCATCTTCTTCCCTGCAACATTATGACACCTTCTGGAACCAAGAGAAAAAAAAAAAAAAGGCCTGTCAAACATGCAATTTGCGACGAGTCAAATGTGATCGCACAGAGCTAGCTGCATGTACCAATTTGCCGACTCTCAAGGAAGGATTGCCAATATATCATCTCTCGGCGTGGCAAGTATGTCTCGTCATAAACTGGAGTTCTGTGCAGTTGTGCCGATAATGAATATGATTCAGACACAAACGAGTCAAGGGCAAGGGCTCCGCGAATATAGCTGTTTTTCGTCGGTCTGCCCGGCGGTAGTGAACAAAGGGTGGCCCTAGACAACGCATTGCCAGAAGTATCAACCTCTCCAGGTGACATGCCAGATCGAGCATCTTATCGATGGAGGATTCTGCATCAGCACCAGAAATCGTGGATACACTTCAGAATGCGAAGAGCAAAGTCGTCTACTGTGGTGACTCTGGCCGTGTCTCTCAGTTGCTCTTGCAGGCGATCTATTTTGTCGGCGTTGCTTACTGTGGAGAGACGTTGCATAAGGAGGTTGGGTTTTCCAGTAGGTACTTGGCCACATGCACGTTTTATCAAAGGGCAAAAGCGCTGTACGATGCAAACCAAGAGTCCGATGCCTGTGGGTGTTCATATGGTGTACACGTAAAGGACAAACAATGCCAGGTCCATTTGATCCGGAAAAAGCAACGCTACCCCTAGAATGCTGTCAGCACTCTCCACAACAGGATTGTTGACTGGTGTAATCTAATTCTGTGCTGGGTATCGCTGAATTGCATGAACAGCAAGTTGTTTATCTTGGTAATTTCCGACCGACTTGGTGCCATGATCGATACTAAATTGACCCAGATATAAAGCCGGGTAACATAATGGTGAACTGCCAATGTGGAAACGAAGAGACTATCATCAAAACCGCACAGCTTACTGATCTTGAAAACGCCGCATATCTCCCTAAAGGCAGGTGCATCAAGGGTATGCTTGCTGGAAACGACAACTGGCGCACTCCAGAAGCACATTTCAAGGGTGAACTCAACAAGCCGACAGATATGTTCGCATTTGGAACGGTCGTGAGTATGTCTATTCTTCCGCAATCCAACTCTAACAATCCCAGTGCATATATGCGGTCCTCGGTCGTGTTATCTTTGGCCCCGATAATGATTTCCGGCAACATTAAGCGCAGGGTGCGTTGCCCACGTTTATACGCCTACAGCGCCAGGTATCATACTTCGGCGACGAGCAAGGAATCGGTGGTCTATTAAGACATATCGGAGACGACGAAGTTACCTGCCACGTCTTGAGAATGCTATGGGATGAGAGGACAGACGAACACATAGCGTACAAACCTTTTACCGAGTGGCCAGACGTCGTTGATGCGGCTTTCAGGGATCTTATAGAAAGACTCATGAACTTGGACCCGGCAAAACGGCTTACTGCGCGCGAAGTATTGGAACACCCATGGTTCGCCGACGCCTGAGACTTTGCAGAACGCGTTCACATATGGACGCTTCGATCACTTGGTCACGGTGCCCGCCACGATCATCGCGTCACTCTGTCGCGGAGAGGCTCGGAAGATAATACCTAGTCGGTCTTGGTCGTACCGAGGCATGGATACGTGTATCATTTCGATACCGCAGCAAGCGAGAGCGCAGGTTACAGGCCACAGGGATCCTTGCCGGGCCCAGTTGATCAGTTGATCAGTAGTAGTCCTAGTAACGATCAGGTCAGTGGATGTATAGGCCGGCTTGAGGTAGGGATCAACACTGAGAAGCATACAGGAGGTGATGCAGCTTTCCAGCATTCTCTTGCTAGGGACCGAGACAGATTGCGAAGGACTATTGATGGCGTGTTTTGTCCAGGTTGGAGAGAACCGGTACTGCGGAAGAATGGGTGCAGTCTTCCATAGCATGAGCTGTCTTGGGGACTTGAAAGCCCACGAAGCGACAATTTTAGTTCTTCATAAGGGGATCAATGTAGAATAGACATGGAGTTTGCATAAACTTGAAAAAAGAAGGTGAAATGGCCCATCTATCTAAAGTAGGGTGTATTTCAATTGTTGTTCATATCGCCGATATACTCAGTTCGGCGATACAGATATCTTGGCATCAGTCTTGGGGTTTGTATCGGCGACATTTTAGTTCTAAGCACTAAAGGAGATGCAGCGGTTTGTCGTATTTTGCAATTAGCACAATAATACAAAGGTCCTTATCATCTTGCATAGTACGTCAAGTATAGATATGCCTTCATAGCCCGTGGGTTTTGAGATATTATGTACCGGAAACAAAGCTAACGACGGATCTCAGATGATATAAACTATACAGAAGAGCTAAATACTAAAACAGGAGGCAATCTCAAATACCGTTTTCATAGAACCTCATTACCAAGCGTTATTTAATCAGGGAGAAAGAAAAGTCCTTGCATGCATCACGTAGATGTTGGTCGTCAAACAGAGTCGTAGAAACTGTACACAGAGCTTCATGCAAGGGGCTGGCATAGTTAGTGCAGGAGACGGCTATCTATATGGAGTATCTTTTACCTGATACAGTTATGAAATCACATCTAAGTTTCACTTTCCATACCCTTGCATGTGACTTGTAGATCGGGATATTCCAGACAGGGGGTAATGCATTCCAACTCGTTGCAACGGCCTGCCCCTTATATACTTCCGTAGTAATAGTGCCCAGGGGTAGGGGGAGCAATGGAAAAATACTCTCGTTCTTTCATTTCTCCGCACAATGGCAGCAGCTGCGCCGCATCACGATCTGGAACATGTTCTATCTGAGCATGGGCTGACCCTGACAGAGGACGGGCGCCATGTGCGCTGGGCAAAGACAAACAAATGCCATCCGAGGAATTGGCACCCGCTTCGAAAAGCTTATGACTTTAGTATGATTTTCGTGTTGGAAATCTTTACGTAGGTGGTTCTCTCGTCTCGTTGGGCATATGAGAGAGAGAGAGGGTATAGTCAGATGAGCTTACATTATCTTTTTACAGAACCGCGACTAGTACAGCTGGTGTATGTGTTCTTTCTTCCTTTCGTCAACTGCTCAATCTAAAATGTCTAATTTGGCTGTCTAGGCAACAGCAGCAAACCATGCTCGCGATCAATTCCATATCGACGTGACTCCGTCGATTCTTTACTTTGTTACGATGTGGGTACCAAATCATCCATTGGAATTGGATATCGACATTGAACTTTTTTACCTAGGTACCTACTCGGTCAAGCGATGGGATGCGTCGTGTTCCCACCCTGCTCGGAATCCTTTGGCCGCAAAAACATGTACGTTTGGAGCACTGTCTTCTACTGCATCTTTTGCATCATCATCGCCGCGGTGCCTTCGCCTGCTGCCGTTGCTGTCGGACGGTTTATATCGGGCTCTCTGTCGGCCATGCCGAGCGTTGTCGTCAATGGGAGCATTGAGGATATGTTTAATACAGACACTCGTATCTGGATTGTTTTTATGAACGCCATTTCCACGAATATAGGACTGGCCGGTGGACCGATTATGAGTGGTTATATTACCACGACTTTGGGGTGGTACGACTTCCCTGCTTCGTCGTATGCATATGTTGAAGATACTAGTTAACTCAAGATGACAGGCAATGGGTGTTTTATATTGCAGCCATTGTGACCGGAGTTCTCGCTGTCCTGATGCTCACCATTAAAGAGTCACGACCGACATTGCTGCTAGCCCGCAAGGTACAGAAACTGCGCGAACAAACAGGAAACAAATCCCTGGAAGCATCCAACCCCGACCACGTATCCGACATGAAGACTTTTGTGCGCCTTTCGCTGTTTCGACCGCTGCAACTCTTCTTCACCGAGCCCATCGTCTTTACGGTGGCGTTGATGAACGGCGCCTGCATGGCTCTGATTTACCTCTTCACCGAGGCCCTCCCTATTATCTACCCTCTGTTCGGATTCACAGAAGCACAAGCCAACCTTCCCTTCGTGGCTTTTAGTCTAGGCATACTTCTTAACATCCCCGCACGGTTCCTCGATCGACGACTACGTGCCAAACTACGGAAACAGGGCCACGTCGCCGGACCGGAGAGCAAGCTGATCGGACTCTTCCTCGGAGCCCCCGTTCTCGCCGGCGCACTGTGGCTCTTTGCATGGACGATCCCACCCATGGTTCCGGACGTACACTGGATTGTGTCGGTGTTGGCGTTATTCTTCATCGGGTTCGCACTTAACGAGTTCACCACCGTCTATGCGGGCTATATCGCGGACAGCTATTTGAGTTATGCAGGTAGCGCGCAGGCAGCGTTGAGTATGCTTCGATCGCTGATGGGGGCTTTGTTTCCCCTATTCACGCCCAAGATGTTTAATTCGCTGGGGAACAACGTCGCGGTGTCGGTGTTGGCGGCCGTCGCGACGGTGTTCTGTGTGGCACCAGTGTTGTTTAGTCGGTATGGTGTTTCGTTGCGGAAGAGAAGTCGGTTTGCGAGTTATAGTCTGCAGGTGTATGAGACGAGTACAGTGGAGGATGGCGGCCGTTAGTCGTGTCTGGTGTCCTCACAGCAAGTTCTATATAAAGTTCACAATGACATAACTAACAGGTTCTGGTACATGAGTAACCATCTTGACAAGTTCGTATATCAGCTGTCGCCCATGGTTTGATGGTGCCTCAATCCTGATTTTAGATTGGTAATGCCGAGATTTCCGACCTGCTAAATATAAACAGAACCCTAGGGGTATCGGGCCTTGCGCATGAATGCGATATAAATTGTCAGGGTTGAGCACAAAGTCAGACATGAACAGACAAAACAGCTAATGCAACGACTATGTCAGCTACTACACAAACGCAGCCACCATCCTCCTTCGAGGCCTATAATTTAACACCCCTGGACTGGGTCAATCTACCTATCCACGTGCCTGTTGCCTTCGTCTTCACTCCTGCCAGCATCCCAGCAGGGGTTGAAGCACTCGAGCGCGGCATCTCCCGTCTAGTCACACAACTCCCGTTTCTAGCTGGCAATGTTATCCTGAATCAAGGCAACGGGGGTGTCGTGAGGCCGCCTAGTGGCAAACTTTTAGAAGAAAATCCTATGATCCGCACAGAGGTTCATCTTAAGAGCATTTCTGTTCTCCACAAGCCTAATTATGGCTTCAATGACGGCATTTCCAGCGACTCTTTCCTCCCGATCCCGATATCGCTACAGTCCCAGAATAACAGTCCTGTCATTCGATTCTGCATCAATGTCATGACTGACGGGCTGATACTCTGCGCCTCGTTCCACCATGCCACCATGGACGGGTTAGGGGTGATGAACGTGATAAGGATGATAGGAATGTGCTGCGCGAGCCACGACATGCCCCGTCTACCCGTATCTTCTCACACCGAGGCCTCTGTCCGAAGCCGGGTGTTGAATATCACAACCAGTGGATCTTTCATGGACATGGAAAGCTACGGTCGGCATCACTGGTCGCACTTGCATCTTACCAGCTGCGAGCTCCAGTTTCCGTCCAAAAGGATCCGCCAGCTAGGAAAAGTTTGCAATGGTGTCCTCAGCCAGTTGATTCCGGAGAAGCAGGCGAGTCAAGATGATACAAGGAAGGTTAATGAGCTCTCGACTAGCGACGTGTTCTCCGCACTGCTGTGGCTTTGTGGGACACGCGCTCGTTCCGGAGCTCGCTCGCGATCAGCTTCAAGTCCCTATACTACAGACACCACTCGCCTCTCGGTAGCAGTCAATATCCGTGGCGTCCTCAAACCACCCATCCCATTAAGCTATCTCGGAAACGCAATGGTCGTGGCATCCGATACTCATGCGCGAGATGAAATGAGAGCCTCCGGGACCACCACCGCCACCTCCATCGACAAAGACGAACTACGATTACTCGCTAACCTCGCATTCAAGATCCGGCACATCGTCCAGGGTGTTGACGACCAGTACGTCCGCCAAGTGATGCAGCACATCAAACAAAGCCAGGACCGCCAGGACGCATCGTTCTACTTCCCAGAAACGTTCGTAACGAATACGCGACTGCTGAATCTGCACCGGTGGGAGTTTGGTCCGGAGCTGGGCAAGGTGGTGAACTTTGAACATTTGAAAACGAGGATCAACGGGCTCTGTTCGATACTGCCGCGATGTCAAGGGAATGCTGAAGATCCACCGTGGAAGGTTCGGGTTGTCTTGGAGCCTTTGGCGATGGAGCGGTTGCGAGAGGATGGACTAATTCGATGGGCAGCAGGGGAAGAACTCCCCTGTAAGTTGTAGAGAATAGTCCCTCGACTCTTTCCTAATTTGAACCGAGAGGGACCTAGATCTGAGAAAACTGGGTCGGTTGATAGAGAGTACTTTGATTAGTAGTACTTCATTCTTGAATGGTTCAGGTCCGGCGAACCGGAATTGGACGCAACGGGACGAAGTCAAACCTGGGAATGGACTAAATTGGAAATAGACTTCTTGGGCCTTAGACTAGCTTTATAAAAGAAGTTAGGATACGAGCAGATGGGCAGAAGCATGCAAGCATTCCCTCGACGACTTAGGGCTGGCCGCGGTGTCACATGACTCACATGACTGCCACCCACGTGATCTTCATCGGCCCCACATGGAAAACCCTCTAATTTTGGGCGAAAAAAGAAGAAATCGCGGGTCTTCAATCGATCAAGTCAAGTCTTTCACCAGTCAAACTCACCAAACCACTCCAAAATGCCTGCTCCCACGGCGCTGCGGCGCACTGAAGACGAACCCGTCATTGACTTCAACACCGGCGTCCCCCAGTCCGCCCCTGGTGAGTCTCCAAGTCTGCCAATTCCTTCTGGAGAAAAGAATCTCCCCCGCTAATCGATAAACCCAAAATAGCCGGCGACGCCAACAACGACGACGATGAAGTCCTCGTCGACATGGACTCCGCTCCCCCTACCACCCTCCATCTCACCGCAGACTCGCAACCGCAGAACCTCGTGCACATCCAGACCCGCAAGGTGCCCATCCCGCCGCACCGATTCACGCCCATCAAGGCGGAGTGGCCGAAGATCTACCCGCCGCTCTGCGACCACCTGAAGCTGCAGGTGCGGATGAACATCAAGAACAAGTCGGTGGAGATGCGCAGCTCGAAGTTCACGACAGACTCGGGGGCACTGCAGAAGGGCGAGGATTTCGTGCGGGCGCTGGCGTACGGCTTCGACGTGGAGGACGCCATCGCGCTGCTGCGACTAGACGACCTCTTCATCGAGACGTTCGAGATCAAGGACGTCAAGATGACCTTGCAGGGAGACCATCTGGCGCGTGCGATCGGTCGTATTGCCGGCAAGGACGGAAAGATGCGGTACTCGATTGAGAATGCGTCGCGGACACGTATCGTCCTGGCCGGCCAGAAGGTGCACATTCTGGGCGGGTTCCAGAATATTCGCATGGCCCGGGAGGCCGTCGTCAGTCTGGTGCTGGGTTCGCCGCCCGGAAAGGTCTATGGCAACCTGCGGACGATTGCGTCCCGGCGGAAGATGATGATGTGAACGACGATCTGATTGATCTTATTTCGATCGGAGGAGAGCGATTTGGGGGGTTAATGATTTTCCTTGGGTATTCTCTTTTATTTATCCGTTTCTAACGAACGCTTCGGTCATGGGATTTGAATGTTTTTCCAACCAAAAATCATCAGTGCTTGTTGATAGATTCCTTTTATTACTTCATATCTTAAGTGGCGCATACACGGTCTGATCTGAATTTACTACTTTTCAAACACTTCCTTCTTTATCATTTATGAGCTTGGGCAGAGTGAGCGAAAGTATACAAGAACAAAAACTGTCAGAAGGAAAGAAATGCTTGCTAAAGGGCAATGGGGACCTAAATTCAAGCTCTATACCAGGGTTTTCTGATGGAAATTGTAGATGTGGACATTGTGTTTTCATGATTTGATGCTGAACGAGATACTAGAAAACATGCTGCCTGAGGAACGAATCAGACGGAGTACGTCTTCTCGACGCTCTCCTTCTTCCGCTCCAAGAATCCCTTGAAAGTACCCAGCGGGATTCCCCACGCCTTCACCTCCTCCATGTTCACAAACCGATGCATATCGCGCATCGCTAACTGTCCCCCAATCATCGGATTCACGGCCAACTGCGCATCCACCTCCTCCTGCGTCAGATACTTCGCCTTAAACTGCCGACCCGTCGCTTGGGCCAGCTCATTCAAGATATCCTCCACAGACAACAATTCAGACGCCAGATCGATTTCCTTCGCATGGAACCGCTGCGAATTCAAGATGGCTTCGGCAGCAAACCGCCCGATGTCGTTGGGGTCGACATTAGGCAAAAGGGTCTCCTTCGACAGGACCGTGGTCCAGACGCCCGTCTCGACCAACCCGGCATACAAGAATTTCACCAGGGGCAGGAGGAAGTTCGACATGAAGTTGGCCGGGCGCAGAATGGTCCAGGAAGCGAACCCCGTGGCGCGGACTTCGTTCTCGATCGCTTGTTTCGTCAGAAGCGTCTTGCCCAGAAAACTAGTGGGATCCCAGTACGGGAGCTTTTCGGGCTGGTTGACGGCGAATCCGCTGGTGTAGACGATTTGGTTCACGCCGGATGCTTTGGCGATGGAGAGGATCCGGCGGGCTTGTTCGAGTTCGTGTTTTTCGTTCGTGAAGTCGGGCGAGAGGTTGAGGAAAAGGCCCGTGCAGCCTTGCAGGCCTCTTCGGAGGGATTCTTCGTCGTCGTAATTTCCCTGCGTGACGGTGACTCCGACTTCTTGGAGTTTTTGGCCGCCATGAGAGCTGGGATCGCGGACGATGGTATGCACCGAGGCGCCGTTCTGAAGAAGGTGGTGGGTGACGGCGCCGCCTTGGGTGCCAGTGGCTCCGCAAACGAAGATCTTGATAGTCATTTTTTGAAGGTATGAGGAATGGATGTTTGGATTTGTGAGTTGTTTTGATTGATTGAGGTAGAAAAGATGGGTTGAAAGCGGTGACTTGGGGAGTAGAAGAAGCTGCTCCTCTGATCCTTTATATACCCCCGGACCTCCAGGCTCAGACCCTCGCCGATCTACATCTTGCATTCCACGATATGCACCCGCACAGCTGATGGAGTCGAAATTGCGGCAATCGCGCGGAACTCCACTTTGCAAGTATGAGGATGCGATGCTGATTGGCATGAGACGTGCAGCCTGATTGATTTAGCGTGCGGAACTCCGCCCTTTCAGACTCCACCGGCGGCGCTCCCTTGTTTTCTTGTCCACGTCCAACTGCGCTTTCCCACCCCTTTCTGTTTGGAGGAAGGGAGTACGAGACTCAAGTGCCACTGGTTATCGAACTGTCCAGCGAAATGAAGTCTTCTAATTCGACCACCGAGCGATCCAATCCCCCACCGCGGCGGAAGTCCTGTGAAGCATGCAAAATCGCCAAGCGACGCTGCGATCTAGCCTTTCCGGCCTGTTTTCGATGTGCGCGTCGGAATTTGACTTGCGTTTATCCCGGCAAGCAACCGTTTCAGGAACCGGCACTTGATGTACTCTCGATGCTCGAGCAATCCCAGGATCTACCGCCGTTTTCTTCCATGGGATCCCAATGTCCACCGGAATTCAACCTCTCGGCCTTGTCGGATCTAGAGCCCCCAGAATTTGCTATGCTGGATCAGGAGACTGATCATTCTTTGACTACTTCACCAGATCTCTTTCATAGCTATCATCAGTCTATTGTGCAGACACCAAGGGCGGAAACGATGATACTGCGAACGAGGTCATCGACCCCGATATCAACCGTCATAGCTCAACGACTGCAATTTTCCATCGATATGCTCAAGAGTGCCCCTCGCATGATGGTGCTTGAGAATCAGACCCCGTGGTGCCATCCTCAGCTCTATAAAGATGGGATGCCTCGGGCCATGCAGGGTAAGTAAAAGCGACACAAGCTAGGACATTGAGTAGCGAATCTAAACTGGTGGGGTCTAGATGCCTTCGCTTGCTGTGCTATGTACATGGCAAGGAACGACGTAAATGCACCAGTCATATTGGCTTCTTTCAAGACACGCATCCAGGATCTGCTCTCTTCCAGTCCTCCCACAACCCCCCTAGAGGCCCTGGCCCACACCCAGGCCTTGCTTCTCTACCAGATAATGCGCCTTTTCGATGGGGACATTCAGGCCCGGGCTTCTGCAGAACCCCTCATCTCGACGTTAGAATCATCGGCCCTCTCGCTCCTCCAGTATATTCACTTCCCGGACCCCCTGCAACCGGAGGTCACCTTTCCTGGCTCCATCGAGCCAGTCATGGATTTCTGGGCCTCATGGGTCTTCCAAGAGTCCGCACGGCGCACGGTCCTAGTCACGTTCTACTTCATTCAGATCCACCGACTTCTTCACGACGACCCGAATATGCAGTGTGACGGCCGACTAGGTCTCGTTCATTCCTGGTACTTCTCGGCGGAGCTGTGGCACGCCCAGAGCGCATTCGACTTTGCGGTGGCCTGGACTGAAAAAGAGCATTTCGTGGTCTATAACGCCAATTTCTCGGACGTGTTGCAACGGGCGCGACCTACGGATGTGGACCTGTTCGGGCGAATGCTGTTGAGTGCGGTCTTGGGAATCGACGAGATACGCGCCTGGTTTTACTCAAGAGGGGCGATTCTTTAGATTTTTGGGACAGGGTGTCCGAGCGGGATAAGACTTTATGAAAGAAGTGTTCAAACGGCGGCCTCCATCGGAGCAGTTGACCGCATTTCCGGGATGCAGATTCCATCGAGTCTGGGGTTTACCCAAGCGAATGGTCCAGACCTTTGAATTTTGCCGATGATGTCGGTAGTCTAGTCCTCCATGTGGTATGTAAACCACCCACATCAGTACCCAAAACGTTCTTGGGGCCATAGCCCTCCACCCATCTCACTTCCTCCAGGGTATCCCCATACCCCACAGACAAGGTACTGGCTTAATTCAAAGCCACCGGTTGTGATCCGTTCTCAAAACGGTCTAGACTGAAGAAGACGCATGCACGCCACTCCAGGATCACCTCCGTGGGGAATCAAGACTAGTTCTGCAGAACACCTTAATTGCAACTCATCTGCCACTATATCCTTTCTCTCTTCTCCGTCTGGGCATCTTGTGACGGTGATTCTATCACACGGCGTTGCCCGTAATTTTAGATTAAACGTCGTATTCTCGGTGTTGCTCCCACCAATCTAGCGCTGGTGGCGCTTATCATGCTCATTTTCATGATGGAATTGAGAGTTGCATCTGCCACTCTTTCTCTTTCCTGGTGGACGTCTCCGGGTTGCATCTAAGTTGCAATGGGGATGACCACTGAATATACCATTGCAGACCAATCTACCGGATAAACATGGCCTGGACTCGCATATTTAAACGACCTCTTCGTCCCCTATCCAAGCTCTCTTGTTCATTGCCCAACCAACACCATCCCTACAGTTCCTTGAGTGAGAGCAATATGCATACCATCTCCTTCATCCTTACTACTCTCCTCGCCACCCACGCCGCTGGGCACGGCCATGTCACCAACGTGGTCATCAACGGTGTCTCCTACCGCGGCTTCGACATCAATTCGGATCCCTACAATTCCAATCCTCCAGTAGTTATCGCCTGGAGCACTCCTAACACCGCCAACGGCTTCATCTCCCCGGACGCCTTCTCCTCCGCCGATGTGATCTGCCACCTGGATGCCAAGAACGCCCGCGGGCATGCTGTCGTCGCTGCTGGCGATAAACTCAGCATTCAATGGACCGAGTGGCCCGAGAGCCACCACGGGCCCGTCGTCGACTACTTGGCATCGTGCGGCTCCAGCTGTGAGACCGTCGACAAAACGACCCTAGAATTCTTCAAAATCAGCGGCGTCGGGCTGGTCGACGGCACGACGGTTCCCGGGTTCTGGGGTGACGACCAACTCATCGAGAACAATAACAGCTGGATGGTTCAGATCCCGCCAACCATTGCGCCGGGTCACTACGTGCTGCGACACGAGCTGATTGCCTTGCACGGTGCATTCAGCGAGAATGGCGCCCAGAATTACATGCAGTGCTTCAACTTGGAGATCACTGGATCGGGCACTGCGAAACCCTCCGGCGTGCGAGGTACTGCTCTTTATAAGCCCACGGACCCGGGTATTCTGGTCGATATCTACAAGTCGCTGTCGACCTACGTAGTCCCTGGTCCGACCCTCATCCCCGGAGCTGTATCGATTGTGCAGTCAAGCTCGCAGATCACGGCGTCGGGTACTCCAGTAACCGGGTCTGGCGGTGGCGTCACTACTACTACGGCGGGCGCGACGACTACTACGCTGAGCACCACCACCTCGAGAGTTACGACGACCACCGCGACCAGTGCGACGAGGACCACGACGGCTGGGGGCTCCGTGACTTCGGTACAGTCGAACTATGGCCAATGCGGTGGAAATGGATGGGCTGGTCCGACGGCCTGCTCGACCGGTGCGACCTGCACTTCTTACAATGACTTCTATTCGCAGTGCTTGCCGACTGCAGCTTGATTGAATATGGTTTATTTGATATGTATGGGATATACTTTGGCCGTGCAGTTGGATAGTCTTAGTTGTGTTGAGAATTGAATTGGAGATCTATATTGCCTTTGCCTGTGTCCTTCTTTATGTTGGCCTTATAAGCCAACTTTATTCACCTTGTAGGGCTCACTACAGACTTCCAATCAGTCAGTATTAGAACAGTGTTACTCTTTATAAAGATGGAGTATATGGTCCATGATGTGATGGCATGAATTTGTACCCCAAGAATGATCATATGGGAGTTCATACATGATCATGCACCGTGATTCCCCGTGTCTGTCTTCACGACCAAAACAATTCCTCTAAAGTTCACCACCTCATCGGCGCGAGCCCTAACATAGACATCTACCTGCCTTCATCCAGGTCATCGTGACCAGGATGTCTCGGCGTAACGTTACACTTTTCACCTTCTAGCTCTTCTTTCCTCCACTCTCTCCTCTCCTCTTCAGCCATTTCCCTCGGACTGAACACACTCGCTTTCAAAACCAACCGAAGCCCTGACCTTGTGTAATCCATCTTCTATCCAAGCTTCCAGCAATCATGTTTCTCGATCAGATCCCCAACATTCTCTGCGGACTGCTGCTGCACTATTTGAATATAGTCCTCTATGCCAGCAGCGACAATTATATGTTTATCGAAGCGGAAAGACTGCTTCATGAGTTCACCCGACGTGACGCATCGATTGTCTCCCTCTTTATCATGCCCGTCTTAGCGGAGGTCCTTAAGGCTTTTGTAAGTCCATTGCACCATCTTTTGGATTCCGTTTTCTAATCGTTGTATCCATCTAATCGTCATGTCTGCGTCTACAATGTCTCCAGATCCATTACTTCCTAGGCCACGTCCTGACTCTAGTAATGATTCTCGAGGCCGAGACCCTGCATACCCACTCATCTACTTTGATGCGAGCCGACACCGGTAACCCAAGCATCCCAGCCCCAGTCTCTCGCAGCATCTTGAGCGCCTGCGTCTTTTTGGTACGGACCGCCGGCCTGCGCGTCTTCTTCAAGGGCATCAAAGCAGCCATCGTCTACCGTGCCTCCTTCCTCCTCACAAGCCTCTTCCTCGAGAAGATCGAGCGCGTCATGATAGGTCCTCGGTCCATCGTTCCGTTCGTCGCGCGTGTCCTCTCCACCGTCTTCCTCAGCAACCTCCATCTCGCATGGACGCAAGCCACGATCTCCATACCCTCTTCTTCGCTCGTCACTTCCGCGCCGACATCCTCACCATTCGATCGGCCTTCCTCGTGGCGCATCCTAGCCCTTCCATCCCTTTTCTTCGCCGCCGTGCAGATCCTAATGGACCTACTACCTCGCATCCTCCTCCGCCTTGTCATCACCCTGGTCCCTGAAACCGAGCGCACCGCTTCCCCTTGGAAAGCCAAACTCGCATCCCAGACCCTCATCACAGCCTGCCGTCTCGCTCTGCACTTCCCGGCGCTCACTGCCCTCACCCTCATCGAGGTTCGACTCCTCCCGGACAGCGAGAACACCATCGTCCCGTCAATCCGAGGCCGAGGCGCTAGAATGAGCGAGCTCGGCGCGTTAGGAGTCACCAGCCCATACGCGAGACCCGGCTCTGGCTTTTTCTGGGATGCGGGCGCAGGCATTGACGCTGGTGACGGTGACGGTCCTGGACTGGAGACTCGACTCGGGTTGGATCTTGTTCGGTGGGCTACGGTTCTCTGGCTGTGCGAGCTTCATGTGAAGAATTGTTTGTTGCAGCTTGCGGTAGAGGTTCTATTGGGGAGGTAGAGTTGTTTTTTATTTGATTTTCCTTTCCTTGACTTTCTTTCTTTCGTTGACCTCCTGTCTGGTTAATTTCTACGCATGTGGTGGCTTTTTGCTGTCGGATTGCGTGCTCTTGTTTGACTAGATGTACTAGTACTGTTATGCGTGTGAAGTAGCTAGGAGTTTCCATGGCGATGAGAGTGGGTTTCCCGGCATGGGGGATCCTCTTTGGAGCTTTCTCTTCTGTAGACAGGAAAAATCAAAGCAAGTTGAACTTGATGAGAAAATGTTAGTAGGTTCGGTACAACTACACGTCGTGAATAATTCCAATGGTCCAATCAGAATAAGAGATCAGCGACTGTCAGACTGCACTACAGGTCATTTCTTCATGAAGCTATTCAGTCATCAGTAGAACGCACTAAACTATATGTGCTGCCTGGGATTTCAGGCATCAGACCATCCCGACCAAGCTGGCAGATGATCGCCAATGCATCGATCCTTGAGAATCCGACCACAATTCCAAATAGAGCGATTCAGCGGAAATCTGTCTCGTTTTCTCGATATCTGATCGAGAAGTGTGCATACTCCATACTTCATTCCCACCGCAAAAGTGGGCGCATCCGTATTGCGGATACCAAAGCGGTAAATAGTAAATACGCCCAGCCATCGGAATTAAATTAATTCTCGATCCATTCGGGTCTTCCATGTCTCGTGCACAATTCACTCTGTGACTTCACTTGCTCTTTCCTCGCTATTGCTCATCAGTCCCGATGTTTTTCACCCCTCTACTAGTCGGGCTGGGTCCGGCCTTTGCGACGGCGGTGGCAGCACATACCGATCCTGTCGATACCCATGCCAACCTATCGCAGATCCCCGATGACATTCTGCAGCGGAATGCGGTCATTCAAGCCCATCTCGCCCAGCGACCGGTGCGCGGCGTGAAGAAGATGAGCAACGATGAGGGCGAGAAGTTCTTCTTGGATTACTGGTACTTCGGGGAGGATGCAGTTGAGGGCAATGAAAACCACACCACGAAACCACTACAAGAGCGACAAGAGACATCTACGAACGAGCACCTCGCGACCGAGGAACGACTCGACCTCCAGCCTCGATCGTTTCCCCATAATCCATCGCTTTTACTGAATCGTCGGGACTCGGCGAGCGACGCTCACGGCTGGATGGCCGCGCAGTTCTCACCGCTGTTTCGCAGAGATTTTAAATGTCCGGCCGGCACTTTTTCCTGTGCCTCGATCGATCGCCCCAACAGTTGCTGCAATGCCGGTCAGACCTGCGAGTTGGTCAAAGACACTGGGTCCGGCGACGTGGGCTGCTGCCCGACTGGAGAGGACTGCTCGGGCACGATTGGGAAGTGCAGGCAGGGGTATTCGAGTTGCTCGGCGTCGCTGGGCGGCGGTTGTTGTATTCCGGGTTATGACTGTGTCAGTGGTGGATGTGAGTTATTCTTTGATCTGCTCTGTTGACTGTTTTCTACATTCGGTTCTCTGACCAATCTTCCTCCAGGTGCCAGAGTCTACACGATCACTATCACGGTGTCCTCGTCCGTGATGTTGTCCACTTCCACCCAGACAGTCCCCGCGACAAGCACGGTTGAGCATAGCACCACGACCACCAGCCGTAGTACCCATAGTACTGCGTCTACTAGCAGCAAGGAAACCAAGACGACCGGGGATCTGTCCCCGCCCGCGCGGCCCACAAGTGTCTCGACGGCCACTACTTCCCACGCCAGGGAAACGGGCGACGTGTGTCCCCTTGGATTCTACGCATGTTCGGCGGTGTATCACGGAGGATGCTGTCAGACCGGACGCGACTGCGACACGACCTCGTGTCCCTCCACACGATCCACGACCATCACCACCAATGATCGCACGATCGTGGTTCCGGTCGAGACGACGGAGGCGACGGCGACGAGCGGCGGACGATGCGCGACTGGCTGGTTCAGCTGCGCCGACACCGCAGGCGGAGGTTGTTGTCCGACAGGATATGCGTGCGGTTCAAGCTGTACCGCTCAAGCGACGGCGACGGCGACAGGCACCGTAGCTAAGGAGGCGCCGACCAACGCGGCGAGTCGGAATTGGTCCGAATGGACGAGGATCGTGGGAATTGGCATGCTGGGAATGATCTGGACGATGGGATGAATCGAGAGTATATGATCTATGACAGACGCGACCATGAAAATGATAGAATAATGACCATGACGCTTTACCAAAGATATGCGCGTAGAGATGAAGATAAAGAGAAAGAGAAAACAAAAACCCGCGGCAGAACGAAAAAGGTTCCCCGCGTGGGCACGTGGGGCCGGGCGTGAGTTTTCCCCTTCGGGAGATTCCCCGGTGAGTCCAACTTCTTCCCTTCTCCTCTTCTCCTCCTCCCCTTCCTTTCCTTCTCTTCTTCCCTTCAATTGTCTTCCTTCGTTCTTTTCTTTCCCTTCTCCATTCCTCTCTCTCCATCCATCTTCTTCGCCTCTACCATCATGTCGGAAAACCAGAAGCCTCTCCCCTTCATCTACCAGTTTGCCGCCGGCGCGGTGGCTGGTGTGTCCGAGGTACGTTCTCCTCACCGGGGCCTACCCAGGCTAGGTAGGCTAGTAGCCGTATGACTAACAGTGGACTGACTCGATATCCAGATTCTCGTTATGTACGCCAATTCCAGCCAATTCACTCGATCTGCGCGACCCCTTTGCTAACCATGGAATCGCCCTCAGGTACCCATTGGATGTGGTCAAGACCCGAGTGTAAGAACTTACCCGCCGGCATTTTCTCCGAACCGACCAACAAAGGAACTTGACGTGTCTGACACACAAATCATCCCCATAGTCAACTGCAGACCAACGCCGCTACCGGTGAGGAGGCCTACAATGGCATGTTCGACTGCATGCGCAAGATCGTCAAGCATGAAGGGTACGTTCTCGCTCTCGTCCTCGCACCCAACACCCACCCAAAAACCGAGCCGTCCCGGTCTCGTTCCCAATCCAACCGACCACCCTAGTCTCGTCTCTCAACCCCGACCGTTAACGCGATGCCCCCTATTATCCGTGTAGCTTCTCCCGTCTATACCGCGGTATCAGCGCTCCCATCCTGATGGAAGCGCCCAAGCGTGCGACCAAGTTCGCCGCCAACGACAGCTGGGGATCGTTCTACCGAGGCCTCTTCGGCGTGGAGAAGCAGAACCAGAGTCTGGCCGTGCTCACGGGTGCCACGGCTGGTGCCACCGAGTCCTTCGTCGTGGTGCCCTTCGAGCTGGTCAAGATCCGTCTGCAGGACCGCGCCTCGGCCGGCAAGTACAACGGCATGCTGGACGTGGTGAAGAAGATCGTTCAGACCGAGGGTCCCCTGGCCATGTACAACGGTCTGGAGTCGACCCTGTGGCGTCACATCCTCTGGAACAGCGGTTACTTCGGCTGTATCTTCCAGGTGCGCGCGCAGCTGCCCGCCGCCGAGCCCGGCAACAAGGCCCAGCAGACCCGTAACGACCTCCTGGCCGGTTCCATCGGTGGTACGGCCGGTACTATTCTCAACACCCCCATGGACGTCGTCAAGTCGCGTATCCAGAACAGCCCCAAGGTTCCCGGTCAGACGCCCAAGTACAACTGGGCCTGGCCCGCCGTCGGCACCGTCATGAAGGAGGAGGGATTCGCTGCCCTGTACAAGGGATTCCTTCCCAAGGTGCTCCGTCTGGGACCTGGTGGTGGTATCCTGCTGGTGGTGTTCACCGGTGTCATGGATTTCTTCCGCCAAATGCGGGGCGAGTAAAATGTTTTTTTTCCATGTTATCTTGTGTTCACTGTTATGTTGGCAGCTTGTCTTTGTTCCTTTTCTTAAAATCCTAGACCTTTGGTGGTTTTCTTTTCCCCCTTCCGTCTTCTCCCTCTTTATACCTCTCTCTCTCTCTTTCGTTTCCTTTCTTTTGCAAATAGATCGACTTTGGGTTAGACTGTGCGATTGAAGAATGTTCGTCTCGTGACTAGACTATCTTTCCATCTACATTGTCTTTCTGTCTATCTTAAGCCCTGTGTGCATTGTGTCCCCTGCGATGATGAACTTAGATGTACGTCTCAGACTCAATACCCGATTTCTCTTCATCGTTGGCTTTGCCATCTTCTCGCCTTGGATGCTATACAATATAAACAAGTATGTACAAGTAAATGGATTAGTTGATATGTAAGGATACTTTTTAGGGCTGCGATACATAGATGGGTCAGATCTACAGCATGGCTGCAATCTGTATATCTATCAGTGTACCAACCTGCCTACCAATCTACAACCCTGCTACTCAATAGTCCATTCGAGAACCAGGAAGACTGCAAGTAATAATAATTGTATGCATGCACTTAACATAGATAATAACCTCAAGTTGCTGCCAAAACTAACGCAGTTAAGATATCAAGACCGTTGTAAATATAGAATGGCGGTTTCAAAAAGATGATCTGAAATTCAGCGTTATCGTGAATTCGTCAATCCCTGACTAAGGGACATCATGGACATTACACGTCAAGTCAAGAAGCACAAGAAACAAAGCCATAGTCAATGCAAAGCCGACGAAACGATCAAAAATATAATGAGAAAAAGATCAAGTTATATGAACCAAGCAAGAGATACATAACCCGTGAGATAGATAACAACCGAGATAGGAACAAGGCAAAGCAAGCAAGCAAAGAATATTAGAGCAGCAAAAGGAAAAGGGTATCGATGAAAGATAAAGATAAAAGATAAATGGAAATGAGGAAAGAGACAATGAGACAAGCAGTAGCAAAAGGGGAAATCACAGTTCAACCGGGTAAGGCGCTGCCTCGGCCCGGATATCGCGAAAGGAATGGCCCGACTAATGTTGGATTCAATCTAGGCCACCCAGGGGGCAATGAAGACAAGAGATCTGGGCAACATGTATGCAGTAATAGTCAAAGGGGAGAGAAGCAGAATTAACATAGTCCGACCCAGAATAAACGCATGAACATCAGAACGAATTCGAGAGCCAGAGAATAAAAGATAATAATAATCAAAAGGGAAAAAGCTTCAAGGTAATAACAACAAAAGAAGGACAGAATCGATCAATCCATAACCCATAGAAAACAAGACAATTAAAGCTCACCCTAAAACAAAAACCAACTGAAAGCGCAGAGTCATTAAAAGTCAGATATGAATATGTCAAGACTTCCGTGTTCGCCGGTTCAACTGCTCCGTTGGACGCCGTTTGTATGCAACAGGTCATGGCATGTGTTCGTAGATGTATCGGATGGTACTTTGAAAGATGACATGAGCGTGAAGAGGTCCTAGAACCACATGTCGGTTCTAGTTCATCTCCATGGCGTATTCATCCTCCTCCTTGAAACTCATTCCGGCGTGTCCTGAGGTACTCCAGTATTGCGCCTGGCCAGTGCCGCCACTGCTGCTACCGCCGCTGTTGTAGGACGGGCTAAGGCTCTGGGGGCTCAAGCCGCCGTTGCCAGAGACAGCATCACCGGCCATGTTCGTGTGTTTCGGCACCCGGAGACCGGTCCCGGGGGCTCGGCTGTAGCTGAAAGAGCTGGGGTCGTTCTTCTCGAGCGCATCAAGAATCTCGGTTCGCATTCGCTTCTCTTCTTCTGTCTGCTCGAAGGGCCAAGTTCCTCCAAGGCTGCTGATCAGCTCGGCCAGTTCGGCCTCCTGCTGATGCTTGACATGCAGAGCCCACATCAGGTCCCTCATCCATCCCACGGCGCCGTTCAGGATGTCACCTTTGTTGGGACCTTTCTCCTTCTCCTCGATGGGAAGGCCCATGGTGATGTTACCCGCCGTTGCGCGACGGCCATTGCCGCCCGCCAACAGAGACGTGGCGGCATTAGGGTTGGCTCCCGTAGCAGACATGGTCGTGTTATTCACCAGCTGCTTCCGAACCTTGTCGTCCTCCAGTCGGTGCTGGGGGACCAAGTGCGAGAGATCCTGGATTCGCTCGTTGATGTTGTCCCGCCGGCGACGCTCAACGAGGTTGTGGGAGGCCCGGCGGCGACGGCGCTTGGCTTCCTGCGATTCCAAATCCTGCGCGCTACCGGGCATGTGACCATCAACCTTGGCCGGCAAGGAAGCATGTTTGCCCGATTTGAGGATCTCGGAGATCCCGGCGTGGTGAGGATGACTGGGGGACGAGATAGGAGATTCCACATACGAATGGGCGCTTCCCGGCGTCCCATCCCACTGGTTGGAGAGGGTCTTCTGATGGCGGTGCTGAAGTCCTGTGCGAATGGGCTGGGTAGGGAAGCTCCCGGATTCGGGGGTACCAAGAGTCAACGCGCCCAGGGCCGGGGTCTTCGGGGTCATCGGGCTGCGGCCATCCGCGGAGCGATCCACTGCCTGGAGGCTGGGTCGTGTCTTGCCATTCAGGTAGCTTTGCTCGAAGTGGGAGCCAGCACTCTGCATGTGGGGGGTGGGCTGCTGTCCCTGTTGGTTCATTGGCCGGAATTGGTCATAGTTAAAACTATTATGCATGAAGGGGCTATGCATGGGAGCTCCCTCCGGGGTATTGGAATACATCTGCGACATCTGGCCGGGGTGGCTCATGGAAATCCCGGCACTGGAGTGGGTCTGATCCTGGAGGAAGTTCATGCTGTCGGCGCGCTGAATCCCATTGTGGCCGTTGATTTCCAGGTCCAGTAATTCATCGGTGTCAATACCGGAGTTTCCGAAGTTGAAGCTTGAGGACATGTTCTGTTGGGAGCCAAATGGATATGACATGAATCCACCATTTTGCATGGTAAGTTCTGAGGGGTCAACACCGTCGGTGTTGCCGAATTGATTGGACATGTAGCCGGAATGCGACATCATGAAATGGTCACTGTTGTGTTCGTCAGGGTCACTCTTTATGAATATGCTCGTTTCGGTCATAGTGTAGCGAGCATGTACAAGTCTCGGACAAAAGGCCGAGAGAACGTATCCACAGGGAACCCCTTACAGTCCGAGATCCAAACTCACGGGCGAGAGCACGAAGAGAGGCAAAAAAAGAAAGGGTCGGTGAAATCCGATCCAACTAGCGAGTTCGTTCCAAATTCAATGCGACACCAAGCGTCGCAAAAAGTATATTCGAGTCACTTCAAGTCGAGGTAACGATGATAGGATTCGATGGGGACGGATGCTAAAAACTAGCGAGTGAGACTGAGTCACCGAGTCAAGGCATCAAAAGCGGGAACGAAGAAAAAAGATTGCGTCTAAGGTCCTGAGGAAAGCGGATCTGGTTAATATAACTACTCTTCTCCATTCAACAAGAATGGATGCCAACAAGGTCCTGGCGAGGATGCCAAAAATGTGAGGAGGGGCGAACTGAGACACTCACCAGGAGAAGATGAAGAAACAGGAAATAGGGCGGTAGGCACACACCTCCCCCTTGATGGTGATGATGAAATGCAATTGGTTGTAGGAGCGCGATGACTCGAGGCGGATGCGAGGAGGTTCGTTGATGCCAAAAACGAATGGCAAGGCTAGACAGGCGGATGGGGATGATTTAAAAGGAAGCAGGGGAAAGGGAAAAAGTATGAGTCGAAAGCGGACAGGTCGGCAAATGCCAGTATCGTGGGCGGAATTCTAAGTCCAATAGGCGGCAGCGCCGGGTGGCGTCGATCGCACAAAGATGGAAATAGGGGACAAGTCTGGAAAATTCTACCGTGAGCGACCGGGAATATGGGGTAACAAAGTCAATCAAGGAAAAAAGCAAAACAAAAAATCAGGAGAGATTAGGGAATCGCGGCCATAAGCGAGACAACCAGAAGGCAATCCAGAGTCAAAAGGCCGGCACGATGGGCCCGCGGAGACTTGACGGGCTGGAACAGTGCGATAAGACTAGGAAAGAGAGGAGGGACGGAGGGACGCGCGAGGACCGGCCGAGTCGGACAAAGCCCCGAAGCTGGAGTTCTGCCCGGATTTGGCTCTCACTGTACTTCTCCGAGGGGAGAAGGAGTGATAAAATGCCAGCTCTTTCACCCGGTCTTGGAGTATACGGGTAGCACAAGAAGAGGGGGAAAGGGACAGAGAGTAGCTGGTGTGGAGAGATGGAGAACAGGAAGCGATCACGGATGGAGCAATTGATTGATTATTGGAGCAACCAGAGCCGGTGGGGTCAGAGGAAGCGCGAGAGGGACGAAGAGAGCGAGAGACGAAGAAGTCCAAAGGAAAGAAAAAGAGGGGCGGTGAGCCTGAGTCCCGGGGCGGTGGAGCGCGGCATTACCGGGTGCATCCTACAAGGCACCAGCCAGGAACTGCATCTTCTTCGGTTGCCTGCGCCTGGACTTCCCCTGTCGTTGGTCCTCTCTCATTCTCTCTCTCTCTCTTTTTTTTTTCTCTTCACTTTCTTGCCTCTCCCGGATTCCGGCGCTCCGCCTCGGTCCAACCAGGAACTGAGTTCTCCCCGCCTCGGGGTCTGTGAGTCTGTGAGACGCTCTGGGATCCAAATCGTTGCCCCGCGGCGGCTCAGCCTTTTCTGGCATGTCTGGGCGACTTCGCCCGTCGAATAAGCCGCCCCGCAACGCGTTCCTCAAGGGGTTGCCATCCGTGTCGCCTTCCATTCTCCCGCTGAGTCAAGCAGGCAGTCTGCAGGGTTCGGGGATGAAGCCCGCAGTCAAATCGGGTTGCGGTGAACCCGGAGAAAAATCGGAGTTGGAAAACATGCAGGAAAGAAAGAAAGAACAACACTACCCCGCCAGTGTCTCGCGCTGAGGGTCCATGTGTGTGCAGTGTGCAGTGTGCAGTGTGCAGGTGGGTGAAATGCGCAAATCTTGAAGAAACGCAAGCAATAATGAAAAGGAAAATAAATGTTTACTTACCACTTGAGATCTATTATTGATCAAGTTGGTTGGGCAATGGAACTGCGTTCCTGGAGAGAACAAATCCGTCAGATCAGCTACCTGGTTATCGCGGTGGGGACCGAGATATATATAGGTGAAATGCACGGCGGGAAAACAGCCACCAGGAAGGAAGCGGCCTTAAAAAGGACTCTTATGCTCTTCACACGTGGCGAGGATAGCCTGCGCCTCGCCGAGTCCAATCACGACTTAGGCAAAGACAGTAGTTCCTCAGAAGCCTCGTTGCGCCGCAAAGAATGCCATGAACATGTAACCACGGAGAGACCGGAAACAGGGTAGGAGGGAAGACGCGATCAGGGAGAAAAAGAAAAGAGCAGAAAGGAAGGAAAAAGCAAGGAAATGGTTCGTTTGCGAACTTACATGCACCCTGTTCGATTCCAAGAGTCGTCGCAAACACCAAGAGGCTCGAGCTCAGGCGGTAAGTAAGTACGAGAAGAAGAGTCGGGTCAGGTTATCTTTTATCGCCAGTAACCCTGTCTGGAAGGAGCCCATGAGGGGGAAGGAAGCAGCAAAAGAAATAACCAAAGGCTGCGTGGATGGTTGGAGGCTGGTGTAGGTCGAATGCAGGATATGCCAACTTCGACCAAGCGCGATGGCGGTAGAGCTGAAGCGAGACAGAGAATTGGAATCAAATGAGAATCCAGAGAAAGGTCGGTAGGTCGAACGAGCGAGGGAATGGAGGCTTTAAAGGGCAGTCGAGGCGTTCTCCATCGGCTCCCATTTGATATATCACAGCGATGGTCATGCAGGCCGTCGATCCTCAAATCGACGAGGCTTGATAAACTCGCGACGGGAATTACGTGCGTCGCTCTTCCTTCTTCAACGGGGGATCGGGGGTTGTAAATTGATTAATTTAATTTAATTATCTAGAAATGAAAATAAAATAAATAAATAAATCAAAAGAGAAAATAAAAAATGATCAGGATTAAATAAAAAAAACATCATTGGCGAAAAGGAGGGGGAAAGGTGCGTGAGGGGGACCCCGAAGAACTCCACTCAACACCGGCGAACTAAACTACGCTGAAGGAGGGTGTCAACCTCCGGTAACGCCCAGATTCAGTGAAGAAAGGGGGTGTGATCCAAAGCAAGATGGTGTAGCCAACTTCTTGTTCCTCAAGGAGGGTCGTACAGTCCGGTGGGGGGAAATCAAGCATCCACTATCATCCCATGAGCAGCCAGGTACTACCAGCTTTGTCACCTGTTCCTCGCCGTCCACCATGACTCACCGCGGTCAGGCTAGGCTGGATGGTTTGAAAGAATAGTACTTCGATTAGTCTGGTTTCGTTGAGGAAGATTAGCAGGAATTCTGGTTGGCAGAAGACGGCCGGACTTGAGAGCCGAAGCTGAGTAGAATGTATCAGATGCCCCGTTCGGGCAAACCCCAAACATACCAAGAGGGGGATGATGACCCCGAAGCGTGAGGCCAAATTAGCGTCGCAATCATAGCGATAACCGGATTAATAATAATAATAATAGTAATAGTAATATGATTCATTTAGCTGTAGGCACGAAATATTTCAGAAGCAATGAGACAGGGAGGGGAGGAATGACATCATCGCAGATGGAGTGCCATCAATTAATGGTTTATGGTGGATGATTTATGGTTTAAAAAAAGAAATTTCCCCCCTCCCTCGATCAGAAAATAAAAATAAATAGAAAAATACATGAAAAGGCAGCCCTGAGTTTACCCTCTCGTAAATGTCTTGCCGACAATACGACCCTAATGGCGGGTACTGCTGGAATGTATGGATGATCGTGGGACACCATGTGGAAGGGATGGATGGGGGAAGCGATCTCCTTCCTGCAAGTCTGGTGCAGCCCCATCCAAGGATTTCGGATCTTCCCCCATACCTGATTATCGAGGGATAGTCATTATTCACGGACGAGAGGAGGACACTAAGACGATCGACAAACCAAGAAAACCGATTCAACCGGGAGAAAAAGGAAGAAAAACGAAGAGGTGTGCAGCTAGGCGGTAGTAGTAATGTTGGATTCTTGAGTCGCAGCGTTGGATGACCAGTGAACACGACCCTTGATGACGACGGGACTACCGCTTATGCTATAATCGCAGTCTATTATTATTCAGTCTCGGGAGGAGTAGGATCCTGATTTACTACTTGTGTAGATCGGCGTGGATAAATGATTTTCTGCAGTAGCCGCACCGCCGCAGTATCAGAGCTGCCTTCTCCCACAAGGCGACGCCGCTGATGAGTCCAAACCCCCGGATCCCCACGGCTGTCCGAGCGTTCTTCGACGCTGACACTCGAAAGGCGGTCCGTGACACGGTGCAGGCTGGAGATCCTGTCGCCTCCCGAGACGAAGTGCGTCGTGCGTGTCGGCGGGCATGTGTGATAGGCTGGAGGGGTCACCTTTTTTAGTTCGAGGCGTTTTCCCTTGCGCAGAGAGAGAGAGAGAGAGAGAGAGATAATGATTCCCAAGTGGATTGCCTATTCCGGTCCGACCACTAAATTAATTCCTTTTCCTTTTCCTCATTGAGGTTATCCGTCAAAGCCCTGGTCTTCTATCAGTCATTCTTCGAGCTCGTTCAGTCATCCATGATTTGGAATACTGCGGATCTAGGAATGTGGGTAGCATCTTTTAGCTCGCCCTCAGCTCCCCCGAGAAGACTTTACCTTGGAGATAGGAATGCTGTCAAAATATGCTAGCCCAATCAGGGTCTCCATTCCAATCTACTGCTATCTCCTGTCCGGCCAAAACCTGCTACGGCAAAGTACACCGTAGGATAGGTCAGGTATGCCAAGCCGATATTAATATGTTTCTCTCCTCCTAGGGAAATAGTCATCTACCGACGTGGGTGCGTGGGTGGGATGTATGTACCGTACCATGGGTGTGCCCTAAATGGATGTACCGTGTATATGTCCAGGTATGTCGGTACTGGCATGGTTTCCCTTCATCGTGGGCGTCAAGCATGATGGCAGCAGAAGATGCGGTGTGGGGTGGGACCAAGGCACGGCACATACCGACAAACCCCATCAACTACGATTCCTGCACGTCTGCAGTTTGATTAACAACGGAATGGTGCTTCATCCAGGTGCGAACGGGGGAACTCGTGCTATCTTCACTTAGAGGGAGGCGATTTTTTTGGCTCCCGTGGTCGTCCCGTCCCGTCAAAGTTCGGAGTGCATGGCCGCGATATCCACGGTTGACTGCAAGGAGACGCACCCCGGGATATCCGTTAATTATGGCTACGCTTCCATGGCCGTGCAGATGCGAAGTTGGCGTTTCAGGAACTGCCCCCGGTAAGTTACAGGATGCGAATCCTTTTGTTCTTGGGTTGCCTTCGGTTATTCTTCGCAAGCGTCGGGGCTAATATGACACCCTGGAGATAGCGAGCCCTGTCTCTCTATGGGAGGAGGAGATGATATCCGCTTATGATAGGTAATGTAACATGGGAAACCTTGCGAGTGGTCTCGGATATAAGATAGGGTTATTACCCGATTATCCTGTTTATTTTCCTTGATTTTATTTCAGTCATTTAGTATAAATTTTTCTTTTCTTTTCCTCCCAACTACCTCAGAGGGCATCTGAATGGAGACCATGATGCTGATACTGCTGCAAACCAGTCATTCGCCTTGGATGATTTACCCCCGGCTCGGATGATCTGCCCGATCGATAAAAAAAAAAAAAAAAACGCAAGTGTCCAACTACGTAATGTGTCTCTGATCAGACTTCCCCCGCCGCGCTCGTTATACTTTCCGATTAGACCGCTCAGTACCCGTACATGGAGTTCAAGTAGACTTCTGCACTCAACGGCTGCTCTAGCAACGATCGACTGGGCTAAGAAGGAGACCAAGCAGGGAATCAATGAGGGATTTGCGATCGTCACTGGTCCAAACAGCGTACCCTCTTGGTCACCGTCGGGTCTCCCGCGCAAAAGTGATCCTGACTATCTGTACTGGCTACTGAATACGGGCTAGTATTGACTCGGCGAGGAGTCATAGCAGAGAGCGACTATGCTCGTTGGGGTAGGGTTGGCTGATTCGTAGTGAGTAGTGCTCCGTTGATCTACCGTAGAGACCGCCCTAACGCGAGTGATGTAGGTGTGGTTCAATCGCTCATAGGCAAGTAGGAGGAGGAAGTAAGAAGGGAACAATGGAAGGTCAGCGGGAACGGCGCTAAATGATTAAACCCCATGGGCGGTGGCGGATTTGCTCCAATGGCCTCAAGCGGGGAGGGCACGGACCAGCACGGGTGGCCAATCAATTGCATTGGTGCCGTCCCCTGCGGTACATCGTCAGTCGCTCATTGGCGTATGGGCAACAGACAGTGGGGCACCAGCGCGGATCAGGCTTAGTGCCGTCAGCTGGCCCCCGTCACCGTTGCGCCCGACTTCGATTGGTGGCTCAGGCAACCCACCCGAATTCCTCCATCTTCTTCCTCCAGCCTGTTCAGAGACATCACCGGAAGGCTCCCCCCAGAATAGCATCATCACTGTCATTACGACTACTGACACAGTAGTCCTCGTTTCCAACTCTCGTGGTATGTAACCCTCCCCCTGGTCTTTCCAACCCCGGCTTTGTTCGTGTTTTTATGATTTGATTTGATTCGATTTTTGTAAACCACCTGCTCAACCCTCCCACTGCCACACCCACCCTTCCCCCCTCCCTTTCCCCCCCTCCTTCTTGACTTCTTCTTCTCCTCCCTTTCCAAAGTCAGATGATGATGGCTAATGCTGCCGCCTGTCTAGAAGCGATCTCTATCGTGCGTTTGTTTGGTGCTAGAGCCTTAGGTTACGCCGTCCGATTTTTGACTCTACCATCATCTTGCAGCAGTCCCCCCCCCCTCCCTCTTCCTCCTCACCTTCCTATTCTCCGCAAGCCTTCTCCACCAGGCTATCGTGCTAGTACCTAGCTCTTATCGATCCGTCTATTACACCCTCAATACCTACATTACCTTAGTCGCCTTCACATTCCCCGTGCTGGATTGGTTGTATATCGTCATTCCTGCCGCCGACTGACCAACCGCTCTACCGAACCCGGATATCCCCCCCCCCATCCCGGAATAAAATCTATCAAAGAAAATTAGAATTTGCCCGCGAGTTAATTTACAAGACACAAGGGGAATCAATCACAAGCTTATCGGGTTGACGAGCGTCCAAGAAAGCACGACGTGCTAGCGGGTGCTCGAGTTGCCCCGTGCCCAAGCTCCCTCTCGGGTGTTTTAGTCCGGTTGCGCAACAGTCATCTGGCCCGCCGACCGCTGGTTACGCCGGACACCTTCTCGCCCACACTGGCTGATTGATATCTGCAGATCATCTGCACGTACAGACTGGTTTCCGCCGTGCATAGTCCCTGCAGAGACTGCCTCAGCTTGACATTCTAGCGTTGCGTTCTCACTGGTCTGCCTACCGTTGACACTAACGCTGGCCCGGTCTTGCTTTTCTTGCAGCCAAAAAGCCTCTTTTCTTCCCCTTACCCACACCAATCCACCCCTCCTTCTCGGTTCACCCTCCACCCCCCCCTTTACGAACAATTCTTCCTTCTTCGGCACGCATTTTAGACATTACAGGGGGGTTCCCCAAGGAAGCAAATCACAACCATGGCCTCTAATTCGTTCCGCGACTCGGTCAACTCCTTAGGCTGGGCGCGACGAGACCCTGATCTACCGGTGCGCACCAATAACTCGTCGGCGTCGACTCCTTTCCTATCACGGTTACAGTCATGGAATCCGTTCGGAGGGGAAGGCTATGTGCAACTGCCCACTCACGAAGCTCCGGGAGCTCCCCTACCGGCTGCAAATCGACGGGAAGAGGAGGACACTTTCTTTGCCCGTAAGATCCCCCCGAGCCCATGACCGATGGCTCCGACAAGCTCTTGTCTATTCCCTGATTTGCTGCACTGCCTGGTCCAGGTGACAACCGTTCAGTTCCTGCGTCTGGCTGGGTTTCACGGAAGCCGTGGGGACGAGCGTATCTAGTCGGACTGTGCCTTGATTTTGGTCTCTCCTACACACCAGTGCAAGAAAAAAAAAAAGAAAGGGAAAAAAGGGCATGGACGGAGTGAGAGGGAAATCGAATCATGTCTGGCTAACCATCTGATCTGTTTTCTAGTGAGTCGGTGGGATCGCATGCTCGTCTTTGCGGCATGTAACCTTGGAGCGGCGGTCTGCTTCATGATTTGCTTTTTCCTGTTCCCAGTGCTGTCGCTCAAACCCCGCAAGTTTGCGATCTTGTAAGTGCCTTCATCCTCTCTGCCTCCCACTGCATTCTTCAACATCGGTCCTGGCACGAGGCGGTGTAGGGCTTGTCATGCCTGTGGCCTGTGGCTGTACCACGCCCGGTCGATCTTGCCCGCATACACATCCGTTCTGCTCGTTGCCAAGATCGACTCACCCTACTTTTTTGCCCTGCCAAAACGCTGACGCCATCCGGCTCGGGGCTGTTTAATCTAGATGGTCCGTCGGCTCTCTTCTCTTTCTGCTATCATGGGCGGTTCTCATGGGACCCCTGGTCTACGCTAAGCATCTGGTCTCGGGATCACGGCTGCCCTTTACGGCCGCCTATTTTGGTTCGATTGCCATGACTCTCTACTTTGCCATCGGGGTAAGTGGTTGCCTGTTGATTATTCCTATTACTTTTTTCTTGGTTTTTGGTTTTTGATTTTCTTTTTTTATTCCTTTTCTTTCTCGTTGATTTGGTGGCGTCTTATCCCTCCCCCTGTTCTGGACGCTTCTCGAGATTCGCGCTTCTGCCGCCTGCCGCCTCTCCAGGTCCCCGTGCGGTCGTGTTGAGAATCGCGACAAGACCAGATCTTGCATTCCTTCCCTCCCTCTCCACCTGATGCATATGCACAACATGCTCCTGTCTGCTATGACATCATTCATGCACATGCCAGGCGTGACCTTTTCTCCTTCGGGTGCAGACGAAAATTTCCCGCGACTCGAGGGAGCCGCATCCTTTGCTTATCCCCCCTTCCCATGCGAATATACCTCCGGATGACTACGACGCAGAGAATGAAAGCTAACCCTTTTTGCTTCCAGCTTCATTCGACCTTCCTCACGCTCATCTCGTCTATCTTCCAGCTGGCCGCCCTCCTCTGGTACCTCGTCAGCTACTTCCCCATGGGCAGCACCGGCTTGCAGTTCATGGGCCGGTTCGGTGCCCAGCGCGTCTCTTCTTGGATAACCAACTAATGTTATACTGTTGCTGTCACGACTTGGGATGTAGCGTTACGTTGTCGAGCATATCTAGATCACTTTCGTGATAGATGGGTAGATGATTGTAGTGTTCTCTCCCTCTATATTCTATGTACAATTTAATGGACTGTCCTTGACTTAGTCATCTTCTGAATACGTGTATGATATCCGATGCTGTTGATAAGTAATAGAAGTACCCGAAGAGAATGAATCATTCCTGTAAATGTTATGAGATTGATTCCTTTTAAATTCATCTTTTTTTTTTTCTCTGACTCTTGATCTTGTCTAAATCCTGTCCTGATCCTGATCCTAATCATAAATAATCGTGACCCCAATCCTGTTCTATCCCATCCCATCCATCCTACCCTGTCTAGATAGACATCTATATAGACAGAAAAAGCCAATCCAATATTCCCTTCCTTCCTGTCTTCCTCCTCAAGCATACCAAACATGTCTTGCTTAAAGCTAAGAAGCAAAAGAAAGATCACCTCCGACTCATCACCACACCCACCTGTCCCGACACGACCTTCACGCCGGGGATCTCAGCCTCCCAGATCCCCGTCCCAGGACCGGAGCCGACCTTCAGCCAGCGCTGTAGCAGATCATTGCTCTCCTTCGGTTTGACATCGGGCGACACGGTCCCGACCGTGACGTGTGGGATGGGGTTGGCGCACGACCACTCGGGATCCTGCTGGTCGTCGGAGTCGGTGGCAGAGGAAGAGGAGGGTAGGATCCGCGCGACGAAGGCCATGAGGCGGTCGTCCCAGATGAGACGTTCGAGGCGGACGCGGGCGGGGGCCAGGACCGGGGTGATGGTGGGGTCGGAGTCCGGTTTGGAGGCCATCTTGTCGAGGTAGCGACGGGTGTAGGTGTCCCAGATGTCCGGGCGGTCTTTTTTCGAGGCGCGGTGGATGAGGGTGACGTGGAAGGCGGGCTGGATGCGGCGGGAGTGCAGGAGGTGGTTGTAGATGCGGGCTTTGTCGGGGCTGGTGGTGGACGCGGGGAAGAGGGATTGTAGGGTGTGGGTGATGTCGGCGGCGGGGAGGGTGATGCCGAAGTATTCGATGTTCTTTGCGAGCGTTTGCGAGTTGGGGGGAGGAGGTGGAGTGGAGGCAGCGCCGGGGCTGGGTTTCTTGTTATTGTTGTTCTTCTGCTTGGGGCCCTTGTTGCCGTATTGATGGCTGAGGTCCAGCTGGACTTCGTACTCGGCCATGGCGCTGTGAATGGCGGCGTCCAGTTCCTGAGGGGTCGGCACCTGCTTGATGAGATGGGGGTAGAGGGAATGCAAGGAGGTGACCACCTTCTCGAGGTTCTCGCGGGACGAGGCGGCCACGTCCAGGTCGATCGTTGCGTCGAAGCTCTTGTCCGGCTCGCGGTCGGTGTCGATGCCCTCGAAGCGATTCAGGAATCCCTCCATGATGCCGATGACATCCTCGGAGTTCTGGGTGCCGGCGCGGATGGTCTGGTGGTTGTCTCCGCGGTCCAGGACTCGCCGGCGCGTCACCTCGCGAATCCCAGGGAGAAGCTGGCCCTTAGGCTCGTGAACGTACTGGAGCGCGACGAAGCGAGCGTCAGGGACCACCGGAAGGAGATCATCCATGAGCTGCTGCCGTTCGCGCCGCATGTGGTTGTTGCGGTCTGCGATGACAACGGGGTGCGCGGCAAGAAGGTTGGTGATGTCGAGGGCGAACTTCTTCGGCTTGTTCTTCTGCTTAGGGATGTTGTCGTTCTGCACATGGCCCCAGTTGAACAGCTTAACCAAGGCAACGGCCACGGTTGTCTTTCCACATCCGAGCGAGGCAATGGGGGCCAGGATCACATTGTTGGTCACCTCGCAGGGTCCCTCGTTTTCCATGGCAATGATCTCCGAGCCCTTCAGCCCGCGCTCTTGGAGGAAGCCTTCTCGCAGAGAAATGATTCCGTGGTTGTGCTGGTAAAGGGTTGTTAATTTGGGGTTTTTGACGAACTGCCGTCGGGCGTACTGCAGGTACTCCTCGGTGATCTTCTTGTGCTTCTTGATGTTGGGTACCTTGCCTGAAATGACCGCCTTGGTGCATTCACGCCATTGCCGGTACATCAAGTACGGCTCTTCGAATTTGTATTTGAAGAACCAGTCCTCCAGAGGCGCCGTGCTTGTTTCCTGCCTGTGGCATCGGATCACAAACCCTTCGGTCTCTCGGCCATCCCAGGTTCCCGACTCCGCGCACTGATCAAGGAACTTTTTTACCGTGTCGATATCGTCATAGACCATGAACTTGGCCTTCTTGAACCCCCATTTATCGGCAAACTCATGAACTTCGGTGCTCGAGCATGTCGCGAACTGCGGGACGTTGAAGTTGAGACCGTGAAGGTAGATTCCCGACGCAACCTGGTCGTAGGCCAAAACGTGCTCTTCGAAGCTGTCGTCGCACAGCTCGCCCACCGCGGTGGCATTCATCCGGCGCAGCTCTCGGGCCAGCTCTTTGACGGACTTGCCTACCGAGCTGACGTGCTTTTCAACCCATCGCTCACCGGCCTGCGCATGGCTCACTTCGGTATCCTGCCGTCCTCCGGTCGAATGTTTGCTGCACACCAACAACGAGTCGTCCTCCAAGCCCGCGATAAAGATGATGCACCCGTTTTCCTTCACGCTGAGCTCGTAAGGACCCCGGGTCTTGTTCTCAATGTTCCTCCACTTGGTCGCGTCCACCTCGTCGATGTTGAAGAACTTATCGTAGCCGCGAACCGCGATTTCGGGGGTCCCATCCTTCCTCTTGGTTGTGAACAATCCACGAGCGTATGTCGGAAGGTCGGATCGTTTGTAGTCCCAGTCCATAAACCTCCAGGAGTCCACGGCGATGTTATCAGACCCAGCGACCGGAAAGGTGGTTTTCTTGCAAATGAACGCCTTCTTCCCGTCTTTCTTGTTCCTCTGGCTCGCGGTCTCCAGGCTGCCGACGAGTCGGACAACCTCCCTAACGTCTTGCTTCACCATTGTGCAGCTGGTTCTTATCGGTGCCTGGATTCCTTTAGGATACGTAAAATTGACGGGAATTGTTGAAGCTCGAGTTGGGATCGCCAGGGTCGGCGGGAGAAAGAGCCGAACGAAGGGAGGGAGTGTTCGCGAGATGGTGAACGAAGTGGATTTGCTGACGAGAAAAAGGTTTGGGTATAAATAATCAAACCATCCACTCCTGCCCAATTATTTCAGGAGCGAGAAGCTATTTTTAACGAAATGAATTCAAAGGCAAAGTGTCTAGAGCCTTGTGTGAGTCAAGCTTATCGGTGTTGGTTGCTTTGCGGGGCAGAAATTCACGCCGATCCTTTTTCTTTCTTTTTCCTTTCATCGCTCCGCCTGCGCCACTTCTTCCCCTTCTTTCTTCCAACTCAACAAACGGCATTCCATCAACTGCCATTCCCGGGCTCCTTTTGTGACACAATTCAAGACATTGACTCATCCCCAAAGTCACCCTCCGCCGCAATGACTCAACCCAACCCTTACATCATGGCCGCCGAAAACCCCGCCGGGGTTCTCGCTCTCCTACAAGCCAACCCCTCCATCGCAACCGGTCAAGATGAGCACGGATACTCGCTCCTTCACGCCGCCACGTCGTATGGACACATCGATTTGCTCCACGCCCTGGTGAACGAATACAATGTGGACGTGAACCTACTCGACGAAGACGGCGAGACCTGCCTATTCGTGACGGAGACCGTCGACATCGCCAAATGTCTCGTCGAGGAGCTGCGGGTGGACTTCTACCGCAAGAACTACGAGGGATTCACGGCGCTGGACAACATCGAAACCGAAGACGCTTTCCCCGAGGTCGCCACCTATCTTCGACAGGTGATGGGTCTCCCGATACCCGCTGAGAAGCCGGCGGATGCGCTGAACCCCGCCCCGCCGCTGCCGCCGAATATCCAGGTCAACATGGGGACGGTGTCGGAGCAGGAAGTCAACGCGGGTGCCGATCAGGTGGATCCGGAGTTCAAGCGCCGGATTGATGAGCTGGCGGCGCGCGAGGACTTCCACAGCGAGGAGACGCAGAGTGAATTGCGAAACTTGGTTCAGGACGCTCTGCGGGGGAATGTCGATACCCAGGATCGGGAAGTGCGGCGTCGAGTGGATTAGAGGGAGGGGTCTGGAAGTACTGGGAAACAGGAATCTTTACAGTGGGAGCGTTTAGAGGGGCATTAGACTCTCCAGTCGTATCATCCTCGCGATGATCAGGCCGTAGAAGTCCGGCTTAATTGCAGGATGTCTACGACTTAGCTGGGCTTGGTCAAGGCATGGCCGGGTCCTGGTTACTGAGAGATGGATAGAACCCTTGATATATAGACCCAACCCTCAAGAAAAAGCAAGAGGGGATCTCTCTAGGCCATATGCCGTCATACATGACTTCAGGTCATGGACTTGGGGTATTTACAAGGCTACGAGCAGACAGTTTTTCCCCCGACTGATTATGACATAATGAAGATATCAAAAGTAATGAGTTGGTTAGATCTGGGCCACAACATGAACTATCGGATATCCGTTTGCTATCAAAGTACCTACATATGGATGCGATGTACATATTTAGAACTACTTAAAACTCCGTTCTATGCATTCCACGTGACCTTCCCCGCATCCTCTCCGTCGCTGCCTGAGGTCCTCCGATCTCCATTGGCTCGTCCGGCGTCATCCCCAGACGATTCCCCTTTCATCTTCCCTTTGGATTGGTGCAAATGCATCCCGCAGCCTTCCACTCTTCCGCTATGAATCCAGCCCTTAATCCCGACACACCTCCGCCTCCCCCTCCCAAGCCCGGCAGCCACGAGGCTAGTCGAGGGGGTACACCGCAGATCAACCCATCTACACCACACCAGTACCAGGACCCTCGGTACGCTCTGAACGGGATGGGCTCGCAGGGGTTTCATCAACACACTTCCTCCGGCATGGCCCCTGTCAATCCTCTTCCCCAGGCCCCGACCGCCGAGGAGGGATGGTTGCCCGACGCCGTCAAGGACAAATCGTATGGCGTTCCCCCTCTATTCATAGTCAGCGCAGAAAAGCATGTCTCTAACCGGAAATGTATCCAGGACCGTGGACCTCCAGACCATCCTCAAGGACCCGAATCTCCTCTCTGCCCTCGCTAGCCAGCACCCCTCCTACTCCGCTCATCAGGAGAACCTCCAATCGCGACTCAAGTACAACGAAGACCTAGCCAACCGTCTCTTGGAGCTTCAGGCCCATCTCACAGAGCTGCGCGGCTCGACCGAAACGCTGCTCTTGACGCATCAGTCCCTGGAGGTTTCCTGGCGGAAGAAACAATCGGAGATGGATACCGCATTGGCTCCGTGGTCGCCTAAGGCACTATATCAGCGGCTGGCGGCCTCGATCGCCGAGCAAGAAGCTGTGTGCCGAGCGGTAGAGGAGAGCTTTCTCGAGGAAGAACATCACGGGCGAGCTACCGAGAAAGAGGTTGCTGATTGGATTCGGCGAGTGAGGGCCGAGAGTGCCAAATTGGCCGCTAGAAGGGAAGCCAAAGCTAGATGGGATGAGGGGAGAGTGGGTGGATGGAGGTGAACGTCGGCGATACGTTTACGTGGCCTTCAACTTGCGGAGGGGAATCAAGAACCACTAACTTGTGTCCAAAAACAATTATTACACCGCAGAGGCTGATCATACATATTACATATCGCATTCGGAAAGATTCAACGCCGACACCCTTGTCTCGTCTCCATCACCCAGTCCGTTGGAAGTCAATCTCAATCCGCCAAATTACGTCTCCCACTTTCGAGGTCCATCGTGTCCTCGTGTCTTTCGGTCTCTGTTGTCGCCTGAACTTCCCCAGTGTTGGACCAATTGTCGGCACCAACGTGGCTGGAAAGTCCGATGCCTTTGAAGAACGCATGTCGTGGACTTCTCGCTCCCCATGACCAGCCTGCGCCACGCATGATGGGAAGATGGTACAGTCGGAACCCAACCCAAGCGAAAACCACTCCCATGAGGGTCCCGATGATAATATCAAACACATGGTGTCGGTAGTCGAACCAGCGCGATGCGGCTATGAAGAAAGCGACCGCAATTGGAACAAACGCGACAATGACCATGTACACCGGCGGGGCCGCTCCCTGGGTGCGAATTGATTCTCGATTCTGTACCCGCAGCTCCTGACTCAGGGGCGAATGGGCCAGATACGGGAACCCAATGGCGAATTTGGAACATAGCCAAAGGCTAAAATATCCCAAACCCGCGAACGCGACTGGAAACAGCGTCATTAGTATTTGGCTTCGATGCTAGGTATTCGGCAACTGCAAGAGCTTTCAACTTACTGGAAGAATGACCACTGGGGAAACTAGAGAATCCATTTACTTTCAGATCATCAGACTTGTTCCGACATATCTCCCAAGACACCAACGTAGGCGCGTCGCTAAGCCTCTGGCCCAGACCACCGACGGCATACGAGGCAATGTCGGAGAGGTCCGGGTCGCAGCGCGCAAGCATGTCAGGACGGGGTCGGCCATACAGCGCCTTCAGGCCCTGAGTAGCCATGAAAACCCCGGCGACAGATAGCCCCAGGCCCAGCCACGCGGCGTTCCACTCCCATATCTTAGACTTCAATAGCAGTAGCCGCGAGCCTGTCTCCCGAGAAACGGAGGCAGGGACAAAGAGCAAGATGACCAGAAAGATGATCACCGCCGGAGCAATCAGCGAGACCACCACCAGGACACTGGTCCGGACCGTCTCGTCCTCCGTGTAAGGGAAAGAGATGCTCTGATCCGTCAACACGAACGGGCGGTGATTAGGAGTCACGCGAGAAAAGCCATATCCAATAAGTGCAATACCACTGCAGCAAGAACGTTAATATCAACAAGGTTCTATACCAACAAAGAGAAGAGAACAAGGGGGGCGTCATACATGATCAAGATCCAGTCGATGATGTACGACAGCACGAGGCGCTTAGAAATGCCCACGCGAGCATTTGCCAACATGGGAGAGCCCATGCTAGACTCTATGAACTATACGGGTCTTTAATATATCCAAAATTGACCGAAATCATGAACCGAGCTGCGTCGACGAGACGGTCGCAGGCAAGGGATGACAATGAAGCGGAGCCTGCCGGCATGCTGGAGGGACAAAGACAATGACGGCGTACAAAAGAAACCCGCCGAGCGATCTTGGCCGAACGCTGACGAGAGCTCGCTGGACTGCGCCACGATCTAAAAGTCTTGGGATCTCCGTTGGAAAAAGTCTAAATGGGTTCGACTGATGGACAGGACTTTTAACATTATTCGTTTCCTCGTTGGAGCTAACTAGATTAACTAAACTAACAAACTACATCATTATACATAGCGGCATGGGTCTGACGTCAATGAACGGACTACTCTAGTTCTTTCCCTCCAGATCGGTGAAGAAGTCTCGACCAAAGTCCGCGCTGCTGTCGTTGAATCGAAGCTTCTTGTTGATTCCTTCGATCTTCTTCATATCCTCGTCGCTCAACTTGAAGTCGCCCTCGAGGTTCGCCTTGATGCGCGAGGGAGTTTTGGACTTGGGAAGCACGGAATGACCCTGAGTGATGCCCCATGCTATATCAATTGTCAGCTTAACTGGCTCACTATACATGCCTTATTAAGGTAAGAATAACATACCGAGAGCAACCTGTGCTCCGCTCTTATTGTACTTCTTACCGATTTCCACCAGCACCGGGTCCTCGATGAGTCTGCCAATGGTGCCACGCTCCGAGTAAAGGGCGTTCTGGTTTCCGAAAGGCGAGTAGTGAGTGATGTGGATGCCCTTGGACTTGTGCCAGTCGACGAATTCCCGCTGCTGCAGCCAGGGGTGGCTTTCCAGCTGGTGCACCGCAGGGACGACCGAGGTGTTCTTCAACAAGTGCTCCATCTCGGCCTTGGAGAAGTTAGAGACACCGATGGCCTTGGTCTTGCCAGTGGACAACAGTTTCTCGAGAGCCTTATATGTCTGCAGAGTGATGATTAGTATTGTTTTGGACAGAGGCCAAAGGTTTGCTTCTAATCAAGCGAAACATACCGCGACGTAGTCGGTTTCGGCAACAGCAGTCTTTCCATTGGCATCCTTGGGGAACGCCTCGGAGCCGCGCTTGAATGCTACTGGCCAGTGAATCAGGAACAAGTCGACATAGTCCAGCTGCAGATCGTCGAGGGAGTCCTGAAGGGCCTGGGGCACATCGTCGGGGTGGTGCTTGTTGTTCCAGAGCTTGGTCGTGATGAAGAGCTGGTCGCGTGGCACTCCGCTCTTCTTGATGGCTGATCCCACGGCCTTCTCAGTGCCGTAACTATTGAAGATAGTCAGCAATTTTACGCGCGATCCGACTCAAGAGCAAAGCTTACATGCGAGCCGTGTCAATGTGGCGGTATCCTGCCTTGATGGCTTCGATCACAGCCTGCTCCTGCTCATCGGCGTCCTGCCAGGTTCCGAATCCGACGGCAGGAATCTCAGCGCCGGTGTTAAGCTTGAAGGTGGTAGACATTTCGGTGGGGTATGGGATGTGTTATCAATAAAAAAAGAGTTGAATTATTCGTTGGTCTGTATAGGTCTACCACGGCAAGCGAGAGCTTCTTATATCCTGTCTATTCACGCACTTGAATCGACGTCAATTTGACGCACCCAGTTTTGGCCGCTGGCTATGGGTATGACGTTTGCGCGAACCAGAGTTTCAGCTGTCCAACGTCGAGCTCCAGACAACCAGGTTGTTTTGCTCCCATCTGCTCGCCAATGGGCCACCACGTGGGGATGGGATCATTGACTCCACTACGTTGAGCACGCAAAACCAGCAATGGCTGGTGGTGGTGAACGGTGGATTTGCCTGATCTCATCAATCCACTCCCAGCTTCCTCCAGGGAAATCATACCATCGCCCTATCGAACAGGGCAATCCAAGGATATTACACTCTATACAGAACATGTTTAGGGTAGATTTTTGTGAAGAAACTGCTAAGTTCCTTCCGTTATCTTTGCATCCCAATGCTGCTCAATCTGAGGACATTTTGAGGCCAAGAGCACGGTCCATCCGGAGCTTGTGTTTGTCTGGGAGACAAACAGCATCTTTGGTGGGATCCGCCCGCCGTGGCCCTAAGCTTCGTAGTATAAAACCCTGCCGCAACCCACAAACTTTTTTTTCTCAACTTGCATCAGCTTGCAACTGCAGCTGCGTCCATCTGGACAACGCACTGCGCCGCCATTGCAATGCTCTTTCTGTTCGACACTTGCAATGTTCACTAAGGGGTCATGCCTCTAGGACACAGGATTCAATGATGATCTCTGCTGTTCTCGACCACCTCTGTATCAATTGTAAAAGGTATGCTGGGACTTTGTTTGCTTCAAACTTTTGGTTTATTCCCTTCACCCCTTCGATGATGACTCTATGACACGCTCTAAGGCATTCCTCAAACTTAATCACTATGTGGAATTCGTGTTTTAACTCAAGTTTCAGCCTTGTCTGACTCCTTTTGGAAACCTTCATTTGCTTCACTCACTTGTCTTGTATGACATCTGCTAACAAGCGATTGAATAGGTAAATACAACTTCCCGCGATTCATTGCCTCTTATCACCCCCTCGATGAGGATATTTTGAACGAACGGGCGGACAGACGTGTGCATCTGCCTGCATCCATCAAAAGCAAGGCGTACAAACCTTGCGGGTGTTAGGACGGTGTATTGGTTGTTGAGAACTCGTCACCTGAGTCTTGAATTCAATATCTCATGGTTGTCAATCTCTTGACAGACAAGATGCTAACGGGCTTGCCCTAGGTAATACTTGTCCACGTTCCCAGTTCTGCCCCAACACCTATCTCGTCAACATTATATGATGAATAGTTTATTCACACTGTTTGATCCCGCGTACTGCGTGTGGAAATGAACATTACCATACAAAAATCTGATTTAATGAGGTATGTCGCTATTGTCATGTCATTTGGTCGCAATATATGCTAACAGTTTTCAAAGCCTGACTTCAGTTGACACAACTCAATCTTGGATCACTCATGCATGCTTCGAGATTTGTGCTGACTCGTCAACTTCTACAGTAGGAACACCGTTTTGTAGAGGACTTGGTGCCATTAAAGTGTGAGTTGCCTTCCATTTCTTTCCTTGCTTGCACTTCATGATGAACAAATTTATTCGCTGTGTTCTTACTGAATACCGTTGAAGAAAAAACTAAATTTCACCTTGGAGAACTGATCTTTGTGCTTTGAGCAAATTTATCTGCCAACTTTTATTGTTGCTGAGGCTGACAATTACGCTTCGCAGGACATTTCAGTTACTTATTAAGAATAATGATAATGTCAAATTCAATTCATATTTTCGTTCACTACCTTTTTACATCGTAGCTTTGGTCATTCGTAATCATCATCTTCGTCACCGGTCAATCATCATCAATCATGCACACAATACCACCAAACTCAACCTCGACCTCAACCTACTCCATAAACAACTTATGCTTCTTATGCCATCCCTCCAGACTCTCATCCGGATATTCCTCAAACACCTGCTTCTTCCCCTCCGGCCAGCGAACCCACTCCGGCTTCGAGCCCTGCATGATACACACCATCTCATCTGGCGCCGGCAAATCCGTGTCGATGGCCGAGGCGAACGGATGGATCAGCTCTGGCCAGTGCCGATCCCACAGCCATAACATCGTGCCGCAGTTGGAGCAGAAGTTCCGTTCGCTCGAACACTTCTTCTCGCCGGCTGCGCCGCGGTTCATGATGGCGGAGTATTTTCTGTTGTGTATTTGGTTAGCCTTAGCCTGGTTGCACTTGCTATGTAGAACAGCGGCTTGATTGGACGATGCTTATAGGATGCTGGACCGAGATAATAGACGTGCTTGTATATCTATGGGTAGTAAAAGTCGCGACGTACTTGATTACATCCTTCCCCTTCTTGATGTCCAGACTATCGTTGATCCCGCCTAGGTTCACGCTGCCGTTGTATCCGCCTACTTTGCGACAGATGCTGCATGCGCAGAGCTGGTAGGGCACGGGGGTGCTCGAGTCGAGAGTGAATTCGACGGCGCCGCATTGGCAGCTGCCTTCGAGGGTCCTGGTGCACATAGCAAGTTAGCTGGTGTTGTGAGAGGGTTGAGGATGGGGATTTACTGTAGGTAGTTGCGTACATGGGCATTTTGGATGTCTGATATACGGTTGAATGATAGAGTTCGGAGATTAGCAATATGTTGCAGAGATGGCGCGTTCAAGCTGTCTGAAGGTGCTATGTCGATATTCTAGACCAGCGACGTCACTCATAGCTCAGATCCGGGCGCCCCGGTTCCCGTTACCCATTATATATGTTGCACAACGAGATACGAGGGAGGGGTTGAACGCGCATCTGCACCGTGACAAAGCTAGTCTACGTCATTGCATAAAGTTTCCAGCGCAAGATGCCTTACTGTGTAGCATCAACAAATCGCTTGCTGGGCAGTAACTGTAATTGATCTGCCTGCATGCATTGACGGTCATCCGGATGTTTGCCATGTTTGTTCTGTTTGTCTGTCCGGAAGCCGATCCGTTCTTTCCCCCGATTCTCCGATTCTCGTTTCTTGCGCTCGCTCTCCGGCTTGATTGACTGAGGGATTGATATTGAATACCCCTTTTACCTACCTTGTCCTTTTAAAAGACGACATCTAAAACATCATGGGGTTCGGAAGTCCTGGTGGCGCCGCCGTGCCTACTAAACCTACGCCGTGAGTTTGCTCCGCCTGCTATGTTCTTGCTTGCCATGCCATTTCGCTATACTCCGTCGCCGGACTGTGCAATCGGCGAGCACCAAAACAAAGGACTGGACGAGATGCTGACCGATTTGAAACTATAGTCCCGAGCGTGGCAGTTTCCCTCTCGACCACGAAGGTACCGATTATCCCATCCTATAATCATAACCACCATCCTCGATTCCACGAACACTAACTAAACGGGCTCCCGACCAGGCGAATGCAAGCACCTAATCTCCAGCTACCTGAAATGCCTCAAAGGCAGCCGCGGCGTCAATGACGAGGAATGTCGGAAACTGGCTAAGGGGTATTTGGCCTGTCGTATGGACAAGTATGTTCTTGCTAATCCGGTCCTGGGGAATCCGATCGCGGCGATTACCAAGTCGGAGTCGTTCGCCATGGGAAACATTGTCGTGAGGAATGAAGGCTAATCATACACTCCACCAATTGATAGGAATCTGATGGCGCCGGATGATTTCAAGAACCTCGGACTGGTCTTTGACAAGCAGGAGGGTTCGAACGGGGCGAACGCAGCGGCGACGTCGAGTGACGGGACAGGGACAAAGCCGTGAGGATGGACGGAAGCATGGGAGCTGAAGACTCATGAGATGCGTGATGTGATTGATACCTTGGGTGATTAGTAGATCCATCACCTGGTGTTGAGATCGGGACTTGTTTTATCTCTCCATTTCGGGCGTTGAGTGGGCTGTGTTAATTATATCTTGTGAGATATGTGTATATTAGTGAACGTGCATTGTATATGGTATATGAACTGGAACTTCCTCAAGTCATTGCATGGTAACAGTTAGGATGAATGAAAGTAGAGTCCTATCTGTACACCGCAAGTCATGCGGGGAAGCTGTCCCGCCGTTCTGGAATCCAACCCCAAACCTTCCCTCCCCAGCCTTCTCTTCCGCATCCCCCATCCACTCCCATCGAGAAAACCACACACTCCAGCATGTCCTTACCTGCTCACCTCCAATGTCCTCAATCGCACGCCCCCCAGACCCCTGCCTAGTGGCAATCGCCCTGATCGTCCGCTCGCGAGCCGGCCCTCGCTTCGTATTCCACTACCCTCCCAACCCGCTCAGCGAGAACGGGCTCCGATCCGCAACCTCCACCAACAAAGCGCGGCGCGCCTCGAAGACCAAAACCGGCCAGGGCAGCAAGGGCAACGACTCTAGCTCCAGCGAAGACAGCGGCTCGACCTCCGATGAAGACGAGGACGAACAGCAGCAACAACACCATGCCACCAGCCAGAACCCCAGCTCCACGCACCTAGCCGGCAGCGCGGTGTCTGCGTCCGCCACTGCCGGTCGACGGTCGAGTAACTTCGGCCTCGACGACCACGTCGCCATGTCCGTGTCGCCTGGGTGTGACTCTCAGCGACCGGGATCCATCAGCTCGGGTCGCACGCTGTTGCGAAAACGCGGCGGCGCAGCGTCAGACGTGGAAGACGATCCGGGCGCGGCGTCGGATCGGCAAGAGGATGGCGCAGGCGGAGACGCGGGGGGACCGTTCCGCGCTCCGTGGGAGTCAATGCTCGGGCTTCCGGCGGACGTGTGGGAGAAGGTGCTCAGTCCGTCGCGGTCGTGGCATAAACGACGGTTCGAGGTGGGGATCAACGACCTCGCCTTCGTCGGGTGGCCGGTGTTTGTGCGCGAAGAAGGCACCTGGCGGAAGCAGCGGCGGAAGAAGGAGAAGAAGAAGCCGCGCGCGGACTGGGAGGGCGGGGAGCTGGGTCACAATGAGAATGTCGAGGACGTGCAGGACGACGGTCCGGAGTTGACGATGGCCGCGTCGACGGAGACGCTGAGTCCGAGTTTATGGGCGGCGGCGGAATCGCAGCGCGCGTCGATGGCGTCGATGGCGAGTAGTAAGACTGGTGGAGGACGGACGGCGAGTGAGTCGTTGGACGCGGATGATAAGGACTCCATGACTATGTTCAATGTCGTCTTCGTGCTGGATCCGCCCTTGCTCGAGTATTCCCTGCGCATTCGCGAGATCTACGACAATATAATCAAGAAGTTCGCAAAGGCCTTGAAATGGGAACAGGCGCGGACGGACTATGTCTGGAGGGAGGCCCAGCATATATCACATATTAAGGAGAAAGCGAAAGAGAAGAGTATGTGATCGGTGGTTTTCACCGAGATTGGATGATAGAAGCCTGTGCGTACTGACAATGGACTACAGGAATGTCTGCGACTACACTCTATTCGGAGCTCATCAACCAATCGTCCTTGGCTAGAGCCATCTATACCGTCTACTCTAGTATCTCGGCGTCGAAGATTGCGTCCGTGGCCCTGAGTCCGGACGTGTCCATCTCCCTTCAGATCCCTCCTTTGACCTCGACACCGTATCTTCCTGGCCCAACCGACAAGGCATACCCTGGTCTCTGGCTCACGACGGCCGACAGCGTCACTCCGGTAGATGACCCAACCGCTGATGAGAATACCGCGCCGCACCAAGTCCCGGCCAAACACTTTGCGCTCCTACTACTTGACAACGAGGCCAGCATTCTGAAGGATGTCGAGTCATCTGGGGGAGCTTTGGCTCCCGCACTAGCTCACTACATCCGCTGTTCAAAGCCGACCAAGTCTTTTGCTCAGATATCGGCGTCGTCGGGGATCTCCCTCTCAACCATACAGCTTCTGGCAAGTCATCTGGTGTATTGGAGACGGGCCCGTGCGATCCCACCACTCCACCAACGGGATACCTTCATTGTCTCTCCGAACTGTGACCTGAGCAAGCTGGAAGTGGCGACGATCGCCTATCAAACGGCGTTTCCTACGCTCCCAAGCCTTCCAAAGATGCTGTCCGCCCTGAGCGGGACCCCCCGGCCTTATGGAAGCTTTATTCCCAGCAAAGACCACAAAGAGACATACTTCGCTATACTCGCCTGGTTGTTACGAGGAGGGTGGGTGACCCAGCTCCGGTCCTTCTCCAGAGTCAAGGTGACACCGGAAATCAAAATGGCCGTGGAGATGGCCCTGCGACGCGAAGAAGTCGACAAGTACCTGCGAAAGCGCGCGCCAGAACCCGAAAAGCGCAGCGAGTCTTGCGATGGTGACGATGACTTTGACGACGCCAGCTCCTCGTCCTCCTCGTCCCTCGCGAGCCAGGGCAGCGGCGAAGAGACCCCGATGCCGGGACAATACAAACCGGACGGGGGGATGCGGCTGACCCACTCGATGCTGGACCGACACACGTCGCTCAAAACATCTTCCTTGATCCTATTCCCGCACCGAGCCTCGCCGCTAGAGTCGCGATGGCTCGACGAGATCGTGGCGCGGTTCCCCGACCATCCGCGTTTCTTCCTGCGTGGTCGCGCCGGACGACCCGGGGATGTCGGCGAGGGTGATGTGGAATACGCGGGCCTTCGAAACTCCATGAAAGAGTACTGGCCCACCTACATCAAATACTTCAACGGATACGACGCCGTCGAGAAGATCCCTGTGCGGGAGAACCTCAAGCGGAAACTTGTCTGGCAGGTGCTCGCGCGGCTGGGATCTGTAACTAGTTCGCAGTCATCTCTGGAGCTCGATCCGGCCGAACAGGTCTTGGTTAGTGTGCGACATTGGTAATGGTTGAGGGGTTAAATGTCGATCGCAACCCGAGAAACAAAAGAACCAATTCGTATATAGAAATCCTGTACCTCATGACTCTTTCCCTACCTACGGTGTTGTATACATGAAGGGCAACTGAGCACGTGACACCGAAATAGGTACCACGACCTCCGAAGAATCCCGAGTTCCGAGAAGCGGAAGCGGAACAGAAAAGAAAAGAGAAAAGAGAAGAAGAAAAAAGGGAAAGCCTCAGCCCTAATGACCATCACCCACGCGGGTTGCTAAGCGATGGTTCATACCATCTAAGTTAGTTAGTTCGAATCTAATAGTCACAGTTACTGTAGTAATTGGTTTACAGAGGACTTTTTTTCTTTTCTTTACTTCCGCAACCTTAACCTCCTTGGACGTTTCTAGTGTTTCTCTTGAACGGGAAATGCAGTGGTTTATTGATTGGTCGGTCTGAACAACTATGACATGAGCATTTTGATTTTGACCAAAGTACGGATACTTGCGTTCAAATATCGATTTCACAGGTAACTACTCAGTACTTTTATTATGGTAGGCTAAGACTACACCGGTGTGGATAAAACATGGCACGGCATGCGCCGGAAGGGAAAAAGTAATAGATGGAAATAGTATAGTAATTTATATGTTACATGTCACGTGTATTATATATGTAATGCATATGTGTAATGTATCTATCTAGGTACCTTGATGCACAAGAAACTACTAGCTATAGTCTATCCAGTGTACGGAGTATAACTATACGATTCGACTAAAGATCCAGACATCCTACTTGTATGTAGCCCTAAGTTCTACTCCGTATGTTAAGACTCCGATGGTGGTAAAGTGCTGAGCATAAGGTTATGCAAATAAGCGCAGACCAATCCAGTTCCGGGGACGAAGTAAATCAACCTTGAAATTAATGCAATCTCGGATGAACGGTTAATTCATGAAGAAAATTATGCCGAATCCGTATTCACAGTTTAGAAACAGAGGGAGAAATATGTAATTGAATATGTAGAGTATTAAAATTACCGGACTCTTGTCTTTAACTATTACGTATTTTTGTCAAGAGGACCCCAGACAGAAGACAAGACAAGACAAGAGCAGAGCCGAGAAGGTCTCAGTTTCGGTGCGAGTCTGACGGACGGACGGAGGCACGTGAATTCTCGAGTTTTACAGATTTACAGGTACAGTTTCTTTTTATTTAATTTTTCTTTTTTCACTTGACCTTGATGTTCATGTCGACAGAGTACACAATAACTATTTACTCTCGAAGAAAGAACCTGTCAGATCTGATGGGAGCAGGCACATACTGTACAAACATTACTAGTCAGGGGAGGAAAAAGAAATAAACGGGCGAAGGAATGAAATCTATAGGTAGACATAATCCTGGACGATGAGAGGGGTAATGAACGCAAGATGTAAGAAAGATCCTACCCCCCTGGCACTCTTGTGTACACCGTAAACCGATGCAGGGAAAGGCATTCCCCGTAGTCCTGGGTAGCCGGAGAGAAACACTGATCCCTTACCTTGAGCGTACGCAGCACACCGTAGACTACGGCTGCTGCTGCTGCTATCCGGGGCTACGCGGGAAGTACCCTGATGCTTGTCTTAGGTCTCGGGGCACCTACGGAGAACGGCAGATTAATCTGGATAACAGGGAGTGATATTTGAGACTGAATGGTATAAATGAGCTGTATGGCAATGTAAACTATGTGTACTGAGTCTGTAAGTCTCTGACAGGTGGGCCCACCACCCAAAGTACACCAAGGTGAGGTAATTTCAATATTCACTATTCAGGATGGTCTGGATAATCTTCATCAAACATGAGGATCTTGGGCGATGTTTAATTGGGGGAATTCTCTTGTTTCCCGAGGTTGAATCATTGTCGATGAGATAATCCTACCCACTCCGCGGACTTTGTGTGGTATTTAATACTATGCCCTTTCTAAAGCAATCATAGACAGACAGACATAATAGAATATGTCAGACGTGCAAATCCGGGGCTGCAATACCACATGGGAGCGAGATTGGCGCTACTGCTAATCTGTTATAGGTCACACCTGGGCCAGCACGGCCAGACTGCTTATTCCAAATCTGTATAGTTACAGGCTTTAGAGGGGTTCACGGCGCAACCCCTCCAAGCCCCTCCATCCGGTTGCCTTGCGACTCGATTGATGGCAGTTCTGTTGATGACAGTGCAATTATCTTGGTCGCGGTAGTAATCTGAAGTAGGGTATATTGGAAAGTCGAAGATCCACGTTTCCAGCAAACATACGTATGTAATGTGTACGGAGTAGGGAGCCAAGCACGGCTCTATGCTGAAAAGAATGTGCCTCTGATCTCGGCTTTGACTCGGAGTCGGCGGAAATTCCACCGGTCCTCCAATTGCCCTGGCCCATGGCAATGATGGTCGAACAATGGCTGAAGGTCGATAGGAAGAGGGGTCGTCCGAGATCCATGGGCGAATGGGTGCCTGCGGAACGTCGGTAGAGAGAGGACACCCGAGGACAAGGATCTCCAACATATACGATACCTCGTAGGAGTAGTCGATATGATCTTGAATCAGAAAGAGCATTGGACCCGCCCCCCAACATGGTTAAGCACATACCACACTGTCTCTGTGGCAGGTCTGGAATTCGAGTCGACGAGTTATATATAGAATACCGCGTGTGCGTCTCTCGGTCTCAGGTACCACGCCGGTCTAACTGGGTTAACAACTTAACAGGAACATCCGATGGATTGGAATTGAGAATGGTCTGCAATAATAATAATAATAATATATGATAATGCGCGAGTCGAACCAAAATCACGATCGGAATTAGTCCCAGACAGGAAGGGAAATGGGCGGTTCATACCCACAGAAGCCCTGAAGTCCACTAAAATCCAGGACTTCTTCGGCGGTCCGTCTTTTTTTGGATGCTTTCGAGAGACGACGGACGAGGCAGGTATGAATTATATTATGCTAGAAAGACACATTGATTGGGATTTTTTATTATATTGATGGTGAATTATTTGGACAAAGTGGAGGGGAGGAAGCGTAGGAAACCTCTTTACATTCTGGGAGAAAAGGGAAAAACGCCGCATTTACAGGCGTAACTTAACCATTTTATTCGGTTTTCCTTTGATTTTTTTTTTAATTTTTTAATTTTTAATTTTTTTTTCCCTGGTAGTCCACAATTATTATTACTGTTTCTGTTCTCATTTGCTTCCTTCGGATTTTCTTCCACGTCCCTCCAAATTTATTACTGTTTTTTTTTTTTAATTTTTTTCCCCTGCGCTGCCCTTCGGACTTCTCCAGTCTCTCTCACACACTGCGCTACGCTCGTCTCTTTTTCCCTCGCTTTCTCTTCCTACCTTACCCTTTCCTCCCTCTTGTTTCTTACCCCCCTCCTTCTAACCCCCCCCTCTCTTTCTCTCTCCCTCTCCCCTCAACATCCCGGAAGTTTTCTTCCTTCCACCTTTCTTGAACTTCGCCTAACCCCGTGGTTCCGTTGCTGGCGTCCGTGTTGCCGCAGTGAGGTTGTGCTCTCATTCTTCAGTGCACATCTTCCTTCCGCCTTCCGATCTTCTCCCACGTCCACTATTTTTTTTTTTTTCTGCTGGCAAGGGCATCTTGATCGGTTGATCCCTTTCCGATTTTTTACTTTCTCCGCACGAGATCTGCTTCGATTCTTTCATATTGCTCATCGTCGCTTTCGACCTCATCTATTATCCTTGTGCCAAATTTTCTTTCCCCTCAATTCGCAGGGAAATCCGAAATTCCATCTCGTCGTTCCGTTGCGGTAATCACCACGTGCAAGTCGCGCCTTTTCGCCTACGCTTCACAAGGGGCTACGCCAACGGGGTCCTCTCGAGAAATTAATAGCTTGTACTCGTGGTCGTGATTTGTTTCACATTTCGACCACCTAAGCGGCATATCGGAAAGTCCTCGCGAATCTTCCGACGGTCCGAATCTCGAACGGCATATATTGGGTGAGTTCTGTGCTAGGTCTACGCAACGCTCAGTGGATCATCACGAAAACCTCTGTTGATGTCTCGATCTCGCGTGTATTAACCTCAACTCGTTTCGAAGTCAGTGTCTCTTTCGACTATCGTGCCGAAGCCACCGACACCAATCCCTACACCGTCTTCAACCCTCTTCATCCCGACTTTCGGACGAAACAATACCAGGGAAGAAATCTTTTTCTATCGACGAGCGAGTTTTATGCGATTCGCGTGGTAGAAAATCTTTTGCAATCGAAAAGACCCGGATACGATCTCTCGAATCCTCCACCGTTTTTCCTCGACAGCCAATAAAGCTTTCGTGACTTTGCCAACCGTTAAATCGGCCTTCTTTCAATAACCTGCACCGACGTAGGAGCCACGTCCAGTGACGGGAATCTGCAGCTTGGTGGGGTCGCAAGAGGACGGAAGTCGGTTCCTCTGTTTGCCGTCAAGTGCTGGAGCTCTCGCCCACAGTTGGCGCACGCAGGTTTCTTTGATTGGAGTTGCCAACGGAGGCACCTGTTCTCTGGAAGAACAACTTGCTTTTTTTTTTCACACCTTTTTCATTTCTAGAACGGATATATTAGACTTCGCTTTTCTATCTTCATAACGAAAATGGCTGCTACATTTTCCTATGCTCAGGCCGCTAAGGGCGTTGCTCCCTCGGTACCAGCAGCGAAGACGACGTCAGAGCCGAATACTGTCTCGAAGCCCGATGAGCAGGACTCGAACTCTAGTTCGCAAACCGAAAATGCGGTGATCTCGCAGTCGGAGGCACCTCAGGAAGCAGAGAAGACCCCCGTCAACTCGACGAAGGAATCAGAGACTACGGCTGCCGCAACCAAGGCGAACGCATCGGGCACAACGTCCCCCAGTGCTGGCAACTCGACTTCTACGGAAGCGAAAGACGAGGGTTCAAATACGCCCAATGGTACCTCGGAATCTACCTGGGATAAACAATCACAGGCTTCGGGGTCTGAGAAGCCGCAGAATGGAGACGAAAATACCAAGGAAAAGTCCGCTGAGGACGAAAAGGAGGAATCCCCTAAGGAGCTGAAGGCTGCCCCTCTTCCCGCGGTGAACGTGTGGCAACAGCGAAAGGAGGCGCAAGAAGCCAAAGCCAAGGTCGTGCAGTCGCTCAAGCCTGCGCCTAAGAACGGCAACGCGAAGACTGCTTCGGCAGCTTCCTCGATATCGGGTGAAACTCAGCAGGAACAGCCCAAGGCTGTCCCAAAGAAGAAGGGAGCCGATGCCGCCTCCGAGGGTAACAACCGCAAGAGAACGGGCCGTGATGAGAACGCAACTGTCCCTCCCGTTGAGGATGCAGCTCTGTGGCCCACGCCGCAAGTCGCCCAAGGCGAGGAGAAGAAGAAGGCCCAGGAGAAGGGCGACAAGTCTGAGAAGAGCCCTGTGATCCGACCTCATGGCAAGGAGAAGTGGATGCCCGTGCCCTACGTCCCTACTGCTGTGTTCAACACTCCTCTTCCGTCTGCCGCTCGCCGAGGCGGACGTACTGCCCGTGGTGGACGGGAGGGTGGTCGCAACGGCGCTCACGCTGCCGCCGCCGATAAGGCTGCCTCTGGACAGGCGGCCCAAGGCTCCGCCAAGGCCTCGCCCGCAGACCGAGGAAGGAACGATGCCAACTCCGCTCGCGCCAACTCCCTCCCTGCGCCTTCGAGGCGATCGAACAGTGCCGATGCTGGATCTGCCGACCAGCGTAAAGCCCAGGCGACGGACCGGAGCCGTGGAGCCAAGGGTGCGGAGAACGCGAACGCTGCCCCTGCCGGGCGACAGGCCAACGGAGGCGAGACTTTCCCCCGACACCACCGCGATGCGAAGGCCTTCAGAAACCACGATGCGACCCACAAGGGCGGAGAACACGGCCCCAGAAACTCGAATCTCTCCGTGGATGCACAGGCTGGTCCCCGCTCGGGTTCGTCCAACGACCGCCGGTTCGAGAATGGTCCCAAGTCGGCTGATTTCTCTGGATTCCACGGTGACCGTAAGGACAAGGAGTTCTCTCGCGAGTCGCGCGCTGACCGCGGCCGTGGCTCCCGGGGTCGCGGTGGCTTCGGTGGCTCTCAGAACTCTCACTTCGCCAACAACCACATGTCGCACAACTCGTTCATGCACCAGAAGTCCTTCGGCTTCAACGACCGTCAGCGATCGCATAACGGTATCCCCAATGGCTCTCAAGGCCACAGGATGTCCCTGAGGTCACCTTCGCTGCCCAACTCTGCCACTATGTACGGTGTCTACCAGTTCCCCGCCGACATCAACACGATGTATGGCTACCAGCCCATGCACGCCGGCCCCATGACGGCAGTCCCCTACCAGCAATATATGGAGCCTTTCTCCCTGATGAGCATGGTCTCCATGCAGCTTGAGTACTATTTCTCCGTGGACAACCTCTGCAAGGACCTCTTCCTCCGCAAGCACATGGATTCGCAGGGTTTCGTGGAATTGGCGTTCATCGGCAGCTTCAAGCGGATTAAGACCCTGACCGAAGATTTCGAGTTCCTCCGTCATGTGTCCCGTCAATTGAGAAACGTGGAATACATCACTGGCGAGGATGGTCTTGATCGTTTGCGACCGAGGGAATGGGAGCAGTGGGTCCTGCCGTTGGAACAGCGTGATCCTTCCGCGCAGAAGAGCGGTACCGCTCCGGCGAAGCCCAGCAAGACCGATGAGAACGCCGCACCTCAGAACCACGTTGAAGGCGCAGTAAATGGTACTGCTCCTCTGTCTAACGGTACTGCCGCCCCGAAGACTTCGTTGTCTTCTGATGCGCCGGAGTTTTCTCCTTCGAAGCCTGTTAATGAAATCGTAAGTTCCGAACACTCCGTGGCCTGGTTTTGCTATCCACAGGAATTGTCTTGACTGACTTGGCGACAGCGGGCGGATTAAATTCTCTTGAACACCACTTCTCTTCTCCTTCCGGGATGTTGATCTCTTGGTATGTCCTGTCTCCTTTCCAAGATATCCCTAGTATCTACTAACTTGTCCTAAGTCGAGACGTGACTTATGTCGGATTCGAGGTCCATGGCCCCGCGGTTTATATACACCCACAACCACCGCAGCCTACATACCGACATCCTGCGCGAAGAAGGCTACTCCTCTATGGTTTTTGTCTTTTCAGTTTCTTCTTACGAACCTTTGCAGTGCTTTCCGAAACGAGTTCTTGACGAACAAAGTTTTTACGGCAACCCGAGACGGTGACCCGTGATATGGATGTTCTGTACCAATTCTGGTCGCACTTCTTGGTCCAAAAATTTCAATGCACAAATGTACAATGAATTTAAGAGTCTAGCGTTTGATGATCTTGCACGAAACGTCAGCACATGGCTTTGCCGAATCGCCTTTACGGTTTTACTCTTTTTGTTGAGCGCCGGAGTCATTCTCGAAGAGATCGAAACTCGTCTGTCTTACCGCGACTGACCTCGGCCAAAGTGGACGATAACACACCACAAGCCTTACGTTCCAACTATGCCAGCAAAGTTTCCTGACTCCAGACATGCAAAAAGAACTTGACTGTTTTCTGGCTGAGCCGAGCTGAAAAAGTGATTTTGTTTTCCATTTCTTCGATCAACCATTTACCTCTTCTCTCTTCCCTTGCTTTTTTCTGTTCCTTTCTATCAATCATGACTTGCATCGTTATTCTGTCAGCTTTTATGTTTTTCATCATTTGCCGACGACATGCTTCTATGGAGGTAATTTCATCTATGCACATTCGACGTCTCGGCTTGTGTCTGTTGATTCTGTCCAGCTTTTTCTTCAATTTGCTTCTTCTTTCTCCCTCTTCTTTTTCTTTTTTTTTTTCTTACTGTTTTAGTCATGGGAGGTTTCTAAAATTTCTGGAGTCCGGGCATTTTTTTTACTGGGCAGTATCTTCTGTGTTCGATGCTTGCTTCTGGCTGAAGCTATTCCCACAACTATAGAATGTGTACCCGGATTCTCCGTTTCTTCGTTGCTTTCTTCTTTCTAATATGGTGACAATGTTTCAATTCCTGTTCTCTCGACCACTAGTATGAATGGTAGAATCAGAACCAAAAAGAGAAAAAAAAAATATCCACAGCGGGGCGCAAATACGATTTTAAACTACGAAATTGAAGCCGGCATCGTTTTCTATGGAAATACCTTCTCATTTCAACGGGTTCATGACCAACTTCTTTACTGGAGCATTACTGTCGCGTATCGCCTCTTGAACTGGTCTGGATCTTGGGCTGGCGCTTGGATTCGTTGCAGAAGACCGTTTTATTGAAATCTTCTTTTCTCTTTTGGCTGTGAGATGATAACATGATATGCATTTTATGGGTAGTTGATTGATTTTTCTGTGTTAAATACCATGTATGAACACAGCTTTTTGTCAATTCATCTGCCAGATTCTTCGTAGAGACTAGAAGTCCTCCATCGGCAGAGGTTAGGAAGAACTGCCCTGATTTATGCGGGCGGAAATGCAGGAGAAATGATTGGTTATGCACACCAAGTAGATCGGATGACTCAGCATTCATAGCTGCCTCAGGCTACCGACCCCGGCAGGTGATGAACGCCGGAGCGGCCAGCTTCACGTCTCAAGATAGCTTCATCTGACCTCACAATTCCCCTCCGTCGCGCTTTCGGGATTTATTTGTCGGTACTATCCTTTTCCACAATGGACGTGGCCTCCAGGCATACATCGAGGCTGCTCCGGTCTTCTGCCAGCAGCTCCTACCGATTACTCCATAATTCTCGTCTTCCTGCCTCCCGCCTCACAACCACGAACACCTTGAACCGCATTCAACGAAGAAATGTCTCCTCATCATCTCGAAAACTGGCCCCCGAGCAGTCCCTACTGAACTTTGGAGGTGCTCCTTCGACGGGCGGCGTGCCCTCCTACTTTGCGAATCACTCCGCACTTCCCATGAACACCGTCGTCCGTTTCGTCCCCCAACAGACCGCGTGGATTGTCGAGCGCATGGGAAAGTTCCACCGCATTCTGGACCCCGGTCTTGCGATTCTGATCCCGTTTATCGACCGCATCGCCTACGTGAAGAGCTTGAAGGAATCGGCCATCGAGATACCCAGCCAGAATGCTATTACGGCGGACAACGTGACACTGGAGCTTGACGGTGTGCTGTATACGAGGGTTTTTGATGCCTACAAGGCGAGGTGAGTTTTTGCTGGGAAACTTTTATCCGTTTGAAGCTGTAAGGTTAGGGCCTGGGGGCTGACGGATGTCGATCATCTAGCTACGGCGTGGAGGATGCCGAGTATGCCATCTCCCAGCTTGCGCAGACCACGATGCGTTCGGAAATCGGCCAGCTTACACTCGACCATGTGCTGAAGGAGCGTGCGACATTAAATACCAACATCACGCAGGCCATCAACGAGGCGGCCCAGGCCTGGGGTGTGGTCTGCCTGCGGTACGAGATCCGGGATATCCATGCCCCCGAGGGCGTGGTGGCTGCCATGCATCGCCAGGTGACGGCCGAGCGGTCGAAGCGCGCGGAGATTCTTGAGTCCGAGGGTCAGCGACAGAGTGCCATCAACATCGCCGAGGGTCGCAAGCAGTCTGTCATTCTGGCTTCGGAGGCCATGCGGGCCGAGCAGATCAACCGTGCCGATGGTGAGGCTGAGGCTATCCTTCTGCGCGCGCAGGCTACCTCCCGCGGTATCGACGCCGTGGCTCGGGCTATCGACGCCGACAAGGAGAATGCTCACAGTGCTATCAGTCTCAGCGTGGCCGAGAAATACGTGGACGCGTTCTCGAAATTGGCTAAGGAAGGTACTTCGGTGGTGGTCCCCGGTAACGTGGGTGACCTGGGTGGAATGATTGCGAACGCCATGGCTGTCTACGGCAACGTCAGCGGCAGCCAGGCGAAGAGCATCGCGGCCAAGTCGCTGGGGGTGCAAGAACCGGCTTCCGAGGAGTCCTCGTCCCGCAAGTCTGAGCATGATCAGACGCCCAACTCGGAGCAGCAGGAGGGATCGACTGGCAAGGACGGCGTTGTTGGAGATGTGTTGCAGAGTTTCGACCAAGCCACTGAGGGCCGGTGAACTGGAAAGTATTGAGTGACCATTCGCAAGTATTGCTTTTCCTTTTCTATGTGATATCTATCTGGCACTTCTTCCCCGTGAATTGTATTCTCTAATTCTCTACTCTTACGATTGCCTCTGGACGAGTATGAAACTGCTTCCTTCCCACCTCATGTATTCTACGCCTGTCATTTTTTTTTCTGTCTTTGACTGCTAGACATCCCTCTAGCGCGTTGAAGTCAAAGTATGTGATTGCAGGAGCTAGAAAAAGAACAGAAAAGGGGACTAGATATGGTCCATGTATGTACTATTGCTAGAGTGTTGCGGGCAGGTAATTTGGAGCGAGGACTATTTCCAGTACTTTGCGTGTATCTGGCATGGGGATAGGCTGTACAGTAAATCAAATGCACGAAGGCGACGCAATGGAACAGTCTAGTTATTGTAGATATAGGAAGGTCACTGAGGTGAAGTCGTAGAAGTCGAAGTATTGTACACAGTACCTCCGGGCGGAGAAGGCAGAAAGCTCGGACCACGGAAGATCGCGACTTGAAGGGAATCGGGCGCGCCCTCCATCGGCCCTTTCTTGAATTCGCGTTTCTCCTCTCCTTCCCCGCTGCTATTCCCACCGTGCCTGGATCTCCCTGCAGACTCACTTTAGCTCCGTCAACCATCCTCTTCCATCTCGAAGCTCTACCCGACCCGGAAATCTGCCTTGTGTTTCGATGAGCTGTCGACGCGGTTGCGTTGCGATGTCCCCAGGAAGCTCTCCTTCGTCCACGTCAATTTACTAGTGATCGAACCCCCGACGGACTACATTCACAAATAACGGAAGCATTTTTTTGGGGTTAGCGAGGGAGTTACGAGGTTGCGACGATGCATATTATCAAGCCAGTTTGGCTCACGCATGGAGGTATTTCTTTTTGGATTCTTTCTTTCCCCCGGTTTGCGAAGGAGGACTCGGATCGGATACAACAGATATGCGAGAGGACTCGAGGAAGTGAAACGCTGGCTAACATCCATTTTTTCCGGTCTACAGGCGAGAGGAAAGATTTCGAAGTATACAGTTGCGATGTTTCCCCCGATGGAAGCCGACTTGTGACGGCCGCCGGAGGTCAGTTTCTTACGTTTGCTCCTGCGGAGACAGACCCCTTTCCCCTGCAGGGCTGGTGACGGGTGCATAGAATATGGGGACTGACTTGCGCATTCGCCTTTGATATACAGATGGATATGTTCGAATTTGGTCTACGGAGGCGATCTGTAACACGGACGACCCCGAGGTCGCGAACAAGCCGAAACAGCTGGCGTCGATGAGCAACCACTCCGGGACGATACACACCGTTAGATTCTCGCCGAATGGGAAATACCTGGCGTCGGGTGCCGACGATAAGATTGTTTGTATCTACGCTTTGGATGCGAATGCGCCATCACACGCTTCGACGTTCGGTAAGTGCGGAGAGGGGTTGATGTTTTTTTTCTGGGGAGGGGGTATGACGCGGAGCTGATGGTGGTTGGGATATCTTTCTAGGTTCGAACGAAGCACCGCCGGTAGAGAATTGGCGCACAACTCGCAGATTGATAGGGCATGATAACGACGTTCAAGATCTGGGATGGTCGTACGATTCTTCGATTCTGGTGTCTGTCGGCCTGGATTCCAAGGTGGTGGTGTGGTCGGGACATACCTTTGAAAAATTGAAGACTTTGTCGGTGCACCAGAGTCATGTCAAGGGCATCACCTTCGATCCGGCCAACAAATACTTCGCCACGGCGAGCGATGACCGCACCGTTCGCATCTTCCGATTTACCTCCCCGACGCCGAACTCGACGGCTCATGATCAGATGAACAACTTTGTCCTCGACACCAGTATCCTGGACCCCTTTAATAATTCCCCCCTCACCGCCTATTTCCGTCGATGCTCGTGGTCTCCGGATGGTATGCATATTGCGGCCGCGAATGCCGTGAACGGACCCGTTAGTTCTGTGGCCATCATCAACCGCGGGACGTGGGACGGCGATATCAATCTGATCGGACATGAAGCTCCGGTGGAAGTGTGCGCATTCTCTCCGCGACTGTATGCCCCGGTCAACCAACAGACTGTCGACGGCCATGCAACCCCCTCCGTGACGGTCATTGCCTGTGCCGGAGGCGACAAGTCATTGAGCATCTGGATCACGAGTAACCCTCGACCGCTGGTGGTTGCCCAAGAGCTAGCGGCCAAGTCCTTATCCGATCTGGCATGGAGTCCTGACGGGAGATGTCTCTACGCAACCGCTCTAGACGGAACGATCTTGGCGATCCGGTTTGAAGACGGGGACCTTGGGTATCCCATGGAAATGGAGGAGAACGAGAAGTCGCTCACCAAATTCGGTACGAATCGGAGGGGTGCTGGCATTGCGGAGACTACGGATGGATTGCTACTGGAGGAAAAGAGCAAAGCCGGCGAGATCAAGGGCGTCGAAGGGAGAATGGGTGCCTTGATGGGCGATGACCACACGGCCTCAGAAAACACCGTCAACGGGAAGTCGACCCCGTTACCGTCGAATGGAGTCACCCCAGCTCGAGCTGCGTCGCCCCCTGCGGAAACCCAGAAGAACCAAACCAACGGCACAGCGACCCCGGCCGCCCCCGAGGCGCCAAAGCCTGATCCATACCAGGCCAAGTTGGAAAGGCTAAAGCAACGTCCCACCTACACCAAGGATGGCAAGAAGCGCATTGCGCCCCTCTTGGTGTCCGGCGCAGGGGCGGCCGAATCCTCGCTGCCCCAAGCACGGCTCATGGCGTCGGTCAGCAACCAAGTGAAGGCCGACACGCCCCAGTCCATCGTGGATCTCTCCAAACCCTTCGACGGCCTACCGAAAGGGGGGCTGACGTCGCTGCTGTTTGGTAACAAACGGAAGCTTGCCCAATTAGAGGGGGATGACGACGGTCATGTGGAAAAGCGAGTAGCCGTGGCAAGTGCAAACGGCGCGACCCCGATTCTTGCCAACACGCCCGATGGCCTCCTTCCGGCACAACCACAGCCCCCCTCAGTTGGACAGCAACCCACACCCGACTTTATCCGGCCTGCGGTCGTCAATCCGTCCATGGCGATGAGTCAACTTCGAATGGCGGTCCCTAAGGTCCGTAGCCAGATCGTGCGCGCCATCGACCCGGCCGGGAACCCCACGGAGCCGCCGGGCACGGCGGCCGAATCCAGCAAGTCGCGAGTCGACGTGGTGTTCGAGGCGCGCAACCCGTCTCCTGCCAGCTTGACGGGTCGCGCCGTTGATCGAGAGCCGGTGCGACTGACGCTGTCGCGAGGTGAGCAGCCCATCTGGCAGGACTTCCTCCCACGCGCCGTCCTGCTCGTGACGGGTAATCAGCACATGTGGGCTGCGGGCTGCGAGGACGGGTCGATTTACATCTGGACCCCTGCCGGCCGTCGTCTCGTCAGCGCTCTAGTGCTGGAGGCGCAGCCGGTTATCCTGGAATGCAAAGGGCCGTGGATTCTAGCCATTTCCGCCGTCGGCATGTGCTTCGTTTGGAACGTGCAACATCTCTCTTCGCCTCACCCTCCCATCTCCCTGCAACCGGTGCTGGATGCGGCGGTACACACGCTGGGAGCGCACCCGTCGGCGGCACCGGCGGTAACGAACGCGCGCGTGAACTCGGAGGGCCGGGTGGTGGTGGCTTTGTCCAACGGGGAAGGATATGCCTACTCGCCGGCCCTGTACACGTGGCAGCGCATCTCGGAGGCGTGGTGGGCGGTCGGCAGCCAGTACTGGAACACGACGGACGCGCCGGTGGGCAACCTGCAGTCCACAGATTCGCAGCAGGAGAGGGAGGCCAAGGCGACGGTGTCGGCGGGCATCATCCCGTTCCTGGAGCGCAATACAACCAACGAGACCCTGCTGCGCGGACGAGCGTACTTCCTCCAGCGGCTGATCAAGGTTCTGCTGTCGCGCGAGGGCTACGAGAGTTTCGAGTCCAGCGTGTCCATTGCGCATCTGGAGAACCGACTGGCGGCGGCGCTGTCTCTGGGCGCGAAAGAAGAGTTCCGGCTGTATCTGTCGATGTATGCCAAGCGCATCGGCGCGGAGGGACTCAAGATGAAGGTGGAGGAGTTGCTGAAGGGACTTATTGGGGGACTCTTTGAAGAGGAGGAGACGAGCCACGGGGGACGACTACAGGCGAATGAACAGGAGGACCGCAACTGGCGTGAGAGCTCGGAGACCCTCTGTGGCTGGCCACGAGAGGTGCTGCTGAAGGAGGTGATTCTGGCGCTGGGTAAGTGTGACATTTGTGATCTTGGTGATTTGAGGAGTCTCCGGCTGACTTGACGACAGGTAAACACCGAGACCTGCAACGGGTGACGGTCCCGTATGCGAAGCTACTGGGGGTGGTGGAGAACGAGTCGGAGGCGGGTGAAGCGATGGAAACGTAGTCAGATGGGATAACTAGGAGATGAAAGGGCGTTCCACGGAGTTTACGGGGAGGGCGGGACATTAATTGCTTTTGATTTGACTGGATTTACGGTGCGGATGTATTATATCTTACTTGTAGTACATAGTTCACGATACTACAAGTTGAACATCAGGTGACGACCAGGGCTCAGTGGTCACGTGGGCGGTGAGAGCGAGCCCACACGCGATTAGCGAGTCTCCTCGTTCTCTACCATCTCTAGTCTCTACCAGCACCAGCACCACTGTCCACTGTACACTCCCTCCTACCATCTTCCTTCTTGTAAAGTATTCTCAGCCCACGTCATTGGGCCAACCGCCACTCTGTCTCCCTCCCGCCCCTCTTCCGTCCTTCTTTTTCTTTCTCTTCCCCTCTTCTTCCCTTCTTCTGCAGCTGGTCCTGCTTTGGCTTCGCGCTTCCACTCTCTGCCCCGCGTCGCTTCTCTCCCCTCCTACTCTCCTTCGTCACTCTCCTCCCCCCTCTCCTCCCTCTATTGTCGTCGTCACTACTCCAGCAAAAAGAAGTCCAAGTCCAAAATGCCCCCCAAGAAGGCTGTCGTGCAAGAGAAGGTGCTCCTGGGCCGTCCGGGTAACAACTTGAAGAGTGGTATCGTATGTGAGCTATCTCCCCCCCCACCGCCCTCTCTTTTTTAATTTTTTTTTTGTTTCCCTTCTGGTATGGATTGGTTACCCAGCCACCCATCCTTAGCTCCCTTTTTTTCCACTCCCCCCTATTTATTTCCACACAACTGAAAATTTTTTCTTCTTTCTTCCTCTTTCCCTCTCACCACCCATGACCATGTAATCCTTCAGGTCACCGATTCAATTGCTTTGAACATGTTATTAACCTTCCGTCCTGCTTAGGTTGGTCTGGCCAACGTCGGTAAATCGACACTCTTCCAAGCCATCACCAAGTCGTCGCTGGGTAACCCGGCCAACTTCCCCTATGCCACCATCGACCCCGAAGAGGCGCGCGTCATCGTCCCCGACGAGCGTTACGATTGGTTGTGCGATCACTACAAGCCCAAGTCGCAGGTCCCTGCCAACTTGACGGTTTACGATATCGCCGGTCTGACCCGCGGTGCGTCCACCGGTGCCGGTCTGGGTAACTCTTTCTTGTCGCACATCCGTGCCGTCGACGCCATCTTCCAGGTCGTCCGATGCTTCGATGACGCCGAGATCATCCACGTCGAGGGTGACGTCGACCCCATCCGGGATCTGACCATCATCAACGAGGAGCTGCGCATCAAGGATATTGAGTTCACTGAGAAGGCTCTGGAGGCGCTCGGCAAGCAGACGCGACGTGGTGGCCAGACTTTGGAGATGAAGAAGCTCCGTGAGGAGGAGGCTACCGTCGCCAAGGTGCTGGAGTTCCTGAAGGAGGGCAATGACGTCCGCAAGGGCGAGTGGGGTCCCAAGGAGGTATGTATCTTTTTACCTTTCGTTCTTGTTACTGCACCTTTTTATGATGAATAAGAGCTTTGCTCGATAATCCCAGCTCGTCGAATGGCCTCATTTTTTTAATTCCAACGTTCGAGGCCATATTGAGATAACGTCCCATCTGATATCTTTTTGATCCATTATGTTTTAATCACTCATCATACGAGTTTTACCATTCACTAACTTGGTATCTCAGGTCGAGGTTATCAACCCTCTCATGCTTCTCACTGCCAAGCCCGTTGTCTACTTGGTCAACCTGAGTGAGCGTGACTACATCCGCCAGAAGAACAAGTACCTTCCCAAGGTCTTTGAGTGGATCAAGGCCAACTCGCCCGGCGACCCTCTCATCCCCATCTCCGTGGCGTTCGAGGAGCGTCTGACCCGCTTCGAGACCGAGGCCCAGGCTGAGGAGGAGTGCAAGACGCTGAACACCAAGTCGTCGCTGCCCAAGGTCATCACCACCATGCGTCAGGTGTTGAACCTGGCCAGTTTCTTTACCACGGGTGCCGACGAGGTGCGCCAGTGGACTATCCGTAAGGGCATCAAGGCTCCTGCCGCTGCTGGTGTCATCCACACCGACTTCGAGAAGACTTTCATCCAGGCCGTCGTGTACAACTACAAGACCCTGCGGGAGTACGGAGACGAAGGTGCCGTCAAGGCCGCCGGTAAGGTGATGACCAAGGGTAAGGATTACGTTGTCGAGGATGGCGACGTGCTCCTCATCAAGGCGGGTGCTGCTCGTGGTTAAATAGTATCATCATTCATAGTTACGATAAAAGAATGTATGACGAACGATTCAGTTTCAATCTTATTTCTCGTAAATGTATGAAGTACGGATGATGGACTCCCTACTGTCAGTAAACACCGCAAGTTGTTTCCCGCCTTTCACCTCAGATTTGTCCGGCAGTATCTGCGCACGTGACGCGGCAATCCTTTCCCCGCGTCGGCGCAACCCCTCGAGCTTGTTACGAGAAACTGATCGGATCAGCTCCTCTCAATCAGATCATCAGACAAAATGTTCAAGAAGGAGTAAGTCATTGTCCATGGAGCTTAGCTCTTTACCTAAAGCCACATCCATTACCCTCTGCAACTCTTTCTTCTATACAATGTGTACCACGCATAGTATAAATACAACTCGACAACAGACGCAGAAGATATGAACATTGGAGAAAGAGGAACCCAAGATAAAAGGGAAATGCAAACTAACATAAAACCATGATGATAGTATCCCCGCGAGCACGCGCTCCAAGGTCAAATCGTCCGTGCAGCGCGGTCTGCGCCAACGGTTCGTCGAAGCGCATCCCGGCTTCGAACCGTTCATTGAAGAGATCTTGCCGAAGAAGGCGCAGTTGGATGCCGTCAAACTGTATGTTCCTTGTCTATCCATCCTGTTGCTTATCATATTGTCTTGGGAGTAAAGGGGATCAGGTCAAGGAGAGGGATGCATGTTCTTATGAGAGATCCTTCACCCCTCATACCCACCACCCAACCCAACCCAACCCAACTCGACTAAATAACTAACAAAAAAAATGCTATATATAGACCCGACAAATGCACCCTCTACACCATCGATTCGACACCCCTCTTCTTCCAACCCCTGGACGGCCCCCCTCTCCCGCACCTCCGTCTCGTGCACGCCTACCCCTCCGCGCTCCCCACCGTGCAAATCGACCGCGGCGCCATCCGCTTCGTCCTCTCCGGCGCCGCGCTCATGGCCCCCGGGCTCACGTCTGCGGGCGGCAAACTGCCCGACGCCGAACACAAGCTGGAGAAAGGCGACGTGGTGGCTGTGATGGCGGAGGGGAAGGAGACGGCGTGTCTGGTGGGCGCGCTGTGTGTGGGGACCGAGGAGATCAAGAGTAAGGGGAAGGGGGTGGCGATTGATGAGGGGCATTATTTGGGGGATGGGTTGTGGAGGTTGGCTTTGGATTAAGTCTTCTTCTTTTCTTTTCTCTCTTCCCTTTGGGTTTGTTGGGGTTGAAGGGCTGGGGAGTTGGGGGGGTGGAGAGGGGATGATTGATGATATGATTTGTTTCGATTGATTTGAGTATTGTTTGTTTATGTATGGCATTTGTCATGATCATGATGGGATTGAATGAATTGAACCGTATAGATCTTCAATGTTTGCCTATCTTATGTGAAATGAATAGACGTAGGAATGGACAGTATGAAGTAAGTGAGAAGCCAGTCGAGTATAAAGGCAATCAGCCAAGATCAATAAACTATCTATCTATCTATGTACACCCCCCCCCTATCCCAGTCAAGGCAACTCGTCTTCTTTCGGACTTCGTCGCGGAGAAATCGACGACGTCTGCGACAGCGACGACCACGACGGACTGATCGCCAACCCCAGTCCCTTGACACTGCCCGTCCCAGCATACCCACCCGGATTGCGCAGGCCCGCGCGCGAAACCGCCCGTCGCAGCATCTCGCCCGTGCCGTCCAGCGCGATCAAAAACCGCGCCAGCTCGGCGCACAGCTCCCATTCGCTTTTCTGGGACGCCAGCGCCATCAGCCGCACCACATAATCTTCAATGGGCGCCTCGTGGCCCTCCTCGTCTTCGAAGGCTTGCAACACTAAGAGATAGCCGACGGCCGTCTTGAGGCAGTTCAGCCGGAGGGCTTGCTCGAATAGATCCCGCGGCGGAGGGAGGTAGGTGAAGAGGGTGCGCCACGACCGGAGCTCGGTCTTGCGCGTGCATTGCACGACGATGTCCAGGTAGACGCGCGCGGGGAGGGAGGCTTGGAGGAAGGAGATGACGGAGGGGAGGAGGGGCTCTTGTTTCAAGGACGGGTCGTCGACTTTGCTGTTGCGGCTTTCGTTGTCGACTTCCTCGTCTAGGACGTGATGAAGGAGGACTTCAAGAGCATGCGGGAAGTATGAGAGGTGCGAGAAGTGTTGGCAGAGCGACAGTGCGGCTGGCATATCCCCGTTGACCAGACAGTGCTGCAGGTGGTAGGGCAGGAATAGATGGCTCTGTTCATCGTCAGTCTTTCACTCCAGGCAAAACACAGGAGGAAACTCACTCGGATGGCAAATTTCAGTACTGCAAATGTAACGTCGCGTCGTTGCATCATCTCGGATTCCACCCCCAAGACTATCCCCTTATTCAACAATACTGACAGCGGATAAAAGTCCAGTGGAATCTCGATCGCCTTGGGAACGTCTTCCCGCCGCAGGACGTCTTGCACATCGCCCCAGGCCAGCAGATCCTTGCCGCAGAAGGTCCAGAGAGAGTCTCTCAGGGACAAATTGTGGTGGTACATGTTCAATGCCATCTCGGCCGAGGGACTGGACGGGATAGACTCGTCCGCCGACGGCGCGAAGTTGAATGAGAACTGATCCCGCATTAAGATGTAATACTCGACGTCGTGAGAGACTACCCTCATGTCGTACTTCAAGTCCCCGGCGTCCGACGTTGATGGCTGGAGCAACACAAGGTTGCCATCAACCAAAAGGAGCACCGAAGCCTGCTTTACATCTTGCGATGGGTCGCCATTGCCTGCTAGAGTCAGATACAACGCCATTGCCTCCGTAATTCAATTGCACTTACGCAGTTGATCCTCCGGCAACACCCAGCTGATCGCTCGTACTCGAGTTGGGGCCCGCACAATGCCGTTAAAAGCAATCTGGCCAACCGGGACCAGCGTGATCCGAGAATTCACAGAAGAGATGATGTAGTGGTATAAGATGTTGTCGTAGGTATAAACAAGGATGGAGTCCTCGCCCGATGGCCCGATGAAAACTACCGGCGAGGGAAGATACTCTATGTGCAAGATTGATTGGTTGTTCAAGGGCTGCTCCCGGGAGTACAATCGCAGCTGCGTAATGTTAGTCGCGAGTAAAAATCCAATGAACAACCAGCTTACCTCGTATGACCCGTCACTTTCAATGGCGGCGATCAAAATATGCCCATACCAGCACATACCGCCTCGGACTGCAAAAGAGTTCTCGACTTTCGAGTCTTCAAACACTTTCCACCGCCCACTGTTCACGCTGTAGTGCGCAAGGCCCCGTCGGCCGGCAATGGCTACATAGCGTCCGTCCTGCGACACGACGCTGGACCGGATGGGCCACTGGGAATGGAGGTAGCTTTGGGGGTACTGCGCATGATGCCACAGCGAATCTTTGCCGGAGATGGTCATGAGGTCAGGCAGGTCGTGGCCTCGATATAAAATGACCTCTGTTCCTGTCTGCAGGAGGCCTCTGGCGAGATTTGCCGAAGAAAAGCAGCCGGTCAGGGCGCTGCGGGCTGTTTCCAAAATCCACAGTCGTCGGTCGTCCAACCCTGCCAGTATAATGTCGGAGCCTCCGCCGATCCAGCATCCATACGACGTCCCATTTAACCAATCCTCGGAGTTGGTTTTGGCGAGCTCCCGGTCCGCTGTAAAACTGTTGCCTCCGGGTTTCCCGAACACGCTCCATGTGGTCCACCCCCGGTCGTAACCGGCGAACAGGCAGTATCCATCTGGCGAGTAGCACATGAAGTTCAACTTGCCGGTCGTCACCGGCGAGGCAGGCAGCTGCAGTTTGTGAGAAAGGGGTACATTCCCCAGGTAGTCTTTCGCCGTGTACACCAAGACCTCGCCGTTAGCGCAGTTCACCGTCAGCAGTGAGAACCGGGCATTCACGGCGACCTTGACGGCCTTCTCCCCGTCATCTTTGGGGTTATGAAAGCAGTGTCCGTTGAAAAGCTTTTTGGGCGCTCCGGGTTCCTGCGCCGTGCTTGATGCGCGTTGGACCGCATATGCTTGTCCGTCATTGGTGACCCATACCAGGAGGTTGATGGCACGGTCATACACCATGTCCGTTATCGAAGTCCGCTTGGACACACCTAGAATCCGGCTCAATAGCTCCGAGGTGGTCTGCGAGCCGCTGGCGTCCGGAGTCCATCGAATGCACTGGATCGCCGGTGGTTTCACAGTGGCCACGACAAGTTCATTATCTAGGGCAAGAGCCCGAACGATACCAGATTCAATCTTAATGGCCATCCTGAATCGCATACTGACATCTCGAACCCCATTGGCATCCTCCTCTGCGGACAAACGTGCGAGCTGTCTTTGGGTAGAGTGGTCGAAGTGTTGTTGGTACACCCGGCTATGAGGATCCGTTGCAACCGTGTAGGTCAGAAGATAGCCGTTCTGTGTCTGGACAACAATAATGGTGGAATCAGGATGCATGAGTAGGGCTACATTGGGCCCGTAGGTCTCGAGCGATGAAGTGGATCGGGTGACGGCGGCGACGACGGCGGTAGGCTATTATTCGGTCAATATAGATGCAGACAGGCACTGCGCAACCAATACATACTCGCGTCTGCCACAAAGCAATCGATGTGTGGGTCATAGTCGCAAACATATGACCCGTGCGCGACGCGCAGAGGCCGTCAATGGCTTCATTTGCCCATGCTGACTCCGTACCGGACGGTTTCTTGGGCCCATTGTCATTTAGGGATAGCGACTGCTCGACATCATTCTCCAATCCTATAGACTCGTCGTCGTCGGAGACAGTGAACGGAATTCCAGGGCCATTGATCGCATAGACCCGCGGAACTCCATGGGGCCAGTACATGGCTTGATATAGGTGCGGCAGTCACGGAGGAAAGCAAGCTCACACCGAGTCATCTTCGTAGGGTGCGGAGGGATTATTCTGTCGGGCGCGGGACAGATTCAATCCCAAACGAGCCGACCATATCCATCCAAAGCCTTCGATCTATCAAGAAGGGGAGAGAGGGGGGAAGAGGGAGGATGGTTGACGATGATGTCCAGCTGGAAGAGCCTCGGGGGATCGGCGGCCATCACGTGCGGCAGGCAAACGGGCCAAACAGGCCATCTTTTGCTTCCCCCGCAGTGAGTGAAATCCCCCGCGACTGGACAGTTTTCTTCTACACTTTCCCCATTGCTTTCTTTTTTATCACATTTCGATCTACGAAATGGTAGGTGTACCAGGCGCTTTGTCGTTTCATCCACCCTCTCTGTACTGAATTCTGATCGCTCTGCTTATCTAGGCTCCTACCGAGTCCAAGAAGCGCCTCGCGCTCGCGATTATCGACTTCCTGGGTGCCAGCGTCAAGGACGGCACCCTTACTGCCGACGACGCCGAATCGATCGAAATCGCCCAGTCGTGTATCGCCGATACCTTCAAAGTCGATCCCTCCGATGAGGCCGCCGTGAAGGATGCCCTGGGCGGCCAGTCGCTGGCCAGCATCTACAGTGTTTATGAGAAGCTCCGCAAGAAGCCCTCCGGTGAATCCGCTGGCTCCTCCTCGCAGGAGAGCCAGAAGCCCCAGGCTGGTGCCCCCACGCCTGAATCGGATAAGCTGAAGTCGGAGGGAAATGCCGCGATGGCGCGCAAGGATTACAACGCCGCCATCGACTCCTACACCAAGGCCTTGGCGATTGCCTCCGCCAACCCTATCTACCTCTCCAACCGCGCGGCCGCCTACTCGGCCTCCGGACAGCACGAGAAGGCCGCCGAGGATGCCGAGCTTGCGACCACCGTCGACCCCAAGTACTCCAAGGCCTGGAGCCGTCTGGGCCTGGCTCGGTTCGACATGGCCGACTACAAGGGTGCCAAGGAAGCCTACGAGAAGGGTATCGAGGCGGAAGGAAACGGTGGCAGCGATGCCATGAAGCGTGGTCTCGAGACTACCAAGAGAAAGATCGAGGAGGCCAGCCGTGGCACCGAGCCTCCGGCCGATGCTGTTGACGAAGCCCCTGGAGCCTCTCGCGGTGCCGGTGGCGGCATGCCCGATCTCTCTTCCCTGGCGAGCATGCTCGGTGGCGGCGCTGGCGGACAAGGCGGTGGTGGCATGCCTGATCTCAGCTCGATCATGAACAACCCCATGTTCGCCAGCATGGCCCAGAACCTGATGAGCAACCCGGACATGATGAACAACCTCATGAGCAACCCCCGGTTGAGGCAAATGGCCGAGAACTTTGGCCAAGGCGGCGGTATGCCCGATATGTCCCAGTTGATGAACGACCCCAACCTTGCCGATATGTAGGTTCACCACTTTGCTGAATCTTAGAGACTGGTGGCAGCTAACTCACATTTATAGGGCTCGGAATTTCATGGGAGGTGCCGGCCGGGGAGGCCAAGGCCAGTAAACGAAGAACCTTGTATCTTTCAATGTTTCTATTTCCCAATTCTGTACGCTCTCTTGAGCCTTTCTATCCTCGTTCGAAAATGTTCCTGCGCTGAATTTGCTCCCGTTGTCTATACCTTGATACGCACTCGACGATACTGTCGAGAAGCTAATAGAGATGACTACCATCGATTTCATGCACTGACAGATCTAAATTATGCCAGAACCTATTCCAGCAGAGTCCCCCATCTATTGCCTAGGAAATCCAAACAAGCTTGCTTATGAGTGGAAAGAACTAGACTTGCAATGTAACTGTAAATTTATGATTTTCAACAACATTGATCAACAACACGCTGGACATAGATCCAGATGCAAATTTAGGAGTGGAGCGATGGTGAAAATCCAGAAACCCCCCAAACACCGACCACACCAAAGGAAGCCAAAAGCCAGGCGAAGAGAAGAAATAAGAAATAAAAATATTCAACGAAATTAGTCATGGTTACTTCAGACATAAGAAATAAAGCGCCGCTTCCACCTGGTCTCTATTTAATAATCGGTATTGTACAGTCGGATGATATCAGAACATTCGAGGAGGGAGATAAATATAAAAGAGGAGGGATAAAAAGAATTCATGAGGAAATTGCCGATAATCAAGACACGGATGAAATATAAGTCGTCGGAAAGGGAGAAAGCAGGATTGAAGAGTCCGGTAGCAGTTTTAGATATAATCGCGGGCAGCCTTCTGCAACTCGATCAGTCTCCATCCTCGGGTCTCGGGGTTGTTGACATCCTCGGGTATCCTGGTCAGACCGATGGCGTATGTCACCAGCTGGACCTTGTCTTCCATGCCGGCGGCGAGTTCCTGTGTCTTGACGTTGCGGTAGACATGAACCTCCTGCGTACGGCAGGTCACAACAAACACGGGAATGTCACCGGGGTCGAGCATGCGCGCGTGGGAGACGTCAACGCCACGAATGTCAAGAATACGGCCATCCGATTTGAGTCCGGCGGTGCTGTACTGTTGCGCAAGGGCAGCATAAACGTGGTATTGAGCGTCGGAGAGCCAAAGCTTCAGAGTCTCGGCGTCTCCCTTCACGTAGGCATCAAGCACCTCAGGAAGGATGTACTCGCGCATCTCTCTCAGGAAGGACTCCATCTGGAAGTTGGGATCCATCTCGCGGAATCTCTTGATAACCTGGGCGGTTTCATTTTCGGCAAAAAACCCGGCAACGCGGTCCGAAATGCTGCGGGCGGTACTGATGAGAGGGTTCTCAGATTCGTTGTAGGTTTCCTTCAGAGTGAAAAGCTTCTGCATCATGGGGTTCGAGTCCTTGAAGTCGCGCCACGACTCCTTCCAGGCGGAATCCTTGTGAAGAGTGACGTTCGTACCAGCGCTAGATAGACATTAGAAACCAAAATACTTCGTGTTTTTCTTCGGGTGCAATGCTTACTTGGGATCTTCAACCATGGGCTCGACTCGACGACCAGACTGGGCTTCCAGCGCTTCACGCTTCTGACGCTGCTTGCGTCGCTCCTCCTTCTCGATCCAGCCTCCGTAGCGAGAGCTGCTGCCGTCATCAATGGCATCCTTCACGCTCTTGTAAGCCTCGGTCTCTCGCACAGGTCGAGTGGCCTTTTCAAGTCCGGAACCAGTCGCGTTGACACCTTTCCTGATACCCTGAACAACAGGCGTGTTCCATGTCCACGCAGCACTCTTGCCAATAGCCTGGCCAGTGGTTTTGAATGCCGTCGAGGTTCGGGAAGTGGCAGCTCCCGAGGCAGCCTCGTAAGCGGCGCGAGCCCGCTTGATGTTTTCGTTCTCGGAGAACTCGTGAGCCGAGGAGGCCAGGGCCTTCGTCGACTCATTCCATTCCTTGGACGCTTTGAATTCAGACTGCAGGGTCTCCCGGAACACCTGCCAAGGTGACTTGTCTCCATGAGGGGGCGGTGGAGGAGCCTCCTCCTTTCCTTCTTCCTTCTTTCCTTCCTTCTCCTGGTCCTTCGACTCCTCGTTCTTCTCCTGATTTGTGCCGTCGGACTTGTTTTCCTTCTGCTGTTCTTGATTCTGCTGCTGCTCCTGCCAGCGAGCAGTGGCGGCGTGGAATGACTTTGTGAGCGGAAGAGCAGCGTACGGGGAAAGGATCTGAGATGCAGGACGTTCGGAGTTAATAAGAAGAGGGGATCTCGCTGCTGGCGACGTGGTAATAGAAGCGGACTGAATCATAGACCGCTGCAAGGCGACCGCGGTGCCATAGGTGGCTTTCATATTGGGCACTTGAGATCTCAAGGTGGCCGCCCGCGCGGTAGCCGACATCCTGGTAGCCGAGATCATGCTCTGTAGAAGGGGATAAGAGATGATAGATGAGTGAAAAAGAAAAGGAGATGAAAAAAGAAAAAGAGATTAAAGTCTGCAACTCCCCGGGGGGTAAAAGGGGGGCGTGTTGGTGGGTAAGCGGCGTGGGGAAGCAAAGAGAAGGAAGAAGAGGAAGCGATTTCGGCCGCGAGAGAAGTGAAGGACAAGGAAAAAGTTGAGATGCGCCAAGACCCGAAAATTCGGCCCTTTTCCGCCGCCTTTTGCCCCGACTTCTTCCCTTTCCCGATTTCCCTACGGTGCTGCGCCTGTCGCTGTCGTCAATAATTTGAACCAATTATTCATTTCGGTCAACGGCCCTGCTGGTCAGTTGCACTGTGTTCTTGTTACCTCACGTCCATTCCCCTTCCACTAGCAGCCGCGAGAATGAACTCGACATTCGTGAACGCCCTGACGAGAGCCTTGCCGTCAATGAGCCGGCCATGCCAGCTTCAAGGCTCTCTGGCTCGATCCATGAGACCCTTCTCTACGACCCAGAAGACCCTTTCGGATGCCCGAGAGAGAACCCGACAGATGGAGAGGCAGATCTTGAACACGCCCTCGGAGCCGAGCGCGGCCGCAAATGACAACTCGCCGCTGAACGCGATCACTCGAATGATGGAGCAAGAGAAAATCCGTACCAACCAGAGTGTTACGCGCGATTACTCCCGCATGGCCGAGAGCTTGGAGGCCGACTTGATCAAGCGACCGTATTCCGACCGTTCTCCTCCGCATCATCTCCACGTTTTTACTCATAAGCACAACATGCACCTGACCCTGACTCGTCCGAATGGCAACCCGATATTCTCAATCAGCTGTGGTCAGCTGGGCTTCCGCAAGAGCGGCCGTGGAGGATACGACTCGGCATATCAATTGACGGCCCACGTGTTTGGTCAGATCCAGGAGCGAGGCCTTCTCCCCAGCATTCAGCGACTGGAGGTGATCTTCCGGGGATACAGTCAGGGCCGCGAGGCCTTTACGAAGGTCTTGCTGGGCAACGAGGGGAGGAATATTCGAGGACTGGTGAGCAGCGTAACGGACGCGACTCGCCTCAAGTTCGGTGGTACCAGAAGCAGGAAGGTCCGCCGACTGTAATACTTTTCGGGATGTGCTCTGTTCATTATTATGTTTGTATTATACTAGCCACTGCGGCCGTAGAGATACTATGGTCTTCAATTGAAACAATTCTCTCATAAGTCACAAGTCAACATCATCAGGAAATCTAGAACGAGGCCCGCCAACTGGCCGCCCGAATCGGGTATAGCGCCAGGAGCTTCCAACTCCGCGAAAGCTGCCAGGCTGCCTTGTTGCTCCTCTTCGCCTTCGACCGTAATCCCGACTGCGAATTCTCCGATTGTCCCTCCTCCGCGCTCTCTTGACTTCAGTTGCAGTGTTATTTAGCGTTGTGATTCCGGATTCCACGCACAGCCTTGACCTGTCTTTCCCACGCGTTCCTTCACCCGCAAACACATGCGCCACAGCTGCTCCTCGCCCTCTGTCGATCGAGCAGCGCAAGCCCGTGTCGCAATTGATACAGACGGCTTGATGAGTACCAGAGCTCCCTCGTCGGGCCGTCGTCCAAGACCGTTTGGATGCACCCTCTAAACCCCTTCCTGCGTGCCTTCTTCCGCAGCACTGTTCCGGGGCAGTGCGTGCCGATCGAGAATCATGTACTTATCCCCTTCTGCACTATGTCATCATCCCCTCGGACCGCTGTTCCTGACCTGCTATGCGCTCTCTAGGTTCTTCTTGTTCCGGTAACAGAATCCCTGATTGGTTCACGCGATCGCGAATCGTCCCTCCTCTATTCCGATCTCGTTGTTTCCGAGGAATTCCTAGGAAGCCATACTTTGCGAATACCCGCTTTCAATGGACCGGCCGGAGCCAAGGATGATTCCAACGTCCGTGATAGTAGGGGGAAGGCAAAACAGGTGCCGACGGCGAATGGACGGACTGTGATTATCAAGGAAAGCTCGGTTTACAGCAACAAAGGTGGGGACGATCTGCTCCCCCCCTGCAGGAGGTTCGACGTTTATATGCTGAACTACTCTTCTAGGCTTCAAGTCTTTAACGCAAGCCCAGCTGCTCTCCGATGCGCTTTACTACACCCCGAGCAACGATTCCCAGCCATGGCTTATATACTATATCTCCCGACCCTTGATCGGCTCTTTCGACCCCGGAAAGATCATCTCTGCCGTCGTCCCGGGGACGCTTCCGGCTAAGGCCGTCATGGGATCGGGATCCAAGTCAGGGGAGCCTACCTCATCGCCGCCAAAGAAGGAGATCCGAACTTTTGGGGAGCTACTCTCGCATTTCCCCATGATCGCCAGACAAATGCAGCCCGGACTAGAGAGACTATTTCGCGAATTTGGAAAGGAATTGGGAAAACCGCTGCCCCCTCCTCCGTCGCGCTCGCCCTCGATACCCGAGTTTGAGGGGAAACGAGGCCGGGAGGACACCCCGAATGATGAAGCCGCATCAGTCAGAAGTGCATCAATCCGAAGTGCGTCAATCAGAAGCTCATCGTCTCGCTTCAGGGAAGGGCTTCCTTTCAACTCGGACGAGTATTTTGAAGACGACGAAGACCTTATGCGTCGCAGTTTGGAAACGGCCGTGACTGCGGCTATTGACTTGTTTCGGCTGGTGGACAAACAACAACTCTCCTTCCTCGGCGCAACGACGGATTTAACCGGGCCACTGGTCGAGCGCTTGATTGAGCGCTATGTGGCCGAGCAGGTGCACGAATCGCTCCTTTTCCCTCGCTTATGTGCCTTCCGGCAGCCTGAAGATACAGAGCTGGACTTGCGGACCCGCCAGATGGACAACATCGATGTCTCCCAGGTTGGGATCACCGTCGAGGGCGGACATGAAGGCAAGCGCGAGCTCCTGCAACGCCTAGGCAAGGCGGTGGAAGAATTCCGTAAAATGCTCGATGCGAAGTGCCCCCATGATATGCTCACCATCCTTCTGGAGACAATCAAGATCCTTTCGTATCCTGGCAACTACGATAAAGCAGATCCGCAGGCGTCCGAGAAGCAGCGTTCTCCTGTGACGGTGAATGCTGACATTTTGGTTTCTTTATTGCTTATCGTTGTTATCAGATCTCAGGTCAAGCATCTGCAGGCACGACTGTTATACATGCAGCATTTTATCTACGTCGACGATGTCGACAGTGGCGAAATGGGATACGCTCTAAGTACTCTTGAGGCGGTCCTCACGTATCTTGTAACTGATTCGGCAGGCCTACGGAGGGCGAGCATCCGAAATAAACGCTTATGGAATGCTACCAAAGGCGGGCGAATCACCGATATGAAGGCTATTCTGGAACCCGATGGCGACCACGAATCAATGGATGACATTCCCTATGAACCCGAGAGCAAGAGCGTCCTTTTCAAAACGGATGATGATGAGCAGCCAAGCCATTCTCGAGCCCCTTTGGTTATTCCCAATGGATATACTGAAACCAACGGCGAATCGGCGATCCTGGATGATACCCAAGACGTGCCGCCACTTTCGCACGTCTTCCCGTTCAAGACGTGGGAGACCACATCCCCGAGAGAGATCAAACGCCCGGTCAAAAAGGTTTCCATGGACGTTCGTAGTTTGTCCGAATCGTCTGCGATATCGATGGCTTCGCGAACAACCACAATGGGATCCATCACGAGCACGATCGAGGGTGACAGCTCCATTGAGACCTTAACCAAGACGCAAGACCCTGCAGGGCACACGATCCCCATGATGGCAGTGGAAAGCTGCCAACCAGAGGCGTTGAGATATCTCCTCAGTCTCGAGGAATACTACCCACTCGAGGATATTCTTGTGGATACCAACATGGACGGGACAACCCTGCTAAATGCTGCCGTTCAGCTGGCTCACACCGAGATTGTCGACGTCTTGCTTAGTTACCTTTTCAGTGCAACTGATAAGGATACGGTTGTCTCCTACTTTCAGAAGTCTGACATTCATGGCCGTACTGTGGCCCACTATCTCTTTAGTACGCCCTCCGTCATGCGCCGATTAGAAGGGTTGCTCCCCTGGAGACAGCGCGATAAGCACGGGCAAACCCCATTGTTCGCGCTCTGTAGATCTTATGATCATCCGGACTACAAATCAATGGTCCATCAAGCATTGACGGCTGCTCAGAAGTCCCAGGAAGACGGAAAGCCTCTGCACCTCGATGACCATGTTGACTCGCGGGGCAATACCTTACTACACATTGTCAGCGACCCGGATATTACCATTCGCATCCTTCAGGAAAGCGACTGTGATCCAAATGCAACTAATGATAAGAAGTTCACACCCTTGATGATGGCCAGCAAGTACGGCAGAATCGACCAAGTACGGATCCTCTTTTTGGATCCGCGAGTGGATGTGCACCTCAAAGAAGCCCGAGGACTGACAGCAGTCGAACTTGCGAAAGACGATGAAGTTCGAAATAGAATTGACGACCTCATTCTTATCTCAAACTCCCCGTCGACGAGTATCGACCCATCCGGTCGAGTCACAACAGTCGTTCGTTCATTCTTCGTCGAGGATGCAACGGTGCGCTTCGTACTCAAGTCCGGCGCTCCCAGCCCATCTGCCAAAGCAGCTGAATCCCGACCTGGGTCTACCACGTACACCGTGACTACTTGCCGCAGGACGTTCTCGGACTTTGAGAATCTCGCCAAGTGGCTTTCCATCGAACATCCAGCCTCGTATATGCCCTCGCTGTCTGACTTTCGCACGCCCTTTCAAATACACTCCAAGCCGTCCCGCTCGGTCCTTCACGACATGCAAGAGAAGCTTGATCGATTCCTGAAGATTCTGCTATCGCATCCAACTTTCGCGACCCATGAAATGCTCTGGGAGTTTTTCCTTGTACCGGAGCTGCATCCAGAAATGATGGCCGATCGGTCCCGTCGCAAGGCGCAGGTTCTCTCCGAGTCCATCGTCGACGACTTCGAGCCGATCACGAACGATGGCATGCGAGAAACGGAGCAGTTCGTCAGACATGCCCAGGACATGGTTCGCTCGGTGCACGCCAACACTCGCAGCCTCATCCGCCACGGGCACGCGCTCCAAAACTCGGCCACGGACGTGGCGGATGCCGTAACCCTCTGCTCGGCCACCATCTCAACCCTCAAGGAACCGACCAACGCCCTCCCGCAATCCCACGTCGACGCCTTCGCCCGCTACGCCTCGTACCTCTCGACCCCATCCTCCGACTCCTCCCCTCTCCTCCAGCTCCTCGCAGCTCTCACCTCCGTCGACAATACCACCGCCGCCATCCTACACTCCCTTTCGCGCCCCATCTCCCTTATGTCCACCCTCGCTTCTGCCAACCGCTCCCTCGCCCGTTCCCGCTCCTCGCTCGTTTCCTCCTCTCTCCCCCGTAAATTCAACCTCAACTTCCCCGGCCTCGAAGAATCCCGCCAAAAGTCCGTCCGCGACCTCGAGTCCAAGATCCAAGAATCCGAGTCCCAGATCGCCCACGTCTCCCGCGAAATCACATGGAACAAAGATGTCGTCGTCAGCGAGCTAGCAGGCTGGACCTCCTGGCGCGAGAAAGTCGGTCGCGACGCCATCCGCTCCTTTGTCAAGGCGACTATCGTCCGAGAGAAGGAACGGGGCAAAAGACTAGAACGGTGTCTGAGGAATGTGCACGAGGCTAAATAAAGCCACCTGAAAGATCTGAGTCATCTTTTTTTTCTCATGTTGTGTGTGTGGTATTATAGATAGAAATTTCTTGTTGCATTTGTCTTCATTCTCTCTCTCTCCATCTCTATTACTCGCTCTCTGTGTGCGTGTGTTCTTACTTCATTGTTTTCTTCTCCCCTTGTCCGCTGTAGATGTACTCGCTCTCTTGTTGTATTCCTTGCCGCTTTTGTATTGCCGTTTGTACCTTTTGCCTTGTCTTCTATTCTACTGGTGTGGTGTTCTGTTATAACGATGATATGAGACCGAAATAAGATCACATATAATGAGGGAGCTGATTTATAAGTTATGTCCTTGCTTTATGAAAATGGACGAGACGAAGACACCTCTGTTATTAGGCTCTCTGCTGCTAGAAAGCTAGACCAAGGCACACTGAATTCAAAGCTGTAAGGATCTATCTACCCTGTCTGAAGAATAAACAGAAGTAAAAACACCAGCCGAGGTGATATCCTGGTCCATCAGGGACGAAGATATCGGCATTGGTCTAAGAGGCGAGGAGAAGAATTCATGAACAATAGAGAAGAATCAAAGAAAGTATACAAAAGTATGAAGGAGAATGCATCACTGATGCCAGCTTATCTTTTTCAACTCAAGCTTCTGCTTTCCAAACCATCATCTTTAGCTGGGCAGATGCGCTCGTCAAATGGTTCGTTATGTATGCTCCGTGTACACAAGCCAATGCATGCCACCTTATCTCAAGGGCGATAGATAGGGGACGTGGTTTTCTTTATCGAAGGCAGTCGAAACAGCGAGCCTGGATCCGTTGCCAGCTTGATGAGACTTCTTCTGGCCTCGCTTCGGGATTTGGGAATGAAGGATGGTCTCTCAGGGAGCGGGTCCGGTGGCTGCGTGACTGGAGTTGCCTTCAACGAAGAGGCGTGCTTCAAGGGAGGAGGCACGACGACTATAGGCTTGGGGATGGAGCCAGAACGTCCACGAACAGTCAACGGTTTGTCAGGTTGCACCTCAGGTACGGGTTGAGCTGGGTCGACGGTGGTGGCCGTGCTCACCGCGGTCTCTTGCGGTATTTGGACTGGTGGTGCTGGTGGCTGCTGTTGCTGCTGCGGTTCCTGTGGTTTTCCGAGCGAATCGAAGGTGCGTGACGAATCATTATTTCCAGCATGATAAACGCGAGTGATCTTATCGCCATCCTGCTCGACGAGATACTCTCGAGCGGTGGGATCATCCTTGCTGAACATGACTGGTTCTCGACTGAATTTGTGCTCGAGTCCCCCATTCTCAGCGCTGTCGTTCAAATAGTAGACACGGTACCTAGAGCCAGCGTAGTCCTTCTTCTCACTTTTATGACGCTTCCAGCTTCTGCGGATCTTCTGGACAAGAAGGATGACCAGCGTGGTGAAGGCGATGACCGTCACGACGGAAATGACAATGGCGACAGCGATGGAGTTCTTCTCATAGCTCCAATGCGGGACCAAGGAGATGTGAGCTTTTGTCGGCGTCGGGGATAGCTTGCTCGCAGTGGTTGTGTTGCTGGCTGCCACTTTGACAGTCTGATTGCTGGCTGAGGCCGGTGGCGGAGGAGCTCGAATAGCAAGTGGATGATGGCTGTATCCAGGAACATTGAGTCTGTTCAATATGTTTTCGCGAATGGCAAGATCATTAGACTCCCGTTCCTCCCTCCGCCAGGATAGTGGTGCTCGCGATGTTTGACCCATCGCCGACACTACTGCAACTGCAAGATTCTGTCGAGCTGCAGGAGTATAAGATGAAAGTAATTGACATATGCCGGACCACAAATCGAGCTCCAGTAGCAATATTAGCAATGCAGTAGAGTATACTGATTAAAGAACGAAGCTTGAGAGGACAGCTCAAGAAATAGTTTGCTTTTCGTCTTGAGAACTAATTGTTGTGGCAGTGTCTGGATCATCCTTTGTTTTCGAGGCAGCTGCCCCCGGAGATTGATTTTCCCCAACGCTACTTCCTGCTTCGACAAAAGGTCGGTGGTGTTATTAGGACCACTCCTGGGTTGTGTTACAGCGCGAGCTCTGGTCGCTGTCTTTGTGTTAATTGTCCGCAGGCGTAGATCTTGCCCGGAACACGAATTTGGTTATCTTTGTCCAACAAAGCTTTGTTGTTGTCGGATCGATTAATCCACCCCACGAGTAATCCAGTAATCCTTAGTTTCTCGCATAGAGTCAATGTTGGGACAACGGAAGCCTCCCACTGTCGATCTTAGAACCCGTTTCACATCCTTGCTCTTTGTCGATGGTAACCATGTGAGTGTTGGCAACAGCTCCTACTTACAGCAAAGAGCTTCTCACTCATCGACACATCCTATGACAAGTTCATCCTGAAACCCACACGAGGGCCTCTGGTAACCCATGTATAGCCACTCTAAACATGTTCTTCACGTTTGACTACTTCACCTCGACTCTTTTTGGTAATACACATTATGGCTCCTCGTCGCATCACGAAGAAAGGTCGTGGTACCGGCCGGAGAAAAAGGTCTCCTAACGACATCTGGACCCGATTAGATGTGTCTCTCACAGATATAAGTGAGATGAAGATAATAAATAGTTTCCTAGAGTGCATTCATACTCGAAACCTCTTATACAAGGATTATCGATTCAAGAGCACAACAGACGCTGTGCATGAAGCTATCAAGCTTCACATTGAATTGGTGGTGCAGTAATTCCAGCCGTATCTAGAAAGAAATCCAGAAAATACCGTTGTGCTCTTCCGGCAGTTGATAGTGCGAAACAGGGTTAACTTTTGTCCTCCGGAGGTTGACGATGCGGACAACGAAGGTAAGTGAATTTGCAGATTGGGTTCCATAGATCAACGAATATGAATATAGCTCATGACTCGATATCGCTTCAGAAGTGCCTGAGACACCCATGGTTGCTGAAACCAATATCACCACCCCTAGAACCTGTCAGCCAAAACGAGCTTGTCGTCGGTGAAACGCCTCCGAGCATGCCTGCGAGTGTCATCCAAGAGCTGTTCATCACCGAGCCACCTCCCATCAACCACATGAGTATCACACAAGAGAAGATTGAAAGCCCTACCACGCCTCCAATCAAAGAAGTCTCTTGGTCCGGTGAGGAGCGAAACAACGAAGCCTCGGACTTGGATGATCTCGGAATTGAAATCAAACTGGAACTTTCTGCAGAAGAGCTACGTACTGTGAGCGGTAGCCCTAGAAGGCCCCGATCGCCCGGATTTCGCAGAGACAAGGTTCTAGCTGTTCGTCAGGTGCCGACTATCAAACAGCTCTATCAAGACGGCCATCTTACCCCCGTGTCTGACCCAGTCTTCCAGCCATCCCATGATCTGAACCGCTTTCTCCCTTTTCCAGTATGACATCGAGAAATTGCAGACCGATTGTCGAGTCATACTCAACAAGTCAGTTCGCGATGGAATGGGAGTCGAAAGGGCTGCGCTAGATTCGGTCTCCGGTGTCAAAACTCGAAAGGAGTTTCCCCCCGCCAATTTGAACGTCAGACAATCCAGAATCGACAAAGTCCCTACGAGATGACAATCTGTACCATCTGCCCTGTATACGATGTTCGGGAAACTGAAGAATCGACACGGCTGCTCCGCTTGTGTTACCAGGACATGTTCGAACTTGCCGAAAGAAACATGATGGACAGTATCTCCTTGCCACCAATCGCTGCCGAGTTTGGATTCCCCGCCAGAGAAGCAGCAGAGCTTACGCTGGCCGTAATCCGCGAATACTTGAATACCGAGCATTCGTACAAAGCCACTCTTCGACGAGTCATCATCTGCGGCCTCAATCAAGCCGAAATGGAGCCATACCGGGAAACCACCCCGTAAGTCAAATCAATTCTCCTTTTGGAAATCTATGAAGGCCGACTGGTTTTATTTTGACAGGAACTTTTTCCCCAAGTCCGGGCTGTTCGCCTAGTGAAGTCGACGGACACGAAGTATACATGGATTAGAGTTCTGTTCGATTAAGGGCTGGCAGATGGCAGCAGAGGAGAGAAGATAGATGAAAAAGGACGAAGAAGAAAGACAGACTCGGGCCGGCAGATCACGACCCCCCATTCCACGCTAAACCCAAACGAGCATTCCGATCCATCGACGTCATCGCTTTCCAGAAACAGGCATCACCACTACGTACTTATATATTCCTTCTCCCCGGCCCTTCTTCATCCCTCGACATCATCTTTCTCCCATCTCATGATACCTTTCCGACTTCAATCATTCATAAAGCAAAGACTTTCCCCATCAGCATCAAGATCTCGTGAATTTCATAGACCATTTCACTCCACCATGCCGCTCGTCGTCCCGGGATTAACCAACGCTTCGGCAAACGACACGGATAATAAGCAAGAATGGCTCAACAAGCTGGCGGGGAAGAAAATCAGCGACTCGACGAGTGATGTGAACGTTCGTTTTCCTCTTCCGACTGATACGTGTTCCCATCTTTCAAATGTCGTATGGGGCTGATTCTTGAATTCGTTATATAGACGTTCGCGAAGAAGGATTTACCCCAGTCGCATCGGATTATCAAGCCAGGTGACGCTATGACAATGGACTATAGACAAGATCGGTTGGTCTTCTTCTTCTGCTTGTTTTGGAGAGTGTAATTCGCGAGTACTGGTTGGCTAACCTCGTGGGAATTTCAGATTAAATATCCATCTAGGCGAAGATGATATTGTGCATGATGTCAATTTCGGTTAATATGGCTGGCTTAAACGATGGATTAAAGGCCATATGAAGGGTCGTGAGCGTTTAGATATGGTGGATGTACGAATTGCTCGGGGTCATGTATTGTTTCTTTTTTTAATGCGTCTAATCCAATTCTAGTAAAAGCAATATGTTCATGATTCATTTGTAAACAAGGCAGACTGATCCAGTCTACGCCTTCCATCGGAGCAGGGTGAACGAGTGCTTGGGGAACACGTACGCACCCTTGCCGTCCCAGGTGCTCTCGGTGATACCGACCTCCTGCTTTCCGTTCATGTTGCAAGCCGCGACGCTGTCGCCGGTGACCGTGAACACGGCAACCTCCCCGGCAGGGCCTTCCAGCTTCGTCTCGATGTTCTTCTCCTCGTGGATGTTGACCACGGCCACGTTGACGTAGCCGTCCTCGCCCAGCGTAGCACTGACGTCCAACCAGGGGGTGTCCTTGACTCCGCGGACCCATTTCGGAGAGGTCTCGCCCTCGTAGACACCGCAGGCGATGTGCGCACTGATAGTCCAGCCGCGCATGTACCGCGAGAAGAGGTACAAGGGCCACCAGGTAGTCTGCTTGATGATGCCATCCTTGGTGGTCATGAGGGGGGAGATGACGTTAACGGTCTGCGCGATGCAGGCCATACCGACGTCCTTGCTCTTGCGAACGAAGACGTTCAGGTACACGGCCACGGCGAGGGCGTCGGAGAGGGTGTAGGACTCCTCGGCGCCCTTGCTGCCTTCGGCGCGGATGGGGTCCCAGACGTTCCATTCGTCGAAGCAGATAGTGGGACGGAGCTGGTCGGGCGGCACACCGTTCTCGATCCGCGCGAGATCGATGAGGGAGGAGGTGATTTCAATGGCGCGCTCGGCGGCCAAGGGAGCAGTGGCATTGGGAAGGTGGGACGAGGACGACGTGTACAGGTGGATGCTGTGCATGTCGATGAGGGGGACGGTGCTGGTGGAGAGGGGGGAGTGGGCGGGAAGCAGACACTGCTTCAGAGTGTAGTAGTCCCAGGACGCGGTGCCATCTTGTCCACACAGGACCAGGACTAGGGAGGGGTCCAGGAGCTTCAGGGCTGTAGTGGGATGTTAGTTGCTGATGTAGTTGGGATATTTGAAGTAGGAGCAATCGTACCCTTTGCCCATTGGAATGCCTTGTGGGCGTACGCTTCCTTGGTCATCTGCTCAACCTGCCATGGGCCCCATGTTTCGTTTCCGAGGGCCCAGTATTTGACCTAGGTTCAATGATGTTTTAGTATCGCTGAGCTGGCGAGGGTACGGAGGGAAACATACGTTGTACGGCTCCTCGCGACCATTCTTACGGCGGAGGTTGGCATAGTAAGTGTCTCTGGTGCCGTTGCAGTATTCGACCCAAGCCAGCGCTGTTGGATGGAGTTAGACCAGACGCCATATACATAGCTTAGAAAGGCAACGCCTCACCTTCATCGAGAGTGCCTGTGGTGGGATAGTTAGCTTTCGGGTTCAAAATCATAGAGGAGACTGATACCTTACCAGTTCCGAAGTTTAGGCAGAAGTAGGGCTCGGTCCCAAGGACCTCACACCATTTCAAGAACTCATCGGTTCCAAACTGGTTCGTCTCCGTTCCCAGCCAAGCAAGCTCGGGCCTTTTGAAGTTCATTAGAGTTAGCATGTACATGGACAATGCATGTCACGCGATGATGACTAGCGTAGACTAAACAGATGAACATACCTCGAAGGCCGCTTGTCCTTGGGTCCAACTCCATCGATCCAATGATAGGTCGCCATAAAGTTACCACCGGGGTAACGGACGACAGGGATGTCCAGATCCCTCAAAGCTTCGAGGACATCCTTCCGGAATCCGTTCTCATCAGACAAGGGGTTACCCGGATCGTAGATGCCGCCATAGATGCAGCGGCCCATGTGCCTGTTCACCACGTGTCAGAACGCCATACATACACACTATTGAGACGGGATAATAATTGACGGGCGGGATCTTACTCTGTGAACCCCGCATAGATGTTAGGGTTGATCTTGGAAATACGTCGGGATGGGTGGATGGCAAGACTAGGCGCATCCTGGTCACTGAGCTGCGTGAAGGTGGTCATGGTTGATGCGATGCGGCCGACAGAACGTGTCGAAGCAGGGGGAGCAGGTGATTGGCAGGAAGCGTGCAAAATAAAAGGCAAATCGAAGAATAATAACAGAAAAAGGGAAAGATGGGATTGAACGATGACCAGTTGAAGGACCAAGCTGTTGTGGCGGAAGCGACTTGACGGCTAATATTAATGTTTCCGATTTCAGCGCCAGCCATGGGGGATGAATTGGGCAAATCCCCTGCGGGGTGGTTCCAGGCCACGGAGAGATATAGGGAATCGTGAGCTGATGCTGTAGGATGACAGTCTTGGACGGCGCCGTCGTCTTGGTGTTGGAGCCGAGGCAGCGCCACGAGATCTTCCGTCAATCAGCACGCGGCCTTTAATGAGCGTCTCTCCTCCCCCCAGTTGGCGTGGCCCGGCTACACCCCGCAAAGGTCAAGCGGCCCTTAGCGTGCCATGGGGTTAGTTCGAATCCTTATTCGTGATCAGATGGTGATAGGTCGTGCCATGCTACGGCGCAGGCTCGATTGGATGCATTTCGCCTCAAATCGGGGATTTGTTCCCTTGGAGATGGCGTGGAAAGTCACACTTTCGGTCGATTCTCCGGCGGACAGGACGGTGATAATTATTTTTTTTTCTAGTTTACCCTGATTCTCGTGAGCAATGCGTAATAGATTCCAAGGGAATTGATCACGTTCTCGTAGAATTCCCCGGATTTGAACATGGATTGGTTGCGGGCATCCGATCCCCAGACAGTCTTTAAAAAGAAGGGCGGACCCTCTCACCCCATTCCAGCCTCCACATCTCATCCTGTTTCTGAGTGTCCGGGGTGTTAGTATATTGAATGCGCTGAGGCCCAGAAGGAGCCCCATATCGAGCCCAGCATGCGTCTTTCTCCGGCATGGTACCAGGTAAGTCGCGGCCCGACGAGGTATTCCTGGCATTCAGACTATTAACCGGCTTTCCAGTTCCTGGTAGGCATTTTCGCCTCCCTCGGATCGTTTCTCTATGGATGTATGTATTTGACCTGCGCAATCCTCGTCGGAATGAATACTGACAATGATTCCCCGCAGATGATCTGGGCGTTATCGCCGAGGTCATTGCCAGTCAATCTTTTGCTTCCAAATTCGAGGCAAACTCCACGGAAACGTAAGTGTTCGCACTGATCAAACAATTTTAGTAGGCAGGACACAAGAAGACATGCTGATCATTCGAAAGTGGATTGGTAGTATCCTTGTTCACTGCCGGTGCCTTCTTTGGCTCCGCTTTCGCTGGTCCCACCGGTGACATGCTTGGGCGACGATGGACTATCTCGATCGGCTGTATCATCTTCTGTCTTGGTGGAGGCCTTCAGACTGGAGCCCAGACGGTGGACTATCTCTATAGTGGTAGATTCTTAGCCGGACTAGGGTAAGCTTTGTCGGACACCTGATGCAAAGGATCCAACCTTCCCTAACAACTAACAGGGTCGGCTTCCTTACCATGATTATCCCCTTATACCAGGCCGAAATCTGCCATCCCGACATTCGAGGACGAGTCACTGCGCTGCAGCAGTTCATGTTGGGCGTTGGTTCGCTATGCGCTGCGTGGATTTCATACGGGACCTACATCGGGTTCGATCCAACCAACAATGCCCAGTGGCAGGTACCGCTTGGTCTGCAGATCGTCCCGGCCGTTTTCCTCGGTCTTTTGATTATGTTCTTCCCCGAGGTAAAATATCCCTCCTTCCCTCGCAATCTCGCTGTTTCTGATGATTGGACAGTCGCCTCGTTGGCTCATTGACCATGGACACCATGAGAAAGGACTTCAAACCCTTGCGAAGCTTCACGCTCATGGAGACGAGAATGACCCCTGGGTTCGTGCGGAATATAACCAGATTCAGGAGGCCGTCACGTATGAGCATGAGAACGAGGCCAAATCCTACCTGGAGCTCTTCACATCGCGGTCGTCCTTCCGCCGTCTTTTCCTCTGCTGTGCATTGCAGGCCTCGGTGCAGATGACTGGTGTCTCAGCCATCCAGTAAGTGTCTGCCTGAGTAAATTCACTGTTGTTGGGCTTGGAGGGCTAATCGATGCGACGCGACAGATACTATTCGGTCGATATCTACGGGCAGATCGGTATCAAGGGCGATGAAACTTTGCGTTACCAGGCGATCAACTCGGTCATTGCCTTGGTTGCTCAGTTCTTGTGTATGATGTTCATTGACCGCTTCGGTCGTCGCTGGACTCTGATCTCAGGAAACTTGGGTAACATGGTCACTTTCATCATTGCCTGCGTTCTGCTGGCCAGGTTCCCTCCCGAGGTCAACAACACCGGAGCTCACTGGGGATTCATTATCATGACCTGGCTGTACAACTTCTCGTTCTCATGCACCTGCGGTCCTCTGTCGTGGATTATCCCGGCCGAAGTGTTTGACACACGAACCCGATCGAAGGGTGTCTCACTTGCAACCATGACGTCTTATGCCTTCAACACCATGATCGGCCAGGTGACACCCCTGGCAATGGACACCATCAAATACCGATACTACTTCGTTTTCATCATCTGCAATTTCACCAATGCGGTTTTCTTCTGGCTTCTGCTGCCGGAGACCAAGAAGCTGCCCTTGGAGGAGATGAACTATCTGTTCACCAACTCGCCTTGGATTGTGCCGGGAACCAAGAAGGAGGATTACCTGCCCCACGATTTGGAGCGCAAGGTTGTGGAGCAAGAGGAGAAGCAAGAGATCTATGCCACTCACAAGGAATAAGGAGACGGCGGATGTTATAAGAGGATACCACAAGAGATAGAGCGAGTGAGCGGGCGGGTGCGTGGTGTTGCCGAGAGTAACCAGCCTGATGCATCAAGGGTTCACTCTCGATGGGCAATAATTTCCAGCTCTAATACCTGTGTTTGAAGTTTAAGATTATTTATGACTTAAGGGAAATGTCAGTTATAGATGATCGTTTCATCGCAGACATACCACGTAGTCAACTGCATACTCCTGAATATTTCAAGGGATAACATTGACATAATTGTTTGAATTGTCTAAGCTATCTCAATGACGAGCAGCCAGCCTAGATAGCTATAAATTCTTCAATTTGTAATAAATTACCCTTTCTTTGAAAAGGCGTAAGCTTGGGCTGAACTAAAATGCACGCCCATTGTGTGCCGCAGCCTGGATTGCCGACTTTTCGGTCATCACCAGTAAACAGTAGTCACCACCAGGACAACACCATCGGTGAGTACAGTTATTCCTCAATGGTGGAAGCCATGAAGTTATATGCGCGAGGGATCCACTAATGTGAATATAAAGATCGCACGAGAGCTGACTGTCGAGCAACCAAATTTAATCCGAATCCGAACTATATCCTGCGAGGCCAAGAGACAGCGATGGCGGCTTCGCTGCTGGTTCTATTTTCTTCTCCGGCTGAGCGGAGACAGTACCTTGAGCACCCTTTGCGGGATCCTTCGGCCTTGTTGGTTCCACTGGAGGGTTCTGTTTCTCTATGGATGTAGACTTCTGAGTCGACGCAGACCCAGGCGCTTCTTCCGGTTTCCTGGTAGTTTGAGTTGTCTTTGCCTCCCCTGGAGTAGAAGTCTCGCCAGCTGCCTCGCTGGTGGATTTGCGTTTCTTACCGGGAAGAAGTAACTCCCTGTTCTTCTCCCGCCTTCTTTTGCGGGCAGGTATTTTCCAGTCCCCCCCTTCGGCTACCGGTGCAACATCCGCCGACGTGTCTTCTAAAAGAGCCTTCTCTGCTTCTTCCCGCTGTCGGCGAAATAATTCCAGCTGTTCAGACGTTTCCTTCTTCACCGCGGCCTCCTGGGCGCGTGTCGACTCCATGATGGAATCCAGAAAATCAACTTCATCCTCGTCCAGGGAGCGGAATTGATTCTTCAGCTTGATCTTCTCTTCGAAGGCTTCCTGCTTGGCCACTTTATACCGTAGGAACAATCACCCTAATATGTCAATCCAAAGCGTCCGCACAGCCTTGAAATCGAGCCTGATCCCCGCGGTTGATTCGACTCACTTTTGTTCTGCTGAAGAACGTCGTACAGGCTTTTGCCGCCATCTTGTTTGCCGAGGTCGGCCTTGCGCTTCCGCTCCTCCTCCAATTCGTGTTGGACACGGAGCCATTCGTCGTCGCGCTCGACGGGCTCCTGGTCTGTCCCAGCAGACACGAATCCCGAAGACATTCTGGTCTTCTGGTCTTAGGAGAGTCAAAACCTGGCGGGCAGATGATCGTTAGCCAACGCACTCAATTCTAGGGGAGCGGACCCATTACCAAAGGGGGTCGAAATTAGCCGCTTGAATACACCCGGATCTACCAATGGACTGAGACAAGTGAAGAAAGCAATGGAATAATACCGAAGAGCAATCGCAGCGAGACAAAGGCGTCCTGACTTTCCGCGGGTGGACTGGGAGGGTCGGCAGAAACGGGCGGTGAGAGACCGGGCTTGCCCGACTGGCCTGAGGCAGACCCGCATTCAAAGTGGAGCCTTCGAATTTAGGCAAAATGCGTTTCTGCCGATTCATCATTCCGGAGTAAATCCTAGAGGGCTGGTTGTTATTGGGGGTTGCTTCCGACCCTGCAGGAGAACTCGGCAATGGATTCCAGAATGAATCAACCGGAAAGCCGTCCATCCTATCCCGAGTTGGCCATTGGCCCTACCGATTCCGTACGGGGTTTGTACCTTGTCCCCAATGTCCTGGATGGGTAAATAGGGGACTGTACGGAATGGCTCGGGTAATTCCTGGCCATTGATTTACCCTCACTCGCTCCCCACTTTACGCTTGGAGGGGCAACGCTGAGGCGTCAGTCCTGCCCCTCAATCGACATCATCCCGCCTTTGGTGCGCTGGATGGACCTGCCTTCTATCATGCCTGTTTCGTTTTGGCTTTTGACGGAGTAAATTCTCAGACCCCAGTTATAAATTCCCGCCTTCCCCCCTGTCCCTTTCTTCTATCTTCAACATCCAAAACCTCTCTCCCAACTCTAAGAAAGTTCCTCGATTTACAACTACTCACAATGTCGAACCTTGAGCACACCAAGTAAGTCTCCACTGCAGTTGCATTTGTTTACTTCCACCGCCCAATTATGCAACGCTCAAACTAATGTGGTCTTGTTTGAAATCATAGGAAGACCTACACCCTGAACACCGGGGACAAGATCCCTGCCTTGGGTCTTGGTACCTGGCAGTCCAAGCCCAACGAGGTCCGTGAGGCCGTCAAGAACGCTCTCCTGAAGGGTTATCGTCACATCGACACGTATGTGCCCACTCCTCGGCTTACTTCACATCATGTTCAATCCACTGATAACTCCGTTCTAGTGCCCTTGCCTATGGCAACGAGGCTGAGGTTGGTGCTGGTATCAAGGACTCCGGCGTTCCTCGTAGCGAGATCTGGATCACCACCAAGCTCGACAACCCCTGGCACCACCGCGTTCAAGACGGTATCAACTCGTCTCTGAAGGACCTCGGCGTTGACTATGTCGACCTCTACCTTATGCACTGGCCCAGCTCGACTGACCCCAACGACCTGAAGAAGCACTTGCCCGACTGGGACTTCATCAAGACCTGGTAAGAGCTCATCCTTGATTTCGCGCCAATTTGGCTTCCAAATAAGCCAGCTGACGTCTCTCGTGTCTATTCCAGGCAAGAATTGCAGAAGCTCCCTGCCACCGGCAAGGTCAGGAACATTGGTGTTTCCAACTTCGGAATCAAGAACCTTGAGAGACTTCTGAACGACCCCAGCACCAAGATCATCCCTGCCGTCAACCAGATCGAGCTGCACCCCAACAACCCTTCGCCCAAGCTGGTTGCCTACAACACCTCCAAGGGCATCCATTCCACCGGCTACTCCTGCCTGGGCTCCACCAACTCCCCCTTGTACAAGGATCCTACCCTCTTGCAGCTGGCTGAGAAGAAGGGCCGGACTCCCCAGCAGGTCCTGCTTCTGTGGGGTCTGCAGAAGGGATGGAGTGTCATCCCCAAGTCCGTCAGCAAGTCTCGCATTGACGCCAACTTCGAGATTGACGGTTACGAGTTGACGGATGAGGAGATCAACCAGCTCGACAACCTGAAGGACCGTTTCAAGGTCTGCGGTGATGACTGGCTCCCCATCAAGGTCTTCTTTGGCGATGACGAGTAAATGCTTCCTTATTTATGATATCCCACGTATCTAGACGAAAGTTACCAAATTCAATTGTAAATATATTTGAGACGAATAAACTAGTGATGCTGATAGCACTGTAAAATTGACTTGTAGTGGCGGTGGGACAGTAAAACTCGCGAAAGGAGGCAAGTCAGTGCTCCGAGTCCGACGGAGCAGCGCCAGACAATCGGAGTGGATAACCCCGGTCATGTGACACCCGATAAGAGCACGTGTGGGTCAGGCGCCTGCACCGCCACTGGTTGCCGTCATCATCAGGCATCCAGTCATCCTCTCTCCTTCATCTCTTTGCCATCTACTGTCCATCACAGGGATGGTGCTTCCATCTATTCGTCTTCTTTAAATTCATATCTTCCATCACCGTCAGGATGCCGCCTTCTAGCGGGCACCTGTTGCTCCCCAAGTTCTGGAGAGCAGCGAGGTGAGCCATCTACTGCCCCGGCTAACTATATTTCGCCTTGCTGATCGGCCGCAGGTTTGCCTACGAGAAGGCTTGGAAAACCATCAAAACCAAATTTCCAGAGCCTGTCCAACAAAGCTCCCTTCGAGTTCAACCGGCATATGCTCGCATCAATCCTCAACAGCCCATCAGTCGAGCTGCTGCGATCCGACAAGCCCGAAGTCGCCACTTTTCCACTCGTGCCGCCGGTTCCTTCGTCTCTTATATCCGGTCTGGATTACAAGGTGGAAAGGCTACCCCGCAGGCGTCGCGGGTTGCCTCCAACATCAGTCGTCTCACAAGCCGGGCGCCATTTGCGTCGGCTCTTCGCCCAAATTTGACCGGTGGTACACTCTGCCGTACAGCGGGTGGTTATGCCATCGGTGCTGGCCGCATTGGGGGCGCGCGGTACTTCTCGCATGGCCCCGCTGCACCAGCCCAGGTCATCAACAATGTGTCTGTGGCAATGCGAGCGTTCTTCCTTTCGGGGCAGAAGGTCCGGTTCGACGGCATTGATTCCGTCAGCGGAAACAAGAAATACAAAGCTGTGACTGTGCTTCAGGATCAGGCTGAGCGGCAGATGATGGCCATCCCTCATACTGCTCCCGGCTCGTTCATTGACTTCCAGCTCTCCCCTACCATCACGGCCTTGGGTCTGCAGAAGAAGTTCGATCCCAGTGGTGCCTTCCAGTCCGAGACGCTTAACACGGATGGCCTTCTGGATCTCCTCTCCGCCGACTTTGCGCGTGCCCTCAAGGATCTGGCCATCGTGCTGAATGACCTCAAGCGCCTCTCAGCCTTGGGTGAATTGCCTATCTTGCTTCACGATCAATCGACTATCCGTGTGCGGTTCCCTGGTTGTGATGCCGAAACTGTGGAGCGGCTCTGCGACGAGGTCGGGGTTCAGCGGGGCAAGATTGCTCAAGATGAAGATTTCGATGCCCTCACAGGTGCTGACGTGGCTCTGCATTTCCCTTTTGCTCCCAGTGCGCACTCTTCGGATATCGGGGACTACTTCTACCAGAAGGATGCCTCGGAGCTACGAAAGCCCGAAGAGGTCGACTGGCAGGCCATGATGTCTCCGGAGAACAAAACCAAGTCTTCGACCAGCCGTCTGGAACAGTCAGGGAACAGGATTAGCTTCGAGGACGTTACATTATTCGCTGAGAACCCATGGGTCTCATCATCTTCGGGCTATTCCAGCATCAACGTTAGTGAACTCGGTGATCATGCCCTTTTCCCCGAGGTCTCAAGCGCTAGTTTTCCAGCGAGCTCTTCGGGATACGATGGAGTCGAAGGGATTCACAGGTTTCTAGCAGAATGCGATTACGCCGCGCGATACAATTAGCTGGCGGAGAATATCTACGTATTCACTTTGATTTCGACCTGTTTTGAACGCTCATTTGCTTTTTTTTTGTATAGCCCAAATATCGGAAAGGTCATACTTTGATACCACGTCGACCTTGTCAATGAATTATATATATATAAGAACATTTTATACCGCTTTCTTGTGAGATTGTTGCTTCTGTATCGAGTAACCTTAGACTTGGTATCCCCTTCCACTTGAGTATTAGCCCAATGAGCAGAATCCACGATGATCCGCTTCGTGGGAACTCGGGCCGCCGAACCGGACCAAATTGAGCAAGATGCCTGCTATCTCCCAGGTCTATTGACTCTCCACATCTTGGCAAGTTTACATCTGCCTTGTTTAGTTTCTCTGTGACACGGAGACTTTTCAGGAGGTGGATTGCGTGCTCGATTAATCTTCGTGGCATGTACACCGTAGAGCATCTAAGTTACCGTTGCAGCCAGCTTGCTTGACAAAACAATGCCATTATGGGGCTTCAATGAGATGGCTCGGTGCGGCGGAAGAACCTGGTGGCACGTCTGGTAACCCCGTCCATTAATCTAACCCTAAAGATGAAACGGATTCGGTTTCAATGCGGGCGGGACAGCCTAATGATTTCCTTCTTCATTCTTCACCCCGCAAAGATCATCACCCCGAATTTGCCTCCACAGTCCTTCATAAACTCGTCTCGTGATTTAAACACTGCATCTACGAGTCATGGACCAAGTACTATTGCAGTGTCGATGGCGTATGAAGGCGTCGTGGCTTCCCTCCGTGGCGTTATTGAGCGTTCGGCTCTACGTTCTATGGCTTTTTTTGGGGCAACTCTATCAGGACCCTTCTTTTTCCACACCTAAGTTGCATGAAAATAAGTCAGGAACCAGGAAGTAGATCTCCTTGATTCAAAGGGAATGGAAATCAGACGCCAATCCCGGAAGAATTCAACGTGCACCGTTATAATGACGATCATCAGCCTTCCAGCCCTTTCGGGGACGGAGAGTCCGTCTTAACGGATCGGAGGCCTTGGATCGATCATTGCAGGCCCTCCATTTCCCGATGCGGATCGGAATTGAGCCCTACAGACTGCTCTGAATACCGGCTGTTGTTATTTGCCATGCCTTGGGTTTAGCCGAATTACTTCGTCCGTCTCCTTGTTGCTTCTGGTAGTCGGAGCGTCGTGCTGAGGGTCGAGAATATGAAGCAATTGGTATAAATAGGAGGTCATTGTCGCTGGGAATCTGGCATTGAAGGTGACAACAGTCAACTACTGTCTTTTCTGAGGACTGCAGCAACGACACCGGCATTTATTCTCTCAGTATGCAGACCGTCAACATGCGAGCTCTCGCAGCTCTCGTCCCATTTCTTTTCTCTTCTGTGAAGGCGCTCCCTGCTGCCAGCACCACTGTTTCGGCGTCGAACCCCCCGTCAAGCTCTCCTACCCCTACCGGTAGCCCTGCAGACGGTAACCCTTTCGAAGGCGTTCAGCAATATGTGAACCCCTACTACAAGTCCGAGGTGGAAAGCCTGGCCATCCCCTCCATGACCGGGTCACTGGCTGAACAGGCAAGCGCCGTCGCCGATATTCCATCGTTCCACTGGCTGTAGGTTCTTTGATGGTGAACTGGATGATCCAACTCAATTGCTGACCAATTGATCTCTAGGGACACTGCTGACAAGGTTCCGACGATGGGCGAATTCCTGGAAGACATCAAGTCCCAGAACGATGACGGAGCAAGCCCCCCAGTCGCCGGTATCTTCGTCGTGTATGACCTGCCCGACCGCGATTGTGCCGCGTTGGCTAGCAACGGCGAGTATGCGATCGATGACGGTGGAGTCGAGAAGTACAAGGCGTACATCGACTCCATTCGTGAGCACGTTGAGAAATACTCGGATACCCAGATCATTCTGGTCATCGGTGAGCATACCTGTCAAGGAGGAAAGGCTGGACTTGTTACTCACTGTTTGTAGAGCCTGACAGCTTGGCCAACCTGGTCACGAACCTGGACGTTCCCAAGTGCGCCAACGCCAAGGATGCGTATTTGGAGTGCACCAACTACGCGATTACGCAATTGAGCCTGCCTAATGTCGCAATGTATCTGGATGCTGGTACGTGGCTAGAAGACCCCGGCACGCTCTCTCTGATCATCGAAAGCGTGCTAACACGGCTTTAGGACATGCCGGATGGCTTGGATGGCCTGCGAACATCGGCCCTGCTGCCGAGCTGTACGCCTCCGTGTACAAGAACGCCTCCTCTCCCGATGCTCTTCGTGGCTTGGCGACTAACGTGGCCAACTACAACGCCTTCTCCATTGACTCTTGCCCCTCGTACACGTCTGAGAACGAGATCTGTGACGAGAAGAGCTACATAAACAACTTTGCCCCGCAGCTGGCCAGCGCCGGCTTCGACGCTCACTTCATCGTCGACACTGGTAAGCTCCTTCCTCATTTCATCAAATTAGACAAGCGGTTTGCTAATTCGTGTTGGCAGGACGCAATGGAAACCAGCCCACCGGCCAGAATGAATGGGGTGACTGGTGCAATGTCAAGAACACCGGTTTCGGCGCTCGCCCTTCAACCGACACGGGCGATGAGCTGGTAGACGCCTTTGTCTGGATCAAGCCGGGCGGAGAGAGCGACGGAACCTCTGATCAGTCTGCGGAGCGCTACGATGCCCACTGTGGTCTCGCTGCTGCTTTGCAGCCCGCTCCCGAGGCTGGCACCTGGTTCCAGGTGAGTTGCATCTGATACCTGCTTCAAAGGGGCTTGAGTTTTGATTGACTGACGCTGTTATTATAGGCATACTTTGAGCAGCTTGTGGAGAATGCTAGCCCGTCTCTGTAAATGAATGGACAGTTGGGCAGAGAGTCAGAGAGATGTGGTTTCCTTCTATTCTTTCGATGGATGTTGGATGTATATAGTTCGCTCGATCCATGGTAGACCCTGGCAACATGGCCGTTGATCGGCATAGGAATCAATCCGTGTTTCACTGCATGTCCTTTACAATAAACATAGTAACTATGGTAGCTTTCACTTAAGAACACCATTTGTAAAACAGTATCAAATCCAAAATCTCGAGTGAATGTAGTATGCACTCATTCATGCGGAATAATCTGTAGCAAAGAGGGCCAACAAAGGCGGTGATAAAAAAACGACCGGAACTCACCGCCAACCCCGCGCTAAACCCGAAGAAGGAGATCCACAGATAACAGGCCGACGGAATGAAGCAGAAAGGCTCACTTCATCCATCTTCACACTGCGCATCGTTATCATCCGTGACTCCCGATTTGCACGCTTTCCCGTACCTCTCAACTCCAATCTGTGGCTGTTGGAAGCTCTGAGGAAGATTATTCCAGCTGTACAGTTCTGGGGGCTTTCCTGCTCTGGGATGGTCTGACCCAGTTTTCCTCTCAGCAACTGCTACAGGCAAAGCAAGAAATAATCTTACCTTCAGACACCTTCTCTTTGATCGTCCTGTGACTGCGCGCCAAAATGATGGAAGACTTTAATAGTGAGACTGACAGTGACTACACTAGTTACTGGAGAGATTGGGTAAGTTTTTATTTCCTTCCATTGTTCATTCCATGGATTCTGCCCCCCGCGGAAGACAGTTGCGGCTGGTGAGTCGCATCTGAGGGAAGGTGGGTGCGGCTGCGTTCAACAATGTGATGACGATGCGACCATGACCCAGTGAAGGGAGAATTCCCTTCTGGGGGATTTTTGGAAACAGCTAAAGCTTCCACCTCTCACTGCCCCTTGATCTTCCCATCACACGTCACAGCACACTTGATCTTTGCCCAACACAACTATTGTTATTCAAAATGTCTTCGGAGCCTGTTTCCTCGAATTCTTCTTCCGGGAAACCCAAGTCCCCAAAAAGGCCTTATTCCCCCGAACCGCCCGTTCCTCTCGATCCTTGGTGGTACGAGTATTCTACTACTGAGGAGGAGAAGACGAACAAGGCGAAGAGAGAACGGGAAGAGCGAATGAGGCAGCAAGCTGAAGCGACTTATTCTACCAATGATGAAGGCGAATCCCTCGACCGGAATCCCGAGGCTCCTCAGGCTCCCTCCCCCGTTTTTGTAATGCGAGAGCATGAAAGATTCCCATATGCAATCACCGTCCCCCACGTTCCTGCCGAGTTTTGTACAGATTTCCCTGACAGTCGTTGGCTTGTACAGTTCATTTCTTCCCGTGGAAACGAGTATTTCTGCGAGGTCGATGAGGAGTATTTAACCGACCGGTTCAACCTTACTGGCTTGAATACCGAGGTCGCGTACTACCAGTATGCCTTGGATCTTGTGACCGATGTCTTTGACTTGGACGCGGACGACGACTTGCGCGAGCAAATTGAGAAGTCCGCACGTCACTTGTACGGACTCGTACATGCTCGCTACATTATCACCACCCGTGGTCTTTCCAAAATGGTTCGTAAACAACAGTGAAAATCCCGGGCGCTGATCTTTTTAAGTCTGACTCGTCTATAGGTCGACAAGTACAAGAAGGGCGATTTCGGCAAATGCCCTCGTGTCGTGTGTGAGGGTCATCCTCTTCTTCCTATGGGGCAGCATGACTTGCCGCACACCAGCACCGTTCGTCTTTACTGCGCAAAGTGCGAAGATATCTACAACCCCAAGTCCTCGCGTCACGCTCAAATCGATGGTGCCTACTTCGGAACCACGTTCCACAGCATGCTTTTCCAGGTGTATCCTGCGCTGATTCCGGAGAAGAGCATCCGCCGTTACGAGCCTCGCATCTATGGATTCCGTGTTCACGCTAGCGCTGCACTTGCTCGCTGGCAGGATCAATATCGCGAAGAGAGTAAGGCGCGTCTTCGCGAGGCGGGCATCGAGGCGAAATACATCGAGGATACTGAGGAAGACGATTTGGAGGACGACGACGATGAAATCGACGAGCCTGGTTTTGATGGCAAGGAAGAGAAGACCGTCGGCGACGCTGCTTCCGGACGCATGGACATTGGCAACTAAGGCATCTATGTGTCTTAAGCTATTGTGACCTGGCACCCTTGCTACATGCGCCTTGCACGATGGCTGTTCTTCATCAACCTTGATCTCATCCCCACCTTTCCTCCTTTCCGACCCAACTTTCATCGTTTCATACACTTCTCCGGTCACGTACCGCCTAGACATAGTGGTGCTCGAGATAACCTTGTTTTTATCCCCTTTTGCTTTTTCTGCTATGACTTGTCTCTTTGTTTAGTCTTTTGTTTCTCCAATACCCGGCGTATGACGGAGACGTTCAAGCTGCAATCCCATGTACTGCATTTTATGATCACGAACACTGGTGGGCGTCGGAAGTTCTGAAAATGGCCGGTCTGTTTTTCTTTTCTTCTCATGTGGACTAGTTACATAATCCCAACGATGTCTTTCGCGGACGTCGTGGCACAAATGCGAAATAGATAAACTGATTCAGTTCTCATGTAATCTGCAAACTTTCTGTCCACCTTATCTACGCTTGTTTCTATCTTCGCTATCGAACAAGGCATTATCTAAGCCCTCGAGGACGGAAAATCAACCGTCGAGCTTCTCGATCGTGAAAGCAATCGCTCTCGCTAGCTCTTCCCCGTTCTCCCAGGCTTCGTCATGCTGGCCGGTGAGGGACAGCATTTCCACCCGCCGACTCGTTTCCTCGGTCTGGTCCTCCCACCCCGTCAACGCCTGCTTCATAGCCTTCCATTGCGAGGGATCGACGAGTTCATCCTCCGTCGAGTAAGCCAGCACGGCCAACCGACCGGCCTCCCACCCCACCACGCCACTGGGACCCTGCACCACCGCAGGAGAGACCTCATCCCAGAGATTCTCGTCCTTACCGAACGCCCCCTCCACGATCTCCTGATAGACAGGCACATCGGAGAACGTATCCCGAAGAAGCCTGAGATCATAGATCCCCGCGACGCCCAGGATCGCCATCGGAGATGGAATGACCTTCTCTGCATCATCACTTCCTCCATCACCTCCGCGCAACCCCGCCATCACCGACTGAAACGCCAACGTCGCCCCGCAACTATGTCCGACGAGAAGATACCGTTCTCCGAAGCCGAACTTGCGCTGTAGGAAGCGCAGCGCGGCCTGCACGTCGTTCAGATGATCGGGGTGTTTGGCGGCGCGGAGGGCGCGCGGGTCGGTGGTTTGCGGGTCCTGCGGATGCGCTGGGTGCGGACTGAGACGATATTCGATGGAGGCGAGGCCGGCGATACGAGGAAGCGTGGTGGTGGTGTAGGACGGCGAGGTGGTTAGGATGGATGCGGCGCGGGTGAGGTATCCGATGGAGGTCTGCGAAGGGTCTCGCCAGGCGCCACCGTGTATGAGGCTGAAGGTTTTTGTAAACATAGTAGATAAAAATCAGTCTTTGCTATGTAGGGTTGGATTTTGAAGGTGTTTGATGCCGGGGAGGGTGGGTAATGAATTGGGAGACCATGCCGGTTAGACATCGGTCTTTGGTGATCGGATCATGTACTGTACCTACATCACCCAGTAGCTGTTATCTTGATGAGAGGATTCTGGGAGGGTGGTGACCGCCACCGTTTGGAGGACGTGGTCCTTTTCGTACTGTAGGGTTTCGGTGAGCATGGTTTTGATGATTTGAGAAGGCTAGGGACATGGACGTGAGGGGAAAGAGGGAATCGGGCGTACTAAATAGTAGTGGTTATACATAGCCCAGGATGGGGTCCTGGCGGCCTGGCTAGCGGGGGTAGTGGTGGTTAGTAGTGCTAGGATGGGCGTATGGCTCACACAGGCCCCCGCGCGTCGTCCTGGACGGGGGGCTGGCCCAAGAAAAGTCAGGACAGCAATTGCGCCAACGACATGAACCCGACGGCTCCTAGCACGAAGAGAGCGAAGAACTTGTTTCTTGTTGTGGCGGCGAAGGAGGAAACGAGGTGATCCGCAAAAGGCCGAACGAGGCGATACTGCCAGGCTTGGCGCGCTAACCGGAAGGGGCGATAGGCGGTGGGAAATTGATCAAATCCATCCACACAAAGTTACCTTTCCATCCCGAAGTGTCAACCCCATCGTATACCCTGCGCTGCTTATATCCAACATGGCGGAGTACGTGCCCCCTGCTGTCGTCTCGAGACCGTGTCTCTGGTCCCGCTTGCTAATGCTGTCTATAGGAAAGAAGTTTCCGTTCCCCTCGAGGCCATCAAGGTCGAGGCCTTGGTATGATCATTCCCTGAAAATCCTCTCCCTCCTCCCCCCACCCGCGATATTCATGTTGTGAGCGACAGCAAGACTCATTCTGTGTCAAATTAGGTGGTGATGAAAATCATCAAGCACTGCTCCCAGACCTTTCCGACGACTGCGACCGGTTCGATCGTTGGTATGGACGCGGGTAGCAGCCTCGAGGTCACGAACTGCTTCCCTTTCCCCGTCGTCGAAGTGCCCGCGGAGTCGCACTTTGACAATGCCGCCGCCAACCCGGCCGCCGCCGCCCCTCGCGCGAAGGCCAACGCCGTCTACCAGGCCGAGATGATCCGCATGCTTCGGGAGGTCAACGTGGACGCGAACAACGTCGGATGGTACACCAGCGCCAACATGGGCAACTTCGTCAACATGAGCGTCATCGAGAACCAGTTCTTTTACCAGAAGGAGATGAACGAGAGGACGGTCGCTCTGGTGCACGACGTCAGCCGCAGTGCCCAGGGTAGCCTGAGCCTGCGGGCCTTCCGCCTGTCTCCTAAGTTCATGGCTGCCTTCAAGGAGAACAAGTTCACTTCCGACGAGTATGTGTTTTTTTTTGTCTAAAATCTGAGCGATTGTTGCATCTGCGCCTCTGAAAATCCAGCTAACACTCAATGCAGGCTGCAAAAGTCCAACCTGAGATTCCAGGACATCTTCGTTGAACTCCCGGTGGAAATCCACAACTCTCACCTGATCACCTCTTTCCTCCACCAGCTCCAGTGCCCCAGCCAGTCGTCCCCCGCGGATCTTCCCTCGTCTCTGGCCGCTCTGGAATCGGGCCCGTTCGTCAAGGACTCCGTCCTGGCGCCCAACTTCGATAACCTGGCTCTCAGCATCGACCCCTTCCTCGAGAAGAACTGCGACCTTCTCCTCGACAGCATTGAGACCCACCACACCGAGACCAACAACTACCAGTACTACCAGCGGTCGCTTGCTCGTGAGCAGACCAAGATCACGAATTGGCAGAACAAGCGCAAGCAGGAGAACGCCAGCCGCGCCGCCCTTAAGCAGCCCCTGCTTCCCGAGGATGAGTGGCAGCGACTGTTCAAGCTTCCCCAGGAGCCCAGCCGCCTGGAGACCATGGTGAACAGCCGACAGGTTGAGCAGTACGCCCGCCAGGTCGACAGCTTCGTTTCGGCCACGACGGGTAAGATGTTCGCCGTCAAGGGCAACCTGCTGCCTGGAGAGACCGCCAAATAAATACACAATAAATAAAAAAAAAGATGCGGGACGAATGAGAGAGACAAAGGAGAGAATTGGCTGACGGAGCGAGATGAACCGTTTTTTTTATTTGTCTGGAAAAACCACCCGAGGGGGATTCTGGGAAAATCGCAATGCATGACCTTAACGGCGTAGGGAGGGAAAATTTATGTGTATCTTGACCTGTTAATATGTTCCAGTGACGACGACTAGAGTTTTACGTTACGGGATATGACTTGAGTCTTCCTTCTTGATTTTGTTTCTTCTTTACTTTGAACTTTTTCCTTTTTTTTATTGTTTCCCTTTTGATGCACGTATGGCACTGCCCCTTATCTTTTTTTCTGCTGTTATTTCTTTTCTTTCTTGTTTATCTTTCCTCTTCTCCCTCCCGTCCAATCTACTTTATCTTGTATATCCAGTTCCATATCTATGGCCCGTGCCCTAATGCCGCTGTTAGGGCATCTGCAGCACGTGATAGACGAGTTATCGCAATCGATAACCGATTAGATAAGATAGATAAGAACAACTAGACAGTTGAACTTGAAATCGAGGCTATAAGTTATGTACCTCACACTTGGCAGCGATGACTTTAGGCGTTTACATTTACGGTTTCGTTGTATCTTGCTCGGGAGGTGCTAAAATCAAAGGAACATAGCGAGTGCTGGTTCTGGAGAAGGCGAGAGGGCTCGGGGGATAAACAGCATTGAAATTGAGAAGCAGGTGATTAAAGAGTTCGAGGGATCTAAATGACAAGGCATTGAAATAACATATCTATAGGAGGGCATTGGGCATCTAAGGGCTGTTTAAGGTAGGAAGGCATATATGAAAGGTCGGTGTGGTCGGGTGCTGCGGTGGATGCCTATCCTTACACTCTGAGATCTGTAAGAGTACAGCAAGATAACACTGTGTCTCTTGGCTTTACAGACTTAGGCCACGTTCTAATACAATAGAAATAGAAAGGTTATATAAAGCATCATCATTTGAGCTATAATGATCGAGCTGAGAGTAACACATTTTGGTTCTCGCTAATAATACATTTCAATCGTATCCAACATCGGTCCAATTTGTTGGGTTCATGTTAAAAGTTGTTCGTCCATCCATTTGATATCCTTTTTTGTTCTCATAATCCAACAAAGTCATAAGAATAATTCTGTCGTTTCAATCATTTGAATCATCACGCAAAGTCGAAATAATAAATCGTTATATATCTCCCTTCCTTCATCACAGACTGGTGAGTTTCTTGAACCAGTTCATTTTTCCACCAGAGTTGGGCGGCGGTGGTGGCGCGCCATACCGCTCATGTCGCATGCCACGATCTCGCTCGTAGTCACCGCTGCCGGAGCTGCTCTTCAGGCCATCCCGGTCGGATCGGCGCGCTTCGCGTTTTCTCTCGCGCAGGTCGTTGATTTCCTCGTCTGTCAGTCCCGGATACCGCGCCCGTCTGCGGGCTCTGCGGCGGAGGTCGCGGCGAGCTTCCTCATCCGATGACATCGAGTGCGCATTGGTCTGATCGCCCGGACCGGGTGGTACGTCGAGTACAGTGGCCACAAGGGGCGGCGGCTCCGGAGGGTTGATGTGTTGTTGATCAACCCAAGACGAGATCTTATCCCTCCGTCCGCCAGACATCATCGGCGGCGGTTGCTCCCTGGCCATTTCTGGGGCCCTGGATCGTCGGCGATTCGATCTCTCCGGGTCCGCGTAAGGGTCCTCGGCGTAGAAATCCCGAGCAGCGCGATCATCCACGCGGGAGTGACGTCGCGATCTGGGATTATCCTGCATTTCTGCCTCCCTCTGCCGGCGCCTTTCACGGCGTTCCGCAGCTTTCGCCTCGGCCCGGGCTTCCGCCTCTCGGGCCTCCTGCTCTTCACGAGCGCGGCGCTCTTCACGGGCAGCTCGACGTGCTCTCTTCTCTTCTTGGCGTCGTTGCTCCCGTTCTTCCTCTTCGCGGAGCTGTCTATCGTGCATCTCTCGCTCTCGAGCGAGTTCTCTCTCCTTTCGTCTCGCGTGCCTCTCCTCTGCCTCACGCATCTCGTTCTCTCGGGCTTGATCCAAAGAAGCCTGTTTTGCGGCACGCCGCGCCCTGCGCTCTGCTCTTCTGGCTTCCGCATCGTCTGCTTCCATATCTGGCACTTCCTCGGCTGGAGGGGCGTCGGCGACAAACCCTTCGCCCTCGTTCTCCGGGCGGGTTGAGCGTTTCCTTCTTTCTTCACGGCGCTGACGCCGAGCCTCGTCCCGTTCGGGGTCCGCCATCCTCGCATCATCATCACGACGAGAGCGAGACTTGTGACGTTCAGGAGGCTCCGCACGCGCAGTCCTGCGCAGCGAACCGATGAGACCCATTAACCCACCTGTTTCAGGCTTCTTAGGAGCGGTGTTCGAGCGTTTGAGTCGTTGCGGCTCCTTTGGTGGGGCTTCGACAAACGCAATGTCATCTGGCCCAGAGACGACATCAGGGCCTTGGTGCGCCTGGTCAGCATCCACCATAACGGCATCTTCTTGAAGTTCTTCGGGCCTCGACCGCGACTAGTAGATGGTTAGCAAAGATTCACAACCAGAAAATTACGTCAAGGCTCAGGCCTACTAACCTGTCTTCTTGATCGCTTTTCGGAATGTCTGGACTCGCGAGAGCGAGTCTTTGGTGGATACCCTTCGGCATCCTCCCGATCCACCATGACCATATCTTCGTCCTCCAATGCGTAAGGATCACGAGCACCTGCAAATAGAATTACCATCAGCAAGGTCCAAACATGAATATAGTACAAAGAACATACCACCTGATTTCGTCCGCGTCCCACGCGGCCTTTCTCGCTTTGTTCCGGATGCTCCCATCATCCGCGCTACCTTATCAGGCATCTCCTGTCGGTCCTCTGGCGGGGGTGATGGAATGCCAGTGTCATCCATATCGACTGACGGGCCTCTAGAAGTATGTTTTGAGGCTGAGTGGCCGTTTCGACGGCTTGATTTGGTGCGTGAAGGCGGAGGGGGGCCTCCAAGGATGAAGTTCGAGAAGGCCGTTCCTCGGTTGAGTTTCGCTTCTCTGCGCTTGTCCTTCTCAGATGGTGATGACTTCTCCACATCGTGCTCATGATCCCGAGGTCTGGCGTGTCTAGTCGATTTGGATCTTGACACTCCCGGTGATTGTTCCCTTCTATGCCTGGTTTCCCGATGACCAGACTTCTTAGGCGGGGGAGCCCCAGCGCCCCAGAACGCCCAGGATGTGGCACCAGCCGTTCGATCGACACGTGCACGCTCCTTCTTGGCCGATCTTTCAGGCGCAACTGGTTCGGGTGGTGGTGTCGGGGGTCCACCGGCATCATTCTCCGGGGGCGCGTCAGCCGCGGTCACATCCGCAGGCGGCGCATCAGCAGAGGACATGATGCCTCTTGAAGTTGAGCTTTTCTTGCTCTTTTTCTTGGGCTTTTCGGGCTCGGGAGCGGGTGGTTCTGCGGGCTCTGGCTCTGGCTCTGGCTCCGCTTCCGGTTGGGGCTCATCTGCAGGAGCAGGCTCGGGCTCCGGCTCAGGGTCTGGCGCCGGTGCTGGTTCAGGCTCCGGTTCAGGCTCACCGAGCTTACCCTTCTTCTTTTTCTTCTTATCCGCCTTGGAAACTGGAGCCGGAGCGGGCTCGGGCTCGGGCTCGGGCTCGGGCTCCTGTGGGGGTTCTGGAGCCGGCTCAGGGACTGGTTCAGGTTCCGGTTCCGGTTCGACAACCTTCCCTTTCTTTTTATCCTTCTTCTTGGCTTTCTTCGACGTGATTGCGGGCTCAGGCTCAGCTGGTGGCGGGGACTCCTGCTTGGGCTCTGGTTCCGGTTCGGGCTCAGGCTCTGGGGCAGGAGGTGGTGGGTCTTCAAAGTCGTCGTCAAAGGCGTCAGGAAAGCTTCCGGGGACCGAGTCTCGTGCAACTTTCTGTTCTTCCACTGGCTCCGGCTCTGGTTCCGGGTCTGGCTGAGGAGGTTCGGGAGGATCCTCTGGGGGCGGGATGGCTTCTTTCGTCTTAGATTTCCCCGAAGCCTTGTCTTTTACTTTATCTTTCTTCGCCTGCTCAAGGGCTTTGATGCGCTCAGCAACGGACAGCTTGGCTGATGACTTGGACTTGGAGCTGACAACAGGTGTCTTCGCTGGCGGCGCGGCTGGCGGGAGTGGCTCTTCTACTATAGGCGCATCAGGCGCGTCAGGCGCCGCGGGTTCCTCAGGCTCATCACCGACATCGAGGAGCAAATCAGCGTCCGCCGGGGCAGGCTCGGGCTCCTTCGGTTCCTCAACCACCTTGGGCTTTTCCTCGGATTTCTTCTTCGTGGCCTTGGGTTTCCCTAAGGTTGCGGCTCCAAAGGCGGACCAGAATCCCTTGGTGGCCTTCGCGGCAGGTTCTTCTGCTTTCTTCTTCGAGGGTTTAGGAGGGGGATCATCCAGCATGGGCTCCTCAGGGACATCTTCAATAGCGAACGCATCGATATCGTGATCCAATCCTAGGGAGGGCGGAGTTGGTGCAGGTGGTGGAGGTTCCTCGGCGATTTTGCTCTTCTTTGACTTCTTCTTGTCTTTCGATGGGCCCCAGATTCCCCAGCTATCTTCCTCGACAGGCGGCTCTGGCTCTATGACCGGCTCAGGGACCACTTCCGGAATTGGCTCTGGCTCTGGTTCAGGTTCAGGCTCCACCACAGGCTCCGGCTCTGGGACCGGTTCCTCCTGCTTGGGTTCCTCGGGTTCCACGGGCGCTGGAGGCGGAGGCGGAGGAATTAGAATATCTATACCTGGTATGGGAAGACCCTTCTTTTTCAGCGACTTCTCTCGCTTCTTCCGGTCCTTGGAAGGCAACTTGTCCCAATTATTATAAAGAGGGTCATCAGGCAGCGTAGGGACCTCTGGTTCAGGCTCTGGCTCTGGCTCTGGCTCAGGCTCCGGTTCCACAACAGGTACGGGTTCGGGTTCTGGGACAGGTTCAGGCTCGGGCTCAGGCTCAATCAGCTTTCCTTTCTTCTTCTTCTTGTCCTTCTTAGCTGGCACACCCCATCCGCCCCAATCGTCGTCTTCTTTCTTTTCTTCGGCGACGGGCTCCGGTGGCGGTTCCGGAGCCGGTGGAGGATCCTCTATCACCGGCTCCTCAAGAATTGCGTTCTTCTTCTTCTTGTCCTTCTTTTTGATCGACGCGCCCCAGTCCCAATCATTATCATCTGCAATCTCCGGCTCCGGCTCCTTTTTCGTGTCAATTTCTGCCCAAGTATCGTCATTTTTAGGCTCCTCTACAACTGGCGCAGGCGCCGGTAGATCATCTGCAGCTTTCCCCTTCTTTGCTTTTCGCTTTTCTTTCTTGGAGAGTCCCGCCATGTCCGCTGCTGGCTCGGGTTCGGGTACAGGCTCCGGCTCGGGGGGTGGAATTGGCTCAGGTTCAGGTTCCTTCGGGGGTTCTTCTTCCAAAAGGCCCTTCTTTTTCTTCTTCTTGTCCTTCTTGCTGGTGACAGTAAGACCACCCCAGTCATCATCCTCGACTTTTGGCTCCTCCGCAGGAGCAGCGTTATCGGCCGGTGGGGGATCACTGAAGCCACCGAAATCGAACCCGACTGAGCCTTTTAGAGGATCCTTGGAGCCGAGCGACCAGGGGTTGTTGTCCACTTTGCCTTTATCGTCTTTGGCACCATTCATGTCTCCCAAGGAATCCAGTCCCCATTTGTTTCCGCCCCCCCAGCCTTTACCCCAGGTACCAAAATTGAAATCGGTCCCGGCAGACTTCCCACCCGGAGGGTCAAGACTGAGGTCTAATTGCGGAGCCCCGTCACCCAAGCTGATGTCTTGGAAAGAGTTTGCAGGAGGATCAGCCCCTAACAAATCAGCTCCCTATAGAATGTTAGCTCGAAAAAACCGAAAAGTATGTTGCACGTGATAAAAATACCTTGCCCTTCTTCTTCTTTTTCCCTGCAGTAGCAAACCCAGCCCATGAGTCATCGCCATTGCCGTCGGGATCATCCGCCCAGCTGAGATTGTTATTGTCTGCTGCCGCGGCCTCTGTTGCTTTTCGTTCTTCCTTTTCTTTGGCTTTGCGTTCTTCCTCCTCCTTGGCCGCTTGTTCTTCTTCCTCCTTCCGCTTTAGTTCCTCCTCTTCCTCTTTCTTTTGCTTCTTGGTCTTCTTCTTGGTGCTGGTAGTGTTCCAAGCATCCCAGTCGTCGTCTCCGCCCTCATCACCACCGCCACCGCCACCACTTCCGCCTCCACCATCTCCGCCGTCGCCGTTCCCGTCGCCAGCATCACCTCCATCGGCCGGGGGATCCCCACCGTTGGATCCCTCATCCGCGCCCTCACCTTTCTTGTCGCCATCATCGTTCGGCGGAGGTGTAGCCTGTCGCTGCGGTGCCGGCTTGTTCTTCTTCTTTTTCCCGCCCTTGTATTCTCGAATTCCGAATGAACCATCCCAGTCGATGATACGGGACGAGGGGTTCGAACTGGCATCTTGGGAATATTTGGACGGCGCTGAATCGTGGATCGAATCTTTTCGATGGGCAAGTGGCGAAAGGGCAGCGTATTCTGGCGGTAGGTCTTTGACAGCGTCGTCGTATGAAGGAGGGACGTCATCGTAACTTGGATCATCTAGCCTGTGAGAGTTCACTCCTGAAATCAGAAGCCCCTTGTCGAGAGAACTTCGAGAGCTTTTCGCCTATATTAGATTGAGGTAGTCAGTTAGAGGTTCAGATGTATTGATAACCCGTGCAAAGCAAACACACTTCAAGTACACCCACAAGTCCCATTTCCAAGAACTCTTTCAGCATGTCCCGGCACAATCCCTCGGCTTCCATACTCTTCCCAATCAGGCCACTTCCCTTGCATCGTGCTTGCTGCCCATGACGCACGGCTGCATCGCGCGCATGCGAGAAACCACCGAAAGCGGAAGTAAACAAATCGTTGCGAGCCATGCGCAGGGTTTCCATAGTTGAGAAAAAACACAATATGAAAAAGTATACGCGGTTTGACAGAGGTCAGCGAGACGAAAGCGTCAGGCGCATGGGTATTGAGGGTGCATCGGCCACAGGCAATTGACGTCAAGCGAGTCGAGCGCTGAGGATTGTCAGGTCGATTTTATTTAGGTGGAAATACCAAGGGCGAGTAATCAATGGAATGAGCGGCTGTCGAAGGGTGAAGTAAAAAAGGAAAGGGCTGAAAAAAAAAAAGGAAAGGGCCTCCCTTTAGAACACCAGAAGCCAAATGGAGGTCAGACGGAGTAAGACGCGACAATCATGGAATGCGAGTCGACGTGAAGCACAACTTGCGAAAAGAAAAGAGGTAAAGAGAAGATCAGAAATTAAAGATGATGATACGAAAAACAGAATAGTTGAAGGTGGAGAAAGTCGAAGAGAGAGAGCAGAAAAATTGAAAAGAAAAGATCAGTAAGAAGGCGTAGGGATAGGGAGAAAAGCGCAGTAGTTCATGACGAGGCGGTGGGCAAGATTGGAGAAAGGAGAGTCGTGAAGATCGTCCCACGAGTAGATTGGATTGGACGGCGAGGTATGCGAAGGGCACCGTTCGGAATGCGAACTAGTCTAGTATGGCACGTACATGGGGAGAGTCAGCAGTTGCGCGGGAAAAAGGGAAACCAAGAGAAAAAAAGGACGAGGGTTTGGACTTTTTTTTTCTTCTCTCTTCTTACCTCGAACGTAATCAATCTTCGGCAGTATGATCTGAATTCCCCGAGAGACAAGAAGTAAAAACGGTGGCTGGTGGCTGGGGACAGCAATGACCGCGGATCTCTGGGATTGGCGCAAGATCAACAGATTGTGTAGGGAAGAGAAAGTCACGCAGGCACAAGCCAGTCACACACCCGGTCGCAGTGCGCGCAACGCTCCTATCGATAAAGATGGCCCCCCTCCTTCGGTGATAATGGTGGGCAGGCCGGCTGAACCCTGACGGTATGACGGTGGACTATGATGATTACCGTCAATTGCACTCGGAAATTGGAGATCACCCTTGATGTATTGAATGTGTTTGTTGTCCCTCCGAGTGGGGTGACGGATAAGAAGAGAAGACGGTTCCTTGGGTCGACACAACAATAGAGACAATCGATAAGATCGATCTCAGGCAACAAGGCACGAGACGGATCTCTACTCTCCTCCGGAGCATTGATCAGATAACTACAACAACAAACAACACTCTACTTCTACATTATCACAGCATGGATTCTTCCCAAGAAATACCCCCATCGGGCATCCAACTCCCAATTGTTATTCCTTTTTCTGTCGCCGTAAATCCAGCGAGAATCTCGGGTATAGGAAAATCCCATCCCAGCAGAGCGACTACTTTAGCCCCTCCTCCAGCGCCGTCTTTTCTTCACCGCATCGAAGGCAAAGACTTCGCTCGAGCCTATGAGAGTCGGCGCTTTACCAGACGCCCCAACGTCCGTTCTCTAGTCAAGTCGGATGTGGTAAGTCCTGACAGACTTGTCCGACTCCTCCGTGCGACTCCTCTTTTGGACGGTACCGTCTAATTATATTTTTATTTTCTGTTGATTTTCTTCATGATTCTTTTCTGATGCTTTCTTTCATGAGTTGTTCATCAGGCTGAACTTCTTGATTCTTCAGAGTTCCGACTCCAGCTGCATCGTAATCCCCGCTGCGGAGCATATGCGGGCCAATTTCCCATCGACTCCGGCCATGGTTACTCACTGATCATGTAACTGAGGAGGAAACTTCTAGATCCGGGACAAGTCACTGAGGCTATACCGCATGTTTCATCTCGAACATTGCATATAACCCGACCCAGAGAATTCTGGACCCAGGTGGGAACCGGTCGACGAGGCCCAGCAGAAGACAAGACCCAACCAAATCCAAGATGATGACGAGTTGAGCCAAAGAAGCAACGTTGCTTGAGCACAATCCACATCCATCGCAGCTCTCGTGGCTAGGTACACAGTACACTCCCAAATGACTCATGGGGCACCGAGAGTTAAGACACTGCCGTAATGTCCGAGAGTCCTCCGTATACCCACATTTTCCCATGTACGCCGGAGTACTACGCATGTATGTCGTTCGAATTAGTTACCGTAGTTCTTTCTGCCCAACGTCAACATACTGTACGTGCCTGCATTATTTCTCGGGAGGAGCAGTGCAAGTGAAACGACAGACATTGACCCCGTCACTTGCTTGCATCATGGGTCGCAGACTCGGTGACACGACATGGAGTTCTTGGTTTGGGTTGGTCAGACGGTGTCTGCTCATTTGATCACCGTCTTTCTTGGTGTTTTGAGACAGATCGGTGTGAAGACGAAGCTATGACCTCGCGTTGGTAGTCAGGCTGTTTGATATGTCAAAAAGTCGAAGTGCCTAAACTCTAGAGCCAAAAGGGGAAATTCGACATGACGGACCACTCGTTATGCAAGTACATTTACATCGCCCTGGTTGAGCCGAGCACATTAAGGAACTCGTTGGCTATCGTTACTCGACCCACAGATACAGGTTGCGCCCCTCGTTGCCTTGTGCTACATGCTCCTGCTAGCTTATGGCCTGTCTGAGCGCCCAGGCAACGTGCTATTTCCAATACTCCATCTATGGAAGAGACGCCGCATTCTACACCGAGAGATTACGACATGGGTGAGCAAGTTAACCGATTAAATTCGTTTTCAGGCAATATGGCTAGAAAGTACAATTCGTAGACTAAGACAGCGCAGGAACAGACAAAGGCACATTAAAAACAGGAACACAAGGTCGCGGTATGACACGCGATACGGCCCACTTTCCCAAATTTCTTCCCTACCATGAGTATGACCGAGAAGCATTGCATCACTAAGCGCGCATATCATTGTCTCCATCCATTCATTTGGTGCTGACCTCACCATAGGCTTCCTTGCATTCGCGAACATAGCGTTCCTGTTCAGCCTCCCGGAGCTTGACATATCTCTGTTAATTTGATGTTAGCATTGCACGGGTTTACCTCGCTGGCTCCAAATGAATGGAAGCTGGGAAACATACCTCTTTCTCGGAATCGCTCAACTCCTTCCATTCGACCACGAGTTGACGGAGTAATTCGGGGCCTCCCATGTGCTTAAAGTCGCCCGACTGGGTTCTTTCCTTCACGTAGCAGGCGAAAGAAGTACGGGGTGGCTTGACCAAGCGATCATCTTCGATAAGTGCATAACGGCGACCCTTCAGCTTGGTAAGTCTGCGCCGGGCATTGTTGGCTTCCCGAATTTGCGCGGGAGTGTACGACCTAACCCATTTCTCGTAATTGGCCTGGGCTTCCTCCCGCTTGGATTGGGCGATAGCCGCATAGCGCTAGAGTAAGGTGTGAGCATTGAAGCGCTACATCGAAAGCTTGCTGGTGGAAACATTATACATACCTCTTTGTCTGCCGGGCTTATTTTCTTCGCAAGCTCGACAGCCTCCGTGAATATGTTATCTTGACCTTTTTGCGTCTTCGAGGCTTCGGGTAACATGTCGACTACCGCGACGTTCCAGTAGGACGGCTTGGTGTTCTTGGGCGGGTCCAGCGCAATTTCCTTGAGCTCCCTGATCTGTTTTTTGAGCTCCCGGAGCTTCTTTGCTTCCATTTGCTTTTCTGTCAACACGACCTTTGGCCTACCAGGGCTCTTCTTTGGCGTAGTCTTCTTCTTCTTCTCTGAAGTGGCTTTGGTAGCTTTCTTCGCCTCCGTTGTCTTCGTTGTCTTTGTCGCCTTCTTTTTGGTCGTAGCTTCACTGGCGGTCGCGTATGTGTTGACCAGCTGGCGCGAGAGGATACCCGAAGGAACAGATCTGGCGATAGGCTTCAAGGGACCACGATGCGTCGCAAGGCACACGCGGCGAACATGAGGCTGGGAGATGGCCACACGGAAGGGACGAGAGACGGCATTGAGGTAGAGGCCGCGAAGGGCACCGCCTCCACCTCGAGCGATGTTCAGAGGCATGGTGCTGTTGTTCGACGATAGGCGACGATAGGATAGTGAGAGTAACAGTCAGTCGGAAGAGAAAAGTAGCCAACCAAAACGAAGAAAGCGACTACCGCGGTAGGTTCCTTTGCAGGGGCTTGGCCGCAGGGGAGCTTCTGAGACGCAAGCGGGAAGATGGCCGGGCGCGTCTTGTTGGGGTAACCCCAAAGAGGAAGGGACGTACCACGTGACATCATTGCTATTGCCTGACGGCCTGACGCCCCGGATCTCACGTGACGGGAACCTGCGCGGGAGTTTGCGTCAGGCTGGGATTTATCTCATTAGCGCGGCTGCTTCTGAAGAATCTCTCCACCCTGCTAAGGACAGCCCGTTGCCACCATCTATCCCCAACTTCGACCTGGAGTGGCTTTGCTTTTCCCCGAGCTTTGCGTCTAATGGAAGGGTAACACTTTGCTTTTTCTACTATTTTCTCCGCAATCTCGTCGGGTGCTTCTGAGTTCCAGTAATACTCACTCATCGCTGGCCTGCAACAATGGCTCGCCACGGGGATACTCGCTCACCATCACCTGTAGGCAGCACATATTCTTCATCCAGACGCAGTCGCAGAGATGATCGTCATGAGAGGAGTAGACGAGATGATGGCAGAAGTTACCGAAGATCTCGCAGTCCCGAGGTAAGTCGTCTGTGGCGGTCAACGCAAGCATGCGATAAACCCAGACCTCGTTCGGGAACTAATGATTTGTGGCCCATGCAGAGACGATACCGTGAACGCGAACGCGACCGTGATCGTGATTCATTCCGCAGACGTGACCGCTCGATAGACAGACGCGATGATCACCGTGACGAAGACAGTTATCGGCCCAGTCGCAGAGATCGTTCCCGTGACCGACGTCGATCGAGAGACCGAGACGATGATCGGGACTACCGTCGCAGAAGCCGCGATAGGGATTATCGAAGCAGGCGAGATGACTCCCGCGATAGGGCTCGGAGACGGACAGACGATTCTGCTGATTTGAAACACAAGTCTAGACGGGATGACAGCCGAGACCGGGGGAAGGACTCGGCCCCGCGATCTCGCGAGGTATGTGTTCAAGCCATCCGCATAAAAGACTGTAATGTATTAACCGACATCCAGACGTCGAAACCCTCCACACCAGTCTCTGCCGCTCCGACGGACGAGCAAAAACGCGCCGAACGGCTAGCAAAATTGGAAGCATGGAAACAGAAACAGGCTGCTGAGAAGGAACGAAAACAGCAGGAAGCCGCTGCCGCTGGGGGCCCTAGGAACATTCTCGAAGAAATCGATCGAAAGTCAGGCTTATCGCCAGCTGTCGACTCCCTGCAATCGCCTGTACCTGCTCCCACCGGGTATACCGGAAAGTTCGACCCCAAGGCTATCGCAAAGAATGCCGCTGCTCCAACTCAAGCTGCTCCAGCTGTGTTGGGGACTGATATTTCTGTTCCGGTTACGGCTAAGACATCCACCACCACCACTACCACCACGTCTAAGGTGTCTGCTAACAAACCTACTGCCTCTTCGAGTGTGTCTTCTTGTAAGTTTTACTCTCTGGTCATCTATCCTCCTTCGGCATTGGCTAATTGTTTATCTATAGCTGCTCTAAAAGCCAAGGGCAATGTAGGTGGATTTGGCTTGGTAAACAAACAAGCCACAGATACCGAAAAGTCCTCCGCAACGAAGAAGAAGACCCTTGGGTTTGGTGAAGAAGAATCGACTCGGCGAAAGCTCGAAAAGTTGCCAACGCCCCCGTTAGATGATACTAAAGAAGCTGATAAATCAGTTGAAGCGGGAGCGGAAGAAGAAGACGACGATGTTGACATGCAAGACGGGGGCACCGAAGAGGAAAATGCCGCGGCGGCACGAGCAGCTGCCGAAAGGCGAGAGGAACGTCTGCAGAACGAAGCGTTCAAGTCCCAAACTCCAGTAGACGAGAATCAAACTAACGGAGACGTGCAATCTAATGATTTATCTTCGAATCAGCAACAAGAATCCGATAAAATGGATGTCGATGCGGAAGAGGTGGAAGAAGAAGAAGAGGAGGAGGTCGATCCCTTGGATGCTTTCATGTCGGAGCTGGCAGAGTCTGCTCCGCCTAAGAAGACCTCGGGCGCCAAGTTTTCCAAAGCGAAGCCAGAACAGCCGGAAGCTATCTTTGGTGATGAGCACGATGTTGATATGACCGCCGTGGGTGACGGTGATGCGGACGACTTCTTAGCCATTGCCAACAAGGCGAAAAAGAAGAAGGACATCCCGACAGTCGATCATAAGAAAGCGGAATATGAACCTTTCCGAAAGAAGTTCTACACCGAGCCTAGCGATCTGGCGCAAATGTCCGAAGAGGAGGTCGCTAATTTGCGGTTGGAATTTGACGGGATCAAGGTTCGCGGAGTGGATGTTCCAAAGCCGGTGCAGAAATGGTCACAATGTGGCTTGGGAGTGCAGACTCTAGACGTGATTGATCGACTGGGTTACGATAGTCCTACGTCGATTCAGGGACAGGCCATCCCAGCAATCATGTCCGGGCGTGATGTCATCGGTGTAGCCAAGACGGGGTCTGGTAAAACAGTCGCCTTCTTGATCCCCATGTTCCGACATATCAAAGACCAGCGGCCACTGGATAACATGGAAGGGCCTGTTGGGCTGATTATGACGCCGACGCGTGAACTGGCAACCCAGATCCACAAAGACTGCAAGCCATTTTTGAAGGCCTTGAATCTCCGGGCCGTGTGCGCTTATGGCGGAGCTCCCATCAAAGACCAGATTGCTGATCTCAAGCGTGGTGCGGAGATCATTGTCTGCACCCCGGGACGAATGATTGACTTGCTTGCGGCCAATTCTGGGCGAGTCACGAATTTGCGCCGCGTGACCTATGTCGTCTTGGATGAAGCCGATCGCATGTTCGATATGGGCTTTGAACCTCAGGTCATGAAGATCATGGCCAACATTCGACCGGATCGACAGACGGTGCTCTTCTCCGCCACTTTCCCGCGGAACATGGAAGCACTTGCCCGCAAGACCTTGAACAAACCTGTGGAGATTGTGGTCGGCGGCAAGAGTGTGGTTGCGCCTGAGATTACACAGATTGTGGAGGTCCGTAGTGAAGACAAGAAGTTTATTCGTCTGCTCGAGCTGCTGGGCAACCTGTATTCCGACGAGGCTAACGAAGACTCCCGTGCCCTGATCTTTGTTGACCGTCAAGAAGGAGCCGACACCCTTCTTCGCGAGTTGATGCGCAAGGGTTATCCGTGCATGTCCATTCACGGCGGAAAGGATCAAATTGACCGCGATTCTACGATCGAGGATTTCAAGGCCGGTATATTCCCCGTTTTGGTTGCCACCTCCGTTGCCGCTCGTGGGTTGGATGTCAAGCAGCTCAAGCTCGTTGTGAACTACGATGCGCCGAACCATCTCGAAGATTATGTCCACCGCGCAGGACGAACTGGGCGAGCTGGAAATACCGGAACTGCAGTGACGTTCCTGACCGAAGATCAGGAGCGGTATTCGGTCGATATCGCCAAGGCGTTGAAACAAAGTGGCCAGCAAGTGCCCGAGCCCGTGCAGAAGCTGGTCGATTCGTTCTTGGAGAAGGTGCGCGCAGGCAAAGAGAAGGCCAGCGCGTCCGGATTCGGTGGAAAAGGACTGGAGCGGCTGGATCAGGAGCGAGATGCCGCTCGGATGCGAGAACGCCGTACGTACAAGACCGGCGAAGAGGGCGAAGAGGAAGAGGAGAAGGACGAAAAGAAGAATGAGCAGGCCGAAGAGAAGTTCAACAAGATGCTATCCGGGACCCAAAACGCCCCTGCGGCACCCACACCCGGCGTTCCCAAGGGCATTGATCTCGATGGCAAGATCACCGTGCACAGGACTGAGAAGGATCCTGCCAGCACATCGAAGAACCCATTGGACAAGGTGGGCTCGGCAGTTGCGGACATCCATGCTCGTCTTAGCCGTGCCGGCGTTATGAGATCTGGAGTGCCTATTGACAACCGCGGCCCTGACGCCGGAGCTTTCCATGCTACTTTGGAGATCAACGACTTTCCACGTAAGTTGCTCCCCCCCCAAACTTCTTCATTTACCCGTCTTTTTGGCTTCGAACAACTGCTAATGATATGGTGTCCGAAACAGAGAAAGCTCGATGGGCCGTTACCAACCGTACGAACGTGGCCAAAATCCTCGAAGCTACCGGAACGTCCATCACCACCAAGGGCAGTTTCTACGGGACTGGCAAGGAGCCGGGTCCTGGCGAGAACCCCAAGCTGTATATTCTTGTTGAGGGTGAAACCGAGCTCTCCGTCACGAATGCCATGCGGGAGCTTATGCGGCTGCTCAAGGAAGGAACTATTGCCGCTGCGGACAGCGACGCGCGGGCCCCCGTCGGAGGACGGTATAACGTGGTCTAAAGGTACTCTTCTCGCCTCACATATAATTGTATCATACTTTACTATACCAAAGTGTCGTCTTTTTTGAGCCACGGCGGGGATTTGGCGTGACGCAGGGAGATGGCAATGGAATGAAATAGATGGTTATGTCCCAAGCGCTAGATTGCTTAAGGGTATTAACATTGGCCAAGCACCTGACTGACATATGTTGAAATCGCTATAATCAACCGTAGACTCCTGGATGCCGGCTCCATGAGATACAACGAAACAAGAACAGAAGAACATCAACCAAAGAACGCAATGTAGTCAACCAGACCTCTCTCGATCAAGTACATATGTAGACAAAAGTGCGATAGTGACGTGACTGCAGGTGCAAAGGTGCAGATCACTCCCACCTTCTCGAATTCGCCGCGTCGTCCGCATCCCTCGCCGCTCTCTCATCGCGACTAACCTCGTTTAAGGTCTGCGTCTGTGTCTGGGCCTTCTGCGCCGCTAGTTTCGACCCTAGTTTACCTTTTCCGGCGGTGGTCGAGGACTCTGCGCGTTTCTGTTTGAACCCCGACCCGAGTCAGCACTTGTTTCATCCTAACCAACCAATTCACCAGACAAGCAAGCAAGCAACAAAAACCAAACAAAAACCAAACAGAAGAAAAAGAAGAAGGAAACTGCATACCTGCGCTGCTATCGCCGCATTAGTACGAGCATCAGCGTTCTGGCCACCGGCGTCATCCCCTAAGGTCCTCCCCGGGGAGCCGAAATTGGATTTGGAGTTTGCGGGGAGCGGGGCGCGCGGGCCGGCGGGTTTCTTCCCTCCAGGAGTACCTGCAGCGGACGAAGGAGGGGGATTGGAGCCGAGGACGCGACCGGGTTGGGAAAAGGGTTCGGGTTCGTTTTTGGAGCGCGAGCAGATGTTTCCCATTTTCTTTGTTTCTTTGTTTCTTCCCTTTCGTTTTGTTTGCGGTGGGTTGGTGGGGGTTGAGTTGGAGATCAGGCTTCCGTAGAGAGGAGGGGTATTGCCGGAGTGGAGACAAGAAAGAGGGGGGAATGTGTAATTAAAGTTAATTAGAGAGCTTGATTAGTGGTCTTCCATGAGTAATTGGAGATGATGCGATTGACGGATTGGGGGGTGTGATATCAGGTAGATAGATGGGATGTAGATAATCCAAGGTAACCAGATTCCGGCGAAGGAATGACGATCTGGAGAAAAGGCGGTGGGCGTCGCACGTGGTCTTCCCGTCGTCCATTCCGATCGGGACTAGGCTTCTTTGGTATGAGCAACTATAGAACGTGGTGAGTGCAACCAGACATGCAGAGGGACCGGGGAGAAGCTATCTGGTGTTACCGGTAGGGGGAGGGAATAGTATACATCATGGTGGAGATATTGCATGGGAAGTGAGTTGGCGATCAGCGTTACTGAACTTACTTGATAACTATGGAGAATAAGGCTAGTCATGACTACTACTATCGAACACCTCGGCGGGGTCTGATAATGCAGGCTAAAATGGACGACGCCAGAAAGATCTGTCGCCGGCACAGGATGTAGCAGGTAAGATGTACAAGTACAATGTACAGAGTAGGGATACTAGTCCTACGGAGGAGAACACTGGGCGCCTGAAGAAAAAAGTGACAACCTCAGGCCGCTCATTGGCGCAGAGGGGCGGACCCACGCTAACCCGCAAGGTCCTCAGCGCAGGACTCCGAAGGTCCTCATCATTTTGCGCTCTCCCGTCGTCACCACCACCAACTGCCATCTTACGCTCTGCCAGGGAATCATCCTCGCCCAACTCGCGCAATTTCATTATACCGACCTCATGCTCCCAAGGTCCTCCGCCGTCGTCCCTCATGCCCCGACCCGTCGGTCCTTTTCTCTTCCAGGCGATCTCTGCGCACGCACTGCCTGTTGGCCCTGATTGACGCTCTTCGCCGCTTTCCTTTTTGCTTTTTCTTTTTTTCATCTTTTTGGGGCTGCTTGCGCTATTTCTCGGCTGTTTCCATTGGTATCCTTCGTTCCTGTCGGTCAGAACTCGCGTGGCAGGCATCTTCACACTAACACCAGTGGTCACTGGTCAGGGAGGGAAAAAAAAAAAAAGAGACGGGACGTTTCTCTGCGGCTGCCCCCCCAGATTTCCCAGACTGCTCCCCGCCCTGCTGTTCTTCCTTTCCCTTTTCCCCCGTTACCTGGTCTCCGCTGCACGGTGTTCTCTCCGTCTCTGCTGTTGTTCCTTTTGCTGAGGCGAGCCCCTAAAGTGATCTTCTTTCTTCGGGTATCAGGGGAAAGACAGTCCCTCTCCGTCGGAAGTTTAATCGGTCTTTGGTCGAGGCCTTGATACATCACACGGACAATGGCTTCTCACACGAAACAGGACGATTTCTGTCTCGAATGCCATTGGGAGGCCTTCCATTTGGACGGGAAAGACTCGGAAGACCCGCAGGAGACGACTCCTGCGGCTGCCACTGCCACTGCCACCACTGCTACTCACCCGTCGTCGCAATGGGATTGTCAAGGTGACGAACACAACGCCTCGCTGGCTCCTTGCGATGCCGATGAAACTTGCTGCGACGAGGACCATTGTTCCGACGATTGTGGTTCCGTCTGCGATGGTTTTGTCGACTGCGATGAGTCCACCGCGTGCTCTGCGGTGCATTGCAATGACAATTGCGATGACAATGACTGCCAAAACCCCGACCCGGCCTGCTTCGAGGACCATTGCTTTGGGAACGATGACAGCCATGTCCAAGGCACGGACCACAGCCTCGAGTCACTATTAGGGTTGGGAGCCCCTCTCGCCCTAGATTCCGATGAATTGCTTTGCTCGGCTTCCCTCAACCATTCATCCGACGACCAGCTATCTAAAGCTGCCGGCAACCCCGTGTCGGGGTTCATGGGCCCAACTTCTTCCGCAGAGCACTTCATTCCTCCCTTCTCCACAGCGATGCCTCACTGTCACCCGCAAAATACGCCCCATTTTCACTGTCATGACTTTCCCAAAGAGGTTCACGATAATTTGATGAACCAGTCCTATCCTTTACCCAACTCAGTGAATCCGGCTGAAGTATTCCACATGCTGGGCATGTGTCCTGACCTGTCGGCCTGCCAGAACTTTCATGTCCATGAAGATCAAACCCTTCACCAACACCCTACATCAGAACCCTCCATCCCCAATCCGAATCCGAACCCGAACCCTGACCCAAACTCATTTGCCTGTTTCCATATCCCGCACTTCAATGCCAATGATCTCATGAAGAGTCCGGCGCAGTTGAATGGCAGCGCGTCGAGGGGGCCATGTCGCTCACATCACCGATGTCGGTCTCATGCTCATGCTCACACCCATCATCACCCATACGCTCATTACTCGCCCTTTTCCCGCCATTCCCGATCTAGCATCAGCTCGCAACTACTGTCCAGTCCTGGAGAGTCGCCGCCTCCGCTAGAGGGCGGCTCCTCGGTCATCACGAGTCCGGATTTCAGCCCCACGGACCGCGACCTGCACGTGTGTAAATGGGTCTCGAGCTCGAACGGCATCAAAACCACCTGCGGAGCGGCCTTTTCCGACTGTTGCGCTCTACAAGAGCATTTGATCTCTCGGCACATGGCCACTGTGGAGGGAGCCAAGGGGACTGGGTATTATTGTTGCTGGGAGGGATGTCACCGGCCGGACGAGCCGTTCTCGCAGAAGTCCAAGCTGCAGGGTCATTTCTTGACGCACAGTAATTGTAAGTTGTTTTTATCGTCTGTATAGGATGGGGACTGACTGTGGTAGATAAAAACTTTCGATGCTCTGTTTGTGGGAAGTTCTTCGCGCGTCAGGCCACGCTGGAACGACACGAGCGCAGTCACCGTGGCGAGAAGCCGTACAAGTGCTCACAGTGTGGCAAGTCGTTCACCGACAGCAGCGAGCTGAGTATGTGGCATTGGCATAACCAGAGTGTACGGGCAGAGCTGACCAGAATAGAAACGCATTCGCGGACACATACGGGCGAGAAGCCATTCAAGTGCACGTACCCGGGGTGCAACTTCCAGACCGGCGACGTAAGTCCACTTTCTGATTAACTGCCGGAAAATTCTAACAAGGACCAGTCGTCGAATATGTCCAGTCATCGATTAAGTATGTATAATCTGACATACAAAACAAGGAGAGAGATGACTAACGAACACAGCTCACGGCGAACGACGCCACAAATGTATATACCCAGGATGTACCAAAAGCTTCACCCGACCTGGTTAGAACCCCTCTCTCCTCTTAGCCGATGGAACCCTCTGCTAACCAGAACAGACCAACTAAAACGACACATGCGATCCACGCACAAAGACGAGACATCCCTAATGTCCCCGCTCACAGATACATTCGACCTATCCTTTCCCGCGGTGGCATAACGGCGTTCGGGTACAATCGGCGTTGATTAGCGATGGAATGTGAACTACGAAGTATAAGTTATCTATCCTGTACGAGAGGAGGGCGGAATGTTACGATACCTAGGGTTTGGATTTTGATTATGCATATGGATACGAATGACGAGTTTGAATGACGATTGTCATGTCTGTATAGTACACACATATACCTACATACATACGTGCCGGATTTTCTGGACAGCTTAATCAGTTCTGTTTTTGATTGTGCGCTTATGGGTTTGTAACTATACGATCTGTCTGCCTTCAGGGCGGGATATTTTTAACGTTGATGGAACAATGAAAGCAACCGACCTTATATAGATAATGATCGAAGGCTCCAGCATCACACCGTCTATTCGAATTGGTTATGTTGCTATTCGCATGAGACTGGGACATATAGCAACTATATCAGACATTATGTAAGGTAGTTAAATAGTTAAATACGATAGTACGTGATAAGTACAGATCAAATCGTAGTTTCACTATTCATCAAGGTGATTTAGATGGCTAGGAATAGACGGGATACAATTGCCCAGTGCCTGTCTACTTTACCTATCCATTCATTATCTATGAATAAAACCCACAATATACAGGACCCGACCCCAGCGAGAAAGAGGGAGAGAAAGAGCCAGAGAGATCACTACTCCGTCATCGCCCTCTCCTCCAACAACTCAACCGCATTCCTCAACTCCCTCACCCGCTGCGCAACCCTCTTCTTAACCTCCTCCCTAACCTCCGGCTCCACAGCCGACGGATCGAAATTCGTCTCGATCACCTGTCCCTCATCTTCGCCTTCTCCTTCTTCCCGACGCCCTTCCTCTGCTTCCGCCCGGACCTGCGCCCGCACGGCCGTCTGCGTCGGACTGTGGTCTTGTGTGTAGAGCTCAAAGACAATGAGGAGTTGGTTTAGAGCGTCGCGGGCACTTTCGCGGTCCGAGGCTGCGTAGATGGTGCCGCCGTCTGTGCTGTCGGTGGCGATTTCGAATTCGTCTTTGGCGTTTTCGTATCTGGTTTTTTAAAATTGAGACGTTAGCTTTCTTTCTTTGATCTTGGGAGGTTTTTTTCCCCGGAGTAGCTAGTGAGTGCGCTTTCTATCTTCCTTTCGTGGTTCAGGTGAGGGGGAAGTATTGGGAATGTATTATAGAAGATACGATCGAGTGAGGGTGTCAGATGTTTGAGTGTGCAGATGTATAGTAACGTACAATTCCTGTAACTCCTCAACAATCTCATCAGCGGGAGTTTTGCCCGAGGAGGTTGCAAGAGTTCGTGAAGTAGATGCCGACGCCGATGTGGATGTAGACGACAATGTCTGCGCGACGGGAACCGTCCGCGTAAGAGAGCGACTGGCGCCGATTCGGACTGATCGCGACCCCAGGTTCCTAGAGTGGTATGATCGGATTGACGGCACGGATGCCGAGGTAGAAGGGCGAAGGAGACGCGGAGTAGGGAGACGGAGGAGACGGAGATGGAGGGATGATGGGAGGGACATTATGTTTGTGTTAGATTAGCTGCGATAAGAGGGTTGATTAATTTAACGATGAATTGAATTGAGATGGATGAATGGATTAGATTAAATGGAGGCGAGATGAAAGAAGAGGAGGAATTGGAGCAACGAAGAGAAGGAGACGGAGGAGGGCGGGATGACGTAATGATTTCTGGGGATGCCTCAGAAATAGGGACACAACATGAACATGGGTCTATAGCATTTCATACATAACATATTCTCTATGTCTAAACAGGTCAAATCAAATCACCAAAACTAACACCCCATCCGCATCCCTCCATTCGCACACACCACACTCCCCGTAGTCCAGCCTCCATCCTTCGTACACAACATACCCACCACGCCGGCCACCTCCCCCGTAAACGCGGGTCTCCTGCCCCCCATCTTCTCCTTCACCAGACGAATCTGCTCCGGCGTCAACGACTCCAACTGCGGGTCGCCGTCCACCAGCTCACTTAGCGGCGTATTATCCTGGAACCCCTGGATCTGGTTCCAGAAGCCCTCACCCGTCAGGAAATACATGTCCCCGATGACCGGGCCAGGATTGATCGCATTGACGGTGGCGCGGTCAGCCAGTTCACGCGCCCAGGTGCGCGTCATGGCCTCCAGCGCGGCCTTGGTGCCGCCGTAGACGGTCTGGCCGGCGAACCCGAGACTCGAGGACACGGAGGAGATGTTGACGATGCGGCCGGTGCGGGGGGCGCCGCGGGGGAGGTACGGAGCAACGGCTTGCGTGAGGAGGAGCGGGGCCAGGACGTTGACGTTGTAGTGCCAGGTGAAGTAGGCGGGGTCGATGGGGCCGTTGACAGGGTCGTTGAGGAGACGGTCGGCAGAGACGCCGGCGTTGTTGATGAGGATGTCGATGCGAAGGTCGCCTCCGTCGGCTGGGCTGAAGTGCTGCTTGGCCGCGGACAGGATCGTCGATGTCCCGGCCTCGGGCTGGTTCAGGTCCGCTTGCACGCTGACGCACCGAACCGAGTGGTCCTTTGCGAGCGAGGCGCAGAGGTCCTCGGTGCGGGCGCGCGACGACTCCGAGGTGAAGTTGAGGAGCAGCGAGCAGCCTTTTTCGGCGAGGTTGCGCGCAATGGCTTCGCCGATTCCTGTGCCTGAGTTAGTGGTTTGCTCTGTCTGGGCGGATATAGAGGAAGACACGTACCGCGCGAACCGCCGGTGACGATACCAAATTTTCCTTCAAGAGCACGAAGCATGATGTACAGAGAGTGTGAAGAGGGGAGAATGAGGGGCTCAGGAGTGTCGAGGATGGCTGGAAGAATTGGAGACCGTGAAACTTATACTTCGATATGCCGCTCCCCCACGGGAGAATTGCCTATTTGGGCCCCGGCGGACCCTAGCCCTAAGTTCTTAGATCGATATCTGTTAAATGTCGACACTCAATGTACCTGATTCCTTCTCGATATTTCAGTCGGATGGAAGACACTACATTACACCTTGATTTCCTTGAACCGCCTCGCATTCTCCTGCAACGCCAACTCCACCGGCAATCGTTCCATACTACTCGCCCCAAAGAAGCCATGCACGCCCTTCGTACGAGACAACACATACTGCGCATCCTCCGGTCCCGCCAGCGGCCCGCCATGACATAGCACAATGACCTCCGGATTGACCTTGACCACAGCATCCCTAATCTCCTGGACGATTTTGACGCAGTCATCTAGCGACAGGGCCGTCTGCGCGCCAATAGTCCCGGAGGTCGTCAAGCCGACATGCACGACGATGACGTCTGCGCCGGCGCGCGCCATCCGCTCGCCCTCGTCGACGGTGAATACGTACGGCGTCGTGACGAGATCCATCTCGTGCGCGTGGCGGATCATCTCGACCTCCCGGTCGAACCCCATGCCTGTCTCCTCGAGGTTCTGGCGGAACTTGCCGTCGATGAGTCCCACTGTCGGGAAGTTCTGTACGCCAATGAACCCGATGCGTCGCAGCTCGCGCAGGAACTCGGGCATGCTGCGGAAGGGATCGGTGCCGCAGACGCCGGCTAGGACGGGGGTGTTTTCGACGATGGGGAGGACTTCGTTGGCCTAATTAGATGGGTACAATTAGCTTTGGGCATGAACTCAGGATAAGGGTGGAGAGTGTATGCAAGGAATGGAGGCTCACCATGTCTACCACCACCTGGTTGGCATCGGAATAGGGCAACATGCCAGCCAACGACCCGCGGCCGGCCATACGGAAGCGACCGGAGTTATAGACGAGGATGAGATCGGCGCCGCCTTTTTCAATGAATTTGGCTGAGAGACCGATGCCTGTCGCCTTTCTTAGAACATCTTCGATTCATAGCGCTAGAAGAGAGAAAAAGAGAAGGGAGGAATACCGGCACCGGCACCCACGACGATGGAACCGTCCGCGATGGTCTTGCGGAGGCGATCCAGGACTTCCTGTCGAGTGGTGGGACGAGGCATGTTCGTTGGATTTGTAGTAGTTGAGTGAATGCAATTAAAGGAAAGCACAGGACAAGACAGAATTGAAATGGAGGGTAGGGAAAGAAGTGATGTGGCTTGCATTCACAAGCACAAAAAGAAAAAAAGGGCCAGAACCCCGCACGACGTCATGGCAAACAATTCACGCCCCCTCCTTTTCATCGCTGCAACCTCACACGATTTTTCTTTCTCTGTCTTGTACCTTCTACACATACTGCTACTCTCGTTTTGCCATTCTCGCGGAAATCCAGTCAACCTCCATCAGCAAAATGCCCCAACCGACCATCCTCCTCGTCGGAACCCTCGACTCCAAGTCCCCCGAACTGCACTACACGAGACGGCAGATCGAGCGCCTAAACGCCTGCAACGTGCTCATCCTCGACGTCGGACGCACCCAGTCCAATACCTCCGATACTCGTACTTCCAACAACAACATCATTAACAACAATCCAAGCACATCCACCCCCCAAATCCTCACCCCCACAACAACCACCCCGCTCAACACCCTCCCCCGCGCCGAATACATAACGACCATCAGCCACGCCGCCGTCAGGAAAGCAACCGAGCTGTACCGTGCCGGTCACATCCACGGAATCATCGGCATCGGCGGATCATGCGGCACGAACATCGCGACGTCGGTCATGCGGGAGGCGCTGCCGGTCGGGTTCCCGAAGCTGATGGTCTCGACGATGGCGAGCGGCGATGTGCGCCGGTTTGTCGAGGGGACGGATATCTCGATGATGTATAGCGTGGTGGATATCGCGGGGACGAATACGATTTTGAATCGCATATTGAGGAATGCGGCGGCGGCAATTAGTGGGATGGTGGCAGGGAGTTGGGCGAATGTGGATGAAGAAGAAGATGAGGAGACAGTACAGGGGAAAGGGGCAGGGAAGAAGAATAAGGTAAAGGTGGGAATCACCATGTTCGGAGTGACTACGCCCTGTGTGGATCGAGTGCGTGAGTATCTGGAATCAGCCGAGCAGCAGCAACAGTCTGGGTACGAAGTCTATGTCTTTCATGCCACCGGGGCAGGAGGCAAGGCGATGGAGCGGCTGGTGAAAGAGAAGCAGTTGGACGCGGTGATCGATATGACAACAACCGAGGTGGTCGACGAACTGGTCGGCGGCGTCCTCAGCGCCGGTCCCAGTCGACTGGAGGCCGCGGCCGAGGCGGGCATTCCGCAGCTGGTCAGCGTGGGAGCCTGCGACATGGTGAACTTTGGGCCCCGCGAGGAGCTGCCGACCAAGTTTGCCGATCGGAGGATCTACGAACATAATCCGACGGTGACCATCGTGCGGACGACGGTCGAGGAAAACCGTCGCGTGGCGCGGTGGATCGCCGACAAGTTGAAGCGTGCAAAGCGGCCGGATCGCGTGCGGGTTTTGCTGCCGACGGGCGGCGTCAGTCTGCTGGACACGCCGGATCAACTCTTCCATGATCCGGCGGCGGATGAGATGCTGTTCTCGACGCTGGAGACGGAGCTGCAGGGCACCGGCATCGCCGTCGTGCGAGATGCGCGCGCCATCAACGAGGAGGACTTTGCCGTCACGGCCGCCCAGTCCTTCGTCCAGCTCATCGCCGACACACTCCAGCAGGCGTAGGCAAGACTCTCCTCTGTACATATCAGCATATGATTCTCAACGTAACGAGCAATGATCGCATTGAATGTCTTCATTCATGCACGACACCGGCCAGAGGCCCGGTCTAATGTGTATCAGGTTATAGTAACATTAAGAAAAGAAAATCCCCCAGCGGCACACAGTTGAATGCAAAATACTCCAGCCCATTTACAACCAGAAAACCTAAGCCATGAGAAATGAAACCCCCGTATATGCCACCTTTTGTGTATTGCCGTTGAAGGACAAACGCTTTTGAGTTCCAAGTTGATACAGAACTCGGTGTATGTTGATCGTAACATCGTCACATGTTGAAGAAAACAAGTCTAGGGGTCAGGGTATACCAAACATCATCAAAAGAGAAAGGAAAAGAAAAATGGGTGACCCCGCTTAGTAGCGGTAGTGGTCGGCCTTGAAGGGACCGGTGACATCCAGACCCAGGTACTCGGCCTGCACGGGGGTGAGCTTGGAGAGCTTGCCGTTAACGTGGGCGAGGTGGAGCAGAGCAACCTGCTCGTCGAGGACCTTGGGCAGAACGTAGACACCGACGGGCTTCTTGCCGGCGGAGCCGAACTCGACGTACTTCTGGCCGAAAGCAACGTCCTCAGCCTTGAAGAGAGCGATCTGAGCCAGGACCTGGTTGGAGAAAGAGCAGGACATGACAAAGGAAGAGTGGCCGGTGGCACAGCCAAGGTTGACCAGACGGCCCTCAGCGAGCAGGATGATGTTACGGCCGTTGGCCATGGTGTAGCGGTCAACCTGGGGCTTGATGTTCTGGACCGACTTGGCGTTGGCCTTGAGCCAGGCAACGTCAATCTCGATATCGAAGTGACCAATGTCTGTGATGTGTGAATCATTTATTCGCTATCCGCGATTATTCGACCAGGTAGACTTACTGCAGACAATGGCGTCGTTGCGCATCACCTCGAAGTGAGAGCCAACGAGGATGTCACGGCAACCGGTGGTGGTGACGAAGATCTGACCCTGAGGAGCAGCCTCCTCCATGGTGACGACCTCGTAACCCTGGACGGCAGCCTGGAGGGCGTTGATGGGGTCGATCTCGGTGACCAGGACACGGGCACCCATGCTGTGCAGAGCGGAGGCACAGCCCTTACCGACATCACCGTAACCGGCAACAACGGCGACCTTACCGGCGATCATGACATCGGTGGCACGCTTGATACCGTCGATGAGGGACTCACGGCAGCCGTACAGGTTGTCGAACTTGGACTTGGTGACGGAGTCGTTGACGTTGATGGCGGGGACGAGCAGCTTGCCGTCCTTGAGCATACGGTAGAGGTGGTGGACACCGGTCGTGGTCTCCTCGGACAGACCGAAGCAGTCCTTGAGCTGCTCGGGGTACTTGTCGTGGACGAGGGAGGTCAGGTCACCACCGTCGTCGAGGATGAGGTTGAGCTTCTTGCCATCCTTGAAGGACTGGAGCTGCTGCTCCAAGCACCAGTTGTACTCCTCATCGGTCTCACCCTTCCAGGCGAAGCTAGACAATTCATTAGTCGGAAGGTCAGGCGATAGAGGAGTGTGTTGGCTTACACAGGGACACCGGCGGCGGCAATGGCGGCGGCAGCGTGGTCCTGGGTGGAGAAAATGTTGCAGCTGGTCCAGGTAACCTCGGCACCAAGAGCAGTGAGGGTCTCGATGAGGACGGCGGTCTGGATGGCTAGACGGAGTTAGCAAGCCTGGTCTTCGTCTGCCCGAGAAGGGGAAAGCAACATACTCATGTGAAGACAACCGGCGATACGAGCACCCTTCAAGGGCTGGTCAGCGGCATAACGGCTACGGATGGCCATCAGACCGGGCATCTCAATCTCGGCGAGCTCGATCTCACGGCGACCGAAGGCGGCCAGAGACTAGAGAAGTTAGCAATTGAAACCAAAGTTGCTTTCAAAAAGCTTGGGTGCTACTTACGATGTCGGCGACCTTGAACTTCTGAGCGGGGGCAGCCATGATGATGATATTTACAGCTGAGTGTAAAAAAGAGAAACTGGATGGAGAAGCAGTTAGCAATGGCTGTCAATGATGCAGATCAAGACACTTCTAGATGACAGCTACCAGGGAAAGCACTCACAAGATGAAATGGAAGTAAGGGGGGAGGGAGGATGATGACCGGAGAGAGAAGAGGGAGGAGTAGAAGAGGAGAAGAGGAGAAGAAGAGAAGAAGAGAAGAAAAAAGGAACGGCCGTAAGAGAGGAAGAGGGGCGGGGCCAAAAGAGGGAAAGGCGGGGCTTGCATTGACCGGCGTAACGTTGCGCCGATCACCGGGCGCCAGTTGCCCTAGACAACCCAATCGGGAAGGACCTTGAGAGGCTCGGATGCAAGGGTTTCATTCTTTGCCCTCATGAAGTCATCTTCAACCAGAAAAATGGAAGTCTTCGGTTTATACTGGTTCAGGAACCCTTTCCCTTCCCATGGTCCAAAATTGAAAGTTTGGCTCGTTGAAAAAAGCCTCCGATACTGAGCCGAATCCTTGCGGGCTTAGGTAGCACCTCGTAATACGGCCTGCATAATCTACCAAGAAAAGTTTGAAACACGCATTTGCACCCTCACGTCGATGAATTGGGCTCGACCAATCCCGCCTCGTTGATCAAATGCTTGCGTGGCCTTGAAGAACGTTAAACCAGCCAGGGAATTCTGCGGGTGGTAGTGCTATAAGGCCGAGAAGATCCCCGAAGAGCAGCAGCTGTCATCTCGGCCAAAACTACCCCAGATCCTCTCTTCAGTCGATCCACATTCTGTGGGCTCAGATAAAATCAATTGATTGACTTATTGGGTCATCCAAAAAATCAACTGAAAACAAAATGAAGTCTTTCGTTCTCTTTGGTCTCTCCTTAATTTTCTCCGTGGGCGCCTTGCCCGCGGGCGACGTTATGTTGAGAAACGAGACATCCTGTCAGACTGACGGCGGGGGTGAGCTTGGCAGTATTATCTGCAGAAATACTGTATGTTGACATGCTTTCGGTCTTTCGCTCAATGCGGCCATTGATGATGTTTAAGTGTATTCAACAAGGCCAGGGATGGACGGGCGGTTATTGCGATGATCTTCAGTAGGTCCTGTCTTTCAAATTTCAACACGTCAATGCTTATTCTCTTCTAGGATCTGCCACTGTACCTTTTGAGCTTAAAGCTCCCTGGAAACCAGTCTAAGCGCATATGGATATGGTTTTGCTCATCCTGAGACATAAATTGTTGCCAGTAATGGGCAACGACGAGCCTTGAGACATGTACCCTGAAGGGGAGACCGGGGTCTTTGCTATAGAAGAGCACCTGACAGTAGAATTTTGGATATAATTCAACTTTGTTGCCATCGGTGATAGGGCGTCAAACTCTTTTTCCTCTCTCTTGCCCCTTGTTTAGTTATCTGACAGGCCTGTTCCGCAACCCGTGATGGTAAAATGAAGGGCACAATCCCACTTGTTCCTAGCATGCTGGTTCATCGGGCTTTATCAGTCCAAAGGGTCATCTAAGCATGAGAAACCCGTTTCCGAAAATAGAACAAAGAGAGAATTTCAGGTTTTTTTGCCTACAGGCTAGTCCTCTTTCCCTATAACCTTGGGCTGAAGGCAAGATGGGGCATTATGTAGGGGTAGAAACATGAAACATTGCGATATGAGATATGAGCCATAATTGAATGGATTAAAACAAATTTGACAATTCTAGCCGAATCAGCCTTACCAGTGCAGTCTGCCTCGCCGGGACCCTGAATCAATCCGTGCTCCCTACGGCGAGCTAAATCGGCAACCAAAGACCCTCTCATTAGTCGGGGTTTCCAACCGATTAAGCACCCGATTAAGTAATCGGAAATAGGATAAGTGTTGTAGTAGGGGATCTTGATGGTTAAGATTTCCTTGGCGATGGTTGGGGACTACTCTAACTCTTTCGAGAAGGTCGCCCCATTCTAATTCGATAATGAAATCGATTGGGAGGATTCCAGACATATAGATATACAAAGTGCTCCGAGTACAACAACTCTAGCTGTGGACAAATCTCTTGTGATGTACTATACCATCTCAGTATTGCTGGATATGACCCTAGACTCTTCCAGATCAACGCGTTATAGTATCTCTCGTGCACATTTGACAAAAACTCACATGAAGTGAAATATAGCTGCCTACTTGACCATACCCACTTCCCGCGGTAAAGAAGACTTTCATTGTGGGGGAAACGCCCGACGCCGTATTCGTTTGCACTGCCACCGGTAGAGTGGACCTCCCTTACAACGTTTACCGGATGAACGTTCTAAACTTAGGCCTGCGAAGTACCTATGGTTCGTCTTAGAGCACACATTGAACTAGTCAGGCTCATTCTGCCTACTGTCGCACTTTGAAACATCCCCGTGGAATAAAAGAAAATGGAATCTGTATACTCGACCAGCGTTTCTTGCAGATCATGCACTTGAAAAAGTATTAGGGCATCTAAGCTCAGGTGTTAGCCTGATGTCCACCCAGTGTAACAGATAAAACTGTTTCCAATCTCTATCAGATAAAAAATAAGATGGTTTTAATGAAGAGGAAAGTCTTCGAAGCAGCTGTGTTGTTCCCGCTATGCCTTCTACAAGATAGTTAATCGCAGTGGACCATTCCTGCCAAGCACCTTATTGTTAACGGTATCTCGAAAGATTGCATCTGCCTATTGCTCGTTCTTGGGCTAAAGTCTGTGCATACGAATGCTTTGCCGATATCGTAACATTCTCAGCGATTAACGATTGGCTGTTAATGATGCAGCGTGGTGAGAAAGACCGTTCTTGATCTGCTCATCGGTCAGTCAGGTCAATTACTCCGAGTATATTCCGTCCTCAACCATCATGGAAATACTAGGGCTTGCAGAAGCTTCACATTCCCTGCAATAGGCCCACTCCACAGTTCATTTTCCTCATCCATCCTGGCACATTGTGACATCTGAGTCTGACACAGGAGAAGCGAAGCAATGACCGAATCTCCCCGCCACAATGGGTCAAACAGTCCTAGTTCACATTTGCTACCCAGTCAATTCGGTCCTTGTTAGCCAGATATAGCTAAGCTCGGGGGTTCTTTGTGGTTCTCTTACACTAAGCAACTTCGATCGACAGGTTCACACCTTGTTCGGGTTTTCTCTCTCTAAAGAACTTCCGTATTGGTAGACCCTGAAATTTTATGAGACATTCTCAACTTAGGTCCATAGACTTGCCCATAGAGGGATGGCCTCACCGTACAGAACTGTAAGAGCTTCACCACAAAGGCTCTTTATGGCTCCCCCTTTTCTATCTCATGCCATGCCAAGGTTAAATCGAGCCCAGATATCCCGCAGGTGGGCCTATAGCTCCAATACATAGGGTACTTCTAAGTTCTAAGAAAAGCCTTCATTCTGTAGAGGTCCCTTAACTTTGATAGATGCCTAATAGCTACAATATTTATATACCAGCCCCTCTAGCAGGCTAGAAACAGCCAGTTCAGTCAAAAAGCAATCTATAATACACTAGCGAACCATGTCTCTGCCGTCGCTCATCTTCTCCCTCCTCTACCTCTACCTAGTCGGCTCCATATTCTTCGATATAGCCCATTACCTCCTGCACCAATGGTCCACGTCCCAATGGAAGCTCCTCCGAACCCTCTCCCAATGGCACCAATACCACCACCTATACTACAACCGATCGCTGAAGTTCAACGCACGCTACAAACTCCAAAATGCCTGGATCGCCCTACCCCTCGAAATGTTCTGCCAGGTCCTAGGAAGCATATTAGGCTGGGCCTTCATCCAGGGGTTCCTGGTCAGCGAAGCCCTCGATAGCAGACCCTTGTATCTCATAGTTATCATCCAGGTGGTTAGGACCCTTGTGGTGATTGCTATGAGCGGCCAGGACTCGAACCATATCGCCTATGACACCGTACCTAAAGACCCGCATGCCATCCTTGTCGGCCCTCAATTCCACGCGTTACATCACGTCCACCCGGAGAAGTACATGAGTTCTATGGTAAAACTGTTCGATTGGTTTGCAGGAACGGCATACTCTTTAAGGAATAAACGAGTCGTGATGACGGGGGGCTCAGGGGCTTATGGCCAGGCTATTGAGAAACAACTGCACGGGGAGAAAGTCCGCAGCGTACAGAAACTTCAATACGGAAGGGACTGGACGCATGATGACTTCTCTAAAACCAGTTCCCTGCTCGAACAAGCCGATATTCTCATACTCGCGCACGGTAGCAAGGGCCCCGACGCTATGGCTTCGAACTGCACCTCCAGCATCCAGCTTGCACGGCGTTTCATAGAATCGAAGACTAAGACTGGGGAAGGGCGGAAGACACTCCCGGAGATCTGGTACGTGGGAAGTGAGATTGAGGTGCATCCTGCCTGGGGCATACCGACTCTGCAACGCTATTCTGCCTCGAAGCGTGCCTTTTTGCCGTTCGCGCGGGCGCTCTACGACGACCCGCGGGTGGTCTATCGGCATATCGTTCCAGCTGCTTTTGAGTCCTCCATGGGAAAGGCGATCGTTTCGCCGGAATGGGCAGCCAGCGTAACGATGTGGTGGATTCGACGGGGGGCGATGTATGTTCCGGTGACTTACACTGGCCTTGCGTGTTTGAATTTCTTCAAGTTTATATATTGGGTACGTCCGAGCCGGGATGGACTCGAAGGCAAAGACACGGTCAAGATCGAAAAGGAACTTGAAGTTGAGTCTCTGTGAAATTTATCACTGTGTTTACGGACAGACCGAATAGAGTGTCGAAATTGTATAAAAGTTCACATAGTTATCATCATATTCTATTCCTTTAAAACGCCGAGTGAAGCTTTCTCGGCATCAATTTAGTTGACCGTAAATTCCAGGCCCTGTAGTGCTTTTCTCACCTGAAGTGAGCAATCTTGTCATTTTCCCTAGTCTTCTTCTGGGAAAGTTTCACTCTGATTCTAAAGCCAACTTGCCTGAATGCCCCGATCCGCCAACCCCCTTTCTGATCCTGACTGGTATCCACTAGCGGCGAGCCCCAAGCCTTAAAGGCGGTATTCTCGGCCTTGAGGAGCGCTTTTATGGGTCTCGGTTTCCAGAACCATACCCCTTCTACCTCCCCTTGTGCCATCATTCGTTCCCAGGAAGGTCGAGGGTGCGTCGCTCTTCCAGTTCCATAGCTCTCGTAACTCCGACTCTAAATTGCCCTCAATGGCATCCACTACCTTCTCTCCAATGATCGGGAAGACCTTGAAAGCATGACCACTGTCACCTGTAGCTAGAAAAAGCCCAGTAGCTCGTGGGTCGTAGTCAATGATATAGTCACCTGTTGGTCTGGAATCGGTTAACTTCGAGCATTGTGACAGAACTCAAGCAGGATTCCACTTACGTATCGCAATACCAGCAGACTCGTGTCTTGGAGAATTGTCGGCTGCGCCAATTCGGGAACAGCTCCACCAGAAAGTCCTTGCATGCCTTTTCCGCCTCGGACGGGATGGGCAGGTCAGTTCGCGGCACGCTGACCATCTTTTCGACAAATTGGATATCCCCTGATGGAGTTGGCACCGGGATGGACACCTTTGTGGGATTCTGATATCCGAAGCCGTGCCGGCCTACCTTCAATTCCTTATTATGAGGGGGCACCATGAACATTCCGCGGCTCACGTTGAAATAGAGTGGCGTGGTAGACCCTAGTTCTCTTTCCTCTTCCTCAGTGACGGGCAAGTACGCGAGTACCTGGCCAGTGGCCGCCGCTCTGCCTTCGAGATCGACGAGAGACGGCGTCCATGCGCCGGCCGCAAGAACAACCAGGTCCGCCAAAACCTGAGAGCCATCACGCAACTCAACGCCAATACATCTAGCAGGTCCAGGTCCATCAGACCGTTCGTAGAGCAATCGGCGCACTCCGGCGTTAGCCCTAATGCTAACCCGATCGCCACCTCGACGCTGAAGAGTCCTGACCGCATATCGCACGCACTTCTCAGCATCTGCCCAGCCGCATCTTTCATTCACGTAGCCAAAGTCCCCACTGGCTCCGCCGGAGCGGGTTTCTCGGGCGATGGCTTCGCGATCGGGCAATTCCCTCAGTCTCTGAACATCGAATGCACAGTTTCCGGACCTTGCCAGCTCCTTGATGTTTTCGAGACTCTCTTCCAAATAGCCATCCACGTGGCCTTCGGTGCCTGGTTGGGCTGTTAACACTAGCCTTGCATCATGGTAACGTCCCTCTCCGCCCCAGCCATCGACGGACTGGTCTTTCCACAGTTTTTGCGACTCGGAAACGAGTTTAGTGTATGGCTTAAGAGCATAGTCGGCTCGCAGAATACGGCTCGTGTCGACGGATGCGCCGACGCTATTGGGGATCTCTGACGCCGCATCCAAGACGGTGATGCTGGACTGGGAGTATTTGGTGCGTTGGACGAGGGCACATGCGGTGCTGAGACCGAGCACACCTGCGCCAACGACGAGGATTTTGGATGGAGTTTGAGACATATTGATGGAATTAGATTTGATATGGTAGTTCTCTGGGTTATAGTGAGCTCTAATGTAGGCATGTAGCAACGGGAGGAAACCCAAATACCTGAATATATGTTGGCTGATTTCGGTGTGGCTTATGTTCTCTACTAGTAATAGATATCAAATAGATTTCTTCGCCCCTTGCCTGATTGGTTGGATCGAGTTTTGATCTCTACATGCTTTTTTATAGAGGAATGAGAGTTGGGATCAACCATGGAATTGCGGAGTCTGTTGTACTGTACTACCGACCGCCATTCGCGCCCTTCGCTTGATCACCCGCTTTTATCTCCGCTTCTCTTCGACCTCTCGAAAGTAACTCTTAACCACCCTTATCCCCCACGCCGCGATCTATGCAGGTCAACGGGGTCTTATTAATGCATTTTCTCCAGGTTGGAGAAATATGAAGGCAGCCAAACCAGCTGTTTCTCGTCGAAAAGCTCGCACAGGCTGCCTGACTTGCAAGTGAGATCAATTCGGGTACCATTGCATCACCACTCCACGCTAACGTATCTACGAGTTCAGATCTCGGTATGATAAATGAAGAATTTGGAAAAGACTGGCCATTCATGTGCCCTCGAAGGCTAATGATTGGTTCTCTCTAGACACGTCAAGTGTGACGAGCAGAAGCCGGCCTGCTTACGGTGCGTCGCCACCAAACGGATCTGCGAGGGTTACAGCGCTGTGCCTCTGTCTATCTCCTCGCAGAATGCTCTGAGCGATCAGGAACGCCGGGCATTCGCTTTTTTCCAGTCCAGGACAGCTCCCAGGATATTAGGCCAACAGGATGCAGACGACTGGGCCCCTGTCTTTTTCCAACTCGGCCATAATGAGGCCTCCGTGAAACATGCCATCACTGCTTTGGCCTCGCTGCACGAGAGCCTTGAACCTAACATGGCATGTCCATTAGTGCGCAATTTTCCGAGGTATGCTAGTACCGCTTCACAAGTACTTGCGCTGAAGCATTATACGCAAGCGATGAAGTCGCTACGTATCGAAGCTCTGAACATGGCCTCGAAACCAGATCTGACCATGATTCTGTGCATCCTTTTTATCTGTTTCGAACAGCTACGCAGCGGTGATGCTGCCAGTTTTCTGCACCTAACGGCGGGACTGAAGCTGATTTACTGGTGGAGGTCGACGACTAAGAACTACACAAAGCTCAAAGATTATTCCCGGCCGACGCTCGAGTTGATGAATGAGAAGATCACCCCTATCTTACAACGCCTGAGAGTCCAGTTCGCTCTGTGCATGGATTCCCGTCATACTGTGAGTTACGCCAGGATGACACCCTGCCTACCTGCGCCTGCGATCCCCTCCTCATATGCATCCCTGGGCCTCGCACGAAAAGACTTTGACCGCGCCATGAGCTACGCCTTTTCAATCCTTGAAAGCGATTCGATGATGGACTCCCAGCGACCTTGCGTCAGTCCGACCCTCATCCTCCGGCAGTGGAAAGATGCCCTGGACGCTTCCACCTTCGCCACCGAATCCACAGTCCAGGTCTGTGTTCGCAGGCTCCTAGAGCTATACTACCACGTCTCAGTCATTATAGCCGATACCTACGGCACGGAGCGCGAAATTGTTTTCGACCAGCACGTCCACAGATTCCAGGCGATCGTCGAACTGGCCGAAGCGATCGTCGAGGCCTGGAAAACGGCATCGCAGCAATTCAGCCTGCTATTCAGTTTCGACCTCGGTATCACCCCGCCCATGTTTCTCGTTGCATCTCGCTGTCGTCATCCTCAGATCCGACGCAGAGCTGTCAGTCTGATGCTTCAGTCCCCTTTCTACCACGGCGCCTGGCCCGACCAGTATACGGGCCTTTGCGCGCAACGCATCATTGAAATTGAAGAGGAGGGCCGAGTCATGGAGCCGGCAGATGACCCCACTGTTTACATACCAGAGCATCAACGCATCCGGAAGCTGTCGGCCGACATACAAGAGGAGAATGGACGAATCGTGATGCATTTCCTTCGACGCCCGCTTGACTCCGAGGCTGAGGTTAGGACTACATACATTGCGTTGGGTACAGGGTTTATCGGCCAAAGGAATTTGATTCCAAGATAGAGAGGGAAATTTATATAAAAACAACAAAGATTCTCAGAGAGCAAAAAGAACCAAGAAATAACAAGACGAAATCCAGACCTTTATTGACGAGAGTAACAGGCCGACATGTGATTGGCTGGCACCCCGTGACCGGCAGAATCGGGTTAGGACTAGCGCGGAGGAGCTGACCGCCAGCACCTGACCAACTGCCAAAACCTCCATTTCTCGAACTTGTACGGCGAGCGCCTGGCAACATCTGAATCGACTGCCACGGTCGCACAAAAGGTGATAATCAAGATTGGAAAACTGCAACAGGTAGCTAGTTGGTTTGTTTCGCAGAGATGAGACTTTTACCAAATTTGCACCCAATTTGCGGAGGGAAAACGCGTATTGGTTTTACAGCTCATATAATTTCTGTTATTTCCAGCTTTAACCACTGCCAAAAAGTCATGTGAAATCTGTGGTTTTTAGAGTTTTGGTCACATGACCCGGGCCTTCTTGGAGCCTGAGGCAGCACTCCGACCGCCGACTGACAGGGACTGATTTTGCAGTGTTTGTTCGGTGACAGCGGGGCCTGACTCACCCATTGGGCCATTATGCATCCAGCTCTCTGCAGGACTGGGGGATCTTCTTTGTCTCGCAAGATTTTCGTTCCTCTAATGACAGATTTAAGACAATTCAATCTTCAACATTCCCACTTTTTGATCTCGAAGCTCCTTTGAACCGCATTGGCTGCATCAATCCAACTCTTTCACCCCACCTCTGCCCGCGGGGCTTGTTTATACAAACAACGCTAAGACACCATGGTGCTTTCGGCACCAGTACCAAGCAGTGGCTTCCAGGCCTTGATTCTTTGTGGCCCTGGTGAAAGCTTGAATACTATCTCGTCGAATCCGGACGAGCATCCAAAATGTTTAATTCCTATAGCAGTATGTACTGGCGAACCTTAGGGCTGGTTCTAGGAGGAAGCAGTCACTAATACCAATTGATCTTCAGCTGAGGCCAATGGTTTACTATCCACTCGACTGGTGCAAGCGCGCAGGAATAAATGGTGAGTAGTGGCTTGGCTTCTTCTCCGGGCCACTTGTGCTCTATAGTTGCAATTGCTAACCGATCAGATATCGTTCTGATTACACCCCCGTCGGCTCTCACCTCTGTCAAGGCGGCTCTTCAACAAAACCCTTATCTTACATCACTCCCCTCGCCCTCGCCCACCGTCATAGCTCCGAAGGAACTCAAGATGACGACAGGAACGGCCGAATTGCTCCGTCTACCGGAGGTCCAGGCTTGCATTCGATCCAACTTTCTGCTTCTGAGTTGCGACTTGCTTTGCGATATCCCCGGCGAACATTTGCTAGAAGCATGGCTAGTCTCGCAGAGTGATCTGGGCCCGTTGTCCCAAGGCGGCTTGTCCGTATTCTATCCGGCAAAAGGCGTCAAAGACGAGGTCAAAAAAGAGCCTACAGATTTCGTAGCGGTCAATTTGTTGAAGGAAGACGAAGGACCTGGCTTCTCGCGATACGAACTCTCGAAATTGGTTACCTCAATGCCGATGGATACCTTGAAAGAGCAGATGGAGAAGGATAAAGGCCTCTTGCTCCGTCGTACTTTGGTCGAGAAGCATGCCTCCATTAAAATGCTGACGAGCTACAGAGATGCACATTTGTACATCTTGCCGAAGTGGATTCAGTCCTTGGTTCGACACCAGGAGCGGTTCGAGTCGGTGAGTGAAGATTTGATCGGATACTGGGCAAAAGCAGGATGGCAGCGTGGGTTGAGTGCAAAATTGGGGATCGATGAGGTCTTAGGCGGACAGGATGATAATCATGAGGAGCATGCAAGTCTCGATGGGGACTCGTTGGAGGATGATATTGACCTTCGTGGCATGACTACTACGCACGCCCAGATTTCTGAGGCCCGGGATCAAAAGTCCTCTTCTCCTAATGCCCCGTCCGCAGTGGAGGTGCCGCCAATTCTAGCATACATGACCAAGCCCTCTGAGCAACTCGTTCGGCGGGTGGACAGTTCGGCCCTGATATTAGCCATGTCTCTACAGCTCGCCAAGCTGGAGTCTATCGAAGAGGTTGGCCGTGCTGCTGCCTCGCCATTTAGTCATGCCTCGAAGATCTCCAGCCCAGAAGGAGTTGCTGCAAAGTCTATTGTCACGAAAGGCGATTGCTTACTTGGGTCTAACGTGACGGTAAGCGCTCCGTCCCAATCCCATATTGTCGAAACAGCTCATCTAATTCATTACAAGGTGGAAGAGAAGTGCGTCATCAAGGAATCGTGCATTTCTTCCAAGGCGAAGATTTGCAGCGGCGCTCGCCTGACGAGGTAGGCATTCAAACGCAACCTGCAACCTGATACATCCAAACACTAACTTAACTAGATGTGTGATCATGGACAACGCCGTCATCGGTCCGAAGTGTGTGCTCACCGGATGTATCGGTGAGTTAATCCCGAACCAGATAGAGATCCGTTAGGTTCTTTAACTAACAATATTCCAGTCGGTCGATATAGTCAAGTCGGACGCGATTCCGTTCTCAAGGTGCGTGTGAATAATTTTCAAGAATCAGATCGAATACTGACTGCTGCTAGGACTGCGAGGTACAAGATGGCGTTGTTGTCGAGGAAGAGACCGATGCCAAAAATGAACAGTTCATGAACTTCGATGGTCTTGATGCAGACGATATGAGTGATGCTGATGATGATCATGATGATGAAGCCAGTCTTTAGACAAATATAATAAACTTCAAGTCTAGGTAAACGTACCCTTTGTTGATTCCATGTATAGATACCCTTGGGAAGTGTAGATGCGGGTCTCCCGAAATGGTTTAGCTTTTCCGACCTTTTGGGCATTGTTTTGTTATGCTGGTCTTGTCCGAAACCTCCCCAGGCTTTTGACACGTGGTTTGCAACCCCTTTCTTGATACGCAATCGAAATACGACGAAAATCTCTAATCTCATGGTAACCTTTCTTCTTGAAAATAGTGTCACTAAATTTTGGCATGCGAATTACTAACGCCCGGCGCTCAGGTACGGAGTAGTTGCAGTGGGTCACTGCGACTGTTCCCCAAGTTAAGGCAAGCCCCTTCCAGAATACCGCAGTCGCTTCGAATTCTTTGCACCCTAGTCTCGTGTACTAGTAGATGACTATCTACACATGGCAGTGTGAGGAAAAACGAGAAGATCTATCTTGAAAAGCACTCTGATTGGCAAGGCACAATGCAGAGAACACTCCCCCTTCTCAAAGGACATGTCTCACTGAAATCAGCGTTAGATGATGACGATAATGTGCTCCAGGAGCTGTCTTATCCAGAAAAAAGGATTGAATTTTTCGCGTACCTGCTTATGCAGCGGGATACGATTGAGAATATTATATCATTCCATCTTGGGCTAAAGCGCAAACAGACATGCCGCATTGGAGAAGTCAAAGAATGGATTTCTGGGAGCTTCAATGTTTGCATACCGGTGTATATTAATCACTGGCCTACCGAAAAACGAGTATTGATCTGATTTCCTCTCCCCTACAAAGTCGGGGAAGTCGAATACCCTGGCAACGCGGAGGAGAAGCTGCGCTGTGAGGCTGCAACTTTTATATAGCTCCAGGAGAACTGCCCATCGGTTCCAATACCCAACTTATGGGGCTTTGGGCTTGCCAATGGCCATAGTGTGAGTATAACCAAATATTTTCTTTTGATTGGTGGGGCTGACTTTATATCTGTCCATCTGGAGTTCACCGCACTTGGCCGAGTATCTTTCTCAAGCCGGCTGATGTGGAATCTACGCCGAATCGTTTCCTCCATCTTTCGTTACTCGGTTCCATGCCGATACGTAAGTCGGCAGTGTCCTTACAAATTGAAGTCTCCATATTTGGTTATGGATTACATTGATAGCACTCAAGGAGTTATGCTTTCCGAGTCCTGGGAAGGGTCACGCCACGACCAGACTCGGAGAGAGAATCTTTTCAGGGGGTTATCTCGGGTTATCTTATCGCTGGCATGCTTGCCATTTGAACGGATAGGTTCTCTAACAATCGATAACCGAAGCGTCATACGACTGAAAAATCGCCCGCTCACGCTCCGACTTCAGCACCTTGAAAACCAATCCGTACCGACAAGCATCGACCGAGACATTGTTTATCATGCCACAGATGCATACCTTTTAGACCTCCTGGCGTACCACGACAGTTACTTACGACACTCGCCGAATTCTGTACGGGATGAGCTTGATGGCCAAGCGCAGCTATCAACACTGACCATAATGCGCGCTATCCTGCCGCATTTCATAAATCGTGACTTTCGACGAGGGCCTTTCGTTTTGAGTCTCACGGACCTACACCAAAGCAACATCTTTGTGGACCAAGATTGGAACATCAAGTGTCTTGTTGACTTAGAGTGGGCATGCTCACGCCCAGTAGAGATGCTGCATCCCCCATACTGGCTTACTAGTCGTGGGGTGGACCAATTGGAAGAGGGGGAGCATCTCGATGCTTTCAACAACATGCATAGCGAATTCATGGACGCGTTCGCAAGAGAGGGAGAATCACTTTTCGAGAAGCATGCCAGGGCTTTCAGCTTAACAGACATTATAAAATGGGGCTTGGAAAACGGGAGCTTCTGGTATTCTCATGCCCTTGACAACCCGAAAGGACTATATAACATATTTCTCGACCATATTCAGCCTATATTCGCAAAGCTAGACGATGCCGGAGTGGACAAGTTGGAGTAAATGGTGGCGCCCTATTGCAGTGAGGATATGCAGGGTTTCCTTGCGAAGAAGCTCAAGGATCAAGAAGAATACCGAAACAAACTGCGGGATGCATTCGCGGTCTCTGATACAGAGCCGAGGGTAAATGATAATTGAGCAGCTGCGCATGTTTACCGAGCTAATGCTGATGGTTGGGCCTCCTTTGGCCCTGTTGTGTGCGACCACCAATTCTAACTTGTCGGGGTGCCGTAAAAGTCTATTGGAACACTTTAAAGAGATCTATGGCTAATGACAGCCAGAAAAACTGCATATTTGAGCCACAAGTCGCATGTGATTTGAATCTATACTTGCGGAGAAAGATCATATCTCATTAAAGAAGGTACAGGTGCACTAATTTCATATTTCGACAAGATAAATCAAAATCATCCGCTCAAACACCATCATTAAACCGATAATGGTTCATCCATCGCTATACCTCGATTAGCATGATCTAGCATCCGACCTGGGCATTCGTGCTCACCTTGTCATACTGCTTGGAAGAGTCGCAGAAACGCAGGTCCGTCGCCAGTCGGATGACGTTGTCCTGATCATTGTTGATAGTCGATGCGTGGATCTAGTAGACTTTGTCAGCCGGTTGAAGCAGTAACACAACTGAAATCTTACCGTGTGAGGTTTGTGCAGGACGACATCACCTGCCTCGTAGGCGGAGACCAGCCATCGCCGGTTATTATCTTTTGCGAATTGAGCAGGAAACTCGGAGAGCAGACCTGTCGACATCATGTTGGAGTTGAACGCCGACCTGGCCTCTTCTTCCGACAAACCAGCCTGTTTTGCCCTGCTGGTGAACTCTTCTTCACATTTCAAACCCACCGGATCGCCTTATAGTCGTCAGCTTCGACTCAACGTTGATTCAAACCCGGCGGAAAGCAAGCCTACCATCTTCCAAATAGATCAAGCCCCCTCCGTTGATCTTAATATCGCCAATAGGAACCCAAGCCGTGACGCTCGTCGGTTCCCCATACCGCAAGAAGATCTGATCGTAATGGACGCCAATCGGCTTCGACCCGGGAATGTTGTTCCGCAGTAGCGTCCGCTTAAAGGTCAAAGTATCCGCTCCCCAGCCCGTGAACTTGGCGACGAAGTCATACAGGGCGGGGTGGTTGACCAAGTTCTTCGTATACCAGTCCTTATAATGGGCCTCGATGGCACGGTCGACGAACTGCGCCGCGTTGTCGCCCCCCGGTCGGCCATTTCCGCCGACATGCCCGGCTCCAATGCCGGGGTACTCGTCGATCGACTTGGTGGGGTTGAAGATGCCCTCGACGGGGTCGGTGCCTTCCTTCAGGACACCCGTGGGAGCCAGGTAGTCGAAGTACTTCCGTCGGGCCTCGAGGACGTCTTCGCGGGGCAGAACCTGCTTGAGAAAAAGGTAGCCATCTTCGTTGTATCGCTTGCGCAGCTCCTCGACTGGGAGGGTTGGGTCGGAGGGGCGCAGGAGGGCGGCGTTCTCGGAGGTCAAGGGGCCGTCGACGACGGAGAGGTTGGAGTCGCTGATCACGCCAGGCATGGTGAGGGGTTATGGAGGAACAGGATAGACGAATGAATTTGAGAATGCATCCTGCCTTGGTCGCGACACTCCTTAAATAGATTGAATCGAACAGTACATAGTTCCACAACTCTGCTGGAGGGCGGGGTATATCTCCCTTTCCGGAATGGGCTTAGATCATCGCTGCTTCTTGCCCCAAATTGACTCCTCGGGGAGCATCGCCTAGACGGCGAGCTAACCCAATTTAGATTAGACCGGGGCTGCGGTCCCCGTATCCCCACGTGATGCTCTTGCTCTATGCCCCTTGGTTGGATGATATTACTACCTTAACCACTTCATGCTCTACCATCGACAAGTGTCACGTCCAAAATGGCATTTGGTCTTCGGATTGGAAGACCGCGGTGGCTTCTGACGATATGGTCTTTCTTCATAGATTGGACATGGCATTGGATGCCATTATTGCCGCGCCTGATCGGTCGCTCCCCTGTTGGAGACGTTGAAACCGTACGATGCTACATTCCATCACATCGCAGGCGAAACAACCTTGCTAACTATCGAACAAAAGAGAGAATTGGGTTCCAGTGAAAATAATACTGCCAGGATAGAGCATGGCGAGGCCTATTCGAATACAAGGGACGCCCAAGGCCAATTCATTTCGGGAGGCATCACAGGGATTGTGGAGCTCCTGGATGATGGGACCGCGCTCAAGTCACCATTTCCTGATTCAGACATCGAAAGCCACGTCTTAGACATCGCCAAAAAAGCCACCATCTATCGTCGTATTGGACCCCATAAGAGGCTTGTTCAGCTACTGGGTCATTCCAGGGATGGTCTCGTGCTTGAATATATGGGAAATGGTGATCTCAAGACATATCTACAAACCCATAGCTCGATACCCACGAACCTCAAACTGAAGTGGGCATATCAAGCCGCGGAGGCCGTCGAACTAATACATAGAAACGGGTTGATTCGTTGCGACGTAAAGCCACGAAACTTTCTGTTGGATGCGGCTCTTGACATTAAGGTCATTGACTTCTCCGGCTCGTCGCTCGACGGGTCGAAGCCCGCTTCTGGCGAAGGCACACGATTTTTCCTTCCACGCCACTGGGCAGCTCAACCCACCGTGGCTACGGATCTGTTCGCCCTTGGATCGACCTTGTTCGAGCTTTTTCAAGGCTCTAGTCCGTACGAAGAGGTTCCTAGTGACGAACTACAAAGACTATATCGAGAGCAAGAATTCCCCGATGTCTCTGACATGATATGTGGGCCAGTTATCAAACAATGCTGGCTATCGGAATTTGAATCGGCTGCGCAGGTGCAGACTGCTGTCGGCGATATCATTTCCGCTTCGCTTAACGTCGACTGTACTCATCTCGATGGTTTGGACACCGGTAAGGATATGTTGATTGAGCACGTAGGATCTCCTAAACACATTGCACAGTCTAGACCGCTGTGTTGTTCAGCACCAAGTGTGCTCTCTAAAAAGTAGGGGAAAGGTGATACTCTCCTTTATGTTATACATGATAATGGGCACAGAGCGGGGCAAAGGCACTAAATTGATAGGTGCACTTTCTGTTCCGATCTTATGCTATTATGTCAGCATTATGCGATATGGCTGCAGAAGATGCACAGACTGCCACATTCGCCTGCTAGTCTCTATTGGATTCGCGGGCAGCTCTGAGCCATCGATACACCCGCGTTTTAGTGTGACGTCTGTGCAAGACCACAATGACCAATGACGCAAATATTGATATATTGGGCGTGAAAAGATACTCGATTCGAACGCAGTCCAGAAGGAGGGGTCCTGGAGCCCAACCAGAGGGTCTGTCTCTTCCAGTGAGATCCTCTGCATTTGAAGGCGTTGCCACTATGTGGATACTATGGAGTCTTCTCCAGGTACCGCTACTCGCTAGTCTGCATGGCCGAAAGAGTGGACCTCGCTTCTTGAGTAACTTCATAATCATATGCAGGGAAGTTCTCAAATCACCCAAATAGTATTATTAAACAATGACAAAATAGTGAAAAAAGGTATCTAACTCGCTTCTAGAATGGGTCATGTGCATGTATGAACGATCCCCCACCGACTTCTATCGTCCAACTTACTCATCCTCCTCCGTCCAATCCGCAAACCCCCACGACTTCACCCCATCGCCAACCTCCAATTTCAACGTCGTGAAGGTGATTTGCTCGTACATCTCCCGAGCTGCCCCGCGTGCCTTCTTATGCCAAGGACCAGTACCCCCTGCTCGTGCATCTTGTCGACTGCGCCAAAGACCTGCATTATTCATCTCGTTAGCTTTCATCCTCACTTCCAATTCCACTCCTTTTTCTTATTCCCCTCCCTACAAGATGAAGAAAGACCAAAAGCACAGAGGAAAGAAAAACTCACAAGTCGCCAAATTCCTCCTCTCCGCATCCTTCGACCCGAACCAATACTTCAACAACCCTCCGCTAACAGTAGCCTCCTGATGCGAGTAGGCATCCAGATCATGCAAGCGCTGATTATCGATCCCATCTTGCAACCGGGACCGGAAGACCACGACGTAGAAATGCGTCTTCGTCCACTCGAACCCACCTCCCTCCGCAGCCACCAGGTCACGCAGGAATGAAAACACCGCCGGCCAGTTCAGCGACTCCTCGTACGCCGCGGTCGCGTAGTCGTCGCGCACGGGTTTCAAGATCGTCAATGCCTGCGCGAGGAGTCGGTTTGCTGTGTCCAGCGTCGTGAGGTCGAGGAGGTGGGGTGGGGAGTTGTAGGGGGAGGCGATGAGGTGGGTGCTCGAGGGGAGGGCGAGTTGCGGGTGAGTAGGCTTGACATCGGCATCGGCATTGGGATTGCGCAGTTGCAGTTGCAAAGCGGCAGCGGCGTGGAATTTCAGAGCGTCAAAGTCATCGGTGATGAGACTATGGTGGTAGATAGAGGGAGATGATGACGACGAGACGGTGGGGAGGGGTTGCGATGGCGAGGATTCCCTGGTGGTATCTGCTGTTGTTGTCGTTGTCTCTGGGGGTGTGAAAAAGACAGGGTTGCCGATTTCGGGGGCCATTGGTGCGATATTGTTCTTTGTCTTTGTCTTGCTTGTCTGTTGTCTGGGCTGTCGAGGTGAGGTGACTCGGTAGATGGGACAATTGGATAGACAGACACTGGGGGGAAAGAAAGAGGAGAAAGCAGTCTTGGAAAGGACCAATTAACAATTACGTGGGAAGAACAAAGAGAAAGAAAAAGAAGATCAGAAATCTATGGGGAAAAGAAACGATACAGAAGAGAGAGAAAGTGAAAGAAAGAAAGAATAAGGAAGGACTACGAGGAAAGGAAGGAAATACTACAATCCCAGAAGCCCAGCCCTAGAGGGAAAAAAGGACCCCGGAGCGGTATGAAGACAGAATTTCCAAAAAGCACGCAATACGCTGACGAGCTCAATCTGTTCGCGTTCGGATGGCAAAAAAAGAAAAGTCGGAGAAAAAAAAAATTGCAACAAAACAAGAAGGCAAAAGAAAGGGCGCCACGCCGATTGGTCCCTCGGTGGGTTTCACGACTTAAAGTTATGCTTATTGCTTTCAGAGTCTCATCTCGCGTGTTTCGCCGTTATGAAACGGACAAAGAACGTGCCCGAGGCGGATCCTTAGCCGGTAGTGAAGACTACCTAACTTACTACTACGGTGTACTACCGAATGGCCGAAAGCATTCGAAGACCAAAGGAAGAAGAAACTCAGGGGCAAAAGTGGCTGACACCACACTTTGCCGATTGGGGGCAATCGCACGACAGGAAGTTCCCATCTCGCGCCATCCATGGTCCTTGCTTCACATTCTTGGGACAGATGTCGGAGCGAATTCAGCAGCCGGAGGGTTCCATGGTTCGCAGACCCGATCACCCGGATGAAAGATCCTCAACGGTGAGTAAGCCCTGACTCTTGCCTGTCTGGTTTGGAAGATTGCTTGTCATTTCGAAACCTATTATACATTGATTGAACTTGGTATCATGCGCAAAAAATCCCCTCGAGAATCCCCGTCTCAGATGTAAAAATGAAAAAACGCCATTTCTTTTTTCTTTCGCAATGCTTTCGTTCAAAGACATATCACAACCCCCATTTTACCGCTTCAGTGGCGGCGGAGGCGGTGCCATTTTACCTTCGCCCGTGTCGACCTTCTTGTTGGCAGGCAATGCCGGCACTTTGAACCCTGCGCTATCTGTCCGCTGGCCATTGTTGTTGTTGTTGTTTTGGTTGCCTCCAACCTGCGTGAAGGTGCCGGATTTGAACCATCGGTCCTCTTCAGCCTTGCGTTTCCGGCTCATTTCGGCCTGAACCTTCGGGTCAACCAGCTCGAGACCCTGCACCGGCGTGAATGCAATAGTACTCGCGGTACCCGCCGACCCTGCGCCCAACGAAGTCCCGATGCCAGAGCTGCGGAGACCCTTTGCGTTGAGAACACTGGCCGTGCCTCCCAGGCCGCCTTGTCCGAACGTACGCAGCGACGACGCAGTACCGCTGGCGGGTGTCGCCGTACCCCATCCCTTGTTGGACTTGCTGAGCTTGGCCCTGGTTCTCTGGTCGATCTGGGTAGCGCGAATTCGCCCGTCGTTCTGCTGACCCAGCATGCCCAGACCCACCGTACCCTCGCCCGTGCCGTATCCAACCTCCGCTTCTTCCTTGCCAAACGCAACGCGATTCTGGGCCTTGCGGATTTCGGTCATGGCCACCGCTTCCTTGGCGGTTCGAGCCCGTCGTCCACCTCTCTTGCGGGACGGCTTGTCATCCGGAGCGGGGAGTGCCTTGGTACCGGAGTTTGGCGGCGGCTCCGTCAGTTTCTCCAGCCGCTGGAAGCACTGCTGTTTCAAGTCCTCACCCAATGACCCGTCGGGACTAAAATCAGAAACGTCTGCTCGCGTAGCGAGAACCATCTTGGCAGAGACAATGCGGATGGCCTGTCGCTTCAGGTCGTTCGGGATGTCCTGGATCAGCGGAGACTCGTAGAGGAACCCCTGCGATCGAATACCAATGTTCGTAGCAAGACCCAATCCTTCCTTCCTCTTGTTGCCCTGAGCGCCCAAATTACATGCGGGAATCTTGGCCAGCTCGCGTAGTCCACCGGTCTGGTTGAGGAACTGAGCGGCCGTTTCCGGTCCAATTAGCGCTGCTAGGTTGGGAGCGATCTGGTTCATGCGAGACTGGATGCTTTCCGTAAGAGCGGTGCGCTCTCGATCCAGCTTCAGAATCCTCTCGCACGTATCAAGCACCGTCTTCAACTCTGCCGGGGTCATTTCGCGTCCTCGAGTCGTCGTGCCTTCCATGGTAACAACCATCAGAGAAGGTCTGTCCAGGACCGACTGCAGAGGCGCGCCGACCATGTTGTCCGCCGACGTCCACAGTGCTTTAATGTCGTTGAGGGGGCCATTTTGCAGGATAGCAACGGTCTTGGCGTATTCGATCGAGTTCGTCACGAGGGTCTCCAGTTCTGGAAATCGAATCGAGTAATGGTCCCGTAGAACTTTGTGTAGTCGCGTCAGTTCATCGCCCGTCGAGAGGGCGACTTCGAACTCGTTGGTGACCTCGGGGCCGGTCTTCTGTCGATGCTCCTCCTCTTCGTCGATGAGAATCTCCTCCTCGCCTCCTCCTCCTTCTTCTTGCTGAAGATCCTGAAGATCTTCCTCGTCCGATTCAAAATCCCGCAGGAGCTCTTCGGCTGTAGACATGGTGGGCAGGACCGATGAGGAACCGTTCAAGTAAATAAACTGGAAGGTCAAAAGAAAGTGAGGTTTTGAATGCGCCGCCACCGATTTGGGCCGCTGATCGCTTAGTCAGGCGGAGGGGGTGGCGGCGCGGACCACTACCGCAGCCGTCCGACTTTTGGCGGCCGATCGAAGCTCCGCGACTCGACCTTCAGACCAACCTCAAAGCTAACCCTGCGGTGCTCGGCCTGCAGTCCATTTGCGGGATTCCTGGCTCGATCCCTTTTAATCAACAAGACCATCTCAGAATCCCGAACGGATCGAACTTTACGATTCTAGGCCGCGTCGCGAGCCCGTCTCTCTCCCAACATGGAGTCATCACGGGGCCCTCCCAGGGTCAAAAACAAGGCCGCTGCGCCGGTCCAGATCTCAGCGGAGCAGCTGCTCCGCGAGGCTGTCGACCGACAGGAGCCTGCGCTGCAGGCGCCGACGCAGCGGTTTGCGGACCTCGAAGAACTGCACGAGTACCAGGGTCGCAAGAGAAAGGACTTCGAGGACTATGTGCGCCGGAACCGGATCAACATGAACAACTGGATGCGCTATGCCGCGTGGGAGCTGGAACAGAAGGAATTCCGACGTGCGCGATCGATCTTCGAGCGGGCGCTGGACGTCAACCCGACGTCGGTGATCCTGTGGATTCGCTACATCGAGGCGGAGATGCGGACCCGGAATATCAACCACGCGCGGAACCTACTGGATCGCGCCGTGACGATCCTGCCCCGTGTCGATAAGCTATGGTACAAGTATGTCTACATGGAGGAGACGCTGGGCAATATCCCCGGCACGCGCCAGGTGTTCGAGCGGTGGATGTCGTGGGAGCCGGATGAGGGCGCCTGGAGCGCGTATATCAAGCTGGAGAAGCGATACAACGAATTTGAGCGGGCACGCAACATCTTCCAGCGGTTTACCATCGTGCATCCCGAGCCGAGAAACTGGATCAAGTGGGCTCGCTTTGAAGAGGAGTACGGGACGAGTGACTTGGTGAGAGAGGTGTACGGAGTGGCAATTGAGACGCTCGGGGAGGACTTCATGGACGAGAAGCTGTTCATCGCCTACGCCAAGTTTGAGGCCAAGCTCAAGGAGTACGAGCGTTCGCGAGCCATCTACAAATATGCTCTGGACCGGCTACCACGGTCCAAGTCGATCACGTTGCACAAGGCGTACACGACGTTTGAAAAGCAATACGGCGATCAGGTGGGAGTGGAGGATGTGATCTTCTCCAAGCGCCGAGTCCAGTACGAGGAACAGCTCAAGGAGAACCCGCGCAACTACGACATCTGGTTCGACTTTGCCCGTTTGGAGGAAAATGCCGGTGATCCTGAACGAGTTCGCGACATCTATGAACGCGCGATTGCACAGATCCCCCCGTCACAAGAAAAGCGTCACTGGCGGCGGTATATCTACCTCTGGTTCTTCTACGCCATCTGGGAGGAGATGGAGGCGAAGGATATCGAGCGCGCTCGCCAGGTCTACAACGAATGCTTGAAGCTGGTGCCGCACAAAAAGTTCACATTCGCCAAGCTCTGGCTCATGAAGGCACAATTTGAGATCCGTCAAATGGACCTCGCCACCGCTCGGAAAACGATGGGTCAGGCGATCGGCATGTGCCCAAAGGACAAGCTGTTCCGGGGCTATATCGATCTGGAGCGCCAGCTGTTCGAGTTTGTGCGATGCCGGACGCTGTTTGAGAAACAGATCGAGTGGAACTCATCCAACAGCCAGTCCTGGATCCAGTTCGCCGAGCTGGAACGAGGTCTGGATGATGCCGATCGTGCGCGCGCGATTTACGAGTTGGGCATCGCCCAGCCGACTCTGGATATGCCCGAGCTCGTGTGGAAGTCATACATTGACTTTGAGGAATACGAGGGCGAATACGACCGGGTGCGACAACTTTACGAACGTCTTTTGGAGAAGACCGACCACGTCAAGGTCTGGATCAACTACGCGCGGTTCGAGATCAACCTCCCGGAGGACGAGGAGGAAGAGGAAGAAGACGAGGAACGGCCGATCAGCGACGAGGCCAAGCGACGTGCTCGGGGGATCTTCGAGCGGGCGCACAAGGTGTTCAAGGACAAGGAGCTCAAGGAAGAGGTGAGATTCCACCTTTCAAACAGTTCCGTCAGAAACAGCATGCTAATATGTACACAGCGAGTGGAACTCCTCAACGCCTGGCGATCGTTCGAACACACGCATGGCTCGGCCGAGGACATCGAGAAAATCGAGAAACAAATGCCCCGACGGGCCAAGAAGCGCCGCAAGATGGACGATGACCGCTACGAGGAATACATGGACTATGTGTTCCCGGCGGACGATCAGTCGTCGGCGAACCTGTCGCGGCTGTTGCAGAGAGCACACCAATGGAAGCAGCAACAGGGAGAGGCGTGATGGTGGCAGAACGAGATGGGAAATGGCGAAGGGAATACACATGTGGATATTATTTGTTAATGAGCATGGGCGTGGCATATTGGAGGTTAAAAAATACAACTCACGTCACCAAACTCTTACGCAGTCATTTCTAGTTTCATCCTGTAGAGTTTCGACTGATGGCTGTCAACCATGGGTCCATCCTAGACAGACACCGACAACTTTCAAACGCCGAGTGGCTACCTAGACTCATGGAAGTTCTTCCCACAGATCTCAGAAGAGTCTGTGCCAGGATTATTCTGAACCTGTCTTAATCTTTTTGAACTTATCTCCCGTCGAGCTCCAAGTTCTAATAGCCAGAAGATAATTATCACAAAATACATCAAATGTCCCTGCCGGGGATCACGCGATGTCATGTGACAGTTACATCACCGTCCATCACCGATTCTTCAAAGCCCGAGCCTCAGTCCACTCTTCTGCTGCCATCCACGCCGATTGCCCCTTCGCTATGCCGCGAGTGGTAACGCAGCCAGTTAAGGCAGCCTGTCTAGCTTGGTGAGTCTGCCTGTCCAGGTCAGTTAAGCGAATGCTAACACTGCCCCAGCCGCGCATCCAAGACGCGCTGTGACGGACAACATCCATGTAAGGCTGTAAGTTCGGGCGACTCGCCATCCCCCGGTGGAGAACCCAATAGATTAACTAACACTGACGATCATCTCAAGTGCATGGGAAGATCCAGAGAATGCCACTATCAGCCCAGCAGGCGAGGCGGACCACGCCGAAGAATTAAACATGACAGCGCAACTCAGAGCCCGAATATGCCTAAGCAGCATCATCCTCAGCCAGTACCGCCAAAGTCCCCGTCGATACCGACTCCCGCAGTCGATATCTCGAATGGCAATTCGGTGTCAGTCCCGGCATGTCCGATCCCTCCGCAGTCGATCGATTCCAGTCTTCAGAGCATCATTGGCCTGCTGTCTCCTTTTAGTGGCATGCAGAGCACAGATGTGGAGACGGAATTTCTATGGCAGCCCATGGACTCGACAAGCTCTAGGAGTGAGACGGCCTCGGCTTCTCCTAGTTTGAGGGTATATACATCGGAAGAAGATATGTATGCTTTCTATTTGGCATTTGTAGAACGATTGACCAAGGGTTGCAGCTGGCTAACGTAATGTACAGAGCGAATGCCTATTACGTCTACATCCATCCATACCTTTCCCTACTACCTGCTCCTGCAGTGCCACTGTACGAGGACCGGCCCATTGCGTTTCAGCCCCCGCCTGGAGAAACCTGCACCGTTGAACAGTCCTCTCTACCGTACTGGCCGAGATCCTCGTTGAGTTTAGCGCTATGTGCGATTCTAGCCTTGATTCCTCCGGACCAAAATCCGACCCCCTCTAGCGTGTGCAGTGTCTGGATGAGGCGCGAATACGCAAGGCTTTACGCACAAGCTGCGCTCACCAGCGCAGAGAGGGAAATCGACGATCTAACTTCAGTTAGCGGTTCGAACTTTTCGCCGGAACAAGGGATCATTCATCCTAATGTGCCAATGCGATTACATCCAGTCCTAGCCCTCGTGGTGTTAAGTATCTACGAGTACTGTCAGCGGGGCAATGTATCTCGCATGCGCACCCGTGCTAATCAAGCGATGACGACGGCCATGGATCTCTCTATTCATAATTTGGGATCGAACGCTTCTGAGGCGCAACGGCGCGCATGGTGGACGTCGGTTAGTTGGTTCTTCTTGTTTTGATGTTGGGCTCGATTAACCGATACTAGATGTTTACCGTACTTCTATCGTCAATTTTGCAGGAAACAGTAAGGTTCCTTATACGACCTTGTCAGTATGGTTGCTCATCGCTTCAAACAGTCGCCGATCATCAATTCATCTGACCCACGAATATCCACGCCTTACCCTATATTTGATGCTCGATCAGGGAAGCCGGAAGTATGAGCATAACCTCCCTTCTTTTTCTTAATAGATTCATTCGTTAATCGTTGAATGTAGCCATGGCCACTGCTGATCAGGGCGCTAGAGTCCCTCTTGGCCGTCTCCGATATTCTCAGCGATTGTGGAATCGGCGGGAAAGCCCCTTCCACATCGCCGCATCTACGCGACCAAATCCGCCACATGGACGCTCATATCTTGTCATTGATAACGCAATGCGACCTCTTCGCAGGCCCAGTTCGCAAAGAATGCGTTGAAGGCCTTGCCGCACAAAGTCTGGGGATGGTTGCTCGTCTTGAAACTCATGTGTAAGTATTGAAGAGTACAAGGACGTCATGTAGAGCTAACAGAAAGCATACGATATGCAGTGCCCGAAATAAGCTCCACCGGTTTAGAGCATTCATGGACATTCCAATATTTTACGAGAAACATTGCGACCTGACTGCCATTGAGGAAAATGGCGTTCTGCCAGCGTCGGCCTACCCCAAGAGTCCTCCCGACTTTGAAGCTGTCTTCCCCTTCACCGAGGTGGAATCGTCGATTATATGTCTGAAGTCTTCCCTCACCATCTCGCGCATCTTCCGCACATTACCATATCCCACATCATGCGGTCCCAGCAGCGCAGAAACGGGACAGGAGCCAGCAGATCCGTTGACGTCTAAACCTGATCTATCTTGCAGGTACCCGCACGGTTTACCGTATTTTGCATGCACGTCCATGCAAGCTGGCTACACGTTATACATGTTGCTGCATCGGGTGCGCGCCGCAATGGTGTCAGATCGCCTTTCATACTGCTATCCCCTGCTTACCTATCCGGATCCGGCAACAGAGATCCAGGATGCCGAGAGGTTTATGGAGGAACTACGACATGGGGCTGAATCATTAAATATTGCGATGAAGAGAAATGCGTTGTTTGAAGGTATACGTCAGATGGCACGCGAGATGGATTCTGCTTATAACTCAACTTTTGCGGATCGCGGCTGATGCACCTGAGTTGCTCCCACGGGAATTTGGGCACAGTTTCTGGCATACGAGAAACCACTGAACATTTTTAAGATATTTCACATGTTTTGATCAACTCTTCAACGTCTATCGATGTGTATAATAGCGACATCCAAGATTTTCCTGTCTTGACCAACCCTTTGATCTATTTCTTGCCCTCGACCTCTGCAATAGCCCTATCCTGATCCGCATACACCTTAGCCACAGTCTCCCTCGCCTCTATTCTCTTCATCCACGCCCCAACCTTCGGGAACTTCTCATACAGATCCTCGCCTCCAAACCGAGGCGCAAACCGCTGCCAGGCCACGAAGCACAGGTCCGCATAGGTGCACTTCTCACCCACCAACCAGTCCCGCTCCTTCAGCACCGACTCGAGTACTCCACACACGCGATGGATTTCCTTCTGGTACCGCTCAATGGCACTCTGCACCTTCTCGGGATGGAACTTGATGAACCACGATGCCTGTCCGTAGTAGGGTGCTTGCCCGGAGACCTGGAAATACAGCCACTGTCTGGCGTGGTACTTCTCGGCGAACCCTGCAGGGCTGATCTTGTGCTTGACGTCGTACTTCTCGATCAGGTATTCGGTGATGGCGCCGGACTCCCAGAGGTGCAGGTCCGTGTTGGGGTCGTGGATGGCGGGGAGGCGGCCGTTCGGGTTGATGAGCGTGTAGGGCTCTTTCTTGACGTCCGCGAAGTCGACGAAGGTGGTCGTGTAGGGAATTTGCAGCTCCTCCATGATGAGGGCCACCTTCCATGGGTTGGGGCCGTATTGGTGGGAGTAGAGGGTGATGGGCTGCATGATGATGGTTTGGTTCAATTGGGATTGCTCAATGGCCTGATGATAAGGATTCGAGTTGAGGATATGATTGAATCCATGGAGCAGGAAATGACATGATATTTATGTGCTCGACTGGGTCTCGTCGGTCTTCAAGTGGATGAAGAAGAAGTATGGATCCCCGAGAGGTCGGCGAGATCGGCGTTTGACCGTCCAGGCGATAAGACTATGATATCAGCAATCACCGACAGGCAATCACCGACGTGCATGACAAGCCGTGGATCCCAGTATAAATACGACTCAACCCCTCCTTCTTTGTTTTGTTCTTTGTTCTCTTCTCTGCTTCATCTCCCTGTCTCATCAAACCCCTCCTACTCACATAAAGCATGTCACATCAATTCCTGCAGGCCACCCCGGTGCCTGCCAGCCAAGAATACTATGATCTGGGCTCCTTCGGCCGCAAGATCAGCACCACGAGCTCTGATGCGCAGATCTGGTTCAATCGTGGCCTCACCTGGGCATACGCATTCAATCACGATGAGGCCGAAAAATGCTTCCAGCAGGTACTTGCCCACGACCCGACCTGCGTCATGGGCTATTGGGGCGTGGCCTTCGCCGCGGGCCCCAACTACAACAAACAGTGGGCTGCGTTCGACGAAGCCGATCTACGCCATACCGTCCAGAAGACGTATCATGTTCCTCGTGCTGGACTCGCCCATCTCTCTACCGCTACACCTCTCGAGCAGAGTCTCATCCAGGCCATCCAGCACCGGTTTCCCACGGACGGCGTCATCGAGGACTTTAACGCCACCAATCGAGCCTACGCTGATGCCATGCGGACTGTCTACCAAGTGCACGGTGGCAATAACGATCTCGACCTGACCGCACTCTTCGCGGACGCTCTCATGAATGTCAGTCCATGGGGCCTCTACGAAGCTAGCACCGGCCAACCCATTCTCTCGACGCCGGTGCTCGAAGTCAAAGAGGTCCTTGAACGGGGTCTCAAAGACCCCATGGCCAAAGCCCACCCGGGTATCCTCCACATGTACATCCATCTCATGGAGATGTCTACCACCCCCGAGGCGGCCCTCGTTCCCGCCGATCATCTCCGCGACCTCATCCCGGATTCTGGTCATCTTTGTCACATGCCGTCGCATTTGGACGTGCTCATCGGCGACTACCGCCGCTCCATTGCCAGCAACACCAAGGCGACCATCGCCGACGACAAGTTCTACGCCCGTGAAGGCGGCCAGAACTTCTACAGCTTCTACCGCCTGCACAACTACCACTCGCTCATCTACGCCGCCATGTTGGCCGGCCAGTGCGCCGTATCCATCGACGCCACGGACCGCATGGAGTCCACCATGCCCGAGGCCCTATTGAAGATTGAATCCCCTCCCATGGCCAACTGGATGGAATCCTTCCTCTCGGTGCGCGTACACGTCCTCATCCGCTTCGGCCTCTGGGAGGACCTCAAAGCCCTACCCATACCCACCGACCCAGACCTCTACTGCGTCACCATCGCAACCATCTACTACGGCAAGGCGATTGCGTACGCCGCCACCAGCAATATCCCGGAGGCCGAGCGCCACCGCACGCTCTACCAGTCCGCCGCCTCCCGCGTGCCCGACACCCGCATCAACTTCCCCAACAAAGTCAATGACATGCTCCGAGTCGCCACGGCAATGCTCGACGGCGAGCTCGAGTACCGACGCAGAAACTACGACGTCGCATTCGCGCACCTCCGCGACGCCATCCGCGCCGAAGACGCCCTCCTCTACTCCGAGCCGTGGGGCTGGATGGTACCGGCCCGTCACGCCTACGCGGCCCTCCTCCTCGAACAAGGCCACGTCGCCGAGGCGGCGGAAGCGTACGCCGAGGATCTGGGTCTCAGCGAGAAACTGGTGGGTACGCATCGGCATCCGAACAACGTGTGGGCGCTGCACGGGTATCATGGGTGTTTGGTGCGGTTGGGACGCGTCGCGGAGGCCAGGATGATTGAACCAACGTTGAAGGTTGCGATGGCGGTGGCAGATGTGGAGATTCGGTCGTCGTGCTTTTGTCGTTTGGAGAAGGTGGATGGATGTGGATGTTGATTTTCTGATTTGATTTGATTTGATTTGCTTTGCATTGAGCTGGGCTGGGCTCGCTCGAGTTGGGTCGGGGTAGGTTAGCTTGGGAATTTGTATATAACATTTGGTGACTGCCTGGTACAAAAGTTTCTCTCCACTATCTTAGTTGTAAAAAGTGAATGCTAGTTGGTTTTGTGTCTTGTCTCGCATATTCAGTATGGGTAGAGTGATATCTCCCCACTCCATGACCCATGGCAATTCTATGTCAACGTTAGATTTTGTAGAAAAGCTGCACAGGGGACAAATGGTCAAAAGTAAATTAATCAAAGTGGATCTTCCCTAATCGAGTGCCAGAATCTTCCTACGCAGCAAATTGCATTGGCAGATTATTCCGGCATGCAAGATTCCAATCGATTTCATTCCACCATATATATACATCCCGAGTCCGCACAACACAAAACCACACAGCACAAACATAAAAACGACCTCCCAAACCCACCCCGTCCAACTCCGGCATATAAGAGAAAAGTCAAAATGCCTGAACATGAGACTAAACGAACAAACGCATTAACCTGCCACAATTATATCAGTCCCAGCGTGAAAGAAGGATATAAGAAAAGGATTAGGGCTAGGGATGAAACTGCTTCGTTTGGTATTTGACTCTTCTTGTCTCGCCGTCTGGTTATTTCAATAAGTAGGTGTTTATGATGGATGTACAGTATATCTATAGGTTCATGTTTCTAACTTCTTACTTATAGCTCTATAGTAGACGTCATTGTTGGGATTCATGGGTGGGACAGTGCTGGTTAAACATATCGGTCGAGAAGACACTATGGGCGCAATGTATGATATAGTGCCCGATACAGATACAGGTAAATATATTCATTTCTCTCTGTTCTTATTCTTCTTAAACCAGTAGACAGTATGGTATTATTCTAGTTACCTCATATTCCTACGTGACAATTCCAAATATGTTCTCATTCTTGTGTGCACAATATACACGGGCACGCCTCGAACGCCGCAGACACCGCGATGCGATGATCAAGACCGTAGAATATCATTGGGATGCGGAAAAGTAGGTTAACCCGAGCACTTCCTCTTACCTGCTACCTACAGGAAAATAGTCATATAAATTTCATCAGAAAGAGAGGTGGATAGGCACATAGCAGATTCTTTAGTTAAACGGCGGCTTCCATCTCTGACAAGGGGATAAGACTTTAAGAGCATGAGATCATATAAAGTGACATTCTGCCTAGACATTTACTCTGGAGATACTCCGCAGAGATGGTTTCCAGTCTACAATACTTCATTGGGCCAATCTAGTTCCTAATGATGCAGAAAAGAATCGCCCCGTGGAGAAATAGTTCAATACTCTGTACTCCTACATAAATCCGACTTGAAATTCAGGACACGGCTGAGAAGAAGCAGTCTCTAGACAGAAGAAATGAGAGCCAAACAAAGGGCCACCCTCAGGATGCGACCCCGGAGGCCAACCGTTCTCGGTTAAATTAAGTATCACGTCACTGTACCCATCGTGGATATTAAACCCTTCCTTAGCGATTTCGCGATAAGCCCAGCACCCGTCCGGAGAAACGAGAACGCACGGGAATCCCTCGTGAGAATCCATCTTATCAAGATGTTGAAATCCAACAATTCGAATCAGCCTCGTGTGGAATCTCTCTCACTGCATGCCCTAGAGAGGAATTCTGGTGGCCGGGCGAGGGACCATCTGGGGCCAATTAGCCGGGAACGGAGCTCAGCCACCCATAACTAACAGTAACTAGCGCTGGGTGATTAGTATTACAGATGATTGGATGAGACAGAACGAGGGTTAGCTTATTGGGGGGGTGCTTCAGAAAGACAGACACATTCCGCCGTTGGGTCTGGAATCGAGGACCTGTGTGGACTCCCTTAACCGGAAGAAGACAAATGAGTGCACCGTAAGCTGAAAAACACCTCCAGACAAGTCACACAATCCTGTACTTCGTGCGACGCGAGAAAACAAATCCAACCGGTCTAAATCGAATGGTCAGAGACAGACAGGAACTAGAGGACACTACCTGCTAGCTAGCGTCGTCCATTCCAGAACATTCGGCCGCCACCGTGCTGGGCAGGGATCCTACTGTGCATACCGGATAGTAGGGTATGGGTTGATGATTATAAAACCGTCTACGGATACAGGACAGAGAAGTCAATTCGCGATAACGATTGAGTAAGTCGGCATGGACCAACAGACCAACATCTCCGGAATCTTGGGGCCAGGGTGGGATATATATAGATTCGAGGAGGGAAATGCGCTCCGTGTCCGTGGAGGCAAAGGGCAAAGGGCAAAGGGCAAGAGGCCTCGACGAGGGTAGAACACTAGAACTAGACGGCCCCAAGAGCTACGAGCTGGGCAGAAGGAACCCGTCCAATGTGCAATGGGCAGCGTCCAACGGAGGCCCGGCCCGTCAGCGGAGGGGAAGCAAGAAGAATCTGCTTGATCTTACGGGGCTGGAAGGTGACACAAGAATTCTCTTCATGTTTTGTGCGGAAGGAGAGGATATTTCAAGTTATCAACCTTACCACCACGATTTCTTGGACTGTAATAATAGAAAAGAAGAGAATAGAAGAATATCATAACCATACAGAATAAGACACAATCTCCATCAACGTGACGATACCGGTAACCGAGTACCGGCGGGTCTGTGTTTCAACCTGCGAACCAATAAGACCTGCAGAGATGGACAGGGTCCCAGCGGGAGGGGCGGGGCCGTTGGTATGGTACGGTAACTGGTAACATCCGTGGATCTATAGGAGTACTATTTTTATCTGGAATCTACTCCGGAGTATACTCGTTTCATGCTAATGGCGGACTCGATGCTAGTTGTCGATAGATGAGAGATATCTTGAATTGAATCAAGTGTTATGAAGCAATGAAATACCTCCGTGCCCCTACTTACGGGATACTCCTACAGGACCTGCATGGAAATCCCTGCAGGTCCATGCGGGTTCCTGACGAGCGAGCCAATCCACTTCACGGGGGCTGCAGTCAAGAGATTCGCCCCTGTCGATGTTTCCAACTGTGCATACGGCGTAGTGTACACTCGGGGGTATACTCGGTAGAGTATACCCTCCGTACTCGAGTCTAGTTAGGTGGTAGAATAGTCAGACAGGGAACAGAGAGAGAATCTGACCAAAGTACTCCTGTACATCTCACAAAAAGCAAACAAGAGGGGCGGAAAGTTTGGGGGTGAAGAAGTCGATCCGTGGAACTGTCAGTCCTTCAAGGTCTCCTTGCTGGTTCTGGCTCCACGCAAGGAGGGCTTCACAACAAACAAACAGATGGTACTATTCTGATCTGGTCAATCATGGATCAAATGTTTGAACACTCCGTAGTACGGAGTATACTGAAAATGGTAGAATATCAGAACATAATTAATCTAAAATATACCACGGTCGCAGTCAGCGATGGTTCGACCTGAAAAACCAGGCCACCCGGCCGGCTAAACCCGAGTGGGCGACTCCTCCGACCGTCACGTTCTCTCCTTTCCCTTTCCTCAATTTCCCTTCATTCCCTCTTCCTCTCTCTCTCACCTGCCCTCCTCTTCCTCCCTTCTTTTCTTTTTCCTTCCTTTCTTTTTTTTTTCCGGGTCAATTGATCACAACGTGCTGTGCACTCTCGTCACCTCGTGCGGGTTCTCGGATCTTGCTTCCTGTCGGGTTGTCTTCGAAAAACAGGGTGAGTGGTCCTTAGTGTTGGTCTAAGCTGCCGTCCGTCGTTTCATCCTCCATCGAGACTCTCCTGACCTCCCTCCCCCCTCCCTTTCCCTTCTCGCCCTCTCTCGCCTCTCTCCCTCCCTCCTCCTGCGGTCCTACGGCATTCTGCCTATCCCATTCCTCTTTCTTCCTCCCTCCCCTTGGACGGTACCGTCATTCGTCCGGACGTGTCGCTCTCTCTCGCTCTCTCGCTTCCCTCCTTCGCTGCCGATTTGACATCGAGCATCTCTTTCTCTTCAATTCTCTTCAATTCTCGCCTGCCGTGCCTCTTCCTTGGTTAACGTCCACGCTGCCAGGTCGCCATTCTTTTCCATTATCCAAAAATTCTCCGGACTCGCCTCGTGGTGTTTCAATTGCTTCGTCACGACCCCATCAATCACTTATCAGATAGATCTCTGGACGCCTCTCTCGACCACTCGTTTCCTCAGAGACTTCGTACAAGACCCAGAATAACAAAAAGCTTACGTCGGAATCATCCGAGGGAGAAGATCTGCCACTCACCATCCAGCCCGTCTCCGAATTCATTCCTCACCTCACGGCCCAGTGCCACCGACGATCCGTTGACTCCCCTTCGACCATGAGATAGTACTCTGGCAGTCACAACCCTTCCATTCGTTTCGCACCCCTCCGCCCGTCCTCTAATCGCCCGGCGGCTGGTATTCTCGATTGATTGTCTTCGGCTGGTATTCTCGATTGATTGTCTTCGGCTGGTATTCTCGAAGAATCTACCTCTCCCTCTCCCTCCCCTCCCCCTCCTCACTCTCTTCACTCGTCATTCGACATGATTGTTCCCAAGCCCCCCGTCAAATTGGAGGGCCACTGTTCCGTCATTCACGACAACACGCTATACACATACTCCGCCAATGGTTTCGCCTCTATCCCGCTCGAACGCAATGGAACGTGGTCGAAGCTCCACATGGGAGAACCGGTCTCCAATGCCGCCTGCGTCACCGGTGGCATCGACGGCGACGAGGGCCAACAAGCGCTCTACGTAGTCGGAGGTACCCCGTCCAAGTCCAACGGGAAAGGCCCCGGTGTGCAACGCTACTCCTTCAAAGAGAAGAAGTGGAAATCCTTCGAACCGTCTCAGGAGAACATGGCCAACCGAACCGACCACAACGCCGTCTACCTCAAGGATTCCGCCTCCATTCTCGTGTACGGCGGTCACCAGAAGCATCAAACCGACGCCTCTTCCGATACCTTCGTCATCAACACCGCGGACCCCTACAACATTTCAGCTTTCGAAGCCTCCAAGGCGTCGCCGGTCTTCTATCCCGTATTGCTGTCGTGGAACGACAAGGAGGCGGCGTTGGTGGGCGGTCTCACGGACAAGAAACAGGTTTACTTGTTCGATCCCGCCAAGGGCTGGCGCAGCTCCGACGTGACCATCGCCAAGGAATTGTCCGACGACGCCCGATGCGCTTTGGTGAAGGGAACGGACGGGAGCAAGATTCTCGAAACGTTCGACATGGGAAGCTCGCCCAACACGGTGACCAGCGAAACTCTGCTGAAGGCCGGCGGGAAGTCCGCCAGCTCCAGCTCGAAATCAAGCCGACGGAAGCGCATCACCCTCGACGACTACCCCAAGTATGACGACTCCTTGGCCTCTTCCACGAAGCGGGACGACTTCTCCATCGCCCAGGGCGACAACCAGGTCGTCATCTCCAGCGGCAGCGGCACCGACACGCTGGCCATCTTCAACCAGACCTCCAACAGTTGGGTCAATGCCACCAAGTTGTTCTACGGCGACGAGCCTCGACAAAAGATTCTCCCCACCACATCCTCCACCTCCACCACCACGTCCGGTCCCACCTCGACGGCCTCGGAATCCAGTCCCGCCACCACGACCCCTGCAGCGGGCTCCGGAGTGGACAACTCCAACGTCGGCACCGTCCTGGGCGCCACCCTGGGAAGTATTCTGGGCGTGGCGGCCGTCCTGCTGCTGATCATCTTCCTGATCAAACGCAAGAAGAATGCCTTGAAGCGGGCCGCGCAGGGCCAGAACGGTGACAAGGATCGTCTGAGCTTCCAAGACCGCGGCGTCGAGCCTCTCGCCCAGTCCGCGTATCCGATGGCCAAGAGTCCCGCCCCGCTGGCCGCCTCCTCGGTCGACTCCCTGGCCATCTTTGGCGGCGCTGCGGGCGACGAAAAATCGTCCGGTGCCCTGGGCGCCGCTCGCGGCAATGGCCAGAAACCGTCGCCGTTGAAGCCGAGTCCGTTGTCCATGCAGTCCGAGGTCACGGCCGTCGGCACGCCCGCGTCAGTGGACAAGGCTATCGAAGCCCATGGCATCTCCCCGGCCAACCATCCGGGCGATCGCCACACCGATGAAGGCTGGAGTCGGTACTTCCAGGACAACAGCGCGACGGATCTGACCCAAGCGCCTCCTAAGCCGGCCTTTGCCCGCGCCGAGGATCGCTCGAGTCAAGTCAGCCAATGGCCCGGATCGACCCTCGAGCCGGTGAGTCGGGTGGTTGTGGAAGAGCACCAGCCGCCCAAGCCGGCGTTCGCCCGGGCGGAGGATCGCGCGAGTCAGGTCAGCCAGTGGCCCGGGTCGACCCTGACTCCGGTGAACCGCACGTTCTTTGAAGAGCAGCAGCCTCCGAAGCCGGCGTTCGCCAGAGCCGAAGAGCGTTCCAGCCAAGTGAGTCAATGGCCGGGACCGACCCTGGCGCCACTGAACATGGGTCTGCTGGAAGAACCCAAGCCTCTGGGACGAGTGGTCACGGGAAGCCCAACCACCGAACATACGTCGTCGCCCAAGGACGGCCGGTACATCAACATTCCCGAGAGTCAGTCCGCTCGCATCTCCAGCGCCAGCTCCATCAGCAACCTGTCCGACGACGAATGGGAGCGCCGGGACGGACTACCGCACGGCATGCACCAACAGAGCTGGATGGGTCGTCCTCCCAGCAGCACGTACAGCCGAAGCATGTACAATCCTAGCATGTATAACCCGAGCTCGCGCGATTTGCCGTCGATGCCGCCCACCGCCACCAACACGCGCGGATCCAGCATTCTGATCCCCGACACCTACGAACACGAACCCCTGCCGTCAGACTCAAACCGTAACAACATCAATTCCGATATGAGTTGGCTCAACCTGCATGCCGAACGCTGACATTCCTCCGGGGTGCACAGTATCATTCGCTCACTTTCCTTGAACAAAATAATCAAAAGCCACCCACCGCCGCTGTCTCTCTTTTTGTCGTGTTTCGTGATATCCCGCCCAGTTTAATATAATCACTCTTTCGCTCCAAGCACGGGTTCCAGCAGGGTTGCAAAAAAAGATCAAGTCACCTGTAAAAAGATTAATTCTTGTTGTTCTCCACGCGTCTTCATCTTGGGATGGATCGATGTACAGCTTAGCTAGCCGCAATTTCCTTTCCTTTCCTTCTCTTTTTTCCCTTTGCCCATCTACGACATATTAACCATCCTCTCTCTCCCTCCTTCACTGGCCAGAGTCGAGCGTTGAAGCGTTCCATTCCGTCTAGTTCTCATATTTTCTCCAGCATTTTCTTGTTCTTGTTCCATGATTGATTGATTGTTTGAATTTCAGCCACCGTGCTGTTCTTGTTTAGTTGTGCCCGTCTGTCTGTATCTGTCAGTTGTCAGTGCCTGTTGGGAGGGGTTGGGTTCTTAGGGATCGGATCGGTGTTGCTTTTCTCTGCTCGTTTCTCATACTTTCTATTGTATGCATTGTACATAGATCTGTTGGTTTGTTTTGTTTGCGATTTTGGTGGCTTCCACCTCACTTGGTATTCCCTGCATGCTATAACCTTTTTGGCATGGTTGTTTGCTTGCTTGCTTTAGTTGTTGATTTGTTGTATCTCTCTTGATCTTGATCCTGGACATTTTCAATCGAATGGATTGATGGTTTATTTCATCTTGGTGAAATACAAACGAACGAAACGAGTAATTCCACACGTATACAGGAATCAATCATACAGGATGCTATTCTACCCTACTTACCTACCTACTATACGTAGGCGAGGCAGGTAGGAAGAAAGAGCATGGAAGGTTCCCATTCAAACAAACAAAATGGGAGGGTTCGGGAATCTCAGTAGAATGCGAGAAACCAGGGAGACGGTAAAAGAAAACATGGGGAGGTCATCAAGTCATAAGGGGTCATTCATCATCAATCTGACATCCAAAAAAAAAAAAAAAAAACATCAACAAGATATCACAATGTCATAAAGTAAAACAGTCTGTGTGGTGTTGGGCTTGCTTGCTCGCTTGCTTGCGCTTACGCTTTCAACTGATGCAATCAATCAAAAATTGCGTGTGAAATCAATCGCTTTCCCCGCCATGGTATCATCAGATCGCAGGATATCAAATCAAGTCATCGAGGTGAAGGGGAAACATCATAAAGCAATGCAATTCAAATTCAGTCCCGAAATAGAGTTTTCGCTCTGCCGAACAGTTTCAAAACAAGGGGGTTCATTCAGTCATAAGACAGTCGATATCAAAAAAACGAGGTGTCATCGCAGAAACCAGGATTGAATTCGGTTCAAACAGATATCAAATCAAGTCACAAATCAAGCATAACGGGGTTGCTCATGGACCACCGAACGCGAACGAGCCGCGTCGCCCGGATACTCTTCGATCTCATCCGGGAGACGATACGTTCCGCGCGAGGACCCAGATGATGGACCCTGACTCTGCACTCGGCGATGTCGTTGGTTTCTTTTTTCCGAGCAACTCTTTGTAAAAGTGGTGCGCTCCTTGCGTTTCTCGTTGACATGCTTCCACTCCTCCAGGGCGCCGTTGATTCCCATGGCCGCGAGACCGATACTGGCGGCGTCGACGACGTTGCCCTTGATTCGTCGTCTGCGAGCCTCCTCCGGCGACATTTCACCTTCCTTGACCATTTCCAATCGCTTGTGATGCTGCTCCATGCTGCTGTGGACCGAGTGGGCTGCGTGAATCGAGGCAACGGTAGCCAGACCGGTAGCCATGAGCGTCTGGCGAGTGAGTTTTTTCTTCTGTTTCTCCTCATCGGTACTATTTCCAGGGTCAGAATCCTGTCCTTCTGTTTTGCAATCCTCGTGACGCCGATTTTGATCATTGTGGTGACCACCGTAGCCTTGGGGTCCAGTCATGGCGGTGGTCGACGCAGCACGAGGCCTTTGCATGTCGCTGGGGTAAGAGGATCGACCTACATCTACATCTCTGGGATCCCGGGAGGGCCTGGAGCGTCTGGGTGACACGTAACGTCGGGACCTATGGCCGCTATCGTAGTCCTCGTCATCCGAGTACTCTGAGTAACGGGATGGGCGACTGCGGCGGTGGTAGTCTCTCCGGTCGTCGGAATCCTTTTTATCATCGAGGCCAAGGGCTCCCAGTCCGCTTCTGATATAATCGGTCACGCTCTTGCTGCGCTTTTTCTCCCGACGCGGGTATTCGTCGTAGCTGTCCCTCGAAGAAGATCGGCCTCGGTGGCGAGACTTGGACCGGAACCGGTCGTATGCTTCCTTGCCGGCCGCTGCCAAAGCCCCCGTGGCGGCAATATCCCCGAATCCGCCTCGGCTCTTGGAACGTCCTCGGTGCCTCGACCGGGACCGAGAGTGGGATCCATTCATGAGGTGGTTCGCAGCGAGACCGGCCAGAGTGGACTCGATGACATGGCGCTTCGAATGCTTGTTCGGATCGCGGTCGACCAATCCATCGGTTCCTCCGGCGGTGATGGCGGCGGTAAGAATCCGTTTGCCTTTGGCACCGGTCCAGTCGCCGGGGTCCTTTCGTGATCGGAAGGCTTCCACTGCACCTGCTGTCACGGCCGCTTTGACAGCCTGGGCGATCCGCTGCTCGCTCTTGTCCCGACCATGGCGGCTCCTGCTTCGAGTCGGCGAAGGGGAGTAGGAAGAAGCCCTATGGCGATGAGAACGGCCACGGCTATGGTCCCGATGCCTCGAGGAGGCCGAAGAAGCGGCAGCGCCAAGACCTAGGGCGCCTAACGCCTGCTCCGAGAGAGACTTGCGACGCCTGGGGGGCGATGGCGAGCGGCTGCTTGAGGGAGAACGCGAATACCTATGACGGTGTCCTAGGATAGGTCAGCGTCTGCTCCAAAGAAAGAAGATGATATCTACATCCTCGGCTCTTCCTGTAGTTACAATAACCCTTGCGAGTGAAAGATGCACCCGGACGGGACAAGTAGATGTGCACAACTAAGAAAGACTTACGTCGATCATCGTGGTGTCTCGATCGCCGACTATGGCGCGGGCGGGAATAGTCCGAGTCCTCATAATACGGGTCCCGACCACCCATCGAATAGGATCTGCGCACGTCCTCTTGGACGGAGGATACACGAGAGTGGCGGGGTGGCGGAAGGCCGTACCCATATTCGTAGCCATAATCACCCTTGGGGTATTCAGAGGGGACTTCCTCGATGGAATCATCGCTCCTGTTGCGTCGGCGCAGGGCACCGGCATCTCGACCGCCATAGGGGTCCTCGTAATATTCCTTTGCGTAGCCAGACGGGCGGGCGTGCCGATCGCGAGGACGTCGATAATGGCGCTCCTCGTAGTAAGCCATTGTGGGGGTGGCTGGTACGCTAAGATGGAGGGGAAGAGATAGTGAAGATGGGGGGCAAAGTCATGGGGATGCAAGGGGAATGAATGAATAGAACTGGATGAGATGGGAAGGGAGAAAGATGGAAGACAGAGAGAAAGAGAAGGAGAGGAATAAAAAAGAACAGAAGCTGAGACGATGGCCCAATCCAGCCAGGCACGGGACGTGGCGAGAGGCGGGGCTTGTCAGTGACGTAGGGCCAATCTGGAGGATTTGGTTTGTATTGATTCAATTATTTACATGTTATCTCTTCTGCTTGATTTGTGTCTTTCTCTTTCTATCATTATTGTTCTTTTTATCCTTGTTTTAAATTATCTCTCTCATTTACAGTTATAATACGACCCTTTTCTGCCCAACGTCGTAGATGTTTCAGACCGCGCTGGGCTCGTCCCCAGAATGAGACATTGAAGCCCTCTGCCGATGACTAAACGCCGTTGACATCATGCGGCATCGTCAAGCCCGGTCTGGTCTGCGTTTGGCCTCGCTGCCATCGACCATGCCTGGCCAAGGCTATCTCAACGTTAGCACATCCCGATCAGATCAAATCAAGTTCGACCATGGGCCCGTCACCGTTCCTGAACCCGCCCTGTCAGGTCCTCGGGTCGGTGTGGCTTCCGCGGATTGGGCACGCTCGTTCCATGGTTCCAGAGGACCCTCTCATAGCACCCTACGATGAAGTCGCCTACATGAAATCCTACGCCGATCAAATGCGCCAAGTCCCTCATGACACCATCATCCTTGTATATCTCATATTCCATAGGGTAAGTACTGGCTAGTATACAATACATGGCAACTGGCTCTCCGGCCATTCTCTGGTGGTCCAATCCAAAAAGTTCATAGAGCGCACACGAAATCAAAATCAAACAAAAAACGCCCTCAATTCCAAGAGTAAAAGACAGGTGTATAGAGCGGTATCCAAGAGCATATTCGAATAAAAAAAGAGTCCTCCAATAAAATTCACCACGTACCGAACAATCCTTTTCAATGAGTTGCTGTACATAGATGAAACGGCTCGAGTCCTGCTATCCAGTCTGCCAATCTGGAGCTGAATCATTTTCCATAACCTGATTAGGTCCCGACCATATCTGTCATTCTCAGACAGTCGGAACGACAAAATCACGAAAAGAGGGCTGAGCGTGGCTCCGTAGTCACCCCGAGTTGATTCTCGGGGCGCATTATTTTTTCTTTCCCTCTCTTTGAACGCCAGATTCGCCTGCTAGTCAAACGAAGTCGCAAATAATAGACCGACACGATGATGGTCGTGGTCAAAAGAAAAATGGGAGAAAAGGGCCGTGATAATTCTTTTTTGGTAGAACACCTGGTACGCTCATGCTCGTCCCGTTTTGGGATTTCAGGGGCATGAGTCTTTCCACACAGGTTTACCTCACGTCAAACTATTGACTCCGTTACATCGTTCAATAAGGCTGTGAGCGGTGGGTGCCACTGGAGATCATAGAATTCATGTTCGTCATGCTCTCATAAGCGTTTCCGTCCATTTGGGACTGGCTCGCCGATCGCTGGTGGCTGTAAGTAGGACTGGTCCTCCTACTTCTCCACCCACTGCTCCCTTCGCTTTCACGTTCGATCATACCCGTAGGCATGTCCTCCGAATGTGTCCGGTGTGTCCGGATGTGCTGCTTCATGTTGTCCTTCCGCGTGAAAGCCTTGTTACAGATCGGACAGTGCACACTCTTCTCCCCAGTATGCTTTTTGCCATGACGAGCGGCGTGACCCGACGTCGTAAAGGTAGCGGAGCAGCCGTGACTCGCGGCGAAAGGGCAAGGATACTTATTCTTCCGCGTCCCTCGGGCGGCCGTCGTATCTTTGGATCCACCGATCGACGTCGGCGGAGACGGAGGATCAACCATAGAATTAGCGCTGAGCCGCTTCTCCGGAGCGGGCATCGCTGAGGAATAGCCGGGGTATTCTTGACGACTTTGTTGGAAGTATGACCCGGTGCTGGCACTTGTTGTATAATCATAGGAGCAATCCGAGGATCCGGGAGATGTCGGCTGCGTCGCTTCGGACACGGGATCGAATTGTTGCCTCGTCACCCTCGGGGATACTGCCGGGGACCTGGAATAGGCGCTCCCATAGCGATAGTCTAGGCCGACGGCCTGGCGGGGTTGTTCTGATGGATAAGGGTATGTAGGAGACGACTGGTGCCTCGTTATCCTCGGTGCCGATCGAACGGCGAATGACGGATTGTCATCATTGTTCAGGATCGACACAAAACTCCCTTTGCAGCTCGCCATTTCCTACACCACCGAGGTCTGGTAATATAATTAAAAAACTGCCAAACCGGTTAGCTAGGCTTTCTTGCTTCGTAGACCTTTTTGTGTTCTTTTTGCCTTCTTTCTTTCGGTTCCCCTCCTTCTTCCGTCTCTTTTGCTTTTTCTTCCCACACTTTGGTTGCTTCGCTTTTCCTGCGTGTTGCTGTTCTGACAGAATCACGCTTCGTCAAGGAAAAGATTGCAGTTGTCTCAGGACACCCAAGATATAGGAAAGAAAGCCCGGAGATAGGAGGGGGAAGGAAGAAAGAAAGGGTAAAAAAGCAAAAAAGCCGAAAAATCAGAACGAGGAAAGCCGAAAGTACACACCAGCTAACGTCGAGGATGTTTGTCCTTTCTTTTCGTGTAACGCGCACCCGATCTGTCGATAGGCACCTAGGCGCAAATCTGACAGCAACCCGACGGATGACTTGAGGCGTCCTTGCCTAACCTCTCGATGTCGAACCGGATAGAATCCCGACCAGATCTCCCACGTTCTGGATCAAACCGAACTCAAAGCTGATCCCACGCCAATCGACGGGTAAGACAACGATGTCGCAAGGGGGGTGGGTGGTTTTCTTTTCTTTGGCGCCCACTAGTTGCTGCGGGCAGGCGGATAGGAAAGTGATGCTTGAGAAAGGTTGTAAACCGGTCCGGGAGACGTGCAGGGTTTAGATGAAAAGTGAATTTGGGGGGAAGGTTCAGGAAGAAAATAATAATAATAATAATAGTGATAGTCAAGAGGCGAAAATCACGGGCACCAGCAACAGTCTTCCAGAGAAGTGCGGGGGCCAAGAATGAAACCAGATGAAAGTGATAACGATGAATCCGAAGATAGATGGTGGGATTCACAAAATCCAGATGCAAATCAGATGTCCAGTAATGAGAAGGAAAGGGGAGGAGAAATGGGTTTAAACGGATCGCATCAGAGGATACCGAGCAAGCGTCAATGGGGGGAGGAGAGATGGTGGAAGAGGAGATACGGAGATAAGCAGGTGGATATCGATAAATTGATAGAAAAGGGAAGTAGGTCGAAAAGGTCGTATGGTGAAGGAGAGGATGACAATGGTAACGGTCTTGCGCCGGAGGGGGAATAGTAGGGAACGGAGAGAATTGAAGAAGAAGAGAATAAGAAGCGAAGAAAAAGCGGGATTAGGGATGAGAAGAATGGCAATGGGAAGGGGGAGGCCGAGGAAATAAAAGCGAGGAAGAATAAGAATAAGAAGAGCAGAGAAGAAGACCAAGCATCTTGAAACTGGTCCAGGGTCTCTCCCGAAGCTCTGGCCATCTGGGAAGAGCGTCAAGGCAGTCAGTCTTTCGCCGTCGAGGCCGTCGAGTCCGTCAGTCAGTCCGTCCATTTAGTCTAGTCGAGCAGGGTGGGTTAAGGGAGCGGACTAGTGGCAGACTTAGTTCGAGGAGGGTGTCGACGAGCGACTTTAGTTCGGGTGTGGAGCCTGGGAGCAGGCATCTTCATTTGGAGAAGAAAGAAACGTTCAATCCTTGGTTGATGGTTTGATGGCTGACGGAGTGAGGAAATTGAAATTGTTCCCCTCCCAAGAATCACGGCCAAGGGTCTGCCCAGAGTTCTCTTTTTTTTGTGTGTGTCATTTTTTATTTTTGGTCTCCCCATCATAAGTACGGGTGGGTAGATGCAGGGAATTTGGGCGGTTTTCACGAATGATAAAACCCATTACAGCAGGGCGGAAGCCAACCCCAAGAGGAAAAAAATAATCATCATAAAATTATGGAAATACTACCCTGGGTCTGTATGGATGTAAATACTAACGAATAAAATACACGCTGACTGTTTCTCTTCTTTGCCGAAAGTTTATTTGTCAAGGAGTAAAAAAGGATAAATCAATCCGAATCATAGAATCAGAAAAGTAAAAACAAATGAATAAAAATAAAACCCTTAAGACAAAAAAAAGAAAAGAAAGATAATTTCCAGTCAGAAGGCAATCTTGGTTGGCTTCAGCTTCACGGCAACTCTAATAACATGTGGAAGTATACCCGAAGTACCTCCAGTCTTTGGCACTAGTGGCATCATCGGGGATTCAGTCCCAATTGGCAGGGAGTTCCTTACTTCCTCGAACAGCCACCTGGACCTGGCCCGCTCAAGGTGGCTTTGCCCTGTCAAGAATTATCCATCTTCATTATTTATGAATTGCGTTGGATCTTGAGATTATGGTTGTTTTTGTATATTTATATTTTATTGTTATTCGTTCATTCCGGATCATCGTCGTCGTCAACGTCAATAACGTCAACATCGTCACGGTATTCTCCTCCCCGTTCAGCCTTCCAGGGCCCAAACTGCCCCTCCGCCATTCTCCTCCCGTCCCAACAGGACCCGGTCTAACTAGTAATGGTTGGCTTCCTAAACGATACGTATTCCCTGTCGTCAGCCGAAAGATATCTAAACGGAGCCATGTGTCAAACATGTCTAGAAGAAAGACAATCATAATAATAATAATTACAATAATCATAAAATCGGTATTCAATGTGTTTCCAGTCAGAGAGCAGGAACTCGGGACCGAATCATCATACTGGACTGGACAATTTCTTCCCGATAATTAAAAGATGGGGTAACTAAGAGTTAGTTCGTGATAGTATGCTGCAGAGAGCGACACTAAAAGGTCCCTGTTCTCAGGCCCAAAGTCCCTCAATCAATCTCGCCTACAGTACCAATGACATTCATCGATTTTTCCCAAAAATAACATTCATCACCAACGCCGCGTAAAGCTGGAGGTCGATGTTGATTCTGACTACTCCATAGTCCCTGACTTCCGACCCCGTTGACATGGACATCCAAAGGTTCCGAAAAGAGCAATGTTCTCGTCGCTTTTTATTTAGTTCCTGCACCGGTGTAAACTCTCTGGGTCGCTCGGAAGCTGATGTGGTATTTGGCCGTATCCGCATTCCGCCGTACGCCAACGCTCTAACGATGGCCGGGCAAGGGCCAAGGACAGGAATCATCTTGACTTGCTCGCATAAATGTAGGCAATAAATCCATACACACCCGATCGCCTTCTGAGCGATGCAATCTCGACCGATCTGACACCTCCGATCTGATAGTCAAAGGTCGTGCCATTCATCATGGACCATGCCCATCGTTACCAGACCGGGTAAAGTGGCCCCTGACCAGAAGAGCCTTACGGACAAGCTTTTAGCCACGGTGCGATGGAAACCGTGGTTCTCATATCCTGCATTAGTTGTCTGGTAACCATCTTCATATTGGCTCCGTGTGCACATCGCCGTCGAATTCTCTCTCTCTCTCTCTTGCTCCGAAGCTAAGGAACCCTGCATTAATAAATGGGGTCGATAATAATGGTGCGTGTTCGGAATTATTCCCATCACGGTTGACTGTTTTCTGTCTCTGGTCCAAAATTTTCCGATTCCCGTTTTGGCATCCTCGTCCGTCATCTCGGATTTATTGATCGCGATTCGGGCATTTGAAGTCATCGGACGTTTGTTCGGTTGGACTGTAAGTCTGTAACGTACCGTACTTCCCATGGAGATTTTTTCTTTTCTCTTCCTTGCGGGGTGGGGACTCGTGGACCATCCGTAGAATACTCTAGCTAGCCTCCGTACGGAGTAGTGCGTACGCTTTTTCTTTTTCTTTTCTTTCCTTTTGTTCGTAGCTAACGTGTAAAGGCTTAAACCCCGATTTTCTGGAAGACCAGGGCGTCCCACCGACGCCAGAAATAGGATCAATTGTTGAACAGCCACGAAAACGCAGTTCATCCGCATCGTGTCCCTTGATGCCAATAATAGCAAAACGACCACAAGCATGGTCGCGATTATAATCACTAGCCTTACAGTATACCCCGATATGCCGAATCAACCAGTCAGCAGGCGGGACTAACAAACTGCATACGTATGTATGGCGTTTGTCGTATGGGAATTCTCAATCCTGTAACCTTACTTCGTAGTACTTGTGTAAGGTATGAGCCAGCATTTGACAGTAGACGGAATTGGCGAACCTCTCAACAACGTGGGTTCCGTCCCTTGCAGATTACCTTTTCTTTTCCTCTATTATTTGATATCCTTTGGTTTTCTTGTTGCCTTCTCTCATTCACCCTATCATGATTATTATTGCAGCCCCCTCACCCAGTCACCCCTCTTTCCCCTGGATTACCCTTATTTTACCTCCTACAAAGCCATCGACACTAAAGTTTCTTCTCCTCAGCAGGGCGCCCCCCAAGTACCCAATGACAGGCCTCGTCGCGAGAGACGGACACAGCTAGTCGTCGTAGCTTGGAATCTAGTGGTGTCCGGACCCCCTCCTCATCTGACCCATAGCAGGCACGCTAGAGCGCTAAAGCATTCTTAGCATCATATCTAGATGTGCCGGTGGCCTGTCACTGCGCAGGCACTCGAAGGTATCCGGAGGAGTAGTTATGGAGTAGATAGCTATGTTAAGCCACGCATACGTGTTGTCAACGTCGTCCTTTTTCCTTCTCCTTCTCCTTTCCCCATCTAGTTCGTCTCGAATTGGTCCACTAGTTCACTTACCCTGGTTCATCCTTCTTCTTCTCCTCTCCTCGACAGCCGCTAGAAAGCTCTGGATTCATCCAATGAGAAAAGCAGGGCAATGGTACCATACACCGTAGAGACTAGGTAAGTAGTTTGCGAGATCGCCCGGGACGAGGGGAGGTGAGGGGACGAGGAAGAGGGGGGGAAGGCGGTTTCGAAAGAGGGACAGACCAGACAGACTACGCTTGTCCGGGAGATGATAGACACTCTCTTTCATCACTGGTATTGCTTGGCGCCGTGATCAGATGCACAAGGCCCATTATCTACCGGCATACGTATACACTTTTTCTGCATTGACCTGCGGGTAGGTGGTTAGCTAGGTACCCCGTTGTTTGTTAGACTTGGGTTAGATTGGACATTGTTAGTTAGCTTCATCCTTTCGTCCTACTCCGTGGTCCTCCGCGTGTGTTCGTGGCCCTTTTTTTTTCATCTTTTTTTTATTTGTATTTACCTTTTTTTTTTTTTTTCCTCTTTTTTCTAAATAATATCCCCATTCGGTAGTGCTTCCGGGGATACCTTCTCCGTATCCAAACCAAGCCACATACTAATCTTGTCGAGGATGGTGTTGACTCATCATACGCGTTAAGCCTTAGATTGATAGGATCAAATATCCAGATCTGGCGATTAGGTTCCGGGGCTGGTGGTCACCCTGACGTGTCGCGTTGAGGGTCTTTCGCCTTGTTTTCCCTTTTCGTTAGTCATCGTGTCTGTTGCCTAGTACTGAGATTGGAGCTCTCTACTCCACAGTTCTCGTGGCTATCTAGCTGTGTGCGCAGGATCGTGTCTGTTGTTATTATGGCTGGTAGGTATGTAAGTATTTATGTATATGGCTAGGTACCGAGATACAATCGGTACTGTATGGATGTATGACTATGTACACAGTATGTGTACATACAAATGGTGCCAACTGCCAAGTACCTTCAATGTAGGGCATCTGCAGGAAATCCCGGCCGGGCAGCGTACTTACATCGGAGTTGCCGCTGCAGGCCCATATGATATACTTTCCAGGATGTCTCTACCTAACTCCGCGCATTACTGTACCTCTCCAAGGGACCAAGAACCAATCGGTCGAGATGTCAAGTCCCTCGAGCAAAGCACACAATCATACGGAGTACGGAGTACAAAGTATGTAGTGCACCGTAACTACCTAGCCAATTACTAATTATAGTTGAAGCAGATGCATAACGAACGCAGCCACTGACAACAGCATCGGAGAACCCTCCGGACAAGGCAACTTACATGATAGCTACATACTGTCCAAGGCCAAGGTCCGTCATGCAAGGGATGAAATCTTCCTTCCTGGTTTACCGGTTTAGGGCTTGCGCGGGTTATGATCGATCCAGTTTATCTGAAGCCACCACATGTGTCTGTCTGTCTACTATGTAATGTGTATGTCAGTGTGGACGATGAGAGACGTTAACTATACGTATGTATCAGGGATAACTAGGGCTGGTGCCAGATTCAGTTAGACGGGTGTGTATTGTATGAAGTATACATTATGCATGTCGTATCAACGCAAGGGCTGGAAAATGACACCTCTGTTTTCTTGGGGATGAGAGACTTGTAATTTTCGATTTTCTCTCTCCCCAGGGCTAAGGCATACTATAGAGGACCCTACAGTAGGTTAATCCTTCAGGAATGCAGGTGCAGATACTTATACATGATTGAGAATGTTTTGGGTTGAGGGACGGTAAGCGATGCCGTAGCGTCTTTTTCTATCATTACTATCAGCATTCAGACGCATAAACGCATATTCACTCCTACAAGTCACTACCTGCTCTACCAAGATACAAAACTACATCGTACCACACATAGGTAAGTAGTA